CTATTGTTTCTGCGATGAAGGGTCAACGAGATTTATGGGTGGATCTTTTATTTATTTTTCTGCATAATAAGTGACCGGTAGAATAGGTCTTCTTGTTGAGTCTGTTGAGACTTTTTCGAAACTGCTATTTCTTTCTTTTGTAGTGGCTATTTAACGCCCAACTCGATTACTGAATAAACTGTCGAAGCTTTCTCGTGCATATTGATTCTTTTCTTCCTTCTTTGCTCTAATATCTGGTATCAGAGCCAAGTTAGCAAGATTGATTAGAATCTGAGGAATACACGAGTGAAAAGAGAGAGATGTCGAATGAAGGGCAGAACCTACTGACGATCCCAAAATTCGACGGTGACTACGACCATTGGAAGATGCTGATGGAGAACCTACTCCGATCAAAAGAATGGTGGCATCTTATCGATCCTGGCTATACGGAACCTGCAGAAGGAGCCAAGGAGACCGATGAACAAAAAAGTGCAAGAGCAGAATTGAAATTGAAAGATCTGAAGGTTAAGAATTATTTATTCATAGCCATTGACAAGAGCATTCTAAAGACAATTCTTCAGAAGGAGACGGCTCGGGAACTTTGGGAATCAATGAAAAAAAAGTACCAGGGAAGTCAAAGGGTACAAAGATCTCAATTACAGGCATTGCGAAGAGAGTTCGAAATTCTCGAGATGAATGAGAGCGAGACAATCACAGAGTACTTTGCCCGGGTGATGTTGGTTGCCCACAATATGCGCAACAACGGCGAACGCTTGGAAGATACTCAGATCGTCGAGAAAATATTGCGAACCCTCACCGAGAGATTCACCTATATTGTGGTGTCCATTGAAGAGTCAAAAGATATTGATCATCTAAGTGTTGATGAACTACAAAGCTCTTTAGTTGTACATGAACAGAAATTTCGCAGAATCATAAAGGAGGAAGAACAGGTACTAAAGGTGACAAATGAAAATTTCAGAGGAAGAGGTCGAGGTAGAGGTCGATGTATGACAGGAAACAACCGAGGAAAAGGACAATGGAGGCACCCGGTAAACAAAGCGACCATTGAGTGCTATAATTGCCACAAATTAGGACACTTCCAATATGAGTGTCCTACTTTGGGAAATAAGGCAAACTTCATTGAAACTGATGCTGAGGAAGAATTGCTCCTTATGGCATGTGTTGAAGGGAACAAGGCCACGAGAGATGAGGTATGGTTTCTGGATTCTGGATGCAGCAACCACATGAGTGGTAATCGGGAGTGTTTTTCAGAATTGGACGAGGATTTCAAACACACTGTGAAATTAGGGAACGATAGCCGCATTGCAGTTACAGGAAAAGGGAGTGTGCGCATGAAAGTAAACGGGTATGTTCAGGTCATTTCAAATGTATATTATATACCTGAACTTAGAACCAACTTGTTGAGTATAGGACAGCTTCAAGAGAAAGGCTTGTCAGTGCTAATTCAGAATGGAACATGCAAGGTCTACCATCCAAAGAGAGGAGTGATTATGAACTCAGACATGAGTGGTAACAGGATGTTCTATTTCATTGCTGAAATGGAAACACAGTTCCCCATGTTAATGAAGGCTGAGTCTTTAGAAGTGTCACACCTATGGCATTGCCGTTTTGGACACTTAAGCTACAAAGGGTTGACTGCTTTATCAACTAAAGAAATGGTGGAAGGGTTGCCCCAGATAAAAATTCCACAAAAGCTATGCTCAAGTTGTTTGGTAGGAAAGCAACATCGGGAGAGCTTCCCAAAAAGGAGCGCGTGGAAATCAACACAGAAGCTGCAACTGATCCATTCAGATATATGTGGTCCCATTAATCCAACATCAAATGGCAACAAGAGGTATATTTTGAGTTTTATTGATGATTTCTCACGCAAAACTTGGACGTATTTCTTGAATCAGAAATCGGAAGCTCTTGATGTCTTTATGAGTTTCAAAGTACGTGTTGAAAAAGAAGCCGGAACAAGCATACTCTGTCTTAGAACAGATAGAGGAGGTGAATTCAACTCAAATGAGTTTGCCAAATTTTGTAAAGACCAAGGAATCAACAGGCAACTAACTGCAGCTTACACACCTCAACAAAACGGTGTCGCCGAGCGGAAGAATCGGACTGTAATGAATATGGTTCGAACTATGTTGGATGAAAAACAAATGCCAAAAGAGTTTTGGGCAGAAGCCGTGAATTGGTGCACTCACATTCTCAATAGATGCCCAACGTCAGCTGTAGAAAATATGACGCCTCAAGAAGCTTGGAGTGGCAATAAACCAAAAGTTGATTATTTTCGAGTATTTGGTTGCCTAGCACATGTACACGTTCCAAATCAAAAACGAAGAAAATTGGATAACAGAAGCAGACCTCACATATTCATTGGTGTTAGCAAGGAGTCTAAAGCATACAGGCTCTTTGATCCGACAACAAACAAAATATGTATCAGCAGAGATGTTGTTTTTGAAGAAAACAATGGCTGGAACTGGAAAAAGGGTACTGCTGAGGTGATCCCAAATGCAATTACATGTGGAGATAATGGTGACGCAGATGATGAGAAAAGGCCAGTTGACGTCTCATCGGAAGGAGAAAGTGATTCTGGCACAACACCAGCAGAAAAATCAGCAAGCTCATTAGAAGAAACAGGTTCAGGAGAAGAGGAGGAATGCACTACTCCGAGTGCCCCGGAAAGAAGGCCACGCACAACTCCCACATGGATGGTGGATTATGTTTCTGGGGGAGAACTATCTGAGGACGAAACAGTCATGATGATGATAGAAGATGACCCTGTAACCTTTCAAGAAGCTGTGAAAAATAAGAAGTGGAAAGAAGCAATGGCAAAGGAAATGAAATCTATTGAAAAGAATGGCACTTGGACGTTGTGCACACTACCAAAGGAGACCAAAGCTATAGGAGTGAAGTGGGTATTCAAAACAAAGTTAAATGAAAAAGGAGAAATAGAGAAACACAAAGCAAGATTAGTGGCTAAGGGGTATGCGCAACAATATGGAATTGATTACACAGAAGTTTTTGCCCCAGTAGCTCGTTTGGATACCGTCAGGCTTATTCTAGCTATAGCGGCAAAGAACAAGTGGGAAGTACTTCAATTTGATGTCAAAAGTGCATTCCTTCAGGGAGATATCAAGGAAGAAGTGTATGTGCAGCAGCCAATGGGATTCGAGAAGCAAGGAGAAGAAGAGAAAGTCTATCGACTACACAAGGCGTTGTATGGTCTTAAGCAGGCGCCGAGGGCTTGGTACAGTCGAATTGAAGCCTACTTTGCTCGTGAAGGATTCAAGAAATGCACAAATGAACACACTTTGTTTATTAAAGTGAAGGAGGGAGGTGAACGTTTAATAGTAAGTCTTTATGTTGATGACTTAATCTACACAGGGAATGATCCAGCTACGCTCGAAGATTTTAAACGTTCAATGATGGGTGAGTTTGACATGTCTGATTTGGGAAGAATGAAGTACTTTCTTGGAATCGAAGTTATACAAAATGATCAGGGAATCTTCATTTGTCAGCGCAAATATGCAGAGGAGGTGCTGATTCGTTTTGGAATGGAAAACAGTAATGTGGTAGCAAACCCCATAGTGCCGGGAACAAGACTTTTGAAGGATGAGGAAGGTCCAAAAGTTGACCCAACAATGTTCAAACAAGTTGTCGGGTGTCTCATGTACCTAACCGCTACTCGGCCAGACATAACATATGGGGTTAGTCTCATCAGTAGATTCATGTCCTCTCCAACAGAAACTCATTGGAGTGCAGCAAAAAGGATATTGAGATACATCAGAGGAACTACTCAGCTTGGAATTTTCTACTGCAATGAAAGAAAAGGTAAATTGGACGCATATTCGGATAGTGATTTTGCTGGAGATCTTAATGATAGGAAAAGTACATCCGGTTATGTTTTCTTGCTTGGAAAAGGAGCTGTATCATGGTCTTCAAGGAAACAACCTGTAGTATCATTGTCCTCCACAGAAGCCGAATACATATCAGCTGCATACTGTGCAAGTCAATGCATATGGCTTCAAAACTTGCTTGAAGAACTTGGTGAAAATGGAAGAAGAGGTACTGTGATCAATTGTGATAATACTTCGACTATTCAATTATCTAAGCACTCTGCTTTTCATGGAAGAAGCAAACATATAGATGTGAAGTTCCATTTTCTAAGAGAGCTAGTGGATAAGGGATCAGTGCTACTCAAGTATTGCAAAACACAAGAACAGGTTGCAGACATTCTGACGAAGCCGATAAAGGTAGAGCAATTCGTGAAGTTGAAGAAAATGCTTGGGATGATTGAAGCAACAAAGATAAACTACTTGCTGCCGCATTCAGTTTAAAGGAGGGATTGAAGGGTCAACGAGATTTATGGGTGGATCTTTTATTTATTTTTCTGCATAATAAGTGACCGGTAGAATAGGTCTTCTTGTTGAGTCTGTTGAGACTTTTTCGAAACTGCTATTTCTTTCTTTTGTAGTGGCTATTTAACGCCCAACTCGATTACTGAATAAACTGTCGAAGCTTTCTCGTGCATATTGATTCTTTTCTTCCTTCTTTGCTCTAATATGCGATCTAACTTATAAGTTGTATAGCCCAATTTTGATCTAGAAATTGGACTATATATATATATATTTAATGTCAAATATTTCATGTAATTTGCATTCTTTTATTTTTCATATTCATAGTTTAAAACAAGAAAGGCTTGATAACAATGCTCCGAGAAAACATATATATATATAGAAAAATAAAACTCTGAATAATCAAGATAGCTACAGCTTATGGATATGAATATATGAAAAACGTTAATGGACACCTTTTCTTGAAAATGACTTACATATATATCAATTATACTATTAATTTGTGGATCATACCCTAGCTTTGTGGATCAACCTACACCATACATACATATATATATATATATATTTATATATATACCATGTATATGCATATGAATATACTCAGTACAGTTCGATTTCTTTTGCACAAATACCATTCTCAACCCAACCATTTTAATATATAAAATATTACTAATTTACATATTTATTATGAAAGCAACAACTCCAACCAACCAAAATAATCATCACCCATAAACTTCACACATGTGCCAAATTTCGAATTCAGTATGATTGAATTAAGTCTGTAGTTTTAGGTTATAAATATAAAGGTCGTTTTGTTTACTTATGTTTTTTGCACTATTCACGAAAGCTTAATATTTTTTAACACAGTTTGTTATTATATTTAAAATAATTATATTGAATTTATATACTTCTACTACTAATGATAACCATTTGGTAATATATACCTGGATCATTTCATGAAGACTGTAGCACCATCTGCATGGCCACCTTGTGGAACAGTTACCCCATTGATGCATGCATTGCCATGAAATTGCTCCACACAAAACAGCAGACTGTAAAAAGCAATATATATCATCATGTCTTAACTATATTTAATGATTATATCATGCTTATATGATATAGATAATCATATATATATGTTGTATCTACATTACTACATTCACAATATATGTAGTAATTTCATATCTTAACCATATTCAATGATTATATCGTGCTTATATGGTTATTGTTTTACAACTTACAACCATCTTGGGAAAAACATGGTACCGGAAAGAAAGTTTCAAGCACTTTATGTATGATGCATTTGCATTATATTAACTCGAACTTTGTGTTGTTTATTCATATTTCATGTGTCGATCTCTATATTTAACGTGTTGTCAACACCATGCTGAATGATATATTCATTCAACATACTACAACAGCACATTTCAGAGGTATCATGTAACTAATATGGTATATTTGCTTGTATTTTCGACTCTATTTTCATACTATACAATCTACATAAAATTGTTCCTCTTAAAATTAGGATGAGTCAGTGACAGTAAAAATTATGAAATTGCATGCCTTAAAGAGCTGATTGCAGTACTCTATGATAGAAAAACTGTTAAGAAGGGATCTGAATTTTCAACCTAAAACCAATTGGTGATAGGTGGAGTGGCCTTCACCCTTATATAATAGGGGAGTTCCCACGTATTTGGTAATGTGGGACAATATTCAACAAAAATCATTCCCAAATGGAGCAGCACAACTAAAGCATGTTTAGAGAAAGCACCAATCCATACCATGACGACATAGAACGTTTAGAGCAGCTAGCATTATCATATATCCATCTTGAATCAACTTCAGCGTGATGAAATCAACACTGTCAAGCAGTAACATAGGGGAGGGGAGAAATAAGAAGCAAGCAGATGGAATATTAGAATATCATCTTCAACTATCACTAGATCTTCACAAGCATCGCAGTTAGGAAAATTGTAAACAGAAATATATATATCTCATCAATCCAAACGATTGGAGTACTTTGATTTCTAGTTTAGAGAGAATAAACAGCCTCAGTTAAAAATAACAGTGTCTTCATATCTTAAACGCAAGTATCAAATCCCCAAAAACACTACGTATCCAAACTCCAAATGTATAGCAACCAAAACGTCAAAATTGACATCAATACGATTCCAAAACATAATTTATACCATTCCTAAACACAAATCTGACCTAAGATGCAACCGAATTTCCGAACCAATCCAATCCCTATAGAAGCATTCAAACTCACCATCCTAAGAGATTAATTCAGTGTCTCCAACTTCTGAAATTCGAGTGCAGGATCCACCAAGAGCGAACAAATCGATAAGCACGCAATCGAAAGCTGAGATCAAGAGCTAGAAATACTACGCAGAGTGTACGAAGATTTAGGGATAGAATTATAGAAACGAGCAAATGAAGAATTTCACAAAGTAAAAAAAAAAAAAGACTCAACCTAACTGCCAGGAGCGGTTAGAGTAAAACCATTTCTTATTCTCTGTAATCCTGGCCGTTGATTGTGTGTTGACCACAGTGTAGACGGTCTAGATTGCGATTCGCGTGTACGTTCTACTCTTCCAAAAATTTAATATAATCAATTAACATAAATAAAATAAAAACATGCAACAATATTATCGTGAAATATACGATTGACTATTGGGATAATAAGCAAACAGCTCCGTTAACCACATACACTGCAGTCTGCGGGTGAGTACCCAATCCAGTGCAATTTTATAATGAAAATTACAATTACATAGTCCCAAAAATAAATCTCTCATTTTTCTTTTTCCTGTATATTAACAGGAGTCCGAGTCCTGTCCCCTCTAGTGCCTCATCTTTGTCAATGGGTTGCATACTTGTATTAGGGTAGGTTTCAAATATGTCTAATGCTTTTATATATATATATATGTTACAATATTTGTTTGTGTCTAAAATCTACCTAACTAGATATGTTCGGATAGCTCCCCAGCCAAACTCAACCCAATTCATTAACAATTCAACTCAACTTATTTATAAATAATCAAGCCAAACTTGAGCTTGAGAATTATAATTTTTATAAGCTATTGTCGGAATATTTAATTAAACTTATTAGTGATTATATATTTATATCATTTTATATATATGAATATAATGATTTTTTTTTATATTAAAATTTATATTTATTAATAAAATTTGAATATTTTATTATAAAAAATTATGATTAAAAATAGATGTATTTAATTTATATATTAATATATATAATAATATTAGACCTAGCTGACAACTCAAAATTAGACATCTGTATGTATCTTGTGACCGAACTAACCAATCCAAAATATGCACTTCTTGAAATGTAATGGGTAGCACTATTTCACTAAGTTCACCACTTTGATAGTCAAATAATTGCAATATAAAAAAGAAGGCCAACAGAATGGTGTTCATGCAATTTTCTTTTTAACTTTATTCATTTCTATTTCCATGAATAATGTTTATATTGAATATCATATTATAAAATTAATAAAAATATTTTCCAAATAAATAAAATCCCAAAGCATAAAAAAATAAAATAAAATCCAATTATTTATATCTATTCAATGGTTGTTTCTAAAGCACTGGGAAGGCAGAAGGGAGCGCACTACATATATGCCCACATTTGCCAACCCCAACTCTTCAACAACACATTAGTTTTGATATATCTATAGGAGTTTACTTAAATGATTAAATAACAAAACAAACACGTCCTTAATGTAATACTACAATCTATGCGTTGCCCATACTGTTAAATTTAATATAAATTACCAAAAATGTAATTGGATACAATACTTAAAATAACATAAATGGTCATTACTTATAGACCTATAAAGAAAAGAAATATAACCTAGACCATATATATAATTCATAACTTCCATTCAATATAACAAAAATATTGAAAAGGTTCATCAAAGTATTTGTTAGTATTCTGTCAAATGAGAAAAACTACATACATATAGTGGGGGTGGGGGGCAGGATTCAACATGTTTTCTGTATTTAATTCAACATAATACTAGTATTCTTCCAAATAATATATTTGAATGTGTATAACGGCCCAACAAATAGAGCATAAAGCAACAAAATGTATTACTTTTACTATATTGAAGTAATTATCATTAGATAATTTGGTTTCACCTTGACAAGGTGAAGATGTAGTAAATGGCACTAACAAATTAAACCAACTACTAATGATGTAAAGTTGAGACATAGTAAACTGTCAAGTCACACATCACTGCAAACACAAACTAAACATCCTATCCATTTATTGACAGTGAAGGTTGATGACGATCGTAGAAGAAAGGAAATAATAAAATAACAACCACCCAAGTTTGTGGAGGCAGACACATTGATACATGTCCAACTCTTCTTGGACAAAGTTGACTCAATTCAAGACCCCAAACAAATACAAAAAAAAATAAAATAGCTCCATCAACACACATATTATATATATATATATATATGATATTAATAACCAACCCTAAGAAAGACAATTCAATCTTGCCATGATTATAAAGCACCACTAACACACTCACAAGCAATATGGGTGTAATAAATGCTGTAAGGTATATACCAAGAATAAACCTGTCCACTACACTATAAAAACATTAAAGAATTTTATTAACCGTTGCTGTTTTTTTTTTTTTCAAAATTATTTTATGTACATACACACAACAGGCAACAGGTGTGTGTTTGTGATTTTTGCCTAGATTCTAAGCTAGCCTCTTTATTCCTTCTCTCTCTTTTAACCTAACCATAGCCATCAAATATTAGCAGGTAGCTTAATGGGCTCTCACCACTTTTCTCCATGTATGTATGTGCCTTTTCATGATAGTGCAGCAGGCTCAAGTGAGGGACGTATTATTATTAGGGTTTTCTTTAACCTTAATTTCACATATATCTATATAAATAGACAAACTTACCTATTCACAGAGTTTGGTTAGTTAGGTCAGTCAAATGAAGGTTTTATGTACAATATAAAAGAGTAATTAGTCAATGAAAGACTAACCTGGTGAACTTGTAGAGAGATTTTCTGGTATCGGCTTTGATCAGGTCCATCTGATCAATCTCATTTGAATATATACCTGCAAAGGTTTAAGTTTCATTACAAGATTAAAATAAAGCTTCTATACCTTTTGATTTTGCTAGTAAGTTTCATTAAAAGATCGAAACGTGGCTTGATGGATCAGAGGCAGACAACATATGTACACCAGATGCTGATTATGTATATAGAATACGAACTTTCTTGGAGCAGAGTGTGTATATGTTTTTCTGCAGGACAGATGAGGTGTTAGATTTCAGACCTCAGAGACATCAATAGTGTTCTATATCATGTTCAATATTCCTCTGCAAGAACAAGGCGGAAAAGTTTTATATTTGGGTGCTTACTTAAGTGGCCTTTTGATGCCAAATCACTTGCACTGAGTCTGGTCCATCCATTGTGGCCACCCAACTTAGATTTTGACAAGATTTCCAATATCATATTAAAATCTTCTCTTTTTATGGTAAAGTAGCTTCCAAAAGCATCCACCACTCGCGGCGTATTCATTCCATCTTCTGTGCATTCCTTCGAGTACTCAAGTTCGAGAATTATGAATGATTCTAATTTTTGTCAGTCCCTGTAACACAAACACTTGAAAGGGCAAAGTTTTTCTTAGACGAATATCAGTTAGAAGATGAATGTAAAATACTGCATTCTTCTCCATGAAGATTTAAATTGCTTTATTGGACATGCTAATTTGGGGGGAGTCTTTATATTCTGTTCTTTGAGGGAAATTCCTTTTTGACTTGATGCCCTGATAATTTTGAACTTTCAGGCTTCAGCAATAGCAATTATTTGACATGAAATATAATAGAATAGCAGTATGATAAGGTACACCACCACAAAAGAAGCCTAGGTTTTTCAAAGCAAATACTTAAGATGAACAATCATGTATCTTTTCATGATTTCTCTACACATGTTAGTCTACTGGACAATAAGAAAAAAAGAACAATTTCAACTACGCCAAGACAGAATCATACTTTCAGCAATAATTAAGCCCAGCTTTGTGTATCTGATCTTTTTTGTCAAAGTATCTACATATATTTATTTATATGAACAATCATATATCTTTTTATGATTTCTCTACACATGTTAGTCTCACTGGACAATAAGAAAAAATATATTCAACTACGCCGTGACAGAATCATACTTTCAGCAATAATTAGGGTGATTTTTCTATATCTGATCTTTTTGTTTAAGTATCTATGTATATTATATATACAGATAACAGACGGTATTGCTATATCGATACATGAGGTTTTGTCAACCAGGCCAAGGAATTACCTTGGTCAAAAATCTTATGCACGATTAAAGAATCTAGAACTGGCATATAAACTGGACGGACCATATTGATGCGGCCATTTTGCCTTGTCAGGGGCCAAGATTCTGAAGTTACTACGCAACCTGGAAAAGATTGATGTTCATTAACATCATTGATGTAAACATGGACAAGTTGTCATTTGTCCTGCGGAACGTTACAATACTGCAAATTGTTTTATGCTGATGTTTAGAAAAGAGAATCTGGTGCAACCATGTAGAGTAGAAGAATGTACATGTATAGTGTTTTACAGCACATGAAACATGTTTATTTCCCATTTTCAGGGCATCATATGCAGTAAGATCAATTCCTACAGCCACAACTAGTCTAGAATTAAACCAAACTAACACATAAGAATGATCAGCGAAGGCAATCCCAAATCAAGTTGATATTTTTGTAATAATAGACAAAAGTCCCCTTACATGATAACTAATTCCCAAACGTGATTATGCAATATCTGGCAAGTTTGAAAATTTAAAATATCTCTTTATCTGACAGGATTCTTGCAAAGTTTATCTTAAACAGAACTACTTCTACTTTTATCTCAAAAGCAAGTATTATTCAAATACCAGAGAACTATAAAAGAGCAAGAAGTCTGGACAAATCCCGCACCACCCTCAACCTCCAAATCTCACACACATAAAACATAATATGGTCGTAAACTCAAGTAGGGTAGAAAATTACCCGAGTCAGGCAGCACCATTTGGATGGAATGAACTCACTGCAAATGCTGCAGCAACAATGGAAATACACAGAGTCTGTCTGCCACCATCCAGAACCACCATGCAGAAACTTAGGCATCACCTTGCTGAGATCTTCTTCCCTGATGACCCATTGCACAAGTTTAAGAATCAGACTTGGGTCAGGAAGCTGGTCCTGGGGCTTCAGTATTTCTTCCCCATTTTCCAGTGGGTGCACAATTACAACTTCCACTTATTCAAGTCTGATGTTGTCTCTGGTCTTACCATTGCAAGTCTTGCAATTCCCCAGGGGATTAGTTATGCAAAGCTAGCAAATCTTCCGCCAATTATTGGACTCTGTAGGTGTTGAGATCAAGCATCATTTTCACATAACTTACTGAACGTAACTGTTTTCTAATATCTTAGTTTTCTGTGGTTGGTTTTTGAGCAGACTCCAGTTTTGTGCCACCTCTTATATACTCTGTTCTTGGAAGTTCTCGGCATCTTGCTGTTGGACCTGTGTCTATAGCTTCGCTTGTAATGGGTACAATGCTCAGCGGAGCAGTATCCAGTGCAAAAGAACCAACTCTTTACCTTAAACTGGCCTTCACCGCTACATTTTTTGCAGGCGTATTTCAGGCTTCCCTGGGCTTTCTAAGGTATGAGTTTGCAAGTGCTTGGTTAATCTATTTGAACTTGATGGTGTTACATCCACTTGATTGGTATCCTTTGGCAGATTGGGCTTCCTCATTGACTTTCTCTCAAAGGCAACTCTAGTTGGCTTCATGGCCGGAGCTGCTATCATTGTTTCATTGCAACAGCTAAAAGGGCTACTCGGGATCACCCATTTCACGGGAAAGATGCAGCTAATGCCTGTGTTATCTTCTGTCTTCCATCACAAAGATGAGGTAGAATATCATTGTTAGCATTGGCAGATATTCGAGAAGGATAGAAAACTATACCTGAGTCTTGGACTTTAACTAATGTCTGCAGTGGTCTTGGCATACAATAGTCATTGGAGTTGCCTTTCTACTCTTGTTATTGACGACAAGGCAAATTGTAAGCATCCTACAATTTTTTTGTTGCAAGTTGTTGAAGATTCCTGTCTCCATTGATGACAATGTTTGGACAACATAAACATGCAGAGCATGAGAAAGCCAAAACTATTTTGGATCTCAGCAATTACCCCATTAGCATCAGTAGTCCTGTCAACCGTACTCGTTTTCTGCATCCAGTCCAAAGTACATGACATTCATATGGTAAGAAGCCATGATTATAATGCTTTCACTTGTTGAGCAGATTATTACAAGTTCGGAACTTGCACCAAATATCTTCAAAAACCTTTAACTGTAGAAAGTTTCTACAGATTGGCCACTTGCCCGAGGGACTCAATCCATCATCTGCAAACATGCTTTTCTTCAGTGGCTTTCATCTGGCACTTGCTGTTAAAACTGGTATCATCACTGGAATACTTTCTCTCACGGTAAGCTCTTGATTTTGCATTTTCTTAGATTCTGTTGAAATCATGTACAATCTGACTTTCAAATTACTCTCATACACAGGAAGGAATTGCAGTGGGGAGGACATTTGCAGCCCTGAAAAACTATCAGGTTGATGGAAACAAAGAAATGATGGCGATTGGGATAATGAACATGGCAGGATCCTGTTCTTCATGCTATGTCACCACAGGTAAGGCACCCTTGTGTCCACATTTTCAAGATGGGAAGATAACCATTACAGTGCTGAAACTCTTCTGCTCTCCAGGATCATTTTCGCGATCTGCGGTGAACTACAATGCTGGAGCACAAACTGTGATGTCCAATATAATAATGGCTGCAGTAGTCCTCGTGACTCTGCTGTTCCTCATGCCGCTCTTTCGGTACACTCCTGATCTCATCCTGGCAGCAATCATCATTACAGCTGTCATTGGCCTGATTGATTACCGGGCAGCATACAGGCTCTGGAAAGTCGATAAGCTTGACTTTGTAGCCTGCCTGTGTTCCTTTCTTGGTGTTCTGTTTATCTCAGTGCCCATTGGTCTTGCCATAGCTGTTGGAATCTCAATCTTCAAGATTCTGCTGAATGTCACACGACCAAACATTGTTGCTTTGGGAAATATTCCAGGAACTCAGACATATCAAAACCTCAGCAGATACAAACAAGCAGTTACCATTCCATCTTTTCTTATCCTCTCCATCGAGGCTCCTATTTATTTCGCAAATTCAACTTACCTGCATGAAAGGTTGAACTGGATTCACATAACCTGCAAAGTAAATTTATCTCTACAGAAATGATAGAATAAAATGTTTGACCATAACCTTAGTTCCCAACCTGCAGAGTATTGAGATGGATCAGGGAAGAGGAAGAGCGGGTGGCATCAAACAACACAAGCAATCTCAAGTGTGTTATTCTTGATATGACAGGTATCTTTTCTGTATCCAAATGCTCATGTTTCAGGGTTACATATACACACTCCATAGCTGCAAATGCATACCAACTTGAATAATCTTCACTCCCTCATTTTCCATTACTTCTCAGCTGTGACAGCAATAGACACGAGTGGAATTGATATGATCAGTGAGCTCAGAAAGACACTCGAACAAAGATCTCTGAAGGTAAGCTGAGACAGCCATATGCATATCATAGCCACACTTTGGCCTCTTCATACATAACCGTTAAGCCATTGTTTTCAGCATGTCTCGATAAAATATTATAATGACAAGTCTCTGCATATCCTCGTGTAGCTTGTACTGACAAACCCTGTCGGAAGTGTCATGGAAACACTGCACCAAGCTGACATTTTGGAGTCATTTGGAATAGAAGGGCTGTATTTGACAGCTGAAGAAGCAATTGCTGACATTTCATCTTCATGGAAGGCTCAACCATGACACCACTTCAGTGTAAGCTGTAGGCAGTTCATGGAAGGCTCAACCATGAAGATTTTGAGAGCTCGCCCACTTCTGTGTAAGCCGTAGGCTGCGTTTTTGTCCCTGTTTGCCTTGCTAGCAGCTATAGAAGATCAGTGCAATATATCTATATATAATGTTAAATGTAAGAACTCTTTCCTGTAAGAGTTTCGGTAATCATTAATCAAATTATTTCAGACTCTTCCACCTATGATCAAACTTTCTTCTCTCCCAAACTGGCCCTAAGACTCCTTTTTATTTTTTTGGGCTGCCGATTAACTTCAGTTATGATGGGCCTTGGGCCCATTGAAAGTATGAACTTGAAAACTACAAACCCATCTGGATTAGAAGACTGATCCAATGTGATCTTAAGCACAGTCACAGCCATGGGTGGTGCTCCTACAAAACACAGACATCTGACACGTGTCATCAAAGAATAACACTTAACACAGAAAATTCCCTCCACAAGGATAAGTACAGCAAGAAATATGGGACAATACATACCTGTATAAAGACTGCAGCCAAAAGCTATCCCTTTCTGTGAATCAATCCCCAACCTTTTCCAAACACTAAATGATATATTCCTACCTTTCAGATATACCCTCTCCCTTTCTTCTCCTCCACTGCTTCTATTTCCTATATCATCCCATGATTCTCTACTTCTTCCCCACACAAAGATGTGCTACCCAGAAGGTGCCTATTCAAAACCTTCTTGTGATTATGCAATCCCCCTCCGGGAATTGGCTCCGCGACGGCAATTAGCAACAAATACAGGGGTTGGGATACAAAAGGTGTGTGTGTGCTCACCTACCAGTCATCCAGGGTCTTTCAGGTGCCGGCACCACCACAGAGAGTATCAGTGGGGAAGCCGGCAACCAGGATGTAGGCCAATCAGTATGTAAATTTCAATCTTGTGCGCACCTGTGTTCATTTCTAGTCTTGTGCAAATTAACAAAGGCCTATAAGATGAATGTATGTAGCTATGCTCACGAGTCTCTGATTATTTGTTCATATGCAGCAAGAGTAAACAACACATACACAACAAAATGTGGGCAGAAACCATTTGTTAATAAGTAAGTCATATTTGAAAAAAATAGGAAACAAGGTACGAAGATCATTTGTTCATCTATGAGCAACTGTCACATTTGTGGTAAAAATGCATCAAATCAAATATAATGCATTTATAGCAATATTTTCAACACATATTTTCATATCCTAGTCCTAGCTATATAATTAGATAAAGGTGCCTAGGGGTAATCTCTTGAAATATATACATCGTTACTGCGTGTTATTTGGATTGCCCTGGTCCTACAAATAAGTGCCCTCTTTATCTCATTTGTCAAACCTGCACAATAATCAATATATTCATTAGAATATGTTTATGCTGTTCATTTATGGAACTTAGATAGTGTTCATTACTATTTCAATGAGATCAAGAAAGGGCCTATTGCTGGCCATACATATACATATATATTGTTCATTTCTTCACTATCTGTGAATGAAAGAGTAACAAAGCGGCTTCTAAAAACAATAAGTACAAAGAAAGAATTTACCCCAGCCATTTTCAATCATTGATTCCATCCGAGTTATAAATGAAAGGATAACCAATCAGCATATTGATCAAATACTAATATTTAAGGAAAAGCTTACCTCTGGGTAGCAATTCTGATGAGCAATCGTTTGATTATGTGTATCTACAATAACTTCGCAAGATATTTTTGTCTGTACCAGGTTATAAACAATATTATATCAGACATGTTTGCACCAGTTATCAACTTGAAACATCACAATAAGTTCGTAACCATAAGAGGGGTTTTGCAATCATAATTTAAAGTAGCTTAGAAGTTCTTACTTACTATTCAATAAGAGAGTTACACATCAGAATCATATGAATCTCCTAACATAATTGAAATCAATATTCATATGAAAGGCACAATGAATAATTTCAATACACTGCAAATCACGCACAGTGGATGTAAACAAATTGCCAGGTTTTAAATGATACAACATTATGTTATAAAAAGAACCCCTAATTCTCAGATTCGGCCTTACGATCCTATTCTCTTTCAAATCTAATCCCACAAATATCCATGAAATCTCACTGTATAAAATTGGATTCAAAGTATTGCTAAAACCCCAATAGCACAAAATCTTTATACAATTTGACCACGGTCTATCATGCCTCTTATTAAACTTGGTTTGCTACTCCATGAAGGTGGGTGGCATATAAAATTCAACATCGTTCTTGGTTATCAGTAGAATCAGTTTAAAATACAGCCTCGTTTCAAAAGCAGGAGGTAAGTGCCACTATAATTCGACCACCACTATCAACTAATCTTGCAAATTATAATAAATAAATAGATTAACAAATTTTATTATGTATGCCTATATGATAATCAAGTTAAAAACAAATGATGTTCAATCGGCCTTCCTAAAACTCCGCACTTCAAGATAGTCTCACTTCTTCTGACAAAGTCAGGATGACTTATAGAATCAACAGTGGGATTGCACTGAAAATAAATACATATTACTCCATGTAATTACATCCTACAATTGTTCTTCGGTTCTAAAAAATATGGGTGTTTTATTAGGTGGACTCTAAGTTTCCCAAAAATAGTATGTACTTTTTACAAACCCAAAGAAACACACCCACCCTAAATTTCAATTCAATCGCCACTAAAGATCCATTATCCGCGTTCTACTCCAAATTAATCCTAGTAAAAATAAATTCACCGTAAGCAATCAAAAAGTTACTGCTAAAGATCGGAATTCCATGAAGGTAACTCTAAAACTCTTGCTTAAAGGCAACTCCTAAATGACTAAATCGAACGATTTACTCAACCATAAGTATAGTAAAAAACAAGAAATACCTTAATAGGCAGGGCAATGAAGAGAAGACTAAGCTTTCCACTGATCTCTGACACTGTATCAAAAGAAATCGAGCCTTTAGCCAAATCATCGAGGAACAAAATGACATCATGCAGCATCTCCACGCCGTCCACCTCAAGTGTAGCGTTAACGTACGACGAACCACGCGGCTTGATATACCCACCATCCGAAGACATATTTCCCAACCTCCTATCTCTGTACTCGATCGCGACGAGCAATGACTCGTAGTCAAGTGAGTAAAAATCTTTATTCCGAACCCTGACAGTCAGGTCTAGGGTTATGTCGAGTGAAATTTGGGGGCGCGTGTGGAAGTGGATGCGATCGAGACCGACGCGAACAATTTGGAGCTCAGGATCAGACGGCCAGAGCAGGTAAACACCAACCAAGAGTAAGACAACGACAACAGCCGAGCAGATTCCGCACCGCAGACACGATCCTCGGAGGAGGCGGTGGCGGTACGGCGGTAGGTTGGGCGGTAGAACGACGACGTACTGCGGTGGTTGGGAATGAGGAGACTCCGATTCCGGTACGGCAACCAGCGGCTGACGAAGCGACGTCGTATCGGAGCGTCTCGCTGCCGCCATTGAGCTCAATGGACAAATCGGATCAACTTCAATAATCTCTGCATTTTATAGGAAGTTGGAGTGCTCTGAAAGTACAAAGGTAGCTATGGGATTGGACTCCATGACGCGGTGGGACCGCATGTGGTTTCTGCGGTTCCCTCGCTGCAGTTCTATCCAGTTTGAACTGTACACGTAACTTATCAACAAATTACGAATTGGTATACGCCAGAGGCTAAATACGACATTTCCATCTTCCGGAAACTGCGTCGTATCCTATATCAATTCACGGCAGCTACTGACGTATAAATAGCATTTGACCGCTGCTAAACTCCGAGGTTTGGGTGAAAGATACAGACCGTTACCCTCCTCTTGGAAGAATCCAAACATGTCGACCAAGCAAGGTAAATCTACAGTAAATATCTTGGACCTAATAATCTCTCTGTTATGGTTCACGAGAGGACGATGGGGGATTGCTGATCGTGTTTTAACCTGAAACAGGAGGAAAAGCAAAGCCTCTCAAGCAACCTAAGGCTGCAAAGAAAGAATACGACGAGGTATTGTAAGAATTGAATTAATACATATGTGATATGATCACAGCACCACCTGTTGTAGATAATTGTATTGAGAATATGAAGACATTGATTGCTAGGAAATCTAATTTTAGGCTATGCTGTAGGCAGGAACATGAATGAATGTAAAAAGTATCTATAATTGCTTTTGCACATTGTTGATCATCTATGAAAAATACATGAAAGTGCTTACCATTGTTGTTCTGTCATAAAGCTCCGGGATGAGGCAGGAGCTCGGGTCGCACCTAATGATAAAAATAAGAAGCAATATTTCCAAATGTAGGACTCTTCTAACACAAGAAGTTTGATTTTGTGCAGATCGACAAAGAAACTCTTAAAAAGAAGAGGGAAGAAGAAAAGGTAAGATTATCGCAATGTACTCACTTGAAAATTTAACTTTCTGCCACTGTAACCTGCAGCTGCAACAAATGATTCAATGCAGGCTCTCAAGGAGCTAAAAGCTAAGGCTCAGCAAAAGGGTGCATTTGGGGGCACTGGTTTGAAGAAAAGTGGGAAAAAATAAATTGAATTGGCTTCATGGAAATTCTTTCATTCTTTTGTTGTATTCTTGACTTCTAGGAAACAAACGCCTCAGCAGATTCCCCATTGTCAGTTATACACAATTAGCCTTTCTCTAGTGCTTTCCTAATGTGTTGTTTCCTCCTGCTTGATACAAATAACATGCGCCAACCCAAATTAAGCAGCTGAACATACTCAAATTTAAAGCATGTAGAGCATTTCAGCATATGTAATGTTTACATGTTCATTGTAATCCACTCTACTGTTCAACGCTAACTTGGGACCTTGAAAGTTTATATACCCTCATCCAACTTCAACTTCAGACAGGCCATCATGAAAAATGTAACAACATTTAAAAGAGAACATCGAGTATTTAAGAATGAAATCAAGATATAACAAATTTAGTGCAAAGAATAGGAAGCCAATCAAAGTTGAACCAAACATATATACCAACATGAAAGTCGAGGATTCTCGTAGAACCCAACAAAGTGGTGCAGTGCAGCACAAACCCTCATCAGGTTCTCTTCAAAATCAAATAAAGTTCATAGAGTATATCAGGAAACAAGCTATGGAATATAGCTTACTTGGTAATTGGTATGATTTTAAAATGGGATTTCTTTTGGGTGTGTTTATCAATGCCATAGTGCAGCTTCTAATATACAAAAAAAATATATCATTTCGTGCATTTCCAATTTTCACTGCTTATCAATAATATGCTGCAGCTTTCTAGAATAACTGATTGTTCAAATGTAATAATATACAACATTTAATTGTTCTCTAATGCTTTTTGAAGATAAGAATGACCATAATAAGCTACTTCTAAATATACCCTTAGGCGGAAGCAGCTGCAGTCTTCTTCCTTGGTGCAGCTTGTGTACCTACATTCCAAGATGATGAAAATGAAATCAACACAAGCAACACTACACAAACAATGTTTAAAATGAGTATCAAAATTCCTCAACAAAACAGTGGTATTGTTCAAACCTTCTCTGAAATTTGTCTTGAATCTGCTTGGCACGTGACGGAGGTACCTCATCCGTCCAGTTCCAGTTGTCTTCCTGCTAGTGGCCTTGACACTCCAGTTGTCTGAAATGAAATAATTATTTGTGTGATCGAACCATCTAGATTAAAAAGTACAAGCCAAGAGAATATGGAAGAACATTTAGCACTTCACATTAAAGTAGCGAATTCACACAATTCAAATCAACAAGATATCAAACTTTCACAGAAACACCATTAATAAGTAAAGTTGAATGAATCAATCACCGGAATCGCACGGATGAAAACTCCATTTCCATGAGGATGCGCACGCTTTAAATAGAACTCATAATAAAGGCAAAAAGCAGTTTCACAGCGAAATATATAGAGTATCCACGAACGAGGAATGACATACATGTTCTCTTGCGTGCAGCAGGGTAAGCGCAGGCGGCACATCGGCTCTTCTGTTTGTGGAAGCTACGGCGGCCGCATCTAGCACACAGCACATGTGTCTTGTTTCTTCTCTTCCCAAAGCTACCAGTTCCCTTGCCCTGCAAGGAGTGCGGGAGCACACATCATTTAAGAAAACCATACGCATGAATTCATTTGCGAATTGTAATTGAATCCAAAATACACATATCGATAGAATGTAACACATCAGAGGCTGCATTTACCATCACTGCGGCCAAGCAGTAGAAATTGTAGATTCCTCTACTTCTCCGCTCTGCAGCCGAAGAGGCAGCAAAAGAATGTGCACGAAGAGGGAGACGTGATGAAGCGCGAGGCGACGAATTTAGGTTGGGTTTTGAGGTATTGCAAATCGGCCTTTTTTTAAGTGATAATTTTGGGCCCAAATTAAATATAAGCCCAAATTTTAAAAATTCAAATCAAAATAATTTTATAATTTATTTTGTATATAAAATTAATTTTTAATAAATTATAAAAAAATAAACATTTAATTTAGAAGGATTTGGCTAATACTAAATATTTAGCAAAATATACCCAAAAAAATAACACACCGTTCATATTTATATTACTTATTATTTATTTTATAGTAAAAAGCAAAATTATTGTTCGATTTAGACTAAGATGTTTGTAGTTTTAGAAATTTAAAAATAATAAAAAAAAAAATTGTATTTGATGTAGTAATACTTTTTTTTTTTTAGAGAAAAACTTGTTTAGACAATATTTCCGGGTATTTGATACCATTTAAATTTTTAATTTCTTTTTTTCAAAAAAAAAAAAACACATTATACATACACTAAATTTTTACTTTTTTTTTTTTTTTTCAAAAGTCTAAATGATCATGGTATTTGATGGAATAAATTTAAAAATATTATCGTTAATAATAGTGTCAAAATGATGATGGATTAGACAGAAATCATGTATGATATATGAATTTGAAGACGTTAAAAATTTAAATTATGACTTAAGGATGACAAGTTCACCTATACTACCATGTCATCTATTACGGCCGCATGCGTAGTTGAGCTACATAACAATCACATGTTCGTTTCTATATAATACTCCTGTATTATATATATTATACAAATTATTACAACCTTTGCAGTTCCGAAGAATGACAAACAAAAAATGATTCAATTCGTACAAAGACAAACAGACATATCCAATTAATAGTATATATATATATGTATGTATGTATGTATATATAAAGTTGAGTAGAGTGTAGAGCAGAGTTCATCAGGCGTAGGTGCAGGAATCCCTGTGAAATTTGATGGGTTTGCTGTTTCTAGAGTCGATGACTAAGTGGCACGAAACCCGGCGCCGATGCGTCGTCGTGACGAGTTTTCCGACGACGTCTCCCCTGGACCGGATCTCGAACTCCAACCTTAACGGAACCCTAACGGCGTCACCCGCCCTCACTTCCAGGCTCGACCCCGCGCCGTACAGCGGCACCCTCGTCCCCTCTATTTGCACCTCCACGTTCTGCCAACTCTTCCGTGCCTGAAAATATTTCCGAACCTGCACCATTTTTTTTAATTAATTAAATTATATATAGATATATATATATATATTCAGTCAGCAAAACGGCGTCGTAATTACGTACAGCTCAATATCGTTTATATATGGTACGATGACTACGTATGACGTACTGTATTTTAATACAAATACAGTCATCACTCAGTATGTTCATATTTTATATATATATATATATATATATTAACATGGTGTAAATTTGGAGAATTTTAGTAACTATAAAAAATTAATAATCCACATGGTGTGTTTGTCTGGGTTTGGATTTTGAATCGGAATTTAAATAGTAAAAATTTTGAATTTAAATAGTTGTAGTAAAAATTTTGAATTTAAATAGTTGTATGATGTGATATAAATAGGTGTTGGATTTAATATTTTGAATGTAAAATTGATTTTTAGCATAATATAAAAAATGAAAAATAAGTGTTTGATTTGATATTTTTTGGAGAAAAAAATTGGATGAATAGTGTAAATCCAATCCAATTCCCCAAACAAACACACCCATAATGTAAATCATTGTTAAATGTAAGTATATATATAAAAAAATGATAATAGAGTATAATACTTCCTTATTTCCAGTATTTTGAACAAAGAATTTAAGAAGAGTATAATTAATCAATAATTAAAAATATATTAATAAAAATAAGTATCATATAATAAAAATAATTAACTAGCTTAATTAAAATTTAAAATAAAATAAAATTAAAATATATAAATTTTTATTAAAAAAAAAAGTGACAAGAATAAATGAGATAAATAAAAAATAAATAAATAAACACACGACAAGTGAGACGGATAAAATATAAAATTTTATTGGTAAATTTTTATATTTATATATAACCTGGCCGGTGGCAACGACAATGTCGGAGTATTTGAGGTCGATGGAGGAAGAGGTGACGTGGACACCGTAAAACGTGGCGGGATTGTACACGGCGAATTTTAACGTCCCGTTGATGTTAAGCATCTTTGTGGCGACACCTGTGAAGTCCGAACCGGAGCCCATGTAAATATTATCCACGGACAAACTCTGCAAATTAAATCAAAATTCGAATTAAAATTATTAATATACACAGATAGAGTGTGTTTAATGGAACAGATGAAAAAATAAGACTAATATTTTTCTATAAATGTTGACAGTAAAAGAAAAAATAAATCTATTATAAAAAATAACTGGTCGTACTCCGACAGAAACCTCGGCCTCGTACGGCCTGGCGGCGCTCCAAATGACGAGGCAGAAGACGGTGAACAGCGCCAGAAAGGCGGCGGCGGCGATCACCGCCTGGCACCACCGCGTGAATTTCTTATCCTCCTCGTACTCCTCGTAGTTCCCTTCCTCCATAATTACATTACACTCGGGCCATCCCTTGTCGTTGGGCGGCTGCGGCGGCGCCGCCGCCTTTCCGGCGGGGGGCCTCCGGCCGGAAAGGGAGCGGAAAATGCCGGAGAATCTGGTGGAGGAGGAGTTGCGGGAGTGGCGGCCGACGGAAGGATGCGACGGAGATTCCATGGGGCTGACGAAATTGGAAGTGGTGTGGACGGAAAATTTGTCGCCGTCGTGGGAGGGGCTCTGGACGTAGTAGAGGACGGCGCCGCCTCTCTTCGGCGGCGGCGGCGAGCGCGGCGGCGACGAGGCGGCGAGGCTGGTGACGTCGGAATCGGACTTGGAGTGGTGCATTGGGATTAATTGGATCGATTGGATTTGGATGGAGAAATGAAACTGAAAGTGAAATTGAAATTGAGATTGAAATGGAAATAATATTGGAAGGGGACAACGAAGCTGATGCCGAGGCTGCGTACAAGTTTGGACGTATTCGTGTCGGCAGGCGGTGAGCGTCGCTATCGACTGTCGGAAGAAGACTGGACTGGACTTGCCGTGCAATCTTAATTTGGATATTTTTGAGGAGGTGAGTAAATGCTCGCTACTGACTAGTAATAGTCATCAATATATATATACATATACATTTGTATGATGCTGAAATTTTTGGCCAGTTAATTTTTCGATTTGTAAATTATAATTTGAAAAATATAACATGTTCGGTCGTGAAGGCATCAATAATGATTTTGTCTGCAAATTATGGGGGCAAACCAGCCGAGTAAGCCATACTAAGCAAATCTTGACCGAAAAATGTCGGCAAAATTGAATGGGTGATCTTTCGATCATAAGTTCATCCTCCACTAATTACGATTCAATTCTTGGTGTTTGGTGATGGATTTGGATTGGGGGGTATATTGGGTACTTTGAAATTTTGGATCTTTGCTGCAATTGAATTCAATTATATGATCATTTGTATTTGTATTTGTATGTACATATTAATAATACTCAGATTTGGATGGAGATATGTTCTATAAGAATAAATAAATAAATACAGTAACTCTGGTTAAAATTACAAAAACTTGGTCTAGCGCTATGCTGAATATGTACATGAATATGTGTGTATTTGGTTCAAGTATGAAATTGAATTTCTGATTCTTTGTTAGAAAAAACAATATATCATTCTTAGGAAGAATAATTAAAAATTGATTTTGAAATTATAACAAAAAATATATTTTTTTATGAAAAAAACGTATGGACAATAGTGCATTTTTGTTCAATGTTCCGTGCATGTTAAGTAACATACGGATCTAACAGCCATTTACAATAACATACTTATTGCCAATTGCATCTACTTCCTGTTTAAAACAAGGGTTTACTCGTCAGATTTTGGTTTTGAGTTTTGATTTCAAATAGTAAAATTTTAAATTGAAATAAATGTTTGATGTGATATAAATATATATCATGTGATGTTTTGAATATAAAATTAGATTTTAATATAATAAAATAAATAAAAATTGAGTGTTTGATTTGATGTTTTTGGAGAAAAAAAAAATTAGAATAGTAAAATTAGAACTAAAATCTTAAAAGTATGCAGACCCAAAATAAACTCAAAGCACAACTATACAAAATCACACTATTCTCAACAATTTTCTCACTCCAAAATCTAGACCTTGTCTAATGTTTTCAAATCACTGCCGACCCTATTATTAACAATATTTAAAAAATAACAATAATAAAGTCAAATTTCTCTTTTTCCTATAAAAATATTATACTCAGTATTTAAAATTTATTATTTTATATACAAAACATCAAATTAGATATTTATTTATATAAATATCCAATTTTCATTCAAAATTTCATCGTTCTCAAACTCCAAATCCCTTAAAAAACACATCTAAAACATAAAAAAGACATTGAAAAACTGCAATTTTGATCAAATTACCTGAGTCAGCAATGGTTTTCCCATGAAATGGCATTCCAAGTTGGCTACAACAAGGTCAGCCATGGCTTTCGCAGTTTCGACGGTATCGCTTCCAACATGAGGCAGCAAAACAACATTTTCCATCTCGAAAAATGCTTCAGAAACATGCGGTTCATTTTCAAACACATCGAGTCCAGCCCCAGCCAACCTACCCTCCCGCAATGCAGAAACTAGCTCCGGTTCATCTACATGTGCCCCCCGTCCGATGTTGATGAGAACCCCTTTTGGTCCCAGGGCATCGATCACCTCCCGGTTCACAATGTGCCTCGTTTCTTCAGTCAGGGAGCACGAAACAACGAGAATATCGCAGTTAGCAGCCAAGTCGAGCACGCTGGAGTAGTACTTGAAGTTTGTGCCGTCTTTCTTTTTTCTGGAATGGTAACCAATTGTGCAGCCAAACGCCTCGGCCCTTTTAGCTATCGCCAAACCAATCCTGCCCAATCCAATTATCCCAATCGATTTACCGCTGAACTGGAAATGTACAAAACCAATAACTCAATAACCCTTCCGAAGATACTAATTGGCAATTGATTATCAATAAACTCACAAATCGACAAGATGTTATTGAAGTTTAGCCGAATAAGTCCAACTACACAATTTTATTTCCCATTTAACTGAAAATGGACATGAATTTGACAAAGAAAGTATGAATGCAAAGAACTGATCAACAGATTCGAACTTTCTAGTCAAGTAACTGGCAATGGATAAGAAATTCTTGAAGCAATAAGCTAAATGATTGTCTCGTCTAAAAACTTAAGCTATCAATGCATTAATTTCATACCTATTCATGTTTCTTTACCCATTTTTACAGGGAAACCAAGATCTACTATCCATCAATTCATGACAATGGAATCCAAAAACAACCCTTTCACATGCATCATCTTTGATCTGTTCATAACTAATTCTTTCTACCACAGAGTATGAATGTTAAAAGCCATCCAGCCTAATTCAATGTGAGGACTTAATATGTAAAGGAGATCAAACAAAAACAAAGCCCAAAATCTATAGATAACATATGTCCAGCAATGTGAAGAGCAACTAGACACATATGTAGTTGTAAACCCTAATTAGAAAATCCAGAACATAATTGAATGTGATTATATTACCTATATATAACCTACGAAGGGCAGAGCAAAATCAAGAACTGTGTAGGATCACAAACCTTAGAAGCCAATTCAAATTTCCCATTCCTCCAAGATCCATTCCTGACAAACCGATCGGACGGGCAAATTTTCCTCAGAGTAGCCAATGCCAGCCCAATTGCAATGTCTGCGACATCATCGGTCAGAACGTCTGGAGTGTTGGTAACCCTAATTCCTCTCTCTTTGCACTTGCTCAAATCGATTTTATCCAGCCCTACGCTGTAGGTCGCCACGATTTGCAGGCGTGGCAGCGCGTCGATTAAATCCGTGTCAGCGCCGATCGTGGCGTTGCCCACCACTGCTATTACTGATTCGGCGTGCCTAGCAAAGAAATCGGAGTTCGAAGGGAAAGTCCAGAGCTTGAAGAGATTGAAACGCTGGAGAAGCTGCTGCTCGAGGTAATCGGACATCGGACAAGTCATCAGCACGCCCGCATTCTCCATTGTCGTCCCCATTTCTCAGCCTGGAAGCCATGGACCATGGTTGCCGCCTGAAATATCTCCAAAAATTGGGCCTGCCAAAATATATATAGTCAACCATGGTTAGCCCTTAGGGCCCTTCTATAAAAAAGCCCATAACTTTTGTAGATAGAAATTGAAATATACAAATGATTCAGACAATAATTTAAATGCAAAGAACACCAAATAGCTATTCAGCTGTTGACACCTAATCATGGTAATGCCCAAATCACAGTTGAAACAATCCATTCCAGAAATCCCAATGTATGTAAATTAAATATTCATATGTTAGAATATATATATATATATATATCTTAGTATATGCCTATGCTTCAAATTGCAAATTGTAATAAATTTCTGAAACTAATCCTAATTTTGGAATATGTGAATAATTTACCAAAGAGCTTCTCACCGTCGAATATTACTATAGTTTGTTTTCTTTCTTCCTGCAAAAAAATAATGACCCTCCAGAGTCAAAATTAAAACGTTCCATTTCAAGATATGCACATAAAGAAACAAAAGAATGATTGCATGGAACAGAATAAACCCGTGTCTGCTTATAGCCAAGACTTATCTGAATGATCTGTCTTAATTCTTTAATCCTATTCTGAGACATGCAACCCACTTTCTTCCAACAATTCACGTCTTCAAGAAAATTAAGCAAATAAACAAACCAAAGAAAGAGAAATAAACAGCTATTACCGAATCAGAAGGTCGCATTTTTTTTTCTTTCCTGCAGCTTTTTTTTCCCTTTGCGCACCTGAAAAACCAATCATCATCTCCTCCATATCCTTATTACAGAAGATCTATCTATCTCCATTCCCCCTCCCGAGTTTGCATTTCTGTTCGAACCCATTTAGGAACAGAGAATGGTGTCAGCTGAGGAGGAGGAATTAGAAATCTACAAATCCCGGTTGGATAATCTGACATCAATGTATGAAGATGAGGGGAGACAGAGCAGGAGCATGGTTATTGACAACACTGGCTCGTTGTCCCCGGCCGATGGTGATCGGACGATGTCCAAAAGCTCTGCTTGTGAATCCCTGCAAGATAATGAACAGCCCAAAATCAAAACAAGTACATCACACCCTGTTGTAAGAGATAGGCTTGCAGGTAAGGAAGAAATCAATCATCTTAAATAATCTTATTCTGTTTCTTGATCCTCTTTTTCTGGTTGATGTAATTACCAGATATGGAATTAATGAAGGAAAGGTTTTCAAAGATGCTTCTTGGTGAGGATATGTCTGGTGGGGGTAAAGGTGTTTCGTCGGCTCTGGCATTATCAAATTCAATTACTAACTTAGCAGGTAAATGATGGGATTCACAAGAATGCAATTGAGCAACACAACAAATCTTTATAGTTTTGAAACTCTAAGGTCTTAATCTTGATCCTTGTCTTTTGATTGAGTTTCAGCTTCCGTATTCGGAGAACAGAGAAGATTAGAGCCTATGGTACCAGAGACCAAAACAAGATGGAGAAAAGAGATCGATTGGCTCTTATCTGTCACAGATCACATTGTTGAGTTTGCTCCAATGAAACAAACGTCGAAAGATGGAACTACTATGGAGGTATCTATATCCTCACCCTCGTTCATTCCCCGTGTTTTTTTCCTGATCTTTGTACTGACCAAATATGTTCTTTTCTAGATTATGACAACAAGACAGAGAAGTGATCTCCGCATGAACGTTCCTGCCTTACGCAAGCTCGATGCAATGCTCCTAGTAAGAGCCGATTTTCCATAGATTCATGTCTCGAATTAATGGACTTGTTGGTTGGCATGGGTTATTCATAATCCGATGTCTAAACCTGGACAGGATTGCTTGGACAACTTCAAAGGCCAAACTATATTCTATTATCCATCAAAGCATGATGAAGAATCCCAGAAAGGAACACCACCAACAAGACAAGATGATAAATGGTGGATTCCCAAACCTAAGGTCCCCTCGAATGGTCTGTCTGATGCCGGAAGAAGTTGGCTGCTAAACCAGAAGGATGCAGCAACCCAAGTATTGAAGGCTGCTATGGCAATAAATGCTCAAACCCTGACTGAAATGGAGATTCCAGAAAGCTACATAGAATCCCTGCCTAAGGTATGGAAAATCTTAAAGATGATTCCTCCTTGAGAATTAGAAATTTAGATGTGTTAAATGTTAATCTCCCTTTTTTATGCATAACAGAGCGGGAGAGCAATCCTTGGAGAAACTATGTACAGATACATTACAGAAGAATACTTCGATCCAGACTATTTTCTGACTTCTATTGACTTGTCGTCCGAGCATAAGATAGTCGACCTTAAAAACAAGCTGGAAGGATTAGTGGTGATTTGGACAAGGAAACTGCATTGCAAGGATACAAGGTCTTCTTGGGGTTCAGGTGTTAGTGCAGAGAAGAGAGAGATTTTCGAAGAAAGAGCAGAGTTGATTTTGCAAATGCTGAAGCAAAAATTCCCTGGACTTCCTCAATCAGACCTAGAAATCTCCAAAATCCAATTTAACCAAGTAAGACCTTTTATTTTGTAAAATTCTATGTGATCCTGCATTGGCAAGAGAATTCAATATTTTCATGGTTTTGCAGGATGTGGGGCTGGCAATTCTTGAAAGCTATTCAAGAATTATAGAAAGCTTGGCTCACACAGTATTGTCAAGAATCGAGGATGTCATGCACGCCGACACTTATGCTAAAACTCCGAGTATAGAACATAGAAGGTTCTCCTTTAAAAGGCCCTCATTTGTGAAGCCACCACAGAGGGTTCAATCTGTGACAGAAGATGATTCTAGTCATACACCAACATTGTTTGACATGATGGGTTGGAACACCAATGACCAAGATAACGAAATGGAAACGGATCTTCAAGATGAAGATGATCCAAAACAACTCAACAAATTTTCTAACATTGTCACAGACAATAAAGTATCCTACACAGAGAGAGTAGAGAGTTTAGGTGGTCTTCGAAGCCCAACGGCACGTCACTAGGATTCTTCTATTCGACAAGACTTACATGCATTTTGGACTTGTACATAAACAGGAAAAATCATAACAATTTTCTATCAAGTCGAAGTCCTCATTCTGCACTCTTTAGTCATCCCTGATCAGTTCATTCATTATTCTTACATTGGTAACTGCATCTATCCTATCACTGAGCATACCTGTAAACTAAATTTCATGTGCAGCATACATTCTAGTCTCCAATGTCCAACTAAGAGATTGAAATGGCAGTTTGAATTAGATACAACTATTGAAGCTAAACTAATACATTTCTGTCATAAAATCCTACAGAACTTCTCAAGCAAGACGATTAGCATATGAAAGCCATTCATTAAGTATTATTGCATCATAATGAAAAACTAATCAGAGTTACAAAAACAGCTGAGATAAGCTTGAAGACGTGTAGATTCAAACATATGATTGATCAAATACAACAAACAGATAGAAGAATAGCTAGATTATGATCAACAGAGAAACGCTGGAGAAAGGCGCAGCAAACATATCGATGAAAAATCGATGACGAATTTCAAAGCCACAACAATCATACCTCAGGATCACATATAATTTGGCAACTAATTCATAGAGTTCGCAATAACCACGTTCAATGCACAGATAGCGTCAGAAATTCACCTGTTTCAAATGCCTGTCATCCTAAATCCGGACTCCTCTACGCTCTCCGCGTGCTCCTCTGTAATCAAGGCTTAGCGATCGTTGCAAGGAACATCCTCCGCTGTCAGCCACCGGAGCGGAGCCATGAAGATGCTGAAGAATTCAGGCCCAAATCTACAACCGACTGGGCCCAACATTCTGAGCCCATTTATAATTGACCCATGGAAGACTATCCTTTTATGGTGTAATAAATGCTACTGCTTTCCTTTTGCGTTTGTGGTGCTCCAAACGGCTTCTGTCTGCGTCTCTGTAGCTTCGAATTTCTGGGTAAGGTAAGCTCAAGCGCTCGCTTCTTATACTTTCAGAGCATAGCTTGAATTCCTGGACAGTGGAGCTTAAATTCATCTCCTTTTCAAAGCTTTTTGGTGTTGGTGGTTTCAGATGGCTTCTGTATTGACAAGGCTGCCTTGCCTGCCAATGATGGTGGTGAATGGAAGACACCCCTATTTGGGGACACTTAAGAAATTGGCAATGCCGATTGTTAGAGGTAATTCTCGATTTACTTGTGAGTGATGCTTCTAACATATATTGTTGTCATTTGTTTCTGCTGATTGTATTGAATTCGAGTGTACTGTCCAAGAAATATTAAGGCAATGGTGTTTGTAGATAAATTATGGAATTACACGTAGTTTGAATTGAAAGTGTGGCCTGGAGGATGAAGCTCAGCCATGGAGGACAGGCACTTAACGGACTCTGAAATTTGATTATTCTGTTCCTCGTGGAAGCTCTAGTGATTTTGAAATTGAGTTTTGCTTGAAACTGATTGAATTTCTTGAGTTAGGAAATGCATGGGATTTCGAAAAACTGGTCGCAATGCTAGATTGATTGAAGGTATATTATGAAAGTTATGGTGATTACTGATTAGGGTTCTTCCCTTAAATTTAGAGTTTGAACCTAAGCAGTGTGGTTAGCAGTTGAAAATACTCTTCACTGCATCCTAAACTAGGATTGTAAACTAATCGAATCAAATTGAATATCTGCTTTGGAATTCGAATCACAAAATTTGAATCTAACAAAATTATTTAATACGATTATAACCCTTTCATAAACATGATAGAATGGAAGAGTTGCAGAGACATGATTTTACCAAGTACCTAAACAATGTCTCGCATACAAAAATCTTCAGATTGGGAATGGAGAAATTGGAATAAGGAACTTTAGTCTTGGATTTTATGAAATTGGAATGACTGACCTTGGAAATCTTATTAGTATGAAAGATTTTTCAAGTAGAATGTAGTTAACTCGAGATGGATTCACAACGTCGCAGAGAGACAGAATCGCTTCGAAGTAGCAACCAAAGCAACAGATAAAAGCTCGGAAACTTCAATTATCAAGTCTGTTCAAAATGTTGTAAGTTCTACACCCCTCTATTTCTCCCAGGGCTCTATGTCAAATTTTCTAACCGTATTCGCCTATATTTTTACTCAATTTTTCTTTAAATTCGCTAATACAGTATCGTTTATTGCCACTAATCATTTACCATTTTTAACTCATTTAACTAGTGGGATAAACCGGAGGATCGGCTGGGCCTGATAGGATTAGGATTTGCTGGCGTTGTAGCTTTGTGGGCTACAATAAGTCTCGTTACGGTAACTCCACAATTTCTTATTGAACTTCCACAATTTGGTTTTCTTGTATTTAACATTAACTTACTACTTCTTATGTTAAATTTTTTGTTCGAATTCTTGAAAATGTCCATGCAGGTCATCGAAAAGTTCCCTCTTGTCCCAACTATACTCGAGCTCGTTGGAATATTGTTTTCTTTGGTAAGTGAAAGAGATTTTACTCAACAATTCATTGTCAACACCATTATTCTACGAGTCGAGCTCCTAACTTGTTGCTTTCTACGTCTAGTGGTTCATAAACCGGTATCTCTTATACAAGCCTACCCGGTAAGGCATTGCAATTGTCCGATCAAAGGCTTGACATGAAGAAACCTGTTACGCTAACACCAAAATTTCTTTTGCGCTTTCGATTGTAGGCAAGAGCTTTCTCAGGTGATCGGCAAAGCAATATCGGATATCCTCGGGCAATAATTCGAAGGCCGGATCGAGCTACCGGCTTCCGGATGCTTTGCTGTATAAGTTTCTTGGCTTTTAGCAGGCAAATGATATGCTCGTATGGAGTTGTTACATCTATTTTTGTGTTATGTATAAGTTGCATCTTCTTTATGGTGTTTGATGCACTATTATATATTTGAAATTATAGTAATTCTTTTAAATAGACATAATATTACATATATATCTTTGTTGTCTAAAATCATATGTACTTACATCGGTAAAAGTTTAATAAAATAAGTTTTTTACATAATATTGTAAGCTTTCATAGCTCAGTTGGTTAGAGCACCCGTTTAGTAAGCGGGAGGTCTTGAGTTCGACTCTCAATGAAAGCATTTTTTAAACCTTTTCTGAATTGGGTATTCATTACTTTAAAATAAAAGAAGTGGCATAATTATTGAAGATTTTTATAATTATAATGAAAAAAAGGGTGCAAGCCTTTTGGGTAGTGGAACGGCGGTGCATGAGATTATCAAAATAAGTTGTGCACTATAAAACCAACCAACGTAATCAATATATATATTAAACGCCACTGCTTTATGGTTATGGGTATGAGGATGACGCATTTATGACGTCATAATGGCGTAATAAGGGCCTTTCTTAAAAAATATTTATGTAAGCAGACTTGCTAAGCATAAAAGGGTTATCACGTCATTATTGACTAGTAATATCAATGAATGTCAAATATATATATAATTATTAAACAATTGTAAAAGTACTTGAAGAAGCAACTAATGAGATGAGTTAGTCAGAGAGCCTAAGCTTCCTAGAATAGCTGCTGCTGATGTTATTACAGAGCAGCTCTGTGTTCGAATATGATGAAACGACGTCGTCCCTCCTTGCATTGCGGAATTCAGAAGCCTCCGCCGGCGCCGCCGCCGGAGCCCAGAAATCGGCGGCGCTGTCGTCGGCCACGTGTTGGGTGCAGGAGATGGGAACTAGACACAGCCCTCTGCTGGTCAAGTCCTGTACATTAAATAACATCCATATGTATATTTCTTAATGCTATTAATAACGGCAACTTTTTATATAATGTAATAATAATACTACAAATTAATAATAATTGGAAAGGACCTTTTTTTTTTTTTTTTTTAATATCATTAATCTAAAAATAATTAAGAAAAATGTATCCAACAAAACTTAGGGGCAAAAAGATAATATATATATATCAAATTAAATTATACTCCTATTAACTAAGTAAAAAAATCATGCCAAATTAAAGTAAATTCCAAGCAAATAAAATGGGATGGGTGTAGTTTTAAAGTTGAATATAAATGAAAGAAGTACCTGAATAGGGTTTCCTCTGCCATCCATATTCATATGCTCATTCATGAACTAACAAAAATAATTAAATATGTTGAAAACAAAATATTTTCTAAATTTTAGAATAAAAAAATGTTGATTATATTTGAATATAAAAATATAAATTAACATATATTTAATCATTCTTGATACATTAACTTACAGAATGGTGGTGAACAATTGTGTTTGAACTTGGCATGTAAGGAGAGCTCAATGCCTGAAAATTGAACCCATGTTTGAAATTAATTATTTAATAATCTGATCAATAATTTATAATCTTCATCAATTATTAAAATATTATTTAATTAATTAAAGAGAAAGCATTTATCTTTTATAACCCCTTTTTTTTTTTTTTTTTACTCTCTGAAATTAATTAAATTCAGAAGTGTATATATACCTCAATTTGAGACTGGAGGAATCTTATGTAGCCAATGGCTTCGGACAGCACAGAAGCTGTATCAGTCTGCAAGAATATTGTATTTTGTCTTGAAATTTAAAATTTATATAAATGCTACGTAAGATTTTAGAATGAATAATATAAATTTACAACAATACCTCAAAAGATCAAACAATAATCAATAAAAATGACAAGATGAAAATAATAATCAAACATTTATCTAAGCCTTAGCCCTTATTTTCGAACTATTTATGTGTATATATATATATATTCTCTAAAAATATTACATCGAAGATACCATTTTTTGTTATTCAAATTATCATATCTAATTTCTATTTACTTCACATTCAATACATTTTTTTTATTTACATTTTTACAGTTCACAAAACAATAATTATACATAACTATGGAGGAAACCTTTAGATCATGTTTGGTTTGATAAATTTAGATTTTGATTTTGATTCATAATGCATGAATTTATATAATTTCATATTTAAAATATATCGAAATTCAAATCATTGTTCAGATATTATCAATATTACAAAAAGTATATACATGAGTACTGTTAAAAAGAATTCAAGAAAATTAACTTTAAATTTACATTCGACCAATTTTGTACTATATATCATATTGAAAGCTAGTAATGAATTTCGAAAAATTAAAAATTAGGTCGATTAAATTTAAGTTACTCAAATTTAAACTACCCTATTTTATTTTGTTTTATGGTTAAGAAAAGATAGCTAGTGGTGGCCGCCTAATGTAATAATTGATGTATAGGAAGGAATAATATATTGCTCAAATAAATTAAATAAAATACCTTTCCAAAAGGGGAAACTAGTTGGTGAAGTGCTGTTATTCTGTTCCCTAATTTCTCCTTCCTCACCTATCATCGTATTCATACATGCATTCGAATTTTATTTCCAAATTTGGAGTATTAATTTATAATTAAAATGGTGATGTAATAAGGAGATTTAAATTATTTAATTATCACCTTGAGAGCTGGCTGTGCTGAAGAGTGTTGTACCCTAGGCTTCTTGGGTTGCACCCAACCATTCCCTTTGCTCTTGCACTTTTTTTTTTTTAAAAAAAATAAGAAGCCATTGATATGATTATTAATTAGCAAGAAGAACAAATAAAAATGATCAAAAACTAAGAAATTTTAATTTTTAAATTAATAATTATGTAGTTGATTATCTACCTGATCAGGATGATCACTGTTCTGGCGTCTCTTCCCTGACGGCGGCGGCAGAGCGGCGGAGGAAGGGATGGTGAAGGCTGGTGAAGAAGTTTTGCTGGAACATGAATCGTTTGGGGAAGAAATCAATGGAGGCCAGGTGGAATTATTGTTTGTAGTATTGGTCTGATCGATGAGGTTGAGATTGTAATAAGTAGTGGATAATTGATTAGATTGAGGTGGAGTGAATAATAGTTTTTCTTGCTTCACATCATCGTCATCTGCAGAAACCCTAATCAAATTATCAGATGGATTCATATCCAAAACTTGATGATGATGATGATGATGATCCTCCCAATTATCTTCGTCTCCACCTGCCAATCCTCCCCTAATTCATCAAAATTAAATCATCAAATTGATCAGCTAATTAATTAATCAATTGATAAATTCCACGTATACATACAGATACATATATATATATATATACAGAGAGAGAGAGAGAGAGGGTTTACAGAAGGAGTTGGCTCCAAGACCTAATTGCAGGAAAATGATGAGCAGAAGAAGAAGAAGAATGAGAGGATGATTGTGAAGAGTGAAGCATGCCCCAGAAATGATTAGGGTTTCCAGCCATCAATAATTAATTACGAACACCAACAAGAACACGAATTAATTCAGCAATCAATCCCCAAATTAAATCAGAAACCCTAATTCCCCTTTCTATTAAATAATTTGTTTAATTCAGCAGCAGGAACACGAACACGAAGACGATCGACACAGTGGTCTTCTTATAAAACAAAACTCCCGAATATAATGATGATTTGCTCAGACGACCTTTAATTCGAACACGCACAGCACACAGCACACAGCAGCTGCTTTAATTAATTAATTAATTAATATCCAATTAGAGTTTACCTTCATTTTCTCTACTCATTTTCTATGGAGTATATACCAAACAAGCCTCTCTCTCTAGCTAACTATACATACATGCATACATATATATATATATATGGGTGAACTTTCGTTACTAAATAAATAAATAATACGTATTCTTAATAACTTAAATATTTAGTTAAGACAATGATTTTGAATTATACATTATTCACGTGCAAGATTCGTATCCTTAATAGCTTAAACTCGATAGACAATCTATATTTGATGTAATATTATATATATATATATAGTTAATGAATCGATAGTTAATAAAAAGAAAATATTGGGTTGAAATCTCATTTTAGGATAAAATCATTTTTAGCTATTTTGAAAATTGCTAAACTAAACACCCTCAATTTGTACCATACAATTCACAATAATTTATATTTTTTTAAAAATAATACTCCTTCCCTCTCGTTGAAAGGTTACCATTTTTTATTTTCGTTTGTCCCAAAACAAGGTTACTATTTCCAATTTAGTAATTGTACTACCTACTTAACATAATAAATACACTTTCAACTTATAATATATTACACAAATGTCATTATTTTTATATTACACCATACTAATAAGGGTATTTTTATTTTTTTTACTACAATCTAATATAATACTAATAGTAAAAAATTTACTTGCAAAAAGCAATGTCATCTTTCCAACGGGACGGAGGGAGTATTATATATATATTTATCTATTTTATTAAAAATTGCATAATTCTTCTTCTTCTTCTTTTTTTTTTTTTTATCAGGTCATTCGATATATGCTGAAAAGATTGTTGCTTTGAGTAAGGCATTTGTTCTGCTTTTCTGTATGCATTATGTTTTATTTAATTACTTGATTACTTAAGATTTAGTGTTCATAAGTTTTTATTATTCAATTGAATAAAATTTAATCTTTCTTCAACATTTTATAATTTGGCTATTTCGCCTTGAAAACTCAAATCAAAATAATTTTTTACTATTTAATTAACATAATTTTTAATGAAAATATATTATTTTTTTAGAAAAAACATTTTATCAAAATAATGACTCAAACCTAAATACAAACCAAACAAATTCGATATTCCGTGTTTTTTTTTTAGGTGAAATAATTTATATATATATATATATAACTTTTATATATTCTTATTAAAAACAATAAAATTGTTATAGAAAAAAAAAAAAAAAAAACTTAGCATTGTATTTATATATATAGCGGGTGTACTAGTACTATATAAAGTTTTACATATTCATAATTAATTAATTAATTGTGTTTTTTAATGACATAATTAATTACAGTGAGTTTGGCATTAGAGCAATGAATAAAAAATAAATAAATAAAAGGGGCTTTAGGGTTTTGGCAGTCGTTTTCTTGTTGACATCAAATATTAAACTAAGTACAAAAATGATATTGCTAATCTACTCTATCAATATTTTATAATTAAAATACCAAAAGGAGAATATTTATTTGTTTTGCAAGATGCTAAAATATTAATTTAAGACTTTCCCCTATTTAATTATATGGTCGCCACCCCCCTACTATATTCAATATTCTTTCAAGATTTATTTATTTATTTCATAAACTTTTACTTGCATGTTTTTATTATTATCCTTTTAAAATTTAATAATATATACATATAGGTTGTTTCAATTAGTGCTATAGTGTCTGTGTTTCTCGAGGTTTTCCACTCGACTAGAATTAATGAAGAAATTTTACAATCAATTATTATTTAATTTGTGCAAAATTTTTCAAGATTTTAAATAAAAATAATTAATGATAAAAATCATGAATCAAATGGATATATTGCTGCTAAACATTAATTTAATAAAATTTATTCGGATTATTTTATTGGACACGGTTGTATTATGTCCATCTCTTAATTTGCTCCCATCAAAATTTATAATTATAACATTAGCAAAAAACTAATTGTAACGTAATTTTAATTTAAATTTTATAAAAAGACCAATTATGATCGTTTTATTTAATTTTCTAACTGAATCATCATCATGATTTTTAGGCACTCTAAATATAATTTACCTATTCTTTTCAGCAAATTTGTCAGATACATATATGCACACTTACAGGTCCAGTCTTGATCATCTTGAGTGTCTTTATTTCATATTTATAATTTTAAGTGTTTTATTGTTTAGATATATATATATATATATATATATAAAGCATAAGGATATTTTATATGTTTTCATTAACTTTTATTTGTTTTTTACTTTTGTTAACTATTATTATTATATACTCTCTCCGTCCCACAAAATATAGGACTATTACAGTAGATACGAGAATTTAGATAAAGTATAATTAGTAAATAATTAAGACGTGTATTAGTAAAAATAATTATTTAATAATAAAAATAATTATAGATTAAGATTAAGATAACTAAATAGTTTAATTAAGATTACAAAAATTATAAAATATAAAATTTAAAATATGATTAAAGTATATAATCGTATTTCCTAAAAAAGAAATGATGGAACGAACAAAAATAGAAAATAAGAATAAATTATATGAGACGGAGGAAGTAGTAATATTTTTAAAATTATATAAAAATAAAATATTAAGTGTACTATATATTATCTTCGTCCAACTTCAAAGTCCAATTTACTTTTTGTACGTGATCTTTAAATATTAATTTTTATATAAAAATGTAGTACAAATTTTTTTTTAAAAAAAAATACTTCTAATGTTAAGTTACGCAAAAGTTAAATGTGAAACTGAGACGAATAAGGGAGTATATTGTATCAAATGTTTATATGTATATAAATATAATATCCTTTCAAACACATACCGTCAAAAAAGTTGCATGGAAGAATTTTAAATTTTAAATATGTTAAATAAAAAGATAACTGCTAAAATATTTTATATTTTTCCTAACAAACCAAATTAAATACTACAGTAATTTTTTATTATTTATTTATTTTTTAAAATTTTAAGAATCTTTCACAATACTTTTATCTAAACGGAGCGGGTACCATCCCCACAAATAGTGATGTAACGATGCATTTTGGATTTCTGTAAGCCATAATAATAGCCACGTGCATTATTGTCCAATTCACAACAAATACAATACAAGGGCTACACTACACTACCGGTTAGGATAACAAATATTTATATATATAAAAATAATAATAAAAAAATAAAATAAAATTGCTGAACAAAATACACATAAATAAAATTTCCCCCGATTATGTTAAAATTTCTGCAAAGATAACAGTAAATTATACAATTAATTGTAAATAGAATATTCCCTGCATTTATATTAAAATATTACTAGTATGATCATTTTCACCCTAACAAGCTTCTTCTAAAGAACAAATTCTGACCAGAAAACAATTTAGGCATTTGAATTCTGTGTTTGTGCTTCACAACAACAATACACAAATAAGACATACATATATATATATATATCATTTTACCTGAAATTACCACTTACTTTTACCACAGAGCCTCATCAATAACAACCATCTTCTGCTTCTGCTGGCCTGTAAGTTTCGACCGCAAAAGATCGATTTACAATCGAGAACTGTAGATTGTTTTCTGGAACTATCGATTCTGGTAGAAGACATGAAAAAGGCGTAATCGGAGGGGAAAAAATTGAGCCCAGAAAGCTATAGCATATATATATAGAGAGAGAGGTAAATATTTGATATTCATTTGGACAATGGAGTGGAGCAGGAATTTGCTTCATCAAAGAATCGTGTTTTCTTACTAGGGATCGATGGCGGAGTGTGGATGCTCTTCCTAGATTGTTCGGTTGTTTCGATGTATTCTCAGTGAGGCACATTGTCGGAATTTCCTACATGGCGCTGCATAGCAACAACAGGCTCGTTGCACCGGGAGCATCTGAATGACGTCGTGGCTGCAGAACATCTTGTCTGAAGACAGTAGTAGCAATACCTGCCCGTAGATTTTGGTTTGATAAAGACGACAGTTTCTGGTAAGAAAACATTTGGGAACTTTTCAGACAATGTAGCGAGAATTCGATGAAGTTACCTGTGTTGACACGGGAGCGCTAAAAATGGAGTGGTTGGGGTGGCATGGCAGAGGGGGCATAAAGCATCGTCTCCCTCTGAGTTCGATGATTTATCTTTGGAGAATGGGCGGAGGAAATTTTTAACTGACGACGAATTGAGGAGTGGGAGAAGCAACAGCAGCATTTCCTGCACGCATCATGCTTAAGAATCTTAACTACGAAATCGAAATCTTAACTTGACTCTTAAAGAGGTGAGGGAAGTTACCGAAAATTCATTCCAAACCAACTGTCGATTCATGTATTCGAAGCTTACAGCTCGATTCATATTAGGGCTTCCATAGACGAGTCTTGCCTTTAAGGCCCTCTCGACAAGATTCCTATACCTGCGAGCAATTAATAACTCCAAATTTATTCCTAGTCCTAATTCGTTCTCAATGGAAGAAAAATCTTTCGGAAAACCCCCAATTATGCTCACAGCTGGCTCATCGATGCAGCCAAAACCATTATCAGTTATCAATAAATATATAATCTTCATTGATCAAAGAAATTTATGCAAATTGCTTTGTCGACATAACATTGACAGAGGAATATGGAATGCCATAGTTGGGACATGCAAAATGATTTTTAAAAAATAAACATATCTACCTTCCTGTAACAAGAAATAAGAGTAGATTTCCGAAAGATGCAGCCTTATAGAATCCTTCAATTTTTTGCAATAAGAACCAGCTCCAACGAGCTAGTGACCTCTGGAGGAACGAAAAATTAGCCTGTCAGTTTCTTTGTGCAGTATGAACCATGAACAGAGTTTGATTTTAGAGATACATGAAACTTAATCCTAACTGCAGACATACATTTCATTATGTGTGAGAAATGACCGCGTGCAACAAGAAACTGTTATTTCATATTGCGGAGATGAGCCATACCTGTTCTGTGTTACCCCATCTACGAAAAGCAGAAAATGATTGAAGGCGTGACCATATATATTGACCACCGACAGTAGCAATGCAGTACCACATTTTCTGAGAAGCAGTTAATCCCGGCCCTTCTAATCCCGTTCTAACTACAATTACATATAAAAAGATATAGTCATTGAATTTAAAGGTTTGAGCATTTGATCGAATACAGATAGCAAAAACAATCGATCATCAAAGATACAGTAAATGAAGTATGTGTTCAGTTTCATCACAACTAGGACTTGGAGGATACATGTTCAAAAACCTAATCAGCTTACACGATTCAACAGCAACCATGGAAATAAGAAGTGTCAGAGCATATCCGGCAGGCAAATAATTCACAGCAAGGGATTTTGTAACCATAAATTGATCAATTCAGCAATGCAGATCATCGGAAAACCACTGACCTTTCCCGGTTACTTCAACTGCACGTTCATCTCTATACCTCAAATTCATGAGAGCATTACCGGGAGTAGGCTTGTCAACCCATATGGAAAATCGCCATATAAGAAATTCGAGAAAAGCATCAAGTTCGGGTTCATATTGAAATAGAATTCCTGGCTAATCCCAAAAAATGGAAAGGATAAATGGAAATGCCCAACAGATTCTTCAAATTTTCATCGATCTGAACTGATGTTCTAGCAGAACAGCACTTACCTTCATCAAAGAAAAAACTTTAACCAACTGTTCTTTCAGCATGGCCGACATTTCGATATCTAGCCTTGCAGCATCAACCTGATTAACTCTGGATATATCAATTGGGATCATTACCTAACAACATTAACCCAGAAACAACATCAGTTCGTCGAATATTTATCTTTCCCCAAACCTCCCACCCCCAAACAAAACCACAAACACGGCCGGATACCATCCAACCTAATATCTTTCATTTACCATTCTAGCCTGGAAATTAGAATAATGCTTTACATAAAACCCCACATTTAACAATTAATGCATCACTCGAACTTTCACAAAAGCAATTCATATTCCATATAGTGATAAGAACGACAAGATATTTAGCCATTACAACACTAACAGGAATAGTTGTACTCAAATTTGGGGCATTATCTCTTAATTAGATAGTTATAATTTTGCAACAAACTATGAACAGATAGTCTCCTCTATTTTCTGACGAAAACAAATTTGTTTCCAAATTAAAAAACACGAAATCCAAACCAATGAAATAACTACCATTACCATAAACGCAGAATTCACCACACAAAATTCAAGCCACAACGCAAATTAACCCCAATTAAGTAACCGAAATAACAACCCTCGCCACCGCAATATAAAAGGGATTCATTTCTGCTCAGCCAAAGTACAAAAGAAACGACAACTACAGAGAGCCATTGAATCAGGGGAATTTGTTTTTTCCACTTTACCCGGCTGGCAGAGGAAACTGATTCCCACTGAGGGAATAACTTGAGATAAGTAGTAATCCAAGCATCTTGCGGCGGCGAAGGGTTGGCGGAGTCACGACTGGATGATGAAGACGATGAAGCTAGGGTTTGTCCATCCATTAATTCTTCGTAAAAGGGGCTTATACTACAATTGTTTTTGCAGAAGAATTGAAGAACAAGGAATGAAGATTTTGATGGCAATCGGGTGATGCGTTTATCACCTGGGAGAACTCAATCGCGGCTGCGGCTGCTCTTCGTCACCACGCAGCTGTCGAATTGTACTGAACCGGACGGTTCTTTTTGTACAGAGGTTGGATTAACTGCTATTGAATTATTATAAAATGGTAGGGGTATTTTCGTCTTTTGACATATAGGGTGGGTAATCCCGCATCTCAAGGGCGTTGAACGTGAAACTTTTTTTAGGATTAGATATGATTTCATGATATGCATACCGAGTTGTTTGTTTTCATTATTATGATTTTTGTTTATGAAATTTAGTATTTAATAAACACTCTAAGTGAAGATTAAATGAAAATTAAGCATTTTTTTAAATAAATAAATAACTCCTACATTCATCTATAATTGATGAAACAATTAATGGAGTAAAAAAATCTCCCTCATTTATATTTATTTCTAAAACAAAAAGTCCACTAATTAAAATGATTGGCATGGACTTTTAGAGTTTGTTTGTTTTTTATTTCAGAATTATTTTATTTTATTCAATTATTACGATTTAAATAAAATCTTTATTTTATTTTTATTTTTTTACAAAAACATCACATTACAGTGAGTGCTATTATAACTAAAATTTGAATTAAAGTCTCAAAGTCAAATTAAAATGGAAAACAACCTTATGCATTGTGTAAAGCGTTGAAATTCCATTGAATATTACGTTAACTTTTAGTATAATAGATTAGTCGCATTAGGATGATTAATAAATTAAGGTAACAAGATGACACGTCACAAATTATTTATTAATATCATTTTTCACTAGCACAATTGAAATGCTTTCTCTTATTGGGACTACAATGTTATTTTATTTAATTATGCAAATTAAAATACTAATATTTTAAAATAAGTAAAAAATAAAATATATATTATATAAATTATTAAATATAAAAACTAATAAAATTAGGTATAAATTTAACGGAATGAGCAACATTGATCGGTAAATATCTTCAAATAGCATACACGTAATTGGAATAAAATTTTATATTAAAAAAAAAAAAAAAAAAGTGAATATCAGCAACAAAACAAAATCAAATCTGAAACTTTCAATTGACGAAATTACCCTTGTAAATACTCTCTACTTCTTTAGCCAATGACACCTCACCTAACCGCCTCAAGCCTCTGCTGAAAACCCTCCCCAAATACTCGTCCATTTCGCATCCACTGCTCTTCACCATCGCGTAAATCCTGACCGTCGATTCTCTCCTCCCGGCGCCGACCACCGCCTTCACCAGCCGCAGCACCGCCTTGCCGTTTCCGCGCCGGATTCCGCCGTCCTGCTCCAATTCGTCGACCAGTGAATCGATTTGCTCGGCCAGTCCATTCCTGGCCAGCGCAGCGGCGAATTCGGCGTACGCGCTGAGGTCGGCGCCGTGCTCCGATCGGAGAGTGGAGAAAACTCCGGCGGCGATGTCCCAGTGGTCTTGCCGCAGAAGCTCGTGCATCGCCGAGGTGAGGTCGGCTTTTATAAGGCGGGTGAGGATGTGAGTGGGGAGATTCGCTGGATCGATCCTGTGCGCTCGTTTCAGCGATTGGATGGCTTGGATTGCTTCGGTGCTGAGAATCCGACCTTTCATGATCGGCGGACGATTGTCGCGTGGACCGCATCGGACGGCGGCAATGCGGCGGACGGTGCTGGGAAGGAGCGCGAGGTTGCAGTGTAGCGAGGCGGCCATTGGCGGCGGTTGTGACCTCAATTGAAGATGACGATGATAAAAATCCTGCACTTGAAATTGGGCCACTTAAAATTGGGCTCAATTATAAAATTAACTTATTTATATATATTTATTTCACTTTGTAGTCTCTTCATATATAAATTGGTCGCCGTTACTTGCTATATTATATTTGGGTTGAATTTAATTATAAATTGTATTGTTTTTTATTTAATTGCATATATTGTACTAAATACAAAATTGTGTTGTTTCTCTACTTAAAAGTCATATCCTAAATGAGGAAACTATAATATACAAATTTGTAGTGAATCTATATTTTAAATTTGTTAAATAAGATTATCGATATGATGTTGATTTCTCTCGTTTAGCAATTGTAAACTGGACCATTCTTATAATACTTTCAAATAGCACTAAGTTATGACATATTATCTCTATGGATTTATTTCTTGTGATAAATTATGTTACTATGTCGTTGCATTTATATTATATCAAGTATTGTTATTATTCTGTATATATTGTTTGTTATGTTAAATGATCAAATCCAATACAATAATTGCTACTATCAATCAACCTTTGATCCAAGGACTAGAGAAATAAATAAATATTATACGTGGTTTAACATAAAATTACATTACATTACATAAGCTTTGAGGCACTCTCTAGCAAGGCCATGTAAGAAGAGATCACAACCGTCGGATCCACCCTTCAATCTGAATCTCCACCGTAGATCAATCCGAATTTGTATCGTCTTGGCGTCGCCGGAACAGGGCGCAAACAGCGCACCACAGCAAGCGAAGGCCGATGAGAATTCCGACGAGGACGAGAGCCGAGAGCACGTACGATTTCACCGACGAAGGGTTGCAGCCGAATAGGAGGCCTAGACATTCCATTGAAGTTAATTTAACAAAGATAGTAGTAGGTATTTTGGTACCAATATATATATATATATGTGTGTATAAATGATAGAAATTATTATTGTTGTTGATATATGTATATATATATATATGCTGTCCCTTTTCATATTTTGGTGGTCACCCGCTGTCGAAGAATGGAATAGTTAGTCGAGAGAAGAGAAGAGACGACAGACATTGTTCCAATCCAAAGGCACAATAAAGTGCCTCACTTCTTGTCTCTTTTCCTTACTTTTCATAATATTTTATTTAAGTACAATTCAATCTCACATCAACTAGTAATAGAAGGTGTCCTTCACTCTTATAAATCAAGCAAGTTTTCAACAATATCACCAATGTACTAATTTATTTTTAAACATTATTTAACTCAAATATATACCTATAGTTAGTAATGACTGCCGTGAATCTTCTTTCGAACCCACGAAGGCGACAAAACAGGGCTCATTTTGCACACATCATTATTATTATTATTATTATTATTAATAGTATCAGCCTCATCTTCTTGTAATTTTTTGCCCTTTGCTCTTTCATCGTCAACACCAAAAACCTTCACTCTCCAAACCTTAAGCGTTTTATCCAAACTCGCACTGTAAACCAACAGCCCCATCTTCGAGGACTCCGAGGTTCCATTACCTTCTAGAACCGCCGCCAGGCACGTGACAGGCCCGTGATGCCCATCAATCACAACCAAACAAGAATGCAACCCGCTCGCCTCCTCCCGCCGCCACACCCTCACCGTCGCATCCTCCGAGCCGCTCACGATCATCTCCGGCGCCGCCGCCGGCGCCGCCAGACAAAGCACCGCGAAATGATGCCCCTGCAGAAACCCGCCGTGGTTGTACCTCCCCGACGCCCCCTCCTTCGTCCAGAAATTGATCAGCCCGTCGGAGGACCCGGAGTACAGAAAACACGACGGCTCGGCTCGGCGCCGGCTCGCGCCGACGCTCAGGGCCAGCGCGTTGACCGGCGACGGCTGGAATTTCAGCGTCACCGTAAGAATGTGACAGCTGTCGTCCTTACACACGCGTCGCCATATCTTGACCGTCCCGTCCGACGAGCAGGTGAAGACGCAGCCGTCGATTTGGTTCACGACGACGGCGTTGACCTGCGCGTCGTGGGCCGCGAAGGAGTCAACGCAGCGGTTTTTCGTAATGCTCCAGACCTTAACGGTCTGATCCCACGACGCCGTGTAGACGAGCATGTCGGCGGCGTTGATCGCGACGGCGGAGATGCGGTCTTTGTGCGCCGGAATTTTTTTCCGGCTGAAGAACCGCCGCTTCCGCGGCAGCGTCGTGAGTTTCTTCAGCCGGAATTTGTCGCCCGCCGGCGGCGAGGATCCGGCGATGTTCCAGAGGCGGATTCGGAAGTCGGCGTGGACGGAGACGAGGAGATTCCCGGCCGCCAAAATGGAGCGGATTTGGGCGGCGGAAGATTCGGCGCATCCCATGTCGGCGAGATCTGTCGGATTCCAGGCATGGATTCTGGTGCTCGAAGATCCTGTTATAAAATTTTTAAGTTATATATATATTAAATAATAAAATAACAAGATTGATGAATCTAATCAAAATCATTAATTTTAATAATAATTTTTAATGCTAAAATTATAAATACAAAATTTAAGGTCAGAATTAAATTCAGCCAATGTTGAACTTAATTACTATGTAGATGAATTTTACTTATTATTAATCAATAAACACAAATAGCATTAATTAAAAATAATAAAAATGTAAATTAAATAGATTAATTTTACTTTATTTTTTTAAAAAAAAATAAAAATTGAGTGAGTGATTGAATTCGAAAAGAAGCCCGTAATAAATGACAACATAACAAAAGAAATGACGCAGACGATATAGGACAAGAATAAAAGGTAACAATGATGATAACATGATTGAAAACCAACTAAATGAACAAAAAAAGTAATAATAATAAATAAACGATGTTAAAGGGGGTGGAAAAATAAGAATTATAATAATGTGAGTGATAATTTAGCTAATTACATCATATTTCAATTTTATTTTTATTTTTATTTTTTTTTGTAGAATATAGGTAATAAATTAGGATTAATTAAAGTGAATAAGTATTTGAAACTCTGATACAATCTTGTCAATTTAACAACAATTATATGATATATATATATTTTTAATTTAAAGTAAAGAAGTAAAATGAGAAAGTATATATATATATAAGACCTGTAACGACAAAATTTTTGGCGACGGCGAGGGAATAAACGCTGCCGTCGCCGCGGTATAATGAGGCGAGGCAGTGATACGTCAGCTGGTGGGCGGCGGAGGAATCCCTAACTGGGGAGCGTATCCAGGGGGAGTCGGGACAGACGGCGGCGCGGACAAGCGGGAAGGAGGCGGCGGAGACGCAGGAGGTCTTGGGGGAGGAGAGTTGGGAATAATTAATGTCGTCGTCGTCGTCGCCGTCGTCGTTGTTTTGGAATGAGGATTTTCTCGGCAGCTGTAATACGGTGGCGCTGCTCCGGCGCTCTTCGTCTAGAAGGCTCTGGAGACTTCTTCCGGCGGGGGACGGCGGCGACGGCAACTCCATGGAAAGGGAGGAGGGATTTGCAGGGAATGGAGTTATTGTGGCCTGGTGCATTTTTTATACGAATTGAGGAATAGAATTTTAGAGTAGAATAGAATAAGTGGCGTAACTACATGGGGCAAGGGGGTTCCAGCCCCGCTCACCCACCCAACTCACCCCTTAATTTATTTATTTTTATTATAATTTATATACTTTTAAAATTATATGAATTTAAAAAATTAAAATTTTGATATATACAAATTTTTATTTTAAAAAATACTAAAATTTTAGTATATTAAAATTTTGATACGATATAATACCATATTAAAAAAATTTAGTACATTACTATTTTTGATATTTTTAGTATATATGTATATATAAATAATTTAATATATTGATACTAAAATTAATATTTTAAATTTTAGTATTTGAATACGAAATATATATATTTGTTATACCAAATTTTTTATATATCAATTTTTTTTAAAAAAAAAAAGTAGCCCCCATTTTATTTTCGTTCTGGTTCTGCAGCTGAAGAGGATAGGTCCACAGCACATGCATTCTAAGTAAGAAATGCATTGCAGAATGGTTTAATTATTGCAACCTCCATTAATGCTTTTCCTTTCTTACATTCTCTTAATTTTTTATTTTTTTTTTTACACACTATTTTTATAACTCTACATAAAGAGACATTATTCCCCTAGAAAGGACACATAACTTTAAGAATCCATAAAAATGTAACGAATTAATGCAAGTAAGTTATGTATAAATTATTGTTTGCAATAAATTAACATTTGTATTGAAAAAAAAAAAAAAAAAGGAATGGTAGAAGCTAAAAATAATAGGTAGGGAGAACGAGACACAATTATTATGTATATGTAAATGGTAGAGTGGGGATGAAAGCTCAAATTATGGTATGGTACGTATTAATAGGTTCAGCTCCCACATTAAATATTCCTCAATTATTGCCGTTGCAATTTTGTACCCTTTTGTTTTTACTATTTACAATTCATTATGGGAATATATATATATATATATATTGTATATATACATTTGAATAAAATCAAATTAAGCATGGTTTAAAACCATATCAGATCTAAGGGTTTTTTTAGATCGAATAATTATTAGATGTAATATTTACAGTAAATAGGATTGAAATAGTTGTTTTATTTGTTTAACTTTGAAATCTTCCGAAAATCAAAAGAAAAAGAGCACATAAATAAATAAAGAAATAAAAAAAAAAAAAAAATGCACAAAATGTATTCATCAAATTAAAAATACTAGTACAAATATGATTCATTACTCCTGAATTCACCTAAATACAAACAAATAATACCCAGAAGACCAATGCGAGCATGAATGTTCACCGCCTCAAATTTCTTAAAAAATCACTGATCAATCAAAATTATTAAAGACAAATAAAATGTTTGTTTACACGATAATAGTGGACAATATAATACTTTTAGAATTGAGTTTAGGTTAAATGGATCGGTTAAATTACTCATGTTAATCATGTATGTGTATATATATATATATTTTGAAAATTCATCTGAAAGAATGATATAATTAATCATTATTATTTTAAAGTAATTTTTGGATGGATAACTCTCTAAAAACTTTTCATAATACCCTAAGTGAGAACAAAATATATTAAAAGAATTTTCGTTCGCTAGTTGGGTCAATTTAAAATTTTAACATGCCTGACTTGTGGGCCCGAGTGTTGTAATGAATTAATCAAAACAATATAATATATTAGGGTTATATATAATCAACTGTCACATAACAAACCCCGCATCCGCCGGTCGTCCAATTGGGTCGAGAAAAGAAATGGGCTGGATTGCGGAATACAATCGTGGGTCAAAATAAATGAATTAGGAAGTGTTGGGCCTTCATAATTGGTCATGGACCAAAATTTATAATAATGTTCTAATGATATTATTTATGAGATTTGTAATTGTTTGACATAGTATAAATATATATTATTGTGATGTTTTGAATATTAAAACAAATTTCGTGTAATATAATAAATTAAGAAAAAAGTTTTGATTTAATATTTTTTTGGAGAAAAAAAAAATTGAAATAATAAAATCATACCAAAATATCACAAGAAAAAAAAAAGTTGAATTAACTAAACTTTTTAAGAAATATATAAATTGGTATTGAATTTGATAATTTAGAATTATAAATTTGTTTTTATATATTAAAATATATAATTTGTGTATAAATATTTCAATTCTATGTGATATTTTAAACTTGATATTCAGTATAATATAAAGTATAAAAAAGATTATTTTGATTTCATATTTTTTGAACGAAAAATTATTGAATAGTAAAATTTATAATAAAAAATTCACCAACCAAACACACGTGTAATATTTTTCTAGGGATTCTTATTTCATCTATGGAAATAATTTACCTTTTCATCTTTTGCATTTATCAATATATATTTTTCACCAACCAAACACACATGTAATATCTAATGTAAGTTATTACCCAAAATTCATTATTCATCAAATTTTTTCTTCTAAAAAAATCAAATCAAATATATATTTTTCAATTTTTATATTATACTACAAATTAATTTACATTCAAAATATTACATCAACATCAATTTATATTATATTATACAATTATTGCAATTCAAACTTTTACTTTTCAAATTCCAACTCAAAATCCAAACCCCCAAACAAACACACCCTTATTTTTAGCCATAAAATTTTCTAGGATAAAAGGAGCCACATCCTAATATACTCTAATATGTTTGTTTGTTCATTTGTATTTGTATTTTTATTTTGTATATATATATATATATATATTACACCATTTAAGATAAAAAAAAGTTATTTAATATTTTTTGTCTTAATTTATTTACTATTATTTTTATTTTGAGATGATTTTAAAATGCTTGAAATTTTATTTTACTTTTACCTTTTCATCTTTTTCATTTATCAATATAATTCATTAAATAATCATACATAAAATGGAAGAATTATATATATAGTTATTAAAAATCAAAATTATACTCCTTAAAATATATATATATATATATATAGTTACTAAATATTAAATTCTAGAAAGAAAAAAAAAAAAAAAAAGGTAAATAGAGGTCGCCATTTCCTCCCCCTCGTTTTTTGTATTAAAAAAAAAAAAAAAAAAACCGATCCTCCAATTGTAGTTAAATGGAAGATTCCATCCATCCATCCATCCAACCACAATTATGCGTAATTATATATATACATATATATATCGAATTAATTAATTAATTAATTAATTAATTAAACTAGTAATAATAAACTGCCCTAACTCACTAGCTAACTAACAATATTATCCCCAATTATATATCAAACCCTAATTATTCTTCTCGACACACACACACACACTAATTATTGAATATTTGAATAATCCAATTGTCCAACCATTACCCAGCCTGTTTGCGGGCCCAGCTCAGAGCTTTTTTATAAACTGCCGCCGCCGCCGCCACCACCACCGCCACCGCCGGCCGCCGCACCACCAATTGTTAATTAGTTTATTATAGTTATGTTATATATATATATATATATATTCAGACATAACGTCGAACACCTTCCAGACAATTGCCATCACACCACGTGTATGCTAATGGCTTTTCAGACTAAATTCATTATTGATGGATGGATGGAGAGTGAATGGATAGTAGTGCCACATCGGATTCAATCGAATATATTCCTTTTCTGGTTAAGTCTTCCTTCATCCCAAAATTCTATATATAATAATAATACTCACTTTGTCGGATTAAATAGATAATACTATTAAATAGAATAAATTGAAAATAAGGTGAGGTGAGGTGACTGAGAAAAAAATATATATATATTTTTCAATTGAATAATGTAAGTAGATTAAATATAATTAATTATTTCATAATAGTCTTAAATATTGAGAATTGGTAAGGTGACGAAAGAAAAATATATATTTATTTATTTATTTTAGTGATGATGAAATAAAATGTAATAGTCTACCAACATGTCTCATTATGTGCTAAAGAATGGATAAATGCCATCAAACAAAACTTAACCTAAGGCTTTAGTATTATGTTAAAATAATATAAATAATCATCTCGTCTAAAAGTTTAAACTATTAGAGATACATATCATTTATTTATTTATTTACAAACGAGAGTCCACTAACGTCAATAAATTATTTGAAAAAACTAATTCTCAATCAAATTAACTTTTTAACTTATCAAACAGAAAGTTGAGTAAATTAACAATAGATAATAAGAGGGTTTACTCAGTGCGCACTTTCGGGTAGCGACTGCAAGTTCTCACGCCATCAAAGAAAAAAAAAACAATAGATAATAAGCTATCTGTCGGACTAGTTTGCAGAGTATTAAGTTCGACCGAGGGTTTAGCCATGTAAGCACTTTCGGTAGAGGCTGCATGTTTATAATAATAATAATAATAATAATAATAATAATAATAATAATAAATAAATAATAAGCTATTTACCAAACATGTTGTTACAAATTAATATCAGTCAGACTTGATGATGATATATATGTATTGCAGTGTGCTGTTGCGCTTGTTGACTTGTGATGATGATATATAGGAACCATTTTTATTTGGCTGTGGCTGTTACGTGTAAAATTCATACTTGATAAATATATAGTGGAATCAATTCCTTAATGCCACGTCTCTCTCAATATATATACTACTCTTTTGATATAATTTTGATAGCTTTTTTTATTTTATTTTATTATTATACATTTTGTTTGAAACAATAATTTTATAAAATATATATTTAAAATTGAATATAAAGGATGAAAGTTACAATATCAATATATGGCCAGGTCAGCCGGTAGGATGGTCGGTCATTGTTTATAGTACATGGCAATATATAATTCAATAAATTTACATCTTACTTTCATTGTTTAAATTTTAAATAATTTATTTTTTTATATATGTGGTTGAACCTGCATTGAGCTTTCTACCATATATATATATAAAATTGGGGACCTTTATTACATCATGAAATAACACTAAATGATAGGAGTAATTACTAAGGATGATGGTACGTACTATTATATATTTCCACGTAGGATAGGGTGTGTGCTTGCATTGAGTTCATCCTCATCCGATTATGTCCACCCTATGATTAGAAAGCATATGCTATGTATCCAACGCCAGATGCTCCACAAACTCATCAAATAAATATATAACTTTCAAGAATTGAAATAAATAAAAAATTTGTAACCCAAAAAAAAAAAAGTAATAATTTTGTAAGCTATTGTAAATTTGTATGTGCATATATATTCTTATTATTGAAATATGAGAATTTAGTTTTATATTCTAACATATTTAACATTAGACATTTTATTATGGACCTTGAAATTTTATAATATTTTTGGGTAAAATAAAAAAAAATTATTAAAATAGAATTAAAGGAGCAATTGAATTGAGTAATTTTTAACATGCCTCGATCGTTATAACTCTTCCCACCAAAATCCCCCAAATTAATTATTTTTTTCAGTGAATTTTAATTCGGGTTAGCTCGTCAACTAATCTTCATTAAAATATATATATATATATATATATATAATGGTTGGCCTGCCAATGAAGAGCTCCTAAAATGGATAAACTAATGACTAATTCTCTCAGTGGTTTGTCTATATAAATATAGTGCAGATAAGAGAGAGCTGTATCGTAGTAGTGTTCCATTTTCAAGAATACTTTCATTTTGGAATTTTAATTTAATTTAATTAATTAATCAAAATGCCTGCGATTGCTTTTGGTAGAGTTGACGACTCTTTCAGTGTCGCCTCCCTCAAAGCTTACGTCGCAGAGTTCATCTCCACCTTGCTTTTCGTCTTCGCCGGCGTCGGCTCCGCCATTGCTTACAGTACTAATTAGTATTCTTATTACTACTATTATTTTCGATTTTTCATTAATTCATTTCAGGTTATTACATAATTGATTCATTAGGGTTTGAATTTTATAGTTTGAGTTATTTAATTAATTTCAGACAAGTTGACTTCCAATGCCCCCCTCGATCCGGCGGGCCTGGTGGCGGTCGCCGTCTGCCACGGCCTGGCGTTATTCGTAGCGGTGGCGATCGCAGCCAACATCTCCGGCGGCCACGTCAACCCCGCCGTCACCTTCGGCCTCGCCGTCGGCGGCCAGATCACTCTCCTCACCGGCCTCCTCTACTGGATCGCTCAGCTCCTCGGCTCCATCGTCGCCTCCTTCTTGCTCAAGCTCGTCACCGGCGGCCTGGTACCCTCGCCGGAATTATTTCATCGTCGTTCAATTACAGCCGTCCGATCACGTCTCCGATGATTAATTTTATTTGTTTATTATAATTTCTCCGGCAGGCAATTCCGACGCACGGCTTGGGCGACGGCATCGGCGCCGTCGAAGGGTTGGTTATGGAGGTCGTCGTTACCTTCGCCCTGGTGTACACAGTTTACGCCACCGCCGTAGACCCCGGCAAGGGATCCATCGGAATAATTGCGCCGATCGCCATCGGGCTGATCGTCGGGGCCAACATCTTGGCCGCCGGTCCATTCTCCGGCGGGTCGATGAACCCGGCTCGATCCTTCGGACCGGCCGTCGTCAGCGGAAACTTCGCCGGCATTTGGATTTACTGGGTCGGACCGCTCGTCGGCGGCGCTGTGGCTGGGATCGTCTACACCTACGTGTACCTGCACCAGGACCAAGCTCCCGTGGCTACTAGCGAGTTCTGATTGGTCGAAATTTTACGTGTGATTTTCTGATTTTGATATTCCTTTTCGTTACAGTTACAGCATTTGTCTATGCCTTTGTCGTGTTTCTGTCTATGTTGAGTTTGTTTTTTATTTTAAATATTTTGTGAAAAATTGTAATTAAGTTGTGGAATTTGAGAGCCAAGTTATATATATTAAGTGATGTCTATGGTAAAAAATTAATAAAGATTAAATTTTATAATAGTTTCTGAAAATTAACTTTGCGAATTAAAAAATAGTTTCTTGAAATTTTATTAATTACTAGTTACTAACAACTATTCGATGCAATTATATATTGGAACTAAGTAAATGTTGCTTAGCTAGGGCTTAGAATCGGGTCGGGTCGGATCATTGGATATGGGCTTTGGATTTTTTTTTTAATTTCGCGTCCGGCCAAATTTATAAATCTACACATGTACTTTTTAAAAATTTTAGATAACTTTATACAAGTGTAAATAGTATAATTTTTTTTTTTTCATATTATAATTTATGTTATCCATGACAATTTCTACATATTTTAATTTTGGCTATGTTTGTAAATTCAAATATTTTTTACATTATTCATCTATATCATTTTGTGAAAAAAAAAAAAAAATGTATTAAATCAAAATTTTATTTTTTCCTTCTCTTAAAACATAACTATCCAATAAAATTGAATTTTTAAAAATCATACAACATTGAACCACTGTAGGTTAATTTTGTAATTGGACTCTACATATACACTTTCTAGCCCAATGAAAACAAGCCCATTGTTCAGTTTGTTTGCTCTATTCGGCTCTTTTTATAATTTATTTTTGGGTTTTCAACCCAATTTCTATTTTTAATTTTTTCTTTTATATTTTCAAAATATCATATTATATATATTTGTCATGATTTATATTTTATTAAAGAGATAAATTTTACATTAAAAGTGTTATATCAAATTTATTTATATTAGATTGTACAATTATTACAATTCAAATTTTTTCTACTCAAAATTACAGACCCAACTACAAACTCACAAACAAACAAAACCTAAGGTTTTTTTTTTCCCCGAGTTTTATTACAGTCGCCACAAATTCTTATTAAAAAGAAATTATTACTATTATTTTTTCAGATAAAAGGTCATTTTGAATACAACATCTTTTTGTATTCTAAAAAAATATAGTGTAAAAATTAATAAAATTGAAAATACAAACAAACATCTATTATCCTTGTTAGCAATGTATGGTGTGTTGATAATTGATGCGAATTCTTATCTAATATTATATTCGCATTTATCAGTAATATCGATTATTTTGTTTTCAAAAAAAAAAATTATTATTATTTAGTTTATATTTATCTATTTATATCACATTACACTTACATTGTTATTCCTTTCACAATTTACTATTCAAAACTCTTACTAATGTAATTTCATAACTTTACAATATATTTGGGTGAGTACATCAATATTTACATCACAATTAATTATAATTAGAATGAAGTCCATATCCCAATAGGTACATGTATACAAAATTTCAACATTTTTATTCTTTTATAAAAATATTACTTTTAATGTATATTTTTCACTCAAATATCACCCCAAATGCCATGCCCAAATAACTATCACTGTAAAAAAAATAAATTGTATATTTATAAGGGAATTGTGTTCTTAAATTTAGTAATTTTATCTCTAATTTCGTCTTAAATATCGTCACTAACGAAAAATAATAATTTATTAATGAAAAAATCTCATTACATAAAGCAATATTTTCTTCTTGTAGCGTGTAGTGAGCTAAACATAATATTTAAATCTCAAAATTAAAACAAACCAATCTACAGGGAGTAATTATTTTGGCTATTTTATTTTTTTTTTTATTCATGGAAAACTGCGTAGGTTACAGAACATGATCAAAACATCACTGATAATACACACTAATTTATTATTATTATTTTTTTTTAAAAAAAAAACTTAATAATAACCTAAGAAATTCTGCTGTCTCAAATCCTTATAGAAATTTGCAATAAACTCCTCAGCCGCTTCGTCTACGTAACGGTCTTCCTCACCGTCCCGTAACGGAAACGGCGAGTCCGTTATCCTCAACTGCCTCACCACCGGACTCCCCCCGAATCCCGGCAGCGCCGGCGACGCCGCCGCGGCCGAGCTACTAACCATCAATTGCGCCGCCGCCATTAGGTCTCCATCGGAAGGTTTAGAATGCTTGCGCTTGTTCAGGCGGAAAGCTCCGCCATTAGCAGGACTGTTGCTGCAGCTGAACTCGTAATCCTTAGAATAGCCGGGGAAGGCGATGTGGCGGTCGTGGAAGCGGCTCCGGCCGACGGTGGTGGCGCCGCCGCCGTAGTGGTGGTGGAATTTGAGACTGTGTATCGCCGCCTTCCCGGCGATTTTCCCGCGCTTCAACATTTGGCTGAGATCGGCGACCAATTTTGCCTTTGAAATGCTTTTCCTGAGCAGGAAGTACAACACTCGGACGATTTTGAATATCTTCTTCGTCACGATCGTCAAATTCTCCTCCATTTTTGCAGTTCGGAGCTGGAATTTGATCTCCGATTCCGATCAATTTGTCGCCGGAGAGAATCAGGAGTCCGATCGGAGAAGAAGATTGGTTTGATCGAAATGCACAGCGACGTTGAAGGTATCGGTATTTAAAGCAGGAGCAGCGTGCATTGAGGGGTTGTACGTTGGGTGTGGTTTGACCAAATTGCCCCTGACATCCATGCAAATTAACAAAGCTGTTTCATGCTAATCTCGTAGTGAATTAATTAATGGTCGGGAGATAATTACGAAAATAAATGTTAAAAAATGGTTTATTAATTTGTGAAGAAAACAAACGTGGAAAAGTTGGAAGTAATTTTTGTTTTTAATAATTAAAATAATTTTCAGACGTGGACAGTTGATGAAAGATCAAAGTGGGCAAATTAAAGTAGTAATTTGAATGAAGTATTTGCCAGACTGGGACAAGGTTTAATTAATTAATTAATTAATTAATTAAAGGCGGTTGGGGGGACACGTGTCCCCGTGATTTGTTAATAATTCGAAATTAAAACAAACCCAATGTTGTAAGGAAAGTACGATGTGTTTGGCGTCTTCCGTGGTTGTTGGAATCAAATCATTCAACAACTTAGATGTGGATGAGCTGACAAAACTTGACACGACATAATAATTTGATATCAATTTAATACAAGTTAAGGTTGAAGGTTTTAAATTTGAATTCGACACAGCAATTTCAATTATAATATATTAATAATAATTAAATGTTTATTATATATATAAAATAATTCTAGTTTAATAATTAGCTTATATTTTAATATAAGCTAAATTCAATTTTAAATAATTTAATATAATTCATTATACACATAACACTAAAATAAATACATAAAAAATAACACGATACAATAATTTTAAAAAAAAAAAGATTTGTATAAAGGGTTTTGATCCAGTTATGTATGAGTTAACACTCTGATACGATAATAAACGAGTCAACACGAATCTGACACAATAATAAATGAGCAGAGTTAGAATTGAATGATTTAACATGTTTAATGTATTAATATGACATGAATCAACTCATTGTCAACTCTAATGCTTGATTTCTATATTTTACTTTGGTCAATATTGATTTGCTAATTTTTGTTAAAATTTTGGTTTTTCTTTTACTATTTTACTTTTATTTTTATTTTATGTGATGATTTAAAATATAAAATAGATAAATTTCGAATTGATCCATCCATTATTACTAATAGTAACAAAAAAAATCCAACTCAAGAACAGGCAGCCGTGTCTTTATTATTGATAAAATTGGAAAATGTTTATTTAGTACTATAATAATGAGTACATAAAATATTGGACCTTGCAATGATTATTTGTTGTATGATTAAATAAAATGTGTAAGAATCCATGTAAGAATTTGCTTCTGATTGCAATAATAATTAAATAATAAATAAATATATAATCTGAATCTGAATCTGAGAAACCTAAAACTATAGGACATGTGTGCATGATGTCCAGTGTTGTGTATCAATCACACGCAATAATTAATATAGAGAATTGTGAGATATTTTTTTTACACTTGTTAATCACTTATGCATACGTGGCACTAGCAAACCATCCAGTCAACTCAATTTCTGGCTCAGATCGAGCCACGTGTACTGTGCTTGTTATGACTGCCTGGACTTCGACCAGTCTACGTGTCCTTCCTTGTAATAATTCATTTATAGAAATGGAGGATTCTTATCTCCATAGGCGATGCATAAATAAATAATAATAATAATAATAATAATAATAATAATAATAATAAACATTATATATTTTTCCAATTTTTTGTAATACATAAACATATTCCTTAAAAAAATATTAAATTATATATTTTTTATTATTTATATTATAATAAAAATTAATTTACATGTAAGATATTAATAAATACTTATTTATATTAGGTGAAACAAATATGTTAATTCAATATCCAAAATTCAAACTCAAATTCCACAAATAAATGGTGTATTACTACACTTTTTTTAAAAAAAAAAAAAGAAAAAAAGTAAAATACAATTTCAAATACTCCCTCCGTCCCCGTGGGTATTGTAGACACTAAAAATATATGTCTAAAATCAATTAAATATTATATATTTTGGAAGAAAATAAAATTTCAATAAAATAAATATATGGTATTTAATTATGCACATATGTTAATTTTTGTACAATGAATATCAACCATTAATGCAAAAATATGCTTAAAATGGAAGATATCGTACAAATATTACGTGCATAAATAGAGCCATAATAAATTTGGCAGCAAAATAAATTAATCTTGTTAATAAATGAAGTATATAAATTAATATCTTCCAAAAAAGACAATGATATAAAGATTTTGGCGAGAAAGGAAGGTGCACAATCAAATCCTTCAAGAATGGAAAACAGCATCTAATGGAAAATGAAAGATTATAACATCTTTCCATACACGTGGCACCATCCGTAAAGGAAGCCAAGGCCACTCATCCTCTATAAATAGGAGCCATAGCCAATTCATTTGAGACACCGAAGTTGCATCGAGAATTCAAGGAAAGGGGTAAGTCTCTATACTCTCTTTGTATTGTTCTTCATGTTTTTCGTGTCCTTCGAAGTGTTCTTCGTCGAAAGTCACTAATTTGGACAAATGATCCAATATTGGTTGACGAATCGATGAAGTTAACATTCTTCGTCGTATATCCAAGCTGGAGGAAGGATCAAAGCTCTCAAAGCCGTCGAGGAATTCGTCAAAGTCAAGGGAAGGTCTTCAAAGTTTCTCTCAAAGCTTTGAGGTGTTCATCGCGTTCTTCATAAAAGGCGCAAACCAGGCACTCTTCGATCCAAAAGTCAAAGGGACACGCCGCCAAAAGCGTTATGGAGTACTAAATCCACCTCTTCAAGGATCAAAGCTCTCAAAGCCGTTGAGGAATTCGTCAAAGCCAAGGGAAAGTCTCCAAAGTTCATCCCAAAGCTTCGAGGTGTTCATCGAATTTTTCACCAAAGCAACAACTCGGCCATTTTCGATCCAAAAGTCAAAGGGACACGCCGCCAAAGCTCTAAATGATCAAATGACTCATTTAGAGAATAGGACCCGCTTTGAATTCAAATCAAATATAATTTGTACAAATTTTTGTGTTTATTAAAAATAACACTAATTTTTGTCCACAGGTATAAAGTAGAATATAAATGACTAAAATGTCCTTATTTTTTTAAGGATTTTAAAGAGTGTTAGACTAATAATTAGGGATAGTGTGAAAAAGTAGAAATAATTTTTGTTATAAAGTGGGGATCACGACTACTAAATAAGGAAACAAGACAATTATTTTATAACAAACAAAAAATAGTAAAACAAAACAAATCTTTTGGGATGGAAGGAGTATCAATTTACATTTACTTAAAACCATTTGTCAATTTAAAATTTTACTCTCTCCGTTATTTATGTTTACTTTTTGCATAATTATACACACATATGTATATATATTCCTCTTCTCAATTATAAATCAAATACTTAATTTTCAATTATAATAATTCATCTACATAATGTAATTTAAAAAAAAAAAAAAAAAAGAAAAATCATAACTATGTAATGGCGCTAGTAAAAAATCCATTTATTATTATTATTATTATTCAAAGGCATTGTTGTTAAGGAATAATTAGACTGTAAATTAAATTAAATTAATATTTAATTAAATGAACAGGGCATTGTCAAAACACTTTATTAATTTGCTCTTTGGTGAGCAATGATTATGGGAATGATGTGTAGATTTTTATTTATAAATGTTACAAGTAATTTGATTGCAGATTATGTGTGCCAAATGGCCTACAAATGAACTTCCTTCACAAATTATTGTCCAATAAAAGGAATTATTTGATCCGAATCAAGACAAATAATACTAAAAAATAAATAAATAAAGTCTGGACGGTGACTTCAGAATTAAATTAATAATGGGTGGAGTGACAATGGGGTTAATATATAATTAATATTGTTCAATTATTGAAACCCATTTTATACAATGTTGGACAAATCAAATCCCAATCATTCATCAATTTTTTCAGTATATCATTTTCACCCAAAATTGATAATAATTATCATCAACAATAAATTTAAAAAACATAGAAAATTAGATAAAATTATTCTATCTTTCATTATACAAATTCTTTAAGCTTTTTTTTTTTTGGATTTTTTTTACATATATATTTTTACTATATGATTTATTTACGATTTCTATCAAATAAACTATTCGTTTTTAATGAAAAACTATGTTCAAATCACTATTCAAAATAACAGTCAAAACAATTAAATAAATAAAACACTATTTTCTATTGTTTTTATTTTTTTTTTTTAGAATACATTATTTTGTATGCAAATTACTATTTAAACTAAAATTCAAAATTAAAACATAAAATCAAAATAAAACCAACAAAAGCTGGGTGTGTTTGTTTGATATTTTTTTAATAATAATTTAAATGTGATATTTAAAAATAAAAAAATAAAAAAATATATTTTTTTTAAATGAAAATTTATGAAATTTGTATGGTAATTTCTATTTTTTTATAATTATTTTAAATCACTAAATAAGTATAGCCCAATAGGAATTGGATTGTTTTGCATAATTAAAAGACAAAGGCCAATAGGCCCAAATGGATTATACCTTCCAGCCCAAACTTTCATAAGAATAAATATAATATTAAGAAGAGTTTAGGGTCATGTTACATTTGATGGATTTAGTTTTAGTAGAATTGAAAAACCCTAAAATGAGGGTTTGTTTGGTTCTTTATTTCAGTTTGAAATTTTTAATTTGAAATTTTGGTTTAAATAGTATTTTTTGATATGATATTTTGTGAAAAAAAAAAAAAATGTGTTGACTAAATAGTAAGATTTTATATTTAATAAAAAACAAACAAACCCAAATATTTCATAAATTTGAAGTATACACTGCATTTAATTCCAAACACCATAATTGACTTAAAAGATATAATTTGAAATTCAGTAACTAAAAATGACTCCAAGCAAATGGAGCCTCAATTGGATTTTGTTTATTTTGATTAACAGTTTAATGTAATAATATATATTATTCATAAATAATTGTGATGAATACATAAAAATTAAGAAAATAAAATTCCCCTTAATTAAAATGGGTAGAATGCAAGGTGTATTATTTTGATTTAATTTATATAAATTGTCAGTAGTTAACCTACATGCAGTCCAAGTAATGTAAATATATACACCCAGTCAAAATTTAGGAGATATCCCAACAACCATATAAATATATATATATATATATATTGAAATTAGTATTAAATATGATAATTTAAAAAAATAAAAATAAAAATGAAATAAAGTGTAAAATGAAGATATAAAAGAATAGAGCCAGTGATGTGCTAAGAATATTATATTTGTCTAATAAATTTCATTTTTAAAAAATATAAATGATATTATCATGTTGAAATCATGCTTATGCAAATATTAAAAAATATATATATATATTAATTCGAAATAAAAGATATTGATTATCTAATAATTAAGTTGGATTGAGGGGTGGCGGACCTACCTAATACAATCGAATTAATTTATATATAATAAAATCATTAATTCAAAATTTTCCAAAAGAGAAGACTCCAGTGGTTCTGGTGTGCATGCCCAAAACTGATCAATAAAGAAACACTAATTTAATTATTCACCTAATTCAAATTATAATAATCTTTTACATCATATTACAATATAATTTATTTAATTTTGTGTTACATGGATATATATATATATATAAATGTAAAAGGAATTTGCTTTCACTCCAAAATTTCCACTCTACTGTTGTGGGATTTCATCATAGGTATCTCCTTTGTTAGGTGAACTAGATTGGCCCTTATTTTCTTCCCAATTATTATATTTATAAGTATTATTTTTAGGATCAATTAGTAAATAAATAATTGTATTCTTTATTATACTTGTAGCAATTTTATTGGTGGAATCAAAATGTGTGAATGCAAATTATCCTCGCATTATATATATATATATTGTATTATGTTAGCAGCATATCATATATATTGTGTGGACTATTATTATGTATTGTTAATTTATGTACTATTTTATATAAATGATGTGATGTTTATCTATATTGTTTGAATATATCTACTTTTTTTTATATATTATTTATATATATATTTGATGTATTGTCAATAAAATATTAGTGCATATACATAGATGATAAGGTGGGAGCTAGTACGTACATAGAGAAAAGGGACCATAAAATTCAACGTGTGTGGAAAATAATGAGTCCTAAAAAGTCCTCGATATGACAAACTATGTAAGAACGATTACTTTGGTCCAAAATTCATCGACCATGATGAAATGCTTAAGTCATTTTTCTTGTATTATATATATATATATATATCATGGTCGGAATTAACAATTATTAATATTATTATTATTTGTTGATATATGTTTAATACTTCATCCGTCTCAAATAAGGTGCAATATTTGTTTTGGATACGAATTTTTAGATGGGTACTATTAAATAGAATAATTTAGAAATCAGATCATGCGATGGTGAAAAAAAATATATATTTTATTTTTTTATTTGGGTGATGTGATGAAATAAATTAGGGGATAAATATTAAGTATAATTAATTATTTCCTATTTTAGAAATATTGCAGGGTGTTTGGGACATAAAAAAAAAAAATGTTGCACTGTGTTTTGGGACGGAAGGAGTATTTTTTAAATATATATCTTCCCATGATAATTCAGTGTTTGGATAGATGATGATTAGGATAAAAATCACAAATATACATGTTGTGTGTTGTGTGTTTAAAATTTATGTATATAAGTATATTGTGTGTTTAAAATTTATGAAAGTATTAAAAAAAACTATAGAATTAATAATAATAATTTTAGTGTGATGTTTCTATATATATAATCCAGCTCCTGAACTGTGTTATGGGAAACACCTGTCAATATTTAAAATAACAATCTTGTTTAGTATATTAATTAAAAATTATTGATTTTATTTTAAAGCTACTGACTATTAATATTATCTTTGATTAATAATTAACCTATGCTTTTATCTCACTCATATTCGAACATGAATAATAATGCCACTTATAAAATTTAAACAAGAGTTAATTTACCACATGCAATGTATGCGCGTGTATACATACAGTTAATGATTTGATTGTTTGTAAATATAAAATTAATATTCAAAGTAATATTTTTTTAATTTTTTATTGATTTAAAAATAAAAAAATACAGGTAAAAGTAAATCAAACCTCGATTAGGACAAGTAATTTAATTCATTCGTAAAATATTTCATTAATCAATACTAAGCATCCTCATTATCGACACATAACCGCTTTTAAAAAAATAAAATTATGATGTGAAAATCCGCAGCAACTATTTTTCGAGTGCGTACTGGGTAAACCTTTTACCGAATAAAATAAATCATTATATATATATATGTGTGTGTGTGTGTTGCAAATAATCATTTAATTAGTTTATATGTATGTATAAACCCTAATTCATATATTTCTTGGTGACCTATTCACTTATTATTGGTAAGTGTAAAGGTAACATCCATTTACTTAAATGCCAAACAAAAAATACCAAAACATGTCAGCTTTGTAAATAAAGATGAATCAATGATAACAAAGTTCAAAATTAGAAATATATATAATAAATAAAATTTGGTGATATTATTAAATTAAATTAAATATAGTTATCATATATATTTCCATGCAAACTAACTCCCACACAGACCAACCCCCACTCACCTATATATATATATATATTCCCTCAACCTTCTTTGAAATCATTGCCCCAATCCAAAACCCTAATTTCATCAATCTTAGAAAGATTAATTCGACTTTAATTTAATTTAGGGGAAATTAAAAATTAAAATGGAGGAGATAATGCGGGCATCACGGCGGCAGAGGAGCGGCGGCGGGGGGCGGAGCAGTAACTGGAGCGTGGAGGAAGTTTTTTCCGGTGGGAGGCGCAGCGGCGGAGCTGAGGAAGACGAAGAGGCTCTCCGGTGGGCGGCGCTGGAGAAGCTGCCGACGTACGACCGGCTCCGGCGGACTGTCCTGAAATCGTTCGTGGAAACGCCGAATCGCGGGAATGTTAAGGTTGTCCACAAAGAAGTCGATGTACGGAAGCTGGATGTAAACGAACGGCAGGAATTCATCGACAGATTCTTCCGCGTCGCCGAGGAGGACAACGAGAAGTTCCTCACCAAGCTCAGGAACAGAATCGACAAGTAATTAATTATTAGTATATAATTAATTCAATTCAAATTGTTTAATTAATTATAATATTAGAATTTAGAATTGTCTTGAGAATCAAGCTAGCATGCAATGTCTGAAAACGAAGGACGACCTGTAATGATCGATTAGGGTTGGAATTACGCTTCCGACGGTGGAGGTGAGGTTCGAGGGGCTGACGGTGGAGGCGGAGTGCTTCGTCGGCGACAGGGCGCTGCCGACGCTGGCCAACGCCGCCCGGAACATCGGCGAGACGGCGCTGGGCTGGTTCGGAATTAGGCTCGCTCAGAAAACGAACCTCACCATTCTTAAAGACATCTCAGGCATCATCAAACCCTCCAGGTACCTATATATATATGCAATAACAAAATATTATTAATTAATTATTATCTAAATTTATTCTCATTATTATTTTTGTTATTTATAACAAATACCATTAACTTTATTAGATTCATGGTTCCTCTTTATTTTTATTTTTATTTTTTTCATGGACAAAAGGAAATATTATATTATGAGTTTTATTTTATTTTATTTTTAAATAATGTGACAGGATGACCCTTTTGTTGGGGCCGCCGTCGTCGGGGAAGACGACTCTTTTGCTGGCCTTGGCAGGAAAATTAGATCCTACTTTAAGGGTATATTTAGTATTTTAATTTAATATAATTTATTATTAGAGGGTTTATATATATATATATATATAAATTAATGATTTAATTTGGTATGCATAAAGTAGACAAGGGGAGAAATAACGTACAACGGACACATGCTGGATGAATTTGTGGCACAAAAAACGTCTGCATACATTAGCCAAAACGATGTTCATGTAGGAGAGATGACCGTTAAAGAAACACTCGATTTCTCTGCCAGGTGTCAAGGGGTTGGATCAAGATACGGTATTATTCTATTTTTAAATATTCTACTCGATTTATTATTTTAGTTTATCCAAAAAAAAAATGTGTTCATGTTATATTTGGTTAACAAAATTAAATATTTTTTTAAATTCTTACTCACTATTTATTCTCCATTTACATTATTGTCACTGGCCATACATATTTTTGGCACTCAATCTATTTATTAAGTAAAAAAATTATACTACTAAGATTAAAAAAAAAAAAAAAAAGTAAATTAGAAAAATTAATAATACATTAAAAGAATTGGAATCGATCATAGAGTATTTAATACTCCCTTAGTCTTAGGGTTTATTCTTTTAATATTTTTCAAATCAAACTCAACATTATTTGTTTGATATAATTTTTAAATAAACATACACTATTTTATCTTAAAAAATATTACATCAATATATTATTTTAAAATTCAAACCAACATTTTATTTTAAATTAATTTCAAATTGCAACCAAACAAACCCCAATGTCTTTGTTAAATTTACTTTTAACATGTTTTTTAAGAACATTTCATTAATTTTGTTTATCTTTATTCTTGTTTGAAATAGTTTTATAAATGGTATTTCAGATAAGAAAGGCAATTTATTTTAGTTAAAATTCATGATTTTTTTTTTAAAAAAGATATTTTTTAGTTTTGATTTTAACTAATTTGTGTGTAAATTTATTGGGAAAATAGATCTGTTGAGTGAGCTTGCAAGAAGGGAAAGGGAAGCTGGAATTTTTCCAGAGGCTGAAGTTGATCTTTTCATGAAGGTCATTTTTAATATTTTGCATGGATTAAATTTAAATCTAATTATAATATATATCTTTATTAATTTAATTTGTCATGTACAGGCAACTGCTATGGAGGGAGTAGAAAGTAGTCTTATTACAGACTACACTCTTAAGGTAACAAAAATAAATAAATAAAATATTACAAAAGTCAAAGATAATCATAATATATATATATATATATACACATCGAATGTAATTAGTGGAACCAAATTCATTTCATACAATTTGAAAGATTGGTTCCAACAACTATTACATATATATATCTTTAATTTTGTGTCAAAAATCAATCCTCACCAACTCCATGTATCTTATCTTCATCACACAATGTTTTCAGTTGGGCCATCAAGAAACTCACCAATTTCAAAATAAATAAATAAAAACTTACCAACATTATTGACAAAAGTAAATGAAATAAAATAAAATTGCAGATATTGGGGCTGGATGTTTGCAGAGACACAATTGTTGGAGATGAAATGATAAGAGGAATTTCAGGAGGCCAAAAGAAGCGTGTCACAACAGGTAAATTAAATTAATTTAATCCATATATATATAACACAAAATAATTTGATAAGAACACAAACAATTATTAATATTATTATTATTATTATTTGACTAAATCAAATTAAAGCACTTATTAGTGGAATTACCAAACATGGAATGTGACAACCAACAACTAATCTCCTGTTTTTTTTTTTTTTTAAAAAAAAAAAAACTAGTCAAATTACTTGTGTTCTTTTAAGGTCTGATTTTATTTTATTTTATTTTCATGTAATTTATGATAATTGTATATTAAAAAATTGAAATAAAATTCTATATGAACACAATTATTATTTCAACAAGCAACAAGAGGGTCCCCATAAACATAACTGGTAATAAGTCCAGTCCACTTTTTAGTATACATATTTTCAAGCTGAACTCACCTAACACAACCACACATATTTGTTTTTGTTTTTGCCATTTTGGGTTTAAAATATTAAATAAAATGTTTTAAATAAAGAACATAAAAAAATAATAGTTGAACAGTATAATATTTCGAATGAAAAATATGCATTAAATATTTATGTCTTAAATAGTACTTCATCCCATATATGACATTACTAACAATGTAGCCATGTAAATTAAAGAGTAATATGATTAGTAACAATAATTATAATACAATATAAATAATTATAAATAAAAAAAAAAATATATATATATACTAAGTAAGATTAAAACGTTTAAAATATAATAAAAATGTGGACACTCATTTTTATCAATTCGATGTTTTTTCTTTTTATTTTCTAATAACTATATTGTCATAGATAATGGGTGAAGAAATAAAAAAATAATAAATAATAAAGCTATTATATTTTGTAGTATATATAATATATTTTGATACTTTAAGCCTATAATAACTTCTTTTTTTTGGTTTTATACATGATTAAATTTCCTATAAACTTATGCTTAAAAAAAAAAAAAAATGGGTTTAAAAAAATGTATCCCCTAATACAATGAATTGATCTTGTAACATACATCATCATCTCTACACTTAAATGGGTTTAAAAAAATGTTACATTGTCCGCATAGATAGATCTTTTCTAAGTTTTTTAATTTTACAAATAATAAATAGAAAAAATCAAATATTAGATGTAAATATTTTGTAAAAAAGAAAACGATATTTCATGCGATAATTTTCGAAAAACAAATGTCATACATAAACAAATTACAAAGATATCATTTCTCTAGCATTCAGAACCAAAAATCAAACAAACTAAAATGCAACTTCTAAGGTTAAAGAAACTTACCATTGTCCATGTCTACCAAGTTTCTGAGCTGCTAAGGATGTAATGTAATACAGGAGAAATGATCGTCGGCCCGACAAAAACACTATTCATGGACGAGATATCGACGGGCCTCGACAGCTCGACGACCTTTCAGATCGTCAAATGCTTGCAACAAATAGTGAACCTTACTGAGGCCACGATTTTCATGTCCCTCCTACAACCAGCCCCGGAGACATTCGATCTCTTTGACGACATCATTTTATTATCCGAAGGCCAGATCGTCTACCAGGGCCCGAGACAAAACGTCGTCGAGTTTTTCGAAAGCTGCGGCTTCAGATGTCCTGAGAGAAAAGGAACTGCTGATTTCTTACAAGAAGTGAGCTAATAATATATAATACGATCCTCAAATAATCGAATCGAATAATTATAAATTTTTTCGACAGGTGACGTCGAGAAAAGATCAAGAACAATACTGGTCGGACAGAAGCAAGCCGTATCGATACATACCGGTCAGCGAATTCGCGAGGCGATTCAAGCGATTCCACGTAGGGTTACGTCTCGAAAACGAGCTTTCGATACCTTACGACAAAAGTCGAAGCCACCAAGCGGCGCTGGTGTTCGAAAAGTACACCGTCCCAAAAATGGAGCTCCTGAAGGCGAACTTCGACAAGGAATGGCTGTTGATCAAACGAAACTCGTTCGTCTACGTGTTCAAGACCGTGCAGATATTCATCGTTGCTGTCATCACGTCGACTCTGTTCTTGCGGACTCACATGCGCAGCCGCAACGAACAAGACGGCGCGGTGTTCGTTGGCGCGCTTTTGTTCAGCATAATCTGCAATACCTTCAACGGGTTCGCCGAGCTTGCCCTCACGATACAACGACTTCCCGTCTTCTACAAACAACGGGACCTTCTTTTCCATCCGCCGTGGGCTTTTACGCTGCCGACGTTTCTGCTGAGAATTCCGATCTCGATCTTCGAAGCGATCGTTTGGATGGTCACGACGTACTACACGATTGGATTCGCCCCCGAACCTAGCCGGTATATATATACACACATAAATGGATCAAATTCTATCACAACAGAGGTGTTCTTACCATGTTCTTGTTACAATCTTTAGATTCTTCAAGCAACTGCTGCTGATCTTTGTCATCCAGCAAATGGCTGCGGGGATCTTCCGGCTCACCGCGGGAATATGCCGAACGATGATTATTGCAAACACCGGCGGTGCGCTTACGCTGCTGCTCGTGTTCCTCTTGGGCGGCTTCATCCTGCCTAGAGGTTAGTGATCGAATATAATGAAAAATATGAAATCAATTATTTATCGTAACAGCTATTTTCGAATGCAGACAAGATCCCGGACTGGTGGGGGTGGGGGTTTTGGGTGTCGCCGTTGAGCTACGGGTACTACGCCGTTGCAGAAAACGAGATGTTCTCGCCAAGATGGATGAACAAATTGGTAAGTTTCAATTTTCAAACAATGGATTAAAGACTGCATTTTTACGGGGGGAAATCGAACTAAAATGTTCGATCTTGTCCAGGCCTCAGACAATGCTACAAGATTAGGGGTGGCTGTTTTGAACAACTTCAACATTTTCGTCGACAGAAACTGGTATTGGATCGGGGTGGGCGCTCTTACGGGGTTCATACTACTCTTCAATGTTCTTTTCACTCTATCGCTCATGTATCTAAATCGTAAGTATCGATGATCTAGTCAACCTACTGTGTTAGTAATCCATAGCTAAGTTCTTTGTTATCCTACGACACAACAGCTCTTGGAAAGCCACAAGCAATCATATCTAAAGAGGAAGCACGAAAAATGGAATCGGAGCAAGAAGGTACGGATGAATCGCCGAGACTTAGAACAGCAAAGTCGAAGAAAGATTCCTTTCATCGATCCCTGTCTTTGACCGACGGAAACAACTCAAGTAAGAAACAATATTTATTTGTCACTTCATACTATCGTTGTACATGCTAATCGAATGTTTTCTTATTGTTTTAGTGGAAATGGTAACGCAACGTATGAGCAGTCTTTCGAACGTCTACGGCCTAAGTAGAAACGACAACTCGACTCTCGGGACAGAGAGAGCAGTTGCGCCGAAGAGAGGAATGGTTCTTCCATTCACTCCTTTAGCCATGTCTTTCGACAGCGTAAACTACCTCGTGGACATGCCACCGGTGAGAATAATTTACGCTGATTTTAGCTCAATCGACTATTTTTATATCGTGACGACAAACTTGTTCTGTTTTTTCACAGGAAATGAAAGAACAAGGTGTGACAGAGGATAAGCTTCAGCTACTTAGGGAAGTGACGGGCGCATTTAGGCCGGGAATTTTAACTGCGCTGATGGGAATCAGCGGAGCAGGTAAAACTACGCTAATGGATGTTTTAGCCGGGCGAAAAACGGGTGGATATATTGAAGGGGATATTAGAATCTCTGGATTTCCGAAAAATCAAGAAACTTTCGCAAGAATTTCTGGATACTGTGAACAAAATGATATTCACTCACCTCAAGTAACCGTGCGCGAATCTTTGATTTACTCCGCGTTCCTTCGGCTACCTAAAGAAGTTAACAAAGAACAGAAGATGGTAAGGCCTCTTTCTGATCATTACTCGAATGTAGAGTCAAAAACTACAATTGTTTAATAAGTAAATTCAAATAAGTAAATTCAAAAAACTTGCTTACGTCGACTGCAGGCTTTTGTTGATGAAGTGATGGAGCTCGTCGAACTAGACAATCTCAAGGACGCCATTGTTGGGATTCCGGGAGTTACTGGATTGTCGACAGAGCAGAGGAAGAGATTGACTATAGCAGTTGAACTTGTCGCCAATCCTTCGATTATTTTCATGGATGAGCCAACTTCTGGTCTTGACGCAAGAGCAGCAGCTATTGTGATGAGGACAGTGAGGAATACGGTTGACACGGGGAGAACTGTGGTTTGCACGATTCATCAGCCGAGCATCGATATATTTGAAGCTTTTGATGAGGTAATAACAAAAAAGATGCATAGATTTGCTTAATTATCTGTAGGAATATCGAATATTCGACAATGTTTTTCGACTTTGCGATAGTTACTTCTAATGAAAAGAGGAGGGCAAGTGATCTACACGGGACCATTAGGCCGCCACTCGCACAAAATCATAGAATATTTCGAGGTATGAAATCGAACAAATTTTGTCAACGCTATAAAGAAAAAAAGTACCTAGTGATGCTGCTGTCGAATGTAGGCGATTCCCGGAATACCAAAAATCAAAGAGAAATACAATCCGGCGACATGGATGCTTGAAGTTAGCTCGATGGCGACAGAAGCTAGGCTCGGAATGGACTTCGCGGAATACTACAAGACAACAGAGCTGTATAAGTAAGTGACGAAAATTAAACAAAGTCCGGATGTACATTAAATTCGAACACGCTGATCGATTATATGTTCATCGCTACCTAGGCGAAACAAAGATCTGGTAAACGAGCTGAGCACGCCGGCTCCAGGAACAAAAGACCTGTTCTTCAACACACAATACTCGCAATCGACGTGGGGACAATTTAAGTACTGTCTCTGGAAACAATGGTGGACTTACTGGAGAAGTCCGGATTATAATCTTGTCCGATACTTCTTCACCTTGGCGTGTGCGCTTCTTGTCGGGACAATATTCTGGAGAGTCGGCACGAAAAAGTTCGACGCCATTTTTTTCAAAGAACACTTCTTTTTCAACCTTAAGCTGTATTCACTGATTTCACTCATTCCATTTTTTTTTCGAGTTCAGGAGCACAGATACAGATCTTTTGACGATCATAGGAGCCATGTATGCTGCCGTGTTGTTCGTCGGAATCAACAACTGTTCGACGGTGCAGCCAGTCGTAGCAGTCGAAAGAACCGTGTTTTACAGGGAAAGAGCTGCGGGGATGTATTCTGCGCTGCCGTATGCCATGGCACAGGTGAAGCTTATATTCTCGAATCTGTTCGAACCAGGTGTTGAACATCTCGAATTTAAGATTTCTTCGGCTGTCTGAAATGCAGGTCGTCGTAGAAATACCATACGTGCTAATTCAGGCGACATACTACACTCTAATAGTGTACGCCATGGTTAGCTTCGAATGGACAGCTTCCAAGTTCTTCTGGTTCTTCTTCGTCACATTCTTCTCCTTCCTCTACTTCACATACTACGGAATGATGACTGTTTCCATCACGCCGAACCACCAAGTAGCCGCGATTTTCGCAGCAGCCTTTTATGCACTTTTCAATCTCTTCTCCGGCTTCTTCATCCCCCGACCGGTAAGCTATTTTTCACCTCAAAAACATCGGCATCAGATAAAAATGTGTATTCATCGACAGTAACTTTTTCAAAACTTGAATTCTCAGCAAATTCCGAAATGGTGGGTGTGGTACTACTGGATATGCCCCGTGGCGTGGACAGTATACGGGCTGATCATCGGGCAGTATGGAGATGCACAGAATACCATCACAGTAGCCGGAATGTCGACACAGCCGACAATCCAGAAATATATTCAAGACCACTTTGGATATGATCCCGACTTCAAGGGCCCGGTCGCGGCAGTCTTGATCGGATTCGCAGTCTTCTTCGCCTTCATGTATGCTTACTGCATCAAGACATTGAATTTTCAGATGAGGTAAGAAAATGTGTGTATGCAAGATTCTTCCTGCAATCTGTACAGATGTTTTGAAGCGTTCTACACCATGAAAACTATAGAGATCATGTCCTCTGATCTTGTCTGTCTACAAAAACTTTGCATTAATCAGATGTTAATTTTACTTCCTATTTACATTTCTTGAACAAGAAATGAAAGAGAGAAGATATAGTTATGATTTTGCTTATGGACAAAACGTCGAACACCTTGTGTGCATCCGAAGGATTCTGCTACAAAACGAACCCTAATTAAATTCAAGTTTCCCCAATCAAATCAAATCCCTTAAACCCCTAATTAAGCAGACATCTTCATGGATTTCGATTCGAAAATATTTTTCACGTGAATTCAGACAGGACCATATTGGATTGCAACTTCACCATGAATTTAATTACCAATCCCAGAAAACAGTGAATAATTTGAAACCTGTTTTGTTGCATCTAATAATAATGTTTTTGTCGGACCACATTTCCATGGGACAATGAAAAGGTGAGAAGATAAGCAGCGAGTAGACATGGCAGCACATCCGCCACAGAAATAAATTTTCAGACACCCCACAAATGCACACTGTCAAAAGATTGAGGACGATGTAATGACAGCCAAAATGGTTGGTGGGTCAGCTCAGTGTGCGTCGTAAGGACGATAAGATCGATGACTTCGACGCCGACGAGGTGATAAGATAACCCATAATTAGGTTCGATTATCTCAATTCGTGCAATCGACATTAGTAATATATGATGCGAATTGCCTATATTTTTATATGTTTTTGAGTTTTGGATTGGAATTTAACGAAATTCTAAACAAATTATTCAAAACGATCGAACAAACAAATTAATTTTCAGTCAGTCAAAATTGTTTAGGGATAAGGGGACCGTGGATAAAATTTAAAGAATATTGGTATAAATTTTTATCAATAATTAGTATAAAAAATAATAGCATTTGATAATAATAATTATATAAAAACAGATGTAACTTTAAGGTGATATGTCTATTTATTTTAAAACTGACAAAAATGATAAATAATTGTTTAAAATAGGGTACTGTTTTCTATGGTATATCAAAGTATTATTTAACCAAAAATTTAATATTTCGTCCAATAACAAAATATTTATTTTTTTATTTTAATATATTTCATAACAAAATATTTATTTTTTTTTAAGTAATTGTACTATTTATCTAATATTACAAATACTCTTACAACTTACAATATATTACACAAATGTTATTACTTTTGTATCACACATTATTTTAGTCATTTCTACTTTATTTCTACTCTATCTCGATGTAATACTAATATTTTTAAAACTACGTGCAAAAAGCAAATAAATATTTACTTTTGGGACGAAAAGAGTATTTTATTCAAATTAATTTCAAATCTCGTTCAAACCACTTGCATTTCTAGTTTTTTTGGGAGTGTCCCAAAATTTTGTAATTATTCATATTTTTTTGTTTCCTTATTCCGTACTTTGGAATTTCTGAACCGATAGTATTGTTCGTTTTTATTAATTAAATTAAATTTGATTTTGATCCACAAACTTTTTTTTGGCAATCATTGATGCAATTTGCCTAAATTTTTATTTTTTGAGTTTATATTTCATTTGAAACAACTTAAACAAACCAATTAATTTTTAGACATACAAGGTTCTTTAGGGTATTAAATTAGTGAGTTTTTCTATTTTTAGGGTCTTTGATTTATGCTTTGTTTACACAACAAATTTTAAAATTTATGCACTAATATTTTATATATATAAAAAAAAAATTACATTAAATATATATTTTTTAAAATATTACATCAACTACTAATTTTTTTTTTACTAAGGTTAGCTTTTGTAATATTTTCTTATATATTATTTTATTTTTCTTCGTATTCAATGTCTATATTTTCATTAACAAAATTATGTAGGATCTTTATCAACAATTTCTCTCCCATTCGACTATTGTTAGTTTGTGCAATCAGCATCAATGGCTTTCATCCCTGAATTATTGGTATTCATTGTGGTGGAGGTCCATGGCTATGTCCTCGACTCTATTGTTGTTAATTGTAATGAGGCAATAATTTATTCGAGATCGAAGGATATCGGGTAGTGTAGCTATAATATAAGTTATAAGCACGATTACATACTCATATATTTTTTAATGCGTCAAATTTAAAAATATTTATAATTGTTTTTATTTCAATGGCATAAAATACAAAATAAAATTTCACTTTGAATTCAATGTTTATATTGGAAATACATTATTTAACATACATTTTCATTGTATTATTCAATTTTGTTCGTTTTTAATTTGACTAAGGGTCATTTTCTCAACCAACTCTGTATCTATTCATCGCTTTCTTTCGGAGCGCTCTCTGTTTCCCATGCAGTATAATAAATATATATATATATATATATAAATTTGATGATGTATAAATAAATATTGTGTATAATATTTTATATAAAGAAATTAAATTTTTAATATATAAAATAATTTGAAAATATATAGAAGGGGTCCGATCGGGTATATTATTGGATATTAGGTAAGCACAAGGTTGTAATAAAAATGTGATCCCAATGAACGTTGGACGGATACTCCGATGATGCAACAGTTCCAAATAGTTAGGTGTCATGTGGCCTCTTTTCTTGCCACATATTACAATTCTCTCTAATCTTGTCCTCATCCTCTCCTTCAATGGACCTCTTTTACCATTGCCATTACTTTTTAACAAATTTCGAATGAAAAAAAAAAAAAAAGAAAAAGAAAAGAGGATTTGTTTGTTTATGGATTTGAATTTTTTAATAGTAAAAGATTGAATTTGAATTGTTATTTAATATGATGTGATATTTTGAACGTAAAATAGATTTGTATTATTTTTTCTGTTCGAGAGTTGAAATTGAGACCTTTCATTAAGGACATTGCATTTTATATAGTGTTGATAAGTAATTTATTAATAATAAATTATTATATTATTTTGTATATAAATAACGTCGTTGCTATTTTAAATATTTTTACAATTATATTTCAATAAAATATATTTAATATGAATACCATTTTGTAAATAATAAAATTATATAATACAAATAAATAAATAAAATATTTATCTATTTACAATTAACTTAATATTAATTTGATAAGAAAAAATGAAAAGTTTTAAAAAATAAAAATATTTGTTTATTAGGGAGATATAGAAATAAAGAAATCTTGTGTAAAATTAAAAGTTTAATTAAATTAATTTATATTTATTAAATATATTTAAATAAATAAATTTACTAGAATAAAAATAAATTAGTTTTATGAGACTGACAAAGATCATTATCGGTTACGAAATGAAGATAATATAATATAAACATAAAAGTATAATTATTTTATTTTATATTTTTTAGAAGAAAAAATGAGAATATTAAAAATATACAGTAAAATTTAGAAAATAACATAATTATAATTTTTTTAATTTAAATGAAAAAGTATATTTGTTTGTGGGTTTTAATATTTTAGTTTGAATTTTTAAATAATAAAAAATTGAATTTGAATAATTATTTAATGTGATATAAATATATATGAATAAAATATTTTGAACGTAAAATATATTTATAATATAATATATTTGATTTGATATTTTAAAAAAATAAATAAATTAAATAGTAAAAATACGTAAAAACAACAAAATAACACTACCATAATTACTGAAAAAATAAAAACACCGGATAATGGCAGCTGCTGTGTCCAAATATTATTATTACAGAGAAAGAAGAAGGCATTCAACGGAGTAAGAGTGAGGAGGAGAAGAAGGGGCGATTGAAGGCAGCAGAAGTGCTTCCGTACTCCTCTCATTTCTCTGCCCGATCTTGTCCTGTCTTCGCAATCTAACATCCTCGACACTCTCGAACTCTCCGCCGAGAATTTCAGCCGCCATGTTTGCCCTAAGCGGAAGCAATTTTCTGGTAATTCCGACCTCATTCATCCTTAAAAATTTTATCGAACAAGTTTCTTTGTTGAAATAAATCGCGATTTCAACTTTTTAACCTTACTTTTTGCAGAACAATCCTGTATTGGGAGGATTGACTTACTCAAATCAAAGAAAGACAGCAGCAGCTTCACGATCGATCGTTGCTTGCGTGAGTTCAAATGGAAAACCAGAGGCGGCGGCAGCGGCGGCAAACGTTGGTGTCTTAACCGATAATAGCTCGAAGGAGACGATGGAAACCCCTTCCTCGTTATCATCGCCGCCATTGATCGATAACGAATCTAAACCGACCGTCTGCGGCGGCGTCCAGGACGTCTACGGTGAGGATAGCGCCACGCAGGATCAGTACATCACGCCTTGGACAGTCACTGTTGCAAGGTAAAATTCATTCAACTGGTAATTTTTTTTTTTTACTTTTTTTTTTCAATTTCTTGAGATTCTTTGGAAATGTCGATATCTTCTGTTTCTCCTTTTCTTTGAAATTGCATTTGTGGTTTTTTTCGAAGATTGGGTTTATAAAAAGGGCTTTTTCTTGCTTTGATCTCGCTGCCTTATCAATCACCGTTGATTTGAAGTTATGCTAGAGTAAATATATACTCCCTCCTTCCAATTTCAAAGGGTGATTTGGGATTTTGCAGTAAATTAAAAAATAATATAATTTCATTGGTCAACGAAAGTATGCAAGAGATTTTAAAATTTTTGCTATTTTCACTTTATATACCGAGAAATTGTACGTGTAATGTATGTTTGTAATTAAGATAAAAGTTAAAAAAAAAATATTTTGATATCAGTATACATAATTACTTTTACAAATAGTAAAAAAGGGATATTTAGAGTGGGACGGACAAACGGTAGAAAAGGTACTTTGAATTGGGACGGAGGGAATATTTCGTAATTCACAAAAGATCGCAGCCTTAATGTTATAAGATGAGATTGTTTTCGCATACTTGTTTGGATGTAAGTATATGGCTATCGGCTATTCTATTACAGTGGATATCCATTGTTGCGTGACCCTCATTACAACAAGGGCCTCGCCTTTACGGAGAAGGAAAGGGATGCTCACTTCTTACGTGGTCTTCTCCCGCCCGTGGTTATAAGCCAAGATATCCAAGTTAGCATCATAGGCTCTGAATTCTTTGTTTCTAACATCGACGATGATTAATAATTGTTTTGATATCTATTTTCGCGCTTATTTATTGCAATAGGTTAAAAAGATGATGAGCAACATGCGCCAATATCAAGTCCCGCTACAAAGATACATGGCTATGATGGATCTTCAGGTATTCTCTTCGTCTAAAATGGAATTCTCGAATGCTTCCGGCTGTTATTACAGACATTTTTGTAAGTTATGGCACTATTCACCGATTGTTTCCAGGAAAGAAATGAACGACTGTTTTACAAGCTTCTAATTGATAATGTTGAAGAGTTGCTACCTGTTGTCTACACTCCGACAGTTGGCGAAGCATGTCAGAAATATGGTAGCATCTTCAGACAACCTCAGGGCCTCTTCATCAGCCTGAAAGAAAAGTATTTTACACGCCAGGAATAAATAAAGTGCTGCATTGATTCTTCATCATAGTTACGCTAAAAATTTTCAGACCCGTATTTTCAGGGGAAGAATTCTTGAGGTGCTGAGGAATTGGCCCGAGAAGAAGATTCAAGTAATCGTCGTAACAGATGGGGAGAGGATTTTGGGACTCGGAGATCTTGGCTGTCAGGTAAAAAAAAAAAAAAAAAAATCGATCCAATTTGTTATGCCATTAATTTCTGCATTCGACTTACCGTTTCGGTAAATATTCCAATTTTACCAGGGGATGGGAATACCTGTCGGAAAACTTTCACTGTATTCAGCTCTCGGTGGCATTCGACCTTCTGCTGTAAGTGTTAGAACCAATACGATAATTTTGTAATGGATCGGCCTTTCATATGTACTAAATTGATGTCCGATTCTTCCCAGTGCTTGCCGGTGACTATTGATGTTGGAACGAACAACGAGCAGCTGTTAAACGACGAGTTTTATATTGGTCTTAGAAGGAGGAGAGCAACTGGGCAGGTTTAACAATCTTTAACTACAAATTCGATTCTTTGACGATACTATTTGGGTTTTCGCTGATTCAGTGCAATTTTTGGACATCAACAGGAGTATTCTGAGCTGTTCGACGAATTTATGTCAGCAGTGAAGCAAAATTATGGAGAAAAAGTTCTTATTCAGGTAAGTTGTATATTATGACAACCCTGTGTTTGCCAATTTTGTTTAGTGATTGTTAATTCATTCTATCGAACGTATTGTCTGAGGATTTGTAGTTCGAAGATTTTGCAAATCACAATGCTTTTGATCTCCTCACTAAGTACGGCCCGACCCATCTTGTTTTCAACGATGATATTCAGGTAAAATATAATCGTGTGGAGCATTCGATCGTTCTGTACTATCGACGATGTTTATCTCGTTTTTCGATCGTATCAGGGCACAGCATCGGTAGTTCTTGCCGGGCTTATGGCGTCGCTTAGAGTGGTTGGGGGTACATTGTCCGAACATACTTACCTATTCCTCGGAGCTGGAGAGGTGATTTTTCATTACCTATCATAAAATTGTAAATTATGAAATATACGGTAACAAATTCGAACATTGTTGTACAGGCCGGCACGGGAATTGCAGAGCTTATAGCGCTTGAAATATCGAAACAGGTGAAAGAATGACAACGAGAATTCTTTTCGGGTAATCGAACATTTTTTTGGCCAATTTTCTTTCTCTAAAGAAGTCGGAAATTCTTTTGTATGCAGACTGGCGCTCCGTTGAAAGAGGCTCGCAAAAGAATTTGGCTCGTCGACTCGAAGGTATTCGGCTGAACCTCGTTTTATCTTCTCTTTTTTTATCGATTCCATTTTTGAAATCTACCGTCGAGATATCGAACGCCTACACACTTTCTTCCAGGGGTTGATTGTTAGATCCCGCGTTGAGTCGCTTCAACATTTTAAGAGACCTTGGGCTCACGAACACGAACCTGTCCGAACTTTGTTAGATGCTGTGAAGGTACGGTTACAATCTTACGTTCATATATATATACATAGGTATATATGTATCGTTTTTGGAAGTGACGGCGCAATCGAATGGTGGATAAAATGTCTGGACAGGAAATTAAGCCCACAATACTAATCGGATCGTCGGGAGCGGGAAGAACCTTCACAAGAGAAGTGATCGAGGCAATGGCGTCGTTCAACGAGGTAAGAATTTCGATATATCTTCACGTTCTGTATTCTCGACGGAACTTATTACAGCAGTTAAGGTTACATAAAAAATTTCACGTGCTGTTAGAAACCGGTTGTTCTTGCCCTCTCGAACCCGACCTCCCAATCAGAATGTACTGCCGAAGAAGCTTATTCATGGAGTGAGGTATCAGCTACACGATTTTTAAATACACTTGTCGCAATGCCCGATCGATTTTAGCGAATTCGTTTACGTCGCTTATGTAGGGTCGAGCAATTTTCGCTAGCGGGAGCCCGTTCAGTCCCGTCGAATACGACGGCAAATTTTATGCTTCCGGCCAGGTTCCGTATAACCATTCATGATTCGTCGACTATTTTATTTAATTTTTCGAACTTTTGCGCTTACGGCCATGTTAATTTCTTGATTAAGGCGAATAATGCTTACATTTTTCCTGGATTCGGGCTCGGCTTGATAATATCTGGCGCCATACGAGTTCACGACGACATGCTTCTAGCAGCTTGTAAGTTCTTACCATTTTACGTTGTGTCTGATTCGAGACAAACTTAAGTAACTAACTCGGCTGCGCCTATCTTAACAGCGGAAGCATTAGCTGATCAAGTTAGCCAAGAGAATTTAGACAAAGGGCTAATATACCCGCCCTTTTCGAACATCAGAAAAATCTCAGCCGAGATCGCGACTAGAGTGGCAGCTAAGGCGTATGAGCTTGGTAATAACATCTTCATTTTTGGTTCTAACATGATCGATCGATCATCCTTATTTATAGCAAATTCGTCGTGTCGTAATAAAATTTTGTTTTGCCTGATTTGGTCGCGCCATAGGTTTGGCTACTCGGCTCCCGCAGCCAAACAACCTCTTCGCCTACGCGGAAAGCTGTATGTACAGCCCCATTTATCACAATTACCGTTGAACCAACGACTAACGGAACGGACCTATCGATTGCAGCCGTCTCCGATATGCATCGGCGGCACCGCCGTCTTATCCCGTCGGGTTTTGCTTTTTTTTTTTTTTTTTTTTCCTTACAGTCCTGTTCTGAGATTATTCTTATCTTCTCCGAAACTTTGCAATTTGTGTGTAGAAAGTAGGATTAGGTCACTGGATTATGTTGCTTGTAATAAAATAGGATTTGTCGAATGTTGTTGCAATTTTCATGTTTAAACATACACTGTTTTTTTTTTTTTTTTTTAAAAGGATTCCGTTATCTGTATATTTGATTGGATTTTACTTGACAATAGGACAAATTCTTCCCGGTGGGAAGAATGTCAACCAGGATATATATAAAATCTAAAAAAAAGTTAAACAGCTGTTGGCCGATGTGGAACAAATGAACTGTTTGCGAGGTCAGTCGGTTGTGAAGGTTTGATAGCATTTGTGAATATATGTTTTTCATATTTAATATATATATCTATAATTTTAATTTATTTTATAAATTTGTGAATAAATAATAATAATTATTAATTGAATTTAAATATAAAAGCAAACTAGAATCGACAAATGATCACATTAGGCAGATTGTGTATCGGCAGACCAAATTTCAAAATGTCGGAATTTAAATTTCACAGCGACGAGTCCATCGTCATCTCTTGCGGGACAAGTCAACACTGATAGGATAAATAGATGTAACAATTTCGGGCCGTCCAACATAAGATAAACTAGGTGGGTCAGAATCAACCTATAAAACTATATCTTCATTTTGAATATAACTATATTTGGATAAAATTATTTCATTTTAAAATATGCTATTTTCATTAGGTAATTAATATTTTATAAATATACAATATAATAAAAAATAGTATAATGTCTATTTTACCATTGATTTTAAAGTAAAAGTAATGTAAAAAGTAAAACTATTGATATTTTGATATTTAGCTGACAGTTAAAATAAATTTTTTTGAATTAAATTCACTAAAATAGTAAAATGAAAAATTGACTTGAAAGTTAAAAGGAAATTTATTAAACCGGGCCGGGCCAGGCCAGATACAAACTTTCATACTTTCATACGCCTTGTTAGAAGTTTTGAGGTAAATAATGAGACTGTGTTATTAATTGTCTAAATAAGGAGCCTATATATAGGCAATAAAAAACCGATAGACTTAAATCTAAATAATATAATTTATGGATAAGACTATATCTAAATATAAATCTACTAAATTTAAAACTGAATATCTAAAATATTCCCCCTCAAACTCAAGTGGTATAACAGAAACCAACTAGAGTTTTGATACGAAAGTTGAACATAAACGCAAAAACAAAAATAAAAATAATAGTTGACTCTCCATTGGAGCCGGAAACGAGATGATTTTGCACCCCACCCCGGAGCAAAAAATGAGATGACTCCACCGGAGTCGAAAACGAGATGACTCTCCACCTGGCCGAAAACGAGATGGCCGAAAACGAGATGACTCCACCGGAGCCGAAAACGAAATGACTCAATCGGAGCCGAAAACGAGATGACTCCACCGGAGCAAAAAAATGACATGATTCCACCGAAATCGAAAACGACATGACTCCACCGGAGCCGAAAAACGAGATGACGCTCTACCGGAGCCGAAAATGATATGACTCTACCGGAGCAAAAGCCGACATAACTCCATCGGAGGCGAAAACTAGATGAATCCACCGGAGCTGAAAATGACATGACTCCACCGGAGCTGGAAACGACATGACTCTACCGGAGTCAAAAGCAACATGACTCTCTACCGGAGTTGAAAATTAGAAGACTCTATCGGAACCGAAAACAGTTAGATCGCAAATACCAAACATATCGCATGTAGGCAACAGACAAGCAGTGGATAATTTGCAGATCGCAGATAGATTTCAAGATTTCAGATTGCATGTAGTCAATAGACAAGCAATGGACAGATAACATATAGCATGATCTCAAAATCACAAGACCTTCTGGTACAATCGAGAGGTTGAATGTACCCCGAGAAACAAGATTGATAGGCTATATTTACAACATCAGAAAAATAGGCTCTGATACCATGTTAAAAAATTTTGAGAAAAATAATAAAATTGTCTTTTATCATAAATAAGGAGTCTGCAATACAAAACCGACTCCATAGTAAGCAACATATGAACCCAAAACAGTTTATTAGTTGTGTCCCGCTGAATCGTTCCGAAATTATTCGAACTTTTTTTTATTTAAATAAACTAATTTATATTACAAATATATAAATTTTATTTATTATAGTGAATATTAGTCTGCTCTAAAGCAGCCATATATTCTGTGAATTAAATTTTCGGAGCAGCCAATTAAGACACAACTTAGGTAAGCAAAGAATCAGCTTGATACTGTCCATCTGTTTGCCAGAATATAATATTATCATCGACTAAATCAAATCATACCCACACCAAATTAATTACAGAATCAAATTTTACTGTTACCAATACCTACATACACTTCTTTATATATATATATATATATATATATAGGGTTCATTCTTTCTAGCATTACAAAAAAAAAAAGAAGAAAAAAAGAATCAGATGTGGCCTAGGACAGAGATTGAAATACGAGATTGAGTACAAATAAATATTATTATAAATCATCATCATCAATCACTCTTTATAGTAAGTAGGCTTTATTGTGTTTGTCTGCAGATTTGTGGGCATATATTTGTGAAGATAATATTTAGTTTTAATTTAATGTGATCCACACCAACAGATAGATGATTTTTTTTTCTTTTCTTTTTGTATAATTAAATTAATTAACTAGGAGAGAATGGAATCAATTTAAAACTGATGGGTTATGGTAGGATTCTATATCATACATATCATATATATATATATATACTGATGCTGTACAACTTTATTACAACACAACTCTCAAAAATAAACAGTTAAATCCATCCAAACAAATTCTGTGTTGTCTGTTTGTCACCTTTACACAAAGAATATTCTATAGGGGAATATATATATATATATATTATATAAATTTAAGATTTGATGAGTGTTTAGTAAGATCGATCTATATAAACCCTCCCTCTCCATATCCATTCTTAGATCGATCAAATCAAATCAAATCAAATCAAACCCTAATCTTGAAATTAAAAGAATTAGATATGCAGAGGTCACAACTTGCCTACATGAAGCAGTCCCTCTTTGATCAGGTCTCTTTTCTTACATTGTAATTAAGCTCTCTACTCTCTTTCTATTTATATTTAAATATAATTTAATATATTCAAACAGTACTTCAAACATAATCGAGCACTTAACGCATAACAAAATAGACAAATGTTAGAAGTTAGAACAACATATATGTTTCTATTAACCTTAGGACATATCGCACATTACAAGTCAGAATAGCACCCGATAGACGAGACAAACTAATAATATTTTAATAACAATTGTATATTGTGTATATTATTACAATACGCTTGATTGAGGTAATTAATATGACTCGATCAGTACCATAACCGGTCCCTTCATGCACAGGGGTATTTGGACGAGCAATTTGTGCAATTGGAAGAGCTTCAAGATGACACAAACCCTAATTTTGTGGAAGAAGTTGTTACATTGTACTACCAGGACTCCGCCCGACTTATCGGCATCATTGAGCAAGCTTTGTAAGTTCATTACAGCCGGAACTTTTGTAATTTCTTATATATATATATATATTCACTTCGTATAATTTTCTATAAAAATATATTATTTTGAAATAAAATATTAAATTCAAGCACTATTGATTCAAAATAGAAACATAAATGCAAAAATCGAAATACATACATTATTGGAGTAATTATATCATGATTTGTGTATGTGTTTTTTTAGGGAGAAGAATCCTTTGGACTTTGCTAAGCTGGACAGCCACATGCAGCAGTTCAAGGGCAGTACTTCAAGGTATATATATAAAAAATATATTTTTAATTTAATCTCGAAAATTCCGAGGCCATTTAATATAATAAAATATATTTTTACATTGGTCTCGGAAATTCCAAAGTCATTTATTTTGATTTCGAAAGTTCTGAAGCCATTTTAACTATTCGAATCCATCTGATTTTAAAATATATTTTATTTGTATTTTTACAGCCTCGGAATCAATTCCGAGGCAATTTTCCAAACACAAATCACATTTTTTATGATAGTGATATATGTATATAGGGTATTAGTGTCGAAAAATTCCGTACACGTACATGGGACGTGTTGATTAACTCTCTTATATATAAATAAATAAATAGTGTGTATTCATAAAACTCTTAGACGATTATTTACATCATTTAATACAATAAATAGACAACGTATAAATCATGAAACAACACATTTATGGTGTGTTTGTTTGAGGGATCTGTGAAGATTTGTACTATTCATCCCATTTTTCCCCCCAAAAATATCAAATCAAACACCTATTTTTTATTTTTTATATTATACTAAAAATCAATTTTACATTCAAAACATCGTATCAATACCTATTTATATCAGATCATACAACTATTCAAATTCAAAAATTTTACTATTCAAATCCCAAACTCAAAATCCAAATCTCCAAACAAAGTATTACTTTAATTTATTTTAATAATCTTCAATTAAGATACTTTTCTTTTTTCTTTTTCCTTAGGTTGTTACTATTTTCAATTTTTTTTTTTTTTTGCAGCATTGGAGCTAAAAGGGTGAAAGAAGAATGCACTCACTTCAGACAACACTGTGAAGCTGCAAATGCTCAAGGGTAATAATTCTTTTATCATTTATATATTTATATATATATATATAATTTTATTATCATATTATTCTGCAAACAGATGCAGAAGAACTTTCCATAAACTGAAGAAACAATACACTACTCTCAAAAACAAGCTGCAAGTTTATTTTCAGGTTCCAAAATAATTAAATTTATAGTTCTTTCTAATTTAATTCAAAATAAAAATAAAAATCATTCCTAACTGTTCATAAATATTGTTTATCATTCATTAATTGTGCAGATTGCAAGACAAGTTGGACCTGTTTATTCTGCTTCTCGTCGATGAAACACTTCGATCAACTCATGCTATCGAAGTGTCTATGATTTCTTGAGATTTTTGTTATTAATCTTTTTTTTTTATATATAAAAAAAATTGATGAGTATTGTTATGAGTGTACTAATTAATTTGAGCCGAGGAAACTTTCGATTACATGTTTGAACAATCTTTGTAATAGAGTTTTATTAGTGTCCTTGCAATGCAATTTGCACAATTACACTAAGCTAGTATTTTCCTTCAATAAGATAACATAAATACTTTTTATTGATAACATTCAATTACACATTAATTTTTTATTTGAAAAATTTAAATTTAAAACTTATATTTCATTATATATATATAATTTCGAATCCAAGTTTTAATGTCTTTTCCGTCAAGTCTGTCACACATAACTAATTATCTAATTGATTTTCCTAAGTCACATGATTTATAAGCTATTGCGGATAGAATTTTATTCAATATGTAATCAAAATTAGCAACTTTAATTTTATTTAATAAATAAATAAATAACATGGATGATCAATTTATTAAAATAATAAGTAAACAAATACAATGAATAAATGGGTTTTAATTTCTTTAACAATTCTCAAATTTCCATAAAATACAGTGCTTTACATTTAAACTACTATTTTGATAAAAATTCAAAATTAAAATACAATATTAAACCTAACATACCCAAACATAAGAGTTTTGTTTACACAAACATTTTTAGAATTTTGGTACTAATTTATTTTTTTTTAGAAAATATCACATCAAATATATTTTTTGATGTCATAAAATGTCAAATAATAATTTTTTAGAAGGTGTTTGGTAAATAATTTTTTAGCTTGTTGAAGAGATTTCAACAGTTTGACCAGTAAATTAGCGTTTTCAATTAGTTAATTGGATATAGAAAATTAATTTTGAAAAAGCTGTATAGCTCAAAATAGCTTTTTTATTTTAATTTTCTATTTGCTTTTAAAATTAATTAATTCTTTCACATATATTAATATTTTTTTTATTACACTATTTATTAATTCTTTGAATATATTTTCTTCTAGTAACTTATAAATTTGTGTTTATAAATTTTAAAAAATTATTTTTTTATATTTCAATTATTTTATTTATAAATTTCTTTAATTTTTTTTAGAATACATGTAATATAAAAATATTAATATTATTGATAATTTATATAGTATTTTACATCACATAATATTTTTATTAAAAATGAATATATTTATTTAAAACTATAAATTTAATGTAAATACATATTAACTAAATTAAATTAATAAAAATGCATATACTAATAATTTTTGTTCTTTTATATTTATACTATTTCTAATGAAAAAAAAAATATATTTTTTAATAAGTTTGCATTAATTCTTTACAAAATATTTTAAAAATAAATATCTTAATAAAACTTTTTAAAATTTTAAAATTAATAATAAATTTTTTAAGTCTACCCGCCGAAAAACTAACTAAATATTTTGAAAATAAAATATAAAATATTTTTAATGGTCATTTTACGTATAAACGGTTAATATAAAACCGTTATTTACTAAACACTTTAATACACACCGCTAATCTAATCAACTAGTCAAACCAACTAATCGAATCAGCTAACCGTTGTGAAACCTACCTTTAATCTTTACAAATTATTTAAAATAAAAAATAAAAAATAAAAAACCTCTTATCTAAAGTCCAAATTCAAAAGTTCATTGATTTTGAAAGAGCTGGGCCAATCTACATGGAAGCCCAAATTACTTGGCAATAATAAATTAATAGGCCCATTTATAAATGGGCTTTGAGGCCCAATACCTACAAGAACAGCATGTGTCCATCTCTACTAAAATCGACATAAAGAAGCACCGTCATCTCAGGTTGCGCAATCTCGCATCGGCAGGATTGAACTCCGTCGCCGTCTCACCCTTCTTTCCCAACGCGCACACGCTTCGCTACGCATAATCAATCATAAGTGTTTCAGGAGAATCTTCTTCGAGCTGGAGTGCAATTTCGTGGAGGGAATTTGTTTGGATTTGTTCCTGGTGGAATTTTATTGAGGATTTGTGTTTGAGTCGATTTGTAGGGTTGTTTTCTTCTTCTATTCCCTTTTTCTCTCAGCATAGGCTCTTGAATCGTTAGTTTGATAGTTCCAAAGGGATTAAATTCAATTTTCGCCTCCCAATTTTTGTTGTTTGTTATTGTGAGTTGTGATTTTTCTTTCCCTCTTTGAAACCCTGATTGAAGACGGCGGCTTCTTTGGTGTGTTTTTTTTGTTCTTGCTAGGGTTTCGGTTCTGAATTCGAACTTTCAGGAAATCTTGGTCCGCCAGTAGTTTTTTATTTCCATTTCCATTCGAGCTGGAGATTGTTCCGAAGATATTGATTTGTTGGGCGTGTTTTCGCTGGGATTTAATTCTTTGTGCCCTAAGCGTAGAGTTTGAAAATTGCAGTCGTGCCTTGTGGTAGCTGAGTCATACACAGAAATCCGTTCATGGCTTCATACCGGCCGTTCCATCCTCCGCCGCAATCGACATTTACTCCACCACCCCCGCCGCCGCCGCCGAATCAGAACGCTTTGCAGCCACCGCCTCCGCCTCCACCTTCACGCGGTAGCAATCAGTATCCCCAAAATTGGGGTCCCGGTTACAATCAGAGCTATTCCCAGACGAACCCTAGCTCCAATTATCAAGGCTATGGATCGTCATCATCACAGTATAACCCTCCGGGAAGAAACCCGCAGCCACCACCACCGCCACCGCAACACCAACCATTTCCGTATCAGCCTCCACCTCCACCTCCGCCGTCAGATTCTTCTTATCCCCCACCTCCTCCACCGCCCCAGCCTGCCCCAGCCACAGCCCCTCCATCTTACTATCCGCCATCTCAGTATTCTCAGTTCAATCAGCCTCCTCCTATGCAGCCACCCCCACCCCCACCTCCCCCTTCTTCTCCTCCTCCACCCCCACCACCATCACATCCATCTTCGCCCCCTCCATTGCCTTCTTCTGCCCCTCCTCCAGGTCCAAGCAATGAGAATAGGCAACCCCATGCCGGGCCCTCATTTAAAAAGGAGCAGAAGCCTCCACAGCCTTTGAGTGGCAAGGGATTAGGTGGGCATGGGCCTTCTGGTAGGGTTGAGACAGAGGAGGAAAGAAGGTTGAGGAAAAAGAGAGAGTATGAAAAGCAGAAACAAGACGAGAAACACAAGCAGCATCTGAGAGAGTCACAGAATAAAGTGCTGCAGAAGACCAATATGTTGGCCTCTGGGTCCAAAGGCCATGGCTCAATTAGTGGGTCGCATATGGGTGACCGGAGGAGTACTCCTTTACTAAGCAGCGACAGAATAGAAAATCGACTGAAGAAGCCAACAACATTCCTTTGCAAATTGAAGTAAGTATATCTCAGATTCTCAGCAGTTTATTTGAGTATGCTGTTCTTTAATCTTAGTTTGGCATATTTATGAGGTAACTGTTAAGATTATGTTGATTAATGATTGCAGGGTTTTAATAATATGAAACATTACTACTCAGTTTTGAGTAATGTAGTGCTGAACATTGCGCCACCATTAATTTCAAATAAGAGGGATAAAAGATAATATTTGATCATCTTGTTGTAACATGTAGGGATAAGATGAACTCGTAGTTGTATATTATTTGGATGATAACTCCATTGATTATCAACGACTAGTTAAATGGGGTCAATAATATGTTACGTATGTGCTTGCTTGTTTCGGTGTGTATCACTGTGTATGAATTTGGTATCTTGTATCATAATTGATACATCTTTTCATTTAACTGACCACCTGAGGTAAATTGGCTGGTTATGTTAAAATTGGAATTTGGAGACCTAAGCCAGATATAATCTTGTTTCTCTTCTTTTGTGCTATTATTTATCAAGTCGTAGCAGTCATTAGCATGAGGGCTACAGACTTAGTTTATGATGGCACTTCAATTCTCTATATTTTTATGTGGAATGTCTGATTTATTGTCCTTTGTAGGTTTCGAAATGAGCTGCCGGATGCATCTGAAAAAATGAAGCTTTTAACCATGAAAAGAGATACAGATCGGTATGACCAATTATTTATTATGTTTTGATATTGTTAGAATTAATCTGTAGAAGACACGAGTTCATGTCAGATATTTTTCTTATGCTATGTATTTGATATCTGTAAATTGGTGAAGAAGTTCAGTTCTAGAATGTGCGCTGGAGTTACAACAGAAAATGATGATCTGTTTTGACTAATTCTGGAAATAGATGTTTATATGTTTCGGTTGCTCACCCATCTAACTATTGTAAGTCGAGTTTCTACGCCTCTGCCTCAGCAAGTGTTTGGAATCATGGACCAGAAGTGTTTAAAGACCTTGTAAGCATTTTTAGGCAATGGTGAAACATAATCTATATTCACTTTTGACATGTATGGAGGGTGTGGTAAATTCCAATTCCCTGGTGCCGCTTCCACCACCAACATATGAATAGCCACTTAACAAATGCTTGTGCTGAATAAGTCCTGAAATTTTGCCATTACTGCAGTGGAATTTTTAGGAGTTGACAAAATGAAATAATAAATACATCTTTGGAGATTGTAATTTGTGTATTGAGCTTCCTGACAGTCACAGAGAGGGTATAAAATTGAAGGAATGATTGAGGTAATTGTACATATTGAATGCTTGTCCTGCCAATATTGTAAATCATCAAGATTACCCTCTCAATTCCATTTCCAGTATGTTAATAAAAATTCAGGTAGTTGAAAGAGAAAAAAGTGTCGGAAGTCACTCGCCCTTTTTCACTGTTTCGATCATTTAGACAGAAATTGTGATTTGAACCTCTGCAGATATTGCAAATATCAAATTACATCATTGGAGAAAAATTGGAAGCCTCAGCTGTATGTGGAACCGGATCTTGGAATACCGCTGGACCTTCTTGATGTGAGAGTGTACAAGTAAATTTTCTTAACCTTTATTTGGTTTTGTTCTTTGTGTAGTGGTTTTTATCTGATATTTTCTCTCTTTATCGATCAGTCCTCCCAAAGGTGAGAGGATACCCCTTGATCCAGAGGATGAAGAGTTGTTGCATGATGATGATCCTGTAACTCCAATTAAGTCAGATGGCATAAAGAAGAAAGAAAGGCCTACAGATAAAGGTGTTTCTTGGCTTGTAAAAACTCAATACATATCACCACTGAGCATGGAGTCAACCAAGCAGGTGCGCGCCATTTAAGTCATTTGTAGTATGTAATTGTTAGTAAAAAGCACGATTTGAAGCTTGACTAAAGAATTGGATGTTAAATGCAGTCACTTACAGAAAAACAAGCGAAAGAATTGCGAGAATCTCGAGATCGACTTCTTTTGGAGAATCTCAATAGTAGGTTAGTGATCATATTATTTTCTGTTTATGATTGAATGATTTACAGTTGTGATGTTTGGAAATTGAGTTCTATTTCCTTTATTCAGGGAAAGGAAACTGAAGGATATTTCAACTTCGTTTGAGGCGTGCAAGTCCAAACCTGTTCATGCTGTGAATCGAAATTTGCAACCGAAAAGAGTTCTCCCTCTCTTTCCTGATTTTGACAGGTATAGCCAACTTATAGCGTCTTTAGGTTCAATGCGCATTGTTTATTTCCTTTGTTTTGCTTTCATTATTATGGTTCCTTGATGGTATTACTTGTGCCTTATCTCTCTTATTCACAAATTTCATCCTTCGGATCATTTTGTTGAGGCACATAATTTTATATGATTAATTTTTAACAGCACTTTGATACTAATCAGATCTAATTTACTATATGCTCTATTTTACTTTCAAATACTACCTTTGTCCTTCCACTATTATTTCTAATTTGGGACGTCTCAAAAAATGTTTGTAATTTTTTTTTTGTACGATTTTCCCCTTTTACCCTTCTAAATACATTTTATATAATCATTTCAAGCAAAAAATAAGGACAAAAATGGTAAAAAAACTTTATTAAAATAATACCACGGCGCCAAAACTAAAGAAAGCAAATTGGGATGGAGGTTGGATCGGAGAAACCATAATTATTTTATAATGCATGTTTGCTTTTAAAAATGGTTGCCTAAATTGTTACACTGACCCAATATTATTGTCAGGGTTTATAACACCTTTCTTACATTTCTGTATGGAACATCCCTTTGTGCTAGTATCTGGACTCTCAATGAATGATTCTTGTTTGTCCAGGTATGATGACCAGTTTGTGGTTGCGAATTTTGATAGCGCTCCAACGGCTGATTCAGAAATATATGGAAAACTAAGTGCAGCAGATCGAGATGAGTATGAACATAGAGTGAGTGATATTCATATATCATAAATATCTTACTATTGATGATATTACATTAATGAAATTGCTTTAACTTAAATCTGCCAAGTTTCATTTGTTTGGTATGGAAGAATTCATTTATTAGATCGAAAACCATGATCTTAAAAAGCTTCTGATCAAGTGTTTTTGAATGTCATTACTCATTATGCTATTGCTTCTGATCGTAAAATCATTAAGTATTGTTGATCTTCCTGGTCTTGTCTCTATCGGCTATTAAAAGATTAATCTTCCTGGTTTTGTCCCTGGTGGCTATTAGATATTTAATCTTCCTGGTTTTATTGCTAGCGGATATTAGATATTTAATCTTCATATTTTTGTCGCTGACAGCTATTAAATATTAATCTCCCTGGTTTTGTCGCTGGTGGATATTAGATATTTAATCTTCATATCTTTGTCACTGACAGCTATTAAATGTTAATCTTCCTGGTTTTGGCACTGGTGCCATTTGTTGACAGTGTTGCAATACCAAAGTTATGCTGTTAATGCATGATTCATTCTGCAGGCAATTTTGAAGAGTTTTATGTCCTCAGTCTCTGATTCGGAGAAGCCTGATAAATTTTTGGCATATATGGTGCCATCAGTCGAAGAGGTTGATTCTCTCAGTCCAATATATGAAGGCTTCTTATTAGATACACTCTGGTTGATAATATTTTATTGATATTCCACTTTTTTGGTGCAGCTGGATAAGGATCTATACGACGAAACTGAAGATATTTCTTATTCTTGGGTTCGCGAGTATCTCTGGGATGTATGTATATGCAGTCTTATATCATACTCTCGATTCTTCCTGCAACTTGACATATTATCTCTTTTAAATGCTTGCGACTGACAGGTGCGCACTGACGATGCCGAAGATCCCACATCATACCTTGTGACATTTGGTGAAACTGAAGCCAAATACCTGGTCAGTTCCTATAACTTTGTCCCATTTTGCAAGTTCTCGCATTCGATAGCACGATAGTGCTGACCCCTACCTTTATATAGCCGCTTCCATCAAAGCTAATGTTACGGAAAAAGCGCGCAAGAGAGGGTAAATCAACTGAGGAAGTGGAACAATTTCCAGTACCTAGGTCGGTGACTGTTAGGAAACGAAGCACACTAGCTGCATTGGAACTGAGAGACGAGGCGGTACAGATATAAATAAATATTCGCAAAATTTAAATTTTATTTGACCGCGCGTCCATTTTATATCAGTCACATTCTCATTTGTGTTGCATACCCAGGATTTCCAACCTCAAAAAATCTCACGAAATGGAAGGGGAGGCATGGATGGCCACAGCGGTGGTCGACTGCGCAGGATGGTGCAAGAGGCCGATGCTGATGCCGATAATTTCAGCGAACAAGAGGATGACATGTCTGAGTAGTGGTTTTCCATGGTAAGGATGAGATCCCTTTCTTTTAAATTTGTGTTTTATAGCCTTTTGGGATATGGGAGCTTTTTTTCTTTTTCTTTTTTCTGTAAGTAATTTGAATTAGTACTGTCAAGAAAGAACAAAAAAAAAAAGTTTTAAAAGAAACCAATGTACAATTTTGCTAGTGCAGCCAACCACATTTTATCAGTTTCTTTGCCATTCTTGATGGCATGTATTGGTATCAGTAACTATTAGACGAGGCTAAGCATATTTATTTTTTTTTCTTGTTGATTTTAATTATATTCCATTTTTACCTTCCAATATGGGTGAATTTAAAAAGGCAAAGCACCAAGAAAATGGAATATGATCATATGTTTGAGCATAGGAAGGAATGGTTAGGGTTCTAAGATATAGATAGATAGCATCTTGTTTATTAAGAGTATGTGGTGTATGATCTTTTGTGCGGAAATTAATGATAGTATGTGAAATGTGAACTATTATCATGTGCTATTTGTATGTGATATGTAAATGAATTGTTACTTGCTATTTGTATTATATTAAGATAAAGTTTTTGCTATTTGATTTATAGTATTTCATGGGATGTCTATTTATAATTCAGCACAATGTTAATTAATAAATATGATTCAGCAGTGACATGGAGATTATATTCGGATTGAGATATATATATATATATATGTGTGTGTGTGGTCCATTGGTTTGGAGTCCCAAATATGATTGAAGAATGTGATCATATTCTTGGTGGGATTAGATTATGCATCTAAAGGGTTTTGTTTATTTGCACACACCTTTAGTCGGCTAAACGAATCAGTTATCCATATTTTTTTTTCAATTATTTTATTATACTTTTTCTCAAAAAAAAAAAAATTATATATTTAAACAACTGTAAATATAAATCACCCAATGGTTTTGTTTACTTCTTATTAGTATGAAATAAATTTATATTATATATATTGTATATAATATAATTTTATATTTTATGATATGACATTTATGATGAACATATTTCATTTTTTTATAAGAAAATATACATATTGTTGATGTAATTTTTCAACAAAAATAAAGTAAAATTCAAAGATATAGAAAATATCCTTAAACTTGATTAATTAGTGCCTGAGATTAGGAATCTCTAAACACTGTACGGTACAGAAAATAAACTGGAAAATAAAAGACTGAAATTTAAAGTGGTGATCCCCAAATCTGACTTTGTTTTGTTGAAGTTGATTGAAGATGCCTTGCCAAATGATGATCCAAATCCTTAAATATTCTTTGAAGAAAACGTTCAGAACCGTCGCACTGTTTCACCAACCGTTCCCACCAGTTACAGAACTCAGAACTGCCTCTTTCATTGACACATGTCTTTAACCGCCTCGCCAACCGCATAACCCAACGACCGACCAACCGACTAATCTAGATACATAATTGGTCGCCAGATCAAAAGACTCACTGGTCGCCCCATCAAACGACCACTATTTGGTCTCTTCAATCGTCTGACCTATCAACAGACCTTTCTTCGCCCGACTTCCTTTTTCGACCGACCCCCATAGCAGCCAACCTTTGTATCAACCGACCCATTTATCCGACTGCGGATAATCCGACCTGCTTGTCCGACCGCGGACCATCTGACTTGCTTATCTGATTGAGAACCAACCGACTGAGAACCCACCGACTGACTCTGGATACCTTATTATTATTATTATTATTATTATTATTATTTTTTGTGCGTAACAACATGCCTCCTCCTCAAGACTCCTAAGCATCATTTCTTATGATGTTTTAGGAGTTAGTAGGTTAGCATCCGAGGCTACGTCAGCCTCAGATCCGACCTCCATCCTTTGAGGCTACGTTGGACCCGACCTCCATTTATCGCGGACTGGTGCTGGCCTGGACGTTGGTCGATCTTGCACTACCATTGTATTCAGACTCCCGTCCGACTTATTCCTCCTTTCGGCCACTGTTGTTCTGTCATTCTTTTGCTCGCCTGAAAAGTTATGGTCGGCGACCTGACCCGTGTCCGTCCATTCGGCGGGGTCCTCCTGACCTGTATCCGTCCATTCGGCGGGGTCCTCCTGACCTGTATCCGTCCAGGTTACGTAGTCCTCCCGATTTTTGTCCGTCCAGTCGACGTGGTCTTCCCGATCTGTATTCGTCCAGTCGGCGTGGTCCTCCCGACCTTTGTCCATCCAGTCGGTGTGGTTGTCCCGACTACGGTCCGTCCATTCGGTGTGGTCCTCCCGACCATGGTCCGTCCAGTCGGTGTGGTCTTCCCGACCATGGTCCGTCCAGGCGTCGTGATCCTGCCGACCTGTCTCCGTCCATTCGGTCGTCCCTGGTCGGGCCTGTCCTCCTGTTTGGTCCTGTTTCCAGTCTGTCTGACTGGGTATATACTCAGGAATGGCGTTGTCCGTTTGGGGGCATGACATTTCTGGCGGTGCAGGAACCGAATTCAACATGAATTTTGATTGCTCCATCAAGTTTTGCATTGCGTCATGTATTGCCTGCAGATTTGCTATCTGCCGGTCGTACATTTGCCGAAAACATGCTGTAAAACCTGCTGTCAATTCGGCCCGTAGTTGGGAAGCTTCTTCTGCCGTGATAAAGCCAACGGCTGTACTGTGGAATTGAAAATTTGCCATATGGATCAGCAATTTTCTCCCACTGTGGTCGCCAATTTCTTGATGTAGGATCAGCAATCTTGTCTTTCTCCCACTGTGGTCGCCAATTTGTTGATGTAATTTTTCAACAAAAATAAAGTAGAATTCAAAGATATAGAAAATATCCTTAAACTTGATTAATTAGTGCCTGAGATTAGGAATCTCTAAACACTGTACGGTACAGAAAATAAACTGGAAAATAAAAGACTGAAATTTAAAGTGGTGATCCCCAAATCTGACTTTGCTTTGTTGAAGTTGATTGAAGATGCCTTGCCAAATGATGATCCAAATCCTTAAATATTCTTTGAAGAAAACGTTCAGAACCGTCGCACTGTTTCACCAACCGTTCCCACCAGTTACAGAACTCAGAACTGCCTCTTTCATTGACACATGTCTTTAACCGCCTCGCCAACCGCATAACCCAACGACCGACCAACCGACCAATCTAGATACATAATTGGTCGCCAGATCAAAAGACTCACTGGTCGCCCCATCAAACGACCACTATTTGGTCTCTTCAATCGTCTGACCTATCAACAGACCTTTCTTCGCCCGACTTCCTTTTTCGACCGACCCCCATAGCAGCCAACCTTTGTATCAACCGACCCATTTATCCGACTGCGGATAATCCGACCTGCTTGCCCGACCGCGGACCATCTGACTTGCTTATCTGATTGAGAACCAACCAACTGAGAACCCACCGACTGACTCTGGATACCTTATTATTATTATTATTATTATTATTATTATTATTATTATTATTTTTTGTGCGTAACAACATGCCTCCTCCTCAAGACTCCTAAGCATCATTTCTTATGATGTTTTAGGAGTTAGTAGGTTAGCATCCGAGGCTACGTCAGCCTCAGATCCGACCTCCATCCTTTGAGGCTACGTTGGACCCGACCTCCATTTATCGCGGACTGGTGCTGGCCTGGACGTTGGTCGATCTTGCACTACCATTGTATTCAGACTCCCGTCCGACTTATTCCTCCTTTCGGCCACTGTTGTTCTGTCATTCTTTTGCTCGCCTGAAAAGTTATGGTCGGCGACCTGACCCGTGTCCGTCCATTCGGCGGGGTCCTCCTGACCTGTATCCGTCCATTCGGCGGGGTCCTCCTGACCTGTATCCGTCCAGGTTACGTAGTCCTCCCGATTTTTGTCCGTCCAGTCGACGTGGTCTTCCCGATCTGTATTCGTCCAGTCGGCGTGGTCCTCCCGACCTTTGTCCATCCAGTCGGTGTGGTTGTCCCGACTACGGTCCGTCCATTCGGTGTGGTCCTCCCGACCATGGTCCGTCCAGTCGGTGTGGTCTTCCCGACCATGGTCCGTCCAGGCGTCGTGATCCTGCCGACCTGTCTCCGTCCATTCGGTCGTCCCTGGTCGGGCCTGTCCTCCTGTTTGGTCCTGTTTCCAGTCTGTCTGACTGGGTATATACTCAGGAATGGCGTTGTCCGTTTGGGGGCATGACATTTCTGGCGGTGCAGGAACCGAATTCAACATGAATTTTGATTGCTCCATCAAGTTTTGCATTGCGTCATGTATTGCCTGCAGATTTGCTATATGCTGGTCGTACATTTGCCGAAAACATGCTGTAAAACCTGCTGTCAATTCGGCCCGTAGTTGGGAAGCTTCTTCTGCCGTGATAAAGCCAACGGCTGTACTGTGGAATTGAAAATTTGCCATATGGATCAGCAATTTTCTCCCACTGTGGTCGCCAATTTCTTGATGTAGGATCAGCAATCTTGTCTTTCTCCCATTGTGGTCGCCAATTTGTTGATGTAATTTTTCAACAAAAATAAAGTAAAATTCAAAGATATAGAAAATATCCTTAAACTTGATTAATTAGTGCCTGAGATTAGGAATCTCTAAACACTGTACGGTACAGAAAATAAACTGGAAAATAAAAGACTGAAATTTAAAGTGGTGATCCCCAAATCTGACTTTGCTTTGTTGAAGTTGATTGAAGATGCCTTGCCAAATGATGATCCAAATCCTTAAATATTCTTTGAAGAAAACGTTCAGAACCGTCGCACTGTTTCACCAACCGTTCCCACCAGTTACAGAACTCAGAACTGCCTCTTTCATTGACACATGTCTTTAACCACCTCGCCAACCGCATAACCCAACGACCGACCAACCGACCAATCTAGATACATAATTGGTCGCCAGATCAAAAGACTCACTGGTCGCCCCATCAAACGACCACTATTTGGTCTCTTCAATCGTCTGACCTATCAACAGACCTTTCTCCGCCCGACTTCCTTTTTCGACCGACCCCCATAGCAGCCAACCTTTGTATCAACCGACCCATTTATCCGACTGCGGATAATCCGACCTGCTTGCCCGACCGCGGACCATCTGACTTGCTTATCTGATTGAGAACCAACCGACTGAGAACCCACCGACTGACTCTGGATACCTTATTATTATTATTATTATTATCATTATTATTATTATTATTTTTTGTGCGTAACACATATATATTTATATTCAAACTTATTTTTTAGTTATATTAGATCCTCATACAAATATCTTTTCAAAACCGAAACAATCCATCTGTAAAAGATACAAAAGTCATATGACATACTACGGTAATGCATTGAATTTCTTGATCTTTTTAAGTAGCTATATCATCATAACTAAGCCAATTAAACAATAAAAACGGTTTCAAATATACGAAGCCACAATTACACCTCATTACACACACATATAAATATATGTATATATACATATAGTTTTAAAGTGTAGAAAGAAAACAAAAGGGCATGTCTCTGTCGAAGCTGGTGAATAAATTCCTCCCCCACCCCACCCCCTCAAAAGCTTGCTTTCTTGATCGGCTCCAAATTAAATTAAATTAAAAAGGGAGCTTTCAGATTTATTAGTTTAGGGCCAGCCAGGCACCTCTCACCCCTCTATCCTAAATAAATAAAATTCTAAGAGAGAGAGAGAGAGAGAGAGAGGGGAATGAAGAATCAAGAATCAAAACAATGGTGATGGATAGATAGATAGATAGTCTTGTTTCGTGTCACTCACTCACTGTTCCATTGATGTGTCCTTTTGGCTATATGATGGTTGCGTGCACTTTGCTCTAAACCCTTTTAAATGAAAAAACAGATTCTCACACTCACTCACACATTTACTACAATTGTTTCCTCCTGCTTTTCTCTATCTATATTTCCCTTGTTTCCTCTCTCTCTCTCTCTCACTAGCCTAGCCTAGCCTGTCCATATTTATGAGCGAGAGAAAGAATAAAGAGATATAGAGAGAGAGCGAGAAATCTTTCATCTTTGTGCTTTTCTTGACCTCAAACCATTTCAAAGGTAAGCTGATCTTTGCTGCTCCAAATCTTCCATTTCTTTACAACCCCTTCACACATCTCTCTTTAATTTACACTAGTCTTTCTTGCAGATCATTCAAAAATTTTCTTCAAGAAAATGCTTCACAAATCCAGTCTTTGAACAAATTATTATTATTATTATTATAATGGAAGAAGAAGGATGTCGACAGTTTCTTGAGTTGCTCCCAAATCAAGACAGGGAATGGTTTGTCCTAAAGCAACAAGAAACAACAACTGCAAGAAGAAGAAGCCATTATCTTTCAGAGGATAAAAAGCTCGAACTTAGCCTTGGCCCACCAGGTGACAATAAATAAATCATAATATATATACATATATAACTAAAATATTCTCAATTCATTTAATCTCCTCCATCTTCATCTTCTTGAATATAATCATCAGGAGGGGGGCCTGCCATGGTCATGGAGGAACAATCTGATGAGGGTGAAGATGGCCTGCAAATTTCAGACAAGAAGGCATTCTTGCCAACAAAGACAGCTGTGCCTATTCCTAATGCTCAAAAAAGGTTACCTTTTTTTATTAATATAATTATATTTATTTTCTTTTTATTTAATTTAATTATGTTACAGTGTTGTTGTCCACTTTTCCCCTTTTGCTATAGTTTTTGATTTATTTAATGGCTTTGGACAGCTGATGGGATATTCATCCCACTGTTTGCTTGCTGTACTCTCTGTTTTTTTGTTTTCTTATTTTTTATTTTTTTACAATTGCTTGCTTTGCTGGCTTGTGGTCCATTCCTTGTAATAAATACAACAGCCTATCTCATGTTTTTTCATTATTTATTACTCTGCTGACTGCCGTGCAGTATGTAGTGGGAATAATGCTTTGTTTATGTTGCACCATTGGACCGCTCGAACCGGCGGTTTTTTATTTTCCGTTTCAAGTTTTGGTTCCGATATGAACCGTAAGCTAATCAAAATCGAATTTAGTTAGTTACTCTATTTATTTTATTTATATTTGATTTCATCTTTTTTAAAACACTAAAAACTTAGTATATGATGTTTAATAAATATATATATATATATTTACATGATATTTTATAGTGTCAAAGTTTACAAAATACTGTAACCATTACTCTCTCCATCCCGGGATATGAGATTTCTTAATAAATTAAGAAATAATAATATTTAATAATTTAAGTAAAAGGTATGTTATTTCAATATTAGCGGTATAATTATTTTTTAAAAAAATAAAAAATTGATACTTTGAATGGTAACAAACAAAAATTGTAAAAATGTTACTGTGAATTCAACCGCTTTGAACTACACATTTTTGTCGAGCAAATTGAAAACTTATGACCATATGTCTAATGTTCTAACATTGTTACATATGTCTCTGTGTGTTTTAGGACTGTCTCTGCTCAAGTGGTTGGTTGGCCTCCCGTTAGATCATTTAGAAAGAACTTTGCTACCAGTAGTTCTTCCAGATTAGCTTCCGGTTATTCGACACATTCAGCACTGCAGCCGTTGCCCGACAAAGTTTGCGAAGAACGACAGTTACAACATTGTTCGAAATCCCGGTTCGTAAAGATCAACATGGACGGTATTCCCATCGGACGAAAAGTGGACCTCAATGCATACGACGGATACGAGAAGCTCTTCTACGCCATTGACGAGCTCTTCCGCGACCTTCTCGCAGGTTCACCGCATTCGTTTTCGATTACTCACTCCAAGAAAATATCATTTTTGTAACGAGGTTTTTTCGTCATAAAATTTACTCTAGGGACAGAATTCCGTTGCAAATATACTATTTTTTTTTTATTTTTTATTTTTTGCAGTGACTTGATATTAATCAATCCGTTTTAGCTATTTCATTACATCGACCATTGTTTTCCCTTGGTCGCAGCTCAAAGTGAGTGTTCTGTCGATGCGAATGTTGCGAGAAAAACTAGTCGAGGATTGCTGGAAGAAAGCGGAGAATACACGCTCGTGTACGAGGATAATGAAGGGGACAGAATGCTCGCCGGCGATGTCCCTTGGCAGTGAGCATCGACTTTCTTCCTTAGTCAAAACTATATTAAAATTTTCTTACAAAACATCGTAACTTTTCGCAGGATGTTTGTCTTGACGGTCAAAAGGCTGCGCGTACTGAGAAGCTGCGAACTCCCGTCATTGTCCCGTAAGTTGATAGTAATTTCAAAAAAAATTTTCACGAAACATTATATCGAATATTTTATTTCTACTATTTTTGAAAATTTTCAAAACTTGAATACTATTGAACTATGTATTGTTTACCATATAGGAGGAAGCAAACATGGCTGTGTTCCAAACATGCTCGAATGATCGAAGTTAAGATAGGTCTCTATTGTCTTAAGATCATTACAACATTGAGTTTCTGTAATTTCTTGTCATTCTGTTGAATTCCCAGCAAACATTAAGATCTTATCTTCCGTACATTTTCAAATCAATTTTAGTCACGACCTAATTTTCATCGAAACATTACAAAAAGATTACATTTTGAAACAAAGACCTCAAGACTTGCCGGAGATACAAAATGAGCGGTGTCTTGTCTACTGTAACTATTCTTCACTGCGGTAATTTGAATACGCCGCTGCAAGGAGAGCCGCGCCAATTCCGGAGCCGTCGTTCGAGTGCTCGAATTGAATGCTCGTCGCCGCTCCCGCCCCGAGCAGCTCCCTCAGCGTGCTCTCGAGGGTGTCTCGATACACCGTGTAGTGTTCGTACAGCCCGCCGTCCATCGCTATTACAGTTTTCTCGCTTGTCTCCCTCGGACTGTCCCTTCCCATCTTCTTCAGGACCCCCAAGATTCCGGCGGCGGCGAGGCGGGCCCCTCGCGTGGCGATGATGTCGCAGAGTCGGACGACGAGTTTTCTTGTCCTCAACGATGTATTCAGTATCTGAAGATGGATTGTCGTGAAAATGTCAATGTAATGAAACTTTTTTTAGGGATGTGATGATGTGTCGGAGTTTACCTCGAATATGCTTCTGAGTTTCTCGTCGACGATTCTGAGATCGGAGGACTTGTCGTGATGCATCGCTGACATCTCCGGCGTGCTGCGAAATTGCACGATATGTTAAATCATATCTATTGCAAAAGTGTGTCAGAGACAACTTATGTCTAGAGTTCAGACAGGAATCAAATTCGGAAGGTTTCCCGCCTATAGTACCTTAATATTGACGGCATTTTGAGCTTGGGAGGTACGTCGTCGCCGAACAAGAAAGCTTCTTCTGCCAATCGAACCAAAACCTGGCGAAGAATCTCTCCCAAGTACATGCCCGAAGTCAACTTCTCGAATATCTGCAAAATTAAAAATTATAGTAAATATTAAATTATCATTTCATCTAAAAATTTATGTCTAAAGGATACATTTTGCATGTTTGCCAGGATTATGCATAAAAAAATCATAATAAATACCCCCTCCGTCCCTCCAGTAGAAAATATACGTATTATTTCTATTTTGAAATATTCAATTACAAAATAAATATTTTATTAAATATTTTACTTTTTTATTAAATATCTCATTTTTTTTCACAAATACATTTGCTTTACATTATAAATATTCAATGATGATCTCACCTACAAAATTGAGTTTAAAGGATACACTCTACCTGTTCGCCAGGATTAAGACTTTTGGCGTCCAATGCTTGATCGTACTCCGTCACCGGAAGATGAGTCGACCGGAAGTTGCCCCACTCCATGTTTATAACCTAAGGAGACGACAAAGAGACGAGGGCGTAAGCGTTACCTTAGTCTGTAATATTATTACATACAAAATGCGCGCATGGTCCTGACCATTTCTCCGGACGTGGGCATCGGACCGTGCCATTTAGGAATCGCCTGCGCGCGCTCGATGTATGCAGCGTTTGTTCCTGTCCCCAAAATCACGGCTACCACAACATTCTTGTTTGTATATCGCCCTCCGGCTAGTGTCCCAATCGTGTCGTTAACCTGGTACAGTCGTGACAACCATGAACTACTACGGATAAGAGTTTATAAACGACTTCGGTTAATTAGATTAAGACAACATCGATCTCACCAAAGCTGCGACGCGCATTTCTACGCCTTTTCGCTCCAAAGCTTTCGAAAGCTCCTCTACGACGTCTTGTCCGACCTTAAAAACAACAATGTGGTTAAGACAACACTCTTTCGACCCAAAAAAACTGCGCCGACACAATGCAACTTACGGCATCATCAATGTTGAATCCCTTCGTCCACCGGATAAGTGTCCCGGAATTGATCGAATTTTGCAGGACGGGGAAGGAGAACGTGAAGCCTAACTCCCTCTGCCTCCCCGGCGGCGGATGGAACATTCTTTCTTCTTCTTCGATGAAATTCGAGAGCTTTTCCACGATGTAGTCAAAGAGTGCCTGCAATTACATTCGTCGTCTTCGACATTTAAATCATCGAACAAGTAGTAATCAGACAAGTTGTGGTTCGTTCATTGATCACGAACATAATAATTCTTACATCCGAACTTCCACTCATCAGCGCCGGAGGAATCGACGCCTCGGCGAATTCCTGGTGGACAATGCCGCCGGCGCCGGCGTCGGCGTCGCCGCCGGCTAACTGCACTTGCAATACACGAAAATTCGTCCCGCCGAGATCCAGCGCGTAGTAGACGCCGTCTTCGTTGCTGATATGTAAGAAATAGAAATTCATATATATATATATATACGTATATATATATATCTATAACCTAATTACGTACCCCGTGGGGAGGCGATCGACGAAGCTTATGAGCATTTTGAGTCGGCTGCCGCCGTCGGAGGCTAATCCGGCGTGCATCTCCACCGTCATGGCGTCGGCGATCTGCTTCAGCTTCAAATCGGGGGTCCCACACTTGTCTTCTAATTCCTTCACAATCGCCATTGCCCGGGCCCACCGGCCGGAATTTCTCATGCGGTGGCGGACCACCAGTGCCGTCACGCCAACCACCGCAGCGGCGCCGACCACCGCCACCCCTACCGCCACCCGACCCATATCGCCGATCGATGGAGGAGAAATTAAACCTGTTAGGGATTAATTGGAGATATCGATCGGAATTGATTGGGGATGGTAAAGAGGTCAAAGGCCCGAGAATTGCGAGGAAGATTAATGGCGGAGGATTCAGACACGACCAAAAACCATGGGAGGATTTAATTTAAACGTTTGTTTAGTTTAGTTTCTTGTCTGAAAGGAAAGATTGCGTCGTTTGATTAATCGTCCGTACATCGGTTCATGCCCTCCCGAGCTCCCGGACCATGTACGCACCGTCATCTCTTCTTCGTACTTGAATGATAAAAACTGGGAATTTGGGTCTGTTTTTCAAATTAAATATTTTAAAATTTTATTATTTAGACTTTGTATTTTTTGATTTTTTTTATATGTAAAATATTTTATCAAATACTTTCTCCTTTTCATATCTTATGGTTTTTCTTAAAAAAAATAATTACTCATTTTAATTTTATTTTAAAGTAATTTATAATAATTTATATTATAAGTTTAATTATTTTTACTAGCATATTCTTGATTATCTATTAATTATATCTATTCTAAATTCATGTTTCTACCAAAACACCCTGGGACAGAATTAGTATAATTTTAATATCAAATTTAAATAATTTTTTTTTATACTCAACAAAAGAAAAACCTTCTGAGTTTGTGCTTGTTTGGTTGTATATATATATATATTATATTGAAAATCAATATAATATAAATGTTATATTATTATATAATGTAACATATGTTATTTTTTTTAATAAAGATCATATTGTCATTCCATGAATAGGAGTATTTTCAATTGAAGTAGAAAATAAGTTACCAAATTTCCACTTGCTCTACCAATTATTATATTATTACATAAATATGGCGTTGATATGAATTATGCATATTAAATACTATAATTTATATTTATAATGAGAAATAGTTAAATATTAGGATAATTGGATTGGATTAGGATTAGGATTGAACTTGCTCTTGTTATTCATAATTATTGTTAAATGATCGTTATATACCTAATACATAGTCTATCAATAGCTAAGTTACTTTACAATATCATAGGTTTGTCACACAAGATTTCACTTATTAGGCTGGATTGAATAATTCAGCATTAGATTAATACAAGGCCTTTTTGGGCTTCGGAATTCGGCCCGCTAAATAGAAAATGGGCCGAATAAGAATATACATTAGGCCCAATATCTTGAATTAAAATTTTCTAGATCGGCCCAAAATGAATTCACACACCAGCCATGAAAGTGAAGAAACGACAAATGATCTTAATCTTTGTTTTTTCTTGCAACAACTTCAAAAATTCAAACTTAATTCTTCCAACAACAATCACATCAACTGACTTTTAACTCTCTCTCTTGATTTCTCTCTCTCTCTCTCTCTAACTCCCGTCATGGCTTCAATCAAGTTACCCAATTTCTTACCCTGCCACTCTCTAGGCTGAAAGGATATTAACTTCACCTTTGTGAAAATCAGGAAATTTGAAAATCTCCCACAACAACCCTCCTACGCTGTCAAAATAAGATTTTTAATTTTTTTTTACATCCTCAAGATTACGCCTTGATTGTTTCCACACTATGTTGTACTGTCTGTGTTTCTGTCTACACATTAAATAAATATATACATATATTTTTTAATTAATTAATTTTCTGGGTCGACGAGATTCTTCCTTCTTCTCCTCCTTCCTCCATGAGATCTCTGAACTGTACGTACAAATTAAAACAGATATGGACTGAAGTCAACATGTATAGGGTCCCAAATCCCCACAAGATTTGCCTCTGTACGTATGTATATATATGTATGTATATGTATATGTATATGTATATGTATATACGATCTTTTTAGAGGCAGTACAACGGAGGAATCCCATTCAGCTGGGCAACTTTTGATCTGGTAATTCTGGGTTTTATTTAATGTGTAGAATCATGTGGGCTCAACCTCCTACAATTATTTATATATATTTATATAATTAATTGATCTGTAGTGTTTATTCTCTTGCCTGAAATGAAGCATTTATTGTCATAAATTTTTATTATTATTACATATATTTGCCAACAGACATTAGGATTAGATGTATAGAGATTGATACGATGGTGCAGTGGGAAAAAGATATTCTACCATATGATGTCAGCAGCCTTTAAAACATAAATATATATATATATATAGATACAGATATATGCTCTCACACACATCTAAGTTGTGTTTCTAGAGAGAGAGAGAGAGAGATTGCAGCATTTGATGTTAAAAGGGGTATTTGAATTTGAGTTGGGGTTGTTTTTTCTTGAGTGACTTTTAAGGAATAAACACTTGAGTATGTTCTTATTCTTTCTTCTTCTTATCCATCTTCTTCTTCTTCTTCTTCTTCTTCACTGAAATTTGAATTTCTGACCGACAGTTTTCTGGAAGCATGAATTTTGTGAGAGAAATGATTGTGTTTTTTTCTTCTCAGAATGAGGGAGGGTTAATAATCAAATCATCCTCTGCGTGGTCTGATTTGAATTTCTTAATGATGACCACCATTAAATAAAAACTCCATCTTTTTTCAATTTTTAATCTGAATCAAACCCCTTTTTTTAATTAATTAACTTCATATGTTTATCTATATATATATATAATTGTTTTCTGTCTTCTTATTACATTACAGAGAATGGGAAGAGCCACGAGGTTTCTCAAAGAACTGTTCGGAATGAAGAGAAGAATTAAAGACGACAGTTCCAATGGCGTCGACAAAAAGGAGGAGAAGAAGAAAAAATGGGCCTTTGTCAAACCCGGGAAGGTTTCGTCCGGGTCGGGTCGGATCCCGCCGGATTTCGCCTGGCCGTCCTCGTTGGAGCAGAGCAAGCACGCAATTGTGGTGGCGGCGGCGACGGCAGCCGCCGCCGACGCTGCGGTTGCCGCCGCCAGGGCGGCGGCCGCCGCCGTGGCGAGGCTGACAGGTCACGGCGGAGAAGCTCGGTTTGCCGCCGCCGTCAAGATTCAGACAGTTTTCCGTGGATTTCTGGTAAAAAAAAATATATATTTAATACAATTCAGACACGAATTGATTTTAATCCTCGTGTTCTTCCAGGCCCGAAAAGCCCTTCGGGCCCTGAAAGCCCTGGTAAAGCTGCAGGCCGCCGTCCGTGGCTACATCGTACGGAAACGCGCCGCCGCGACCCTGCACAGTATGCAGGCCCTGATTCGGGCTCAGGCATCCATCCGGGCCCGACGCGTGTCCAACACCCAACCCGAAGTAGCAGTTAAAAAAAACCCTGACCGAATATTTCCAGGCCCGATTTCCATTTAAAACATCTCATCCTAACAATGTTTTTTTTTTTTTTTTTTTCAGGACATCAAAACCAGCAACAATTTTCACAGCAAACGTCTGGATCCAGGCCAAATCGAGATCCCGAAAATTGTCAGAATCGACACCTGTAAATCCCGGAGGATGAGCGGCGCCGGAAATGTCGCCGCCGGCGATCACCATTACTGCTACAACACAATGTCGTCCCCGCTGCCCTGTCCCGTCCCGACATCGGCATTATCAGATTGTCACTGGGAATTTGACTCCTACAAGTTCGCGACAGCACAGAGCACGCCGAGATTGTCTCAGTCGGACAGGATCGTCATCAATTCTCCGATCACCGAGAGCTTGTTGAATTATAATTACCCTAATTACATGTCTAATACGGCGTCGTTTCGGGCGAAGGTTAGGTCTCAGAGTGCACCAAGACAGAGGCTTTTGGGGAATGAAGCAATGGGAAGAAGAAGCAGTTTCAGTGCTGTAAGAATGCAGCACCAAATGCAAATGCAAATGCAATTTCATCAAGTTCAGTAATCAATTAATTAAAATTTTCACGATTTCTTACAGTATTGGATCTGTAACTGTAAATTCATTTTTGTCTGCATTCTTCACTTTGTTTTTTTTTTTTTTTTTTTTCAAATAGTATTTCTTTTTTATTTAAGGTATTTATATAATTATTGAAACAATTACATGTTTGCTTGGTTCTAATTTGAGGTTGAAATTTTGATTTAAACTTTAGTTAAATAGTACTTTAAGATAATATTTTGAATTAAAAAGTATAATACAATATTCTTATTAAAAATTGTAAATATTAAATAATATACTTCAAATTTAAAAAATCATAACAAACATACATTGTACTTTAAAAATTGCGTTCAAACAAGCATTTCCAAATTTATTGAATAAGCATTTTTATGTGAATTATAGAGAATTGTGTAGATAATATAAAAGTAATAAATGTGTATGGTATATTACTTTTTTTTTGAAAAAAATATGTTACAAATTTTTTTATTGAAGAAACAAGCCCTTGTTTTTTAACATTTTATTCGTTATATTATTTTATTTTCAAATTCAACTTCCATCCAAACTTTAGAGAATACGTCCATCTTTTAAAAAATAATAAAAAATAAAGATATAGGACACAGATGAATATCCTCTTTGACTCTTCTCAATAAAAAATAAAAGAAAAGATTTTGGATGTGTTTAGGAAAAATAAAATAAAATAAATGTTTATATTGTTAGTTATTAAAAAAAGTGTGAAGTTATATTTTAGAATATTTTATAAAATAAAATACTATTTTATATGAAAAAAATGGTATTGATTTTATTTTTTTATATTTAATAAGAATTATATTTTATAAAAAAATTAATATATTCTTATAAAAAAAAATTATAAATTTATACATAATAAATAAATAAATAATGGAAGTTAGAGAGAGTGTAATTTGTAAATGTAAAATAAAGTGCAAAAGCCACTGACTTGAAACCCCTTTGCTGCTGACTCCCTTTTTCTCTTATCACAGAATTTGAGAAACAAAAAGAAAAAGTTTAGTTAGAAATTTCATTACGGCATGGAGGGATCTCTTCATTCTTCAAATTTGTGGCCTTTGCTTTTTTGTATTTTTTAAAATTGTTTTTGTCATGTCGAAATTACAATAATTATTATATAATCCTTCCGTCCCAAAATTATAATCTTGAGTTGTGTTTGACACAAGATTTAAAAAATATTGATATTATATTGATAATGAGTAAAAAATACGGGTAAATTTTTTTTTATTCTTGTAAGTGTATTATTAGTGTAAAAAATATTGACAATTGTGTAATAATAATGAAAAAGTAAATGTAGTTTTATAGTGATATGATTATTTATGAAAATAAGACTATTGTTTTAAAACGGACAAAAATTATAAACATAACTATTGTATTGAAACGGAACGAGCACATAAATATGTATGTAATTGTAAATATTCAATTAGTCCAGCAGGCTCCCTAGAACAAAGTTATATTTGAGCACCAATACTTCAAGAAATTTGAAAAAAAAAAAATGCATAGAGGATAATAAATATATTACTCCCTCCATTCCGCAACAAGTGTACCGCAGATCATTTTTTTTAATATTAATATTATATTAGTTTGTAGTAAAAAGATAAAAATATTTTTATTAGTATGGTGTAATATAAACGTAATAATATTTGTGTAATATATTGTAAGTGGTAAGAATATTTATTATATTAGGTAGATGATACAATTACTAAATTAGAAAATTGTACCATTCTTTTAGAATAGACAAAAGTAGAATAAGATATCCTTCTTGATGGAGTATTTATATTAATATAATATAAATATGATACAAGAACGAACAATACACATTATATTCATACATATATATATATGGCACATGACAATATAACATATTCTTATAAAGTACATGATATACTTATATATATTATATGATATATTCTTATAGAGCATATAACATTGTTATAATTTTCTCAAACAAGATCGATTCAAAAGTTTAGAAAATATTATTAAGAGTCTATAAAACAATTAAAAATTAAGAAAACAAATACTCTTTCCTTCAGCCAATTTTATTTTTTATTTTTCTTTTTAGTCTGTCCACTCAATTTATCTTATTATTAATTTTGGCAAAGTAAAGAAATCAACATTTAATTATTATTATCAATTCAACAAATACCACTAACTTTATTATATTTTTTCTCTTCATTTACTTTACTTTTAGCTAAATTTTCAAAAATACTTTCAACTATCTATCATTTTTTCAATAAAATACTCCCTCTATCCCAGAACTATAGTCCGGGTTGTGTTTAGCACGAGATTTAAGGAATATTGATATTATATTGGTAGTGGGTAAAAAGTACAGGTAAAAATTTTTTTTGCCCTTGTGAGTGATTAGTGTAAAAAGTAGTGGCAATTGTGTAATAATAATGAAAAAATAAATGTAGTTTTATAGTGATATGATTATTTATAAAAATGAAACTATTGTTTTAAGACGGACAAAAATAGTAAACATGACTATTGTATTGGGACGGAGGGAGTATTTATTTTTATTAATCTTTATGCCGTAACCAAGAGGGCTAATTTTAACGGAGAGAGAGTATATATATATATATTTTTTTTTAATTTCACAAAGAAAGTCTTATTTAATTAATAGTACAATAAAGGAAATTTCAAAAATAAAGATAGGATGTGTTTGATTTAATTTTGATTTTTTTTTTTTAGGGAACAAAATTAATAAAGCACAGAAATTATTGTGGCCATGAGATTTACCTAGAAAGGTCCAACATTTCTTTACTTTTATAATTAATAGAAATTATTTTTATAAAGAGGACATGGGAAAATGGGCTGTTTATTTCTTAAAGTAGAACTGATAGAATGTCTTTGTTAGCTTTCTTCAATAAAAATTTTACCCATTTTTTTTTTATTTTTTTTATTTTTTTATTTTTCACACATACTTAAATAGTAAAATGGAATTGCGTTTCTTATTTGGGCTTGACAAATTTGGTTGCGTTTACATACGTTTTAAGAATACTTATAAAATATTTAGTTGATTTAAGAAAATAATAGAAGTTTAAAAGGAAAATAAATATTTGCTGCAAAATAAATAAAACAATTAACTCGAAACAAATAATATAAAAAAAAAAAGCAAAATGAAACAATATTTATTAGATGAATAAAATATAACATTTTTAGGTAAAAAATAAAATTGAATTCAATATTCTTAAAGAGAATTTTCATGAATATACAAGTTTGAAAAATAATAGATCTACCCTTCCTTTTTATATAATTGTCACAAAATATTAACAAGTTTTCTTGACATATATATATATATATACTTTTTTTAATTTACGTTTCTAAATATAATTTTAAAATTATTTCAAAGGAAATATAAAGGAAAAATAATAGTAATGAAAATTTTTAAAATTATATCACTTAACAAATTATGTCAAAAGTAAATATAACAAATATATATATCTTTTCTATAAAAAAAAAAAAAGAAAAAAAAAGGGGGAAATTAAAGAAAGAAAGAAACACGCATTATTTGTTGGGCCTTCTCTAAGCTATTGGGCTTGGTAAGCAGGAAGGTGGGCTCGAAGCCAGCAGGCCCAAAATCCACTACGACGTCGTTTCAATATTTTATGCTGCGATGATTTCTGGCCGTGGATTATGATGTGACTGAATTACGACCGTTGGATTACGTAGTATTTTATTTTTTTTGGGGATTTCGTACGTTAAATCTTTTTCATTAAGGATTCTGGGTGGGTAATTACAAGCACCGAATAATTGTAATGATTAGAAAAGATTACGGAGATGCACACCTAATCATAATCACAATATGATTATTAACAAAGAAATACGAAAAACAAGAAGAAGAAGAAGAAGAACATTTCATTGTTCCTGTCCCGCCCCTTCAATTTCTTAAAATTTCATGTTTTTCGACATGTTTAAGGAATGAAGTGCTGACAGGATGATGGGCCTGAAAATGGCGGTGATGGAGAAGAGGGATGTGTGTTTAAGGTTCAATGTTGGTGTCGCCATGGCCATTTCTGTTGGTGGAATTGTTTATGCTTATTTCACCATCAAGAAAATTAGGAAAAGGGCCAATGATCATAATAAGAACCCTAACCCTCCTCCAGGTCTGTTTAATACAATTTCGATTTTGTTCTTGCTTCGATTAGATTGATGATGTAATTGAATAATTAATAATCATCCCCACAGGCAATTCAAAGGAAAATGATTCAAGAAATGACCAAACTGTTCATGACGACGATGACGACGACGAAGATCTTGTTTTTCTGGTAATTAATCAAATTTGGATTATGACAATGTCAAGAGCACAAATTTTGACACACAATGCTGATGTTCATTCGCAGGATTCGACTCTAAGGAGAGTTTACTCGCATAATTCGATCGGCCGGCGATCGTACTCCGGCGACGGCGACGGCCTAATGTCGCCGGATTTCGATAACCTCATCGACGAATGCAACATTGTCGTCGCCGAGTGTCGTAAGAACAGCAATGGCATCTCGGAGGACGATGACGACAAGGATCGTATCTGCATGCAAGAAAGGCTTGAGATTAGGCTTCACGACATGGAGGCGAAAATCGACAATTTAAAGATCGAGTCTTTGGCGTCGTGTAATCGGAGGCTCGAGACGCAGCTAGCCGCGTACGCGAGGCTCGTCGCGGAGCTTGAAGCCGAGAAGGCGAAAACGAGGATGTTGCGGAAGAAGATCAAGATGGATGCCGAGCGAAACAAGCACCACGACGGGAAAGCGCTCGACCACGACGAGCGGAAAGAACTCGAGGATCGGCTGGCGGAGATGGTCGAGGCCAATCAAGCTTTGAAGCAAGAAAATTCCGAGTTGCTTCAAAAACTTGACTATGTCCAAATGCTCGCTACCTCCGCGCTTGAATCCGAGGAGGTAAGACGGCAATTGCAGTAATCATATGTTGTGTTAACGTGTGTATTCAGTAGATGCTTCTATGTGTTGTATAAGATTATGTCATGTATGAAATCAACTGTAGCATGTGTTAGTTACGTAGCTTTATTGATTTCTCGCATATTTGTGTAGGTGAATGAGCTAAAAGAAGAGAGTCGATGCATAAAGCAACGGAATGAGGACTTAACAAAAGAGATCGAGCGAATCCAAGCCGATCGATGGTCGGACATCGAGGAATTAGTGTACCTACGATGGATGAACACATGTTTACGGTACGAGTTGAGAAGTTGCAAAGCCGACGTTGTCGAAAAACCGACCCCAGACCACGTCGGGAGCGCACTAAGTCCCAAATCGGAGGACCGGGTCAAGCAACTACTCATCGAGAACGCTTTCAAAGAAAAAGGCCCGACCGATATCACGGATGTCTACTCCGAACGCGGCTCCTCCTCATTGCACTCGTGCGTCACCGACTCTGGCGACCAAAACGAAGCCTTGCCGGCAGACTCTGCCGACAAGACGATGAAGACAAAGGCAAAGGTATTTTCCAAGCTTAAGAAACTGCTGACAAGAAAAGGGAATTCTCGTAAGAAATCGAAGCCTCTAGAAAGAGCCGTGTCCGTCGACAACATCGCTGCCACATACTCTGGCTCGAGCGTCGACGACGCCGTCAAGTCGTGGCGGAACTCGTCGGCGGCGAGCTCGTCGCGGCTGTCGTTCGACCTGCCGAGGACAAGCTCGAGGAGCGGTAATAATTCACTGAGGAACAGCGATGTCGGCTCCACTTCGACTATTACAAGGATCAATTCGCTGACGGACGAGGAAGAGACCGACTGGCCGTCGCCGGGAATGTATCAGCAGCAACGCCATGACGTGAAAGATGAGCTCCTGAAATACGCCGAGGCTCTGAAAAACGCCCGCCCCGGCCGCCCACCGCCGCCGACGGCGGCGGCGGCGGCGGCACGGTGAACTGCAGCGTTAATTTGTCTGTACATATTTATGTCGCCTGACCATTTTACGGCTTTGTTATGTTCACTTCTCAATATACACACAAATTTTGCCGTCTAAATTATTTTCACTATTAAAAAAAAAAAAAATCTCAAACATTTTTCTTAAATAAAAAATCACAAAAGCATATGATTCAATTAATTTTTTCACACCTCAGATCATGTAATTATATTATAACATATAAATTGGCAAACTCTATTAATTTGCACCAGCAATCAACCGAAATTATTAGTTATATAAATTTAATAATTATCAATATTGCATTTACCAAAAAATAGTTATCATCCCATCCTTTCTTTCAGGGGAGCCTCTCAATTTCCAAAATTCCGAAAGCCTCCCCACAGAAATCCAAAATTACAATTACACACGCCCGGTTGCCCGCCACGTGTTCGACGAAATGCCCGAACGAAAGAACATTGCATCTACAACGTCGTCCATCACAAATCTCCTCCACGCATCACCCAGACAACGATAATTATCACCATTAATTATTTTAATCCCCAATCTTAAATCGACGTTTTTTTTTGTTTTTTTTTTTTTTTCGGTCATGGCTCACGATCGTGGGTCGTTGGCTGCCAATTCGCCGGCGGCCTTCGGCCAGAAGCTCTGCAAAGATCCGACGACGAACAAAACCGCTCAAGCCACGGTCACGTGCGTGTACCGTGCCAGGATCGCCGGCTTCTGGCGCAACGTGACGGCCTTGTGGGGTAAGAATTTGATGAACAATACCCTCAGCCTCTCCATCGACGCCGTCGATAATGCCGCCACCGCCGCCGCCGCCGCCGCCGTCGTCTACACCTGCAAGATCGACCTGAAGCCGTGGCATTTCTGGACAAAAAAAGGGTCCAAAGCAATCGAAATCGACGACGGATCAATAGTCGACGTGCACTGGAATCTCCGATCGGCGAGATTCTCCGGCAGCTGCCCGGAGCCCTGCTCCGATTACTACGTGGCGATTGTCTCCGACGACGAGGTTGTCTTATTATTGGGAGATTACAAAAAAAAAGCCTACAAGAGGACGAAAGCGTCGCCGACGTTGGTGGACGCGAAATTGTATTATAAAAAAGAGAATCTTTTTGGGAAGAGATCATTTTCGACGAGGGCGAGGTTTAACGGTCGGAAGCCGGAGCACGAGATTGTCGTGGAGAGCTCAGCGTGGGGCCCAAATGACCCGGAAATGTGGATAAGCGTCGACGGGGCGGTGGTGGTGCACGTGACCAATTTGCAGTGGAAGTTCCGGGGGAACGAGACGGTGGTGGTGGACGAGGAGACGGTGAGAGTTTTCTGGGACGTTCATGCCTGGTTGTTCTGCGCGCCGGGGACCAGTTATGGGTTGTTTATATTTAGGTCCGGCGACGGCGGCGGCGGCGGCGGCGATGGCGGCGGTTGGGAGGAGGATTCGTTGGGGTTTTGCCTGTATCTTTATGCGTGGAGGATTGAATGATTGTGTACATTCATTATATATAATTCTATTGTGAATTTGTGGAGGTTTGATTTTAATATCTATTTTGATGGGAAGGGATTGAGAAATTTTTTTGTTAACCCGAGAATATGCATTAGCTATTTTTCGAGTGTATTTTGGGTAAATTTTTGGCTGAATTTATAGTTCTGATATGGTAAATCTCATTAGTCGAATCATGTAAGGTAGACGAGACCTGAATTAGGATATGTGCAGTGGTTTCATCTCTTTTTTAACGATGAAATCGATTTTTAAGTGAGATTCTTTTATAGGTGGTTGCTATTTTCGAATGTGTTCATAATAAACTTTTGATTAAACTTAATAATTTCGGCAAAATAAACTTTTGATTAAACTTAATAATTTTGGCAAAATAAATCATATCAAATGAACCATAAGTAGCTGATACGTGGTGATAACTGAACGAAATACTTACAGTTTGATACATAATCAATTATCTATCTCTTTTTCAAACAGTCGAATGGATTCGATAATTAATATTCCCCTTTCTATCAATTTTGTAGGAGTGGAATTTTTCCGAATCAACATTATATCCAAACTCATTTCTTTTTCTTTTTTTTGAATCGAGGATGAAAAAGATTCCAGTAACTTCAAGCAAAGGAGAATTGTCGACTCAAGGAAAAAAAAAAGCCACTCGAACTCATTATTTAAATATTATTTAGCAATAACTTTTTTAATAAACATCGTATATAAAATTATTATAAATAAAGAATAATGACAAATGACCTACCATATAAACACAAGGTATTAGTGTACAAGGGATCATACTTAACCAAAAGACTTGTATAAGAAGCTAATTTCTCTAATATTTCACTTTGCTATGTATCGGTAAGATTGTGCAGAAGTATTCCGACTCTACTTAGATAAAAATGAAATAGTAGGTAAAAAAAATTAAATATTCTGAGAACATATAGAGCGAATATAATAAAAAAAAACTTCTACATACGCTAAGATGATTGTGTTTCCATTTTAATATTTACTTAAGGTAATAATACTTTCGTCTCATAGCAAAGTATTCATATTTCAATTTTAGTCCGTTTCATAACAAAATATTTATTTTCTTTTTTAGTAATTGTACTATCTACCTAACATTACAAATTCTCTTGTAACTTACAATATATTATACAAATAACATTACTTTTATATCATACAATACTAATACTTATTTTAGGCATTTCTGTTTTATTCCTACTATATCTCAATATAATACTAATATTTTTAAAATTATGTGAAAAAACAAACGAATAAGTAGGTTCGGGTTTTTTTTTGTAAATATTGTACCTATCAATGTCCTATTGCTTTATTGGGTACAAAAATATTATAGTCCGATAGTGTAGAGAGTGAACTTTTGACCGTGAGATCATATGTTTAAACCCCGACACCTTCAAATTCGTCTTTCACATATGGTTTATCGTAGTGTAATTTGTCTTATCGAAAATAATATTTTCTATAAAAAAGTTAATGTTCAGATATAAACAAACATATACAAATTTTATACAATACAAAAGATAGAATATTTTAAAAATGATATTTTTTTTAATAAAATAAATAATTAAATATTAGTTATAGTTTTGGGTGTTGAATTTTAAATAAAAATTTAATTAAATTAATTATTTAATATAAAAATATTTATTTACTAGTTTCGGATTTTTATTTTTATTTTTTATATAAATAATAATAATTTATCCAAATCTACAAATACACACAACTCAAATAAATAAATAAAATTTTATAATAAAAACCCTTCAAATGTGAAGGGTATTTTTGCAATTATAGATGCTCTAACACACCCTAGGGTTTTAAAACTTACCGTCTATAAGTATCAGAGGCTTCCATCGTCGGGCCATATTGCTGCGAGCCGTGGTGGAGAGACTGTAGAAGCACATCTACTTTTTGATTTATTTGGAAGGTGAATCATCGACTCTAGTAATGCGTGGTTATGGAGTCGTGTATGGGTTTGTCGTGACGTGTTTTCTATTTGGTGTGAGTTAGGGTTTCTGCGACTTGAGGAATGGCGACGGTACCGGGGCAACTCATATGGGAGATTGTGAAGAAGAACAATTCGTTTCTGGTGAAACAGTTTGGCAATGGCACCGCCGGCGTTAAGTTCAGCAAGGAGCGTAACAATCTTTACAATTTGCACTCCTTCAAACATTCCGGTTAGCTTTTTTTTTTTTTTTATTAAAATTAATTTGGATGTTTTTTTTACGTACTGCATAATCGATCTCCTTGGTATTCGAATGTTTTATTTGATGGAATACGTTATTGCTTTGATATGATTCATGGTTTTGGGCTATGGATGCCGGATTTCTTCTCGCCTAATTTTGTGTATATATTGGATTGGTTTTATTGCTATGAATCAATTTTTGCTTGCACGACTTGATTTTAAAATTCATTCAATATTGGGATGTTATCTATCAGTTGTTTTTTCAGAATAGATTAGAATTCTCTGTGATTAGACTACAACTACACATCCTGGAATGGTTTTGCCAATAAAATCTTATTTACAGGTCTGGCAAACAAGAAAACTGTGACAATTCAACCTGGCAAGCATCACACTGTGGTGTTTGCAACAACCAAGATAAAGAAGCAGAACAAGCCTGGAAGTTCACTTCACAAGTCTGTCATGAAGAAAGACCTCGATCTCATGGCTAATGCTGTTTCAAACCAGGTATGAGTTAGTTTGCTTTTGTTTGTGCAGGCCCAGTTTGATGCTTGCAGTTAGTTTGATCATGTCTTGATAGAGATTAGCAAGCTAATCAATTCCACAATTTGTTCTGTTATCATGGGACTCCTTTATTTGCAGCTAGAATAAACTGTTTTTCTAGATCCAAACATTGAAAGCATACCCATTGGCTTTTTTCTTAAGAAGGCAACAGATGTGATCTATCGAGTAGGCAGTTCAATGACTGGAAAACTTGTGTTTGTTTGTGGGCCTTTGAAGTTGCGTTTGGGGTTTTGAATTGTGAAATTTTGAATTAAAATAGTTGTTCAATCTGAGATAAATAGGTTGTAATGTATTTGCATGTAAAATTGATTTTTAGTGCAATATTATAAAAAATAATTAATAAAAAACCAGAGGTTGATTTGATTTGATATTCTTTTTTTGGTTGATAGATGGTAAAATTTGCTACATGTATCTGTTTGGAGTCATTTGTGTTTCCATATCTAACGATTGGATCTTATGGTACGATTAGTTTTTATTTGTGCATACATCCATTGAGTATAGATGTGTATATATATTTGTAGCTGAGTTTTCATGTTGGCATTTAATAATGATCGGATAGCAAATGACTTTGAGTATGTATGAACTTATCTTGGAATGGAGGTGTTGTGCGCGCAATCAAATCACGTAGAATATACTTGTTCACCAAATATCTTAGTTATAGGGGTGCATTTATCGAGAGTTATGTTACATAATGTGGTAATTGCATCTAGTAATAATTGGATCTCGAATAGTTTTTGAATGTACAGTATGCTTGCTTGCCCATTGTTTTTTGATATAGGTGGGGGATACTTATTACCGCTGTGATCTTAAGAAGGCAGCTCTAGCAAGACTGTGCGTCGTCCACAGGAGCCTCAAGATTGCCAAGTCTGGCCCCAAGAAGAGGAATCGACAAGCTCACAGAACCTGATTTTCATTACAACTTCAATAAGTCAGGCATTGTTTTTTGTCATTTTGAAAACTTCTTTTTTCTTTTGGCAATTAGCTGAAGTTATTGCATCTTGGTTTTGGACACAATTACTTCCATTTTTTGCTGTTCTTGATTAGCATGAGAAACTTCATTTTAATCCTTGTTTATTTGTATTTTTCTCAATGCTATCAATCAATGAGTTATTTCTGAAGGGCTTTTCAAATTAATCCATTGCAAGCAAGAACTGTTAGATGTTCTTTCGAACTTGGTGAAAACATGTAGTAATATTTCACAATTGGGCTTTGAAGTCTGAAGGAAATTAAAAATCATGGCTGAACAAACTACGTGGTTCAGTTACAGTACTGAAACCTCTCAATTGGAAAAGATGAGATGAGGTGAGCAGAGCAGAGCAGGAATCAAAATTAATAAGTACTAACCGACTGGATAGATACAGATACAAAGTGGAAAAGTAATGAGGAACAAGACAAGGGGCATTTATGTCATTGAATTGACAGCATCACCGAACCGAGTGAGGCTGAGGCTGAGGCTGAGGCTGAGGCATGCACACAACGTAAGCCCGCGTTTGCCACCTCAAAATAGTTTTCTTAATGTGAAGGTTTAAGGTTAATGTTAGCAGAAATTTATTTTATTTAAGAGGGATAAAAAAACTATCAACTTTTATTCGTTCATATATTTTTAATATAAATTTAATTTTTAAAATCCATAATACTATTATTTTTTATTTTATAATTAAAATATTATTATTTTTTAAATTTATCTTTTAAAATAGACTGAAAAAAAAAGTCCCCAGATGAACAATATTTCTCGGTGTCTGTTGTTTTTCAAATCAAAATAAAATTATAATTTAAATAAAAATATATTATTTTTTATAAAATATTATTTAAATAAAAAAATCAAATTTAATACTACATTAATTACAAACCACGATCAAACAAACCACTGAAATTTTTTGTTTTTTTCTAATCATCTTTCTATTCAAATTTTAATTTTGATCATTCTAATACCAAAGCAACTTTAATTGTGTTTCTTTATCACCAAAATCTCAAATTTATATTATTTAGATAATATATTTTTAACAAAATATCTCACCGTATATTATTTTAATATCAATCTCAAAATTTTCAAACCCAATTAAAAGAAACAAAAGTAATTGCCAAACATGGCCTTAAATCCCGTCCAAGCTGTGATATCGTTGCGTACATCGGCGGGTGAGATTAGTACGTCACGGGAGAAAATCATCGAAAAATAAAAAAAGAGTGCAGGGCATAATATAATTTAAGAAAAAAATAGTTACTGTTATATATAAATATATATATAATAAAAAAAATATATTGATGAAAGATAGAGAACTCTGTGTGTATTGACACAGAACGGTTTGATACACTGAAGGTTAAGAAAACAGAGCAAAATAATCCCCGGATTTCTTCCCCCATACATCACCGTTTGTCTGCATATGGATTCCCATAGACAGCCTTAATCATCCTCAGTTATTGTACTAACCGATGCTGTAGTTTTTATGCACCGACTGAGAAATGATTATTGAATCTGAATCCTTTTATCGGCTGCTGCTACTGCTGCTTCGATCTTTCTTTAGTTTCCTGACCTAATTTGCTCCTCCTGCTGCTGTTGCTTTGTTTCTTGTTTTTTTGAAAAATAAAAAAATTCTGGGTTTTGTTTGTGGGTTATTGTTGAAGTGAAATTGGGAAGGGGTGAGGGAAGGAATCAGTTGCTTTTGTTGGAATTTCTTGTTGTTTTGTAAGTACTTTTATTGTTTTTTTCGGTTCTCCATTGTTGGGAAGAATGAACAGTGGTGATGGCGGGGGAGAGACTTCAACTGCGGCGGGTGCACCTGCGCCGCTGGAGTGGAATTTTTCTCAGGTCTTTGGTGAGCGGGCGGCCGGCGAGGAAGTACAGGAAGGTGAGGAATGGTGATTTAATTGATGGTAAATGGATTCGTGTGCGTTAGGTTGGGATCTTGTGTTTAGGGTTTTGGTTCTTGTGAATTTGATGCATTTGGGGGTCAGTTTGTTACTTGATTTAGTAGGAATAAGCGGTGTTTGTCTAGATTTTGGATAAGTGATCGGCACGTTGTGTTTTAATCAATGTTGTGATTAATGGTTGAGTTGTACCTAATGGATTCAGTTCAATGTTACATATGTACTGGTTTTTCTTGCTGCCTGCGTTGGGGTTCTTAAGAACAGCTGTAAAGTGGATTTGGATCTGTGGAATTGCATTTAATTTGCCTTTCCAAGTGTCTTCTACACTTTTGAGTTTTGATCTAAACCTAGTTACATGTTTAAGCTGCAAGGATAGAATCTTTTGATGTGTTGAAGTTGCAGTGGGATCGAGTATTCGAATATATACATATCCGGGTGCTGCCAAGTGTGTCAAATTTATTGGGCTCGGGTTCTTCAGTCAACTAACTTTAATTCTCACTGTTATATCGATTGGAATTTTCCGGATGATTACTTTATTAGTTTAGCATCATTGATTGGGGGACATGCCATGATATGATCAGTAGTTTGGCAATATCCGGTTTGAAGTGGCCGAGGGCTTTACAAGTGTATTATTCCGATCGGTAGGGAGAAACTTCAGAGAATTCAAAATGATGTTTTTTAGTTGGTACACAACAATCTCTGCGTCATTTCATCCATTGGCATAATAAGTTGGTAATAACGACAAAAAGGACGTCAATTTTAGGTACCAGCCGTTATCAAGTTTTAAAATAGTAACGACTAAGGATTGGCAGTTAGGATTCAGTGTGGATTTTTTCTTTTCCGGCCTTAGAGGATATTCTAGTATAATTATATCAATTGCAAGGTCATGCATCTTTTTTGCAAGTTTATGCAATGTTCAGGTAATCCATGCTTTTAGTAAGGAATGTTTTTATGCTTTGTCTGTATTATCTAGAACCCTAGATATGTATTGAATCTTACACTTTGGCTACCCTTCTTTTAGCTTTGTCAGCATTGCTGAAGACATTAACTCTTTTTCTACTTATCTCATGATGGTTCAAATAAAATGGCTTTGTCTACCACTTACATAGTTACTTATAATTTCGCTTTTCTTTGCAGTGGATATCATCTCTGCCATTGAGTTTGATAGAACTGGCGATCATCTGGCCACTGGCGATCGTGGTGGAAGGGTGGTGTTATTTGAAAGAACAGATACAAAAGACGTAAGACTCTACCATGAAAAAAATACATGTGTTGATGATATATCTATCTATTTTACAGATGATTTCTTTTCTATACGTATATATGCAGCATGGTGGCAATCGAAGAGATTTAGAACAAATGGACTATTCAGTTGATCGACAACCTGAGTTCCGTTATAAAACTGAATTTCAAAGCCATGAACCCGAGGTTTTTATTTCGAACTTTAGATTCTTCTCTCTTGTTGTTATGACGCTCCTGCTTATGTTCTAAACGTCAGTTGCAAAATAAATTTCTTTTTATTATATTCACCCTTTCTTAGAATGGGTTACAACTCGTATATAATTATATTTGATGGATGCATGTCTTTGTCTTCAGTTTGATTATCTCAAGAGTTTGGAGATTGAGGAGAAAATCAACAAGATTAGGTGGTGCCAGGCAGCTAATGGTGCCCTCTTTCTTCTGTCTACTAATGACAAGACCATCAAATTCTGGAAGGTGGGGTCTTGAATTTAATTTTGTTACCATGTAAAAGAGGAACATGTAAAGTAGATGTCCAAAATTTAAGGTTATTTAACATTGGTGACTGGCTCACTATGCTCGCATCTTCCCAATCATTTTGGTTTTCAATTTTCACATATGATGCACTTTTTTTTTCTTTTCTACATATAGTTATGTTTGTCTATGGCTTTTGTTACATGGGTTCTTCTTTACTGGGATGTTCTGGTGTCTAAGGTTTGATAGAAAATGCTATCGTGCGTCTATATCTTCTTGATCTTGATAGTTTTCCTTCTCTAGCTTCGTCTAAGCAAGGAAAAAAAATTAATAACTAAATTCAAGTCTAACTAAATTCAAGTTCAGCTGGAGGCTATGCATTTCTATAATAATCCGGGTATCTGGGGTTTGAGCTAATGAAGATTTATTTTACTGCTTCACTTCTCTCATGTTAGTATTCATATTTGCTATTATGTCAGTCCAAAGGACTCGTTTTTTAAAATAGAATGGACAGTTTTGTAATATTCCAATTTCCCTATTTAACAGGTTCAGGAAAAGAAAGTGAAGAAAGTTGCTGATATAAATGTCAACCCATCTAAAGCTTCTGGAAATGGTGGAAGTACTGCAAGTTCTAGTGTCTGCGCTAGTCCTAGGCAGTGCCTTGATAATGGTGGCTGTTCAGATCAACCTTACAACTCTTTGAGCAACGACTTTTTGTTTCCACCTGGGGGCATCCCGTCTCTGCGATTACCAGTGGTAGTTGTATTTAATTCAGTATACTACCCGAATAAGAATTTGATTACAGCTCTTCATCTTTGGATTTTGGTTTGACTTTTTAGGTATTTATTTGGAGTGAAAATTGCCAATGTGTCTTTATGAATATACAGACATATATACCTATATATATATATGTATCTATATACTTTATTTTTTGTTTTCCTGCATTCCAGTGCTAACGTTAACGCTATTTAATTTGCTAAAATTAGGTGTTTCTGACTGTTTCTCTTGCACTTGGCTGTGTAATTTTTAGGTCACAAGCAATGAGACCAGTCTACTTGCAAGATGTAGAAGAGTATATGCTCATGCACATGACTACCATATCAATTCCATCTCAAACAACAGGTGACTGTGATTCTTTTATTATCTAATTCTTTTCTATTCCAAATTATTTGTGCCAATTGGATTTATTATACAAACTTTAATATGAAGCTTGGTGTTGATCCTTGTGCTAAGTATTTCCACTTCCTAGAACATGATGCATATCTATGAACAACATGGTAACTTGCTCCTTTTGCTTCCTTGAGAGAGTCGTGTTGTTTAACCATCAAGGTGAGAAAGATTTTGCAAAACAGATGGTATCATATATATATTTTTCATCGAATCTACTATTGAAAAAGACAGGTCACCTTGTTTTGCATTGGTTTTTGGCATACAGTGACGCATTTTTTGTTTGTTTTGTATGTGCCACAAATCTCGACTTCCTCTTAGAGTCCTGCTTATAGTTAACCAACTGAGCCATTCTTTCAATGTCATATTATTGAATTGATTCTATTTGTGATGCTTGCCAGTGATGGTGAAACATTTATATCAGCTGATGATCTCCGAATAAATCTTTGGAACCTGGAAATAAGCAATCAAAGTTTCAATATTGTTGATGTGAAGCCAGCAAATATGGAGGATCTGACTGGTAAGTTATATTTTTACAAGCTGAAGATTCTTGTCTTCTTCTTTAAATGTTCGTTGATTCTAATAATTGAGTGGCACAGACTGGAAAAAAGGCTTGATGAATTTACAAATCAAGTAATCTGAGATCGTCATGATGCAAAAAAATTATCAGTAAACTGACCTTATTTGATCCTCCATTGTGACGGCTTGTATTGGCTGATACTTGATACTCGTGCCTGATTGCAGAGGTGATAACATCGGCAGAATTTCATCCTACTCATTGCAATATGTTGGCATATAGCAGCTCAAAAGGCTCCATTCGACTTATTGACTTGCGTCAATCTGCGTTGTGTGATTCACATTCTAAACTGTAAGTTCTATGTTAGTTTATCTTCTTTAATGATTCTTTTGTCTGCAAATAAAAGCTCTCTCTGTTTATTACTGAGCTTTTATGCTTTTGAGCAATTGCTCTCTTATGATCAATTTTCTGATTTTGTACAGATTTGAGGAGTCTGAGGCACCTGGCTCGAGATCATTTTTCACTGAGATAATTGCCTCAATTTCAGATGTTAAGTTTGCTAGGGATGGCAGATATTTGTTGAGTCGGGATTACATGACCCTTAAGGTTCGATCTTATTTGGTATTTCAATTCTTTCAGCGATGTTTTGGCCAATGACTCCAATCAAATTGTGGTGATCTTTTTTCAAAAATATTTCTCTTTTCTGTCTAACTTAGATGATGATAAAGATGCTTTTTCTTTCATGAAGGATGCTGAAAGGATTTGGCAGTTCTTTTCTCTGTGGTGCTTTTTGTGATTGAAAAACAAACACTCAATAAATCAAAATACATCACCTGATACTCGGGGTTAGAAGTTTTAGAATTGGTGAAGATTCTAAACAAAAGCCATCAATTTGTTTTAAACAATATGTACAAAATAATGTTGTTATCAAGATTAAGCTAAGTAGCGGTGATGTTGAACACTCTTTCATCTAAGCCTTTTCAAACTCTTACATTAATTGTCTAATTATTTTTCCTCATTTACTTTTTGGGTTGCATAGGACGCAATAACCTTTACATCTTAACCTTGGATGCATAATGATATTCATACTTCTTTTAATTTGTAATATTGGTTGCAGTTGTGGGATATCAATATGGATTCGGGTCCTGTGGCCGCCTTCCAGGTTCACGAGTACTTAAGACCAAAGGTAAATCATTCCACTCCATGATATTTTGGCGTCTTAAGTTTTTTCTTTAGACCATTAACATCTTGTATCTTGATAATTCCAGCTCTGTGACTTGTATGAAAATGATTCCATTTTTGATAAATTTGAATGCTGCTTGAGCGGAGATGGTCTTCGAGTTGCAACTGGTTCTTACAGGTAAATTTCAGTTTATATTCAGATTTATCGTGTCTTTTACCTAACAAAATACACACTCAACATACATATATTTATATATAATGTATATATATACACATATATACTCTCTCAGCAATCTATTCCGCGTATTTGGTTGTGCTGCTGGTAGCACCGAGGAAACGACTCTTGAAGCTAGCAAGAACCCAATGAGGTAACTCTTTAAAAATCAATTTCTGTTGTCCTCAAATTTTCAAATTCTAAATCGAAATCTCTGTTGTTGCTAAAGCATTTTCTCGATTCCTCCCAGACGACATGTCCAGACCCCTTCAAGGCCTTCAAGAGCCCTCGGCAGCAGCATTACCCGTGTTGTCAAACGCGGTAAGATTTCCCATTCCCAAACGTCTCTACATCCCCACACCGATTCTTTCTCATCCCCCACTTTTGCAGGCGCAGAAAATCAAGGAATCGACGCCAATGGAAACACTTTCGACTTCTCCTCAAAGCTGCTCCACCTGGCGTGGCACCCGTCAGAGAATTCCATCGCCTGCGCCGCTTCAAATAGCTTGTACATGTACTATGCATAGAAAAAATGCTCGTCTTCAACCTCCGCCGGGTAATGATCTGTGGCCAAAGTGGCCTTTGAATGTACCAAAAGTGGTCCGGGATGGACGGAGGAACAAACAAACAAACGAACGATAGATCGAAACGGTAGAACAAATGAACGAACACAATGAACAAGCTGCGGATTATCGACCCTTTTCTCTCATTTGATTCAACAGCCAGTAGTGATCCTTGTTAAATGTTTCCTTAATTTAGGTGCTGCTTCTTTTGCATCTTATCCTCCTTATTTTTTGGTTATCTTTTTCACCCTCCTCAAATAGGATAGATGTAGCAACTCTGTGTTCTTCGTTTGTGTTAGAACTTAGAAGTTGTAGGCAACTATATAATATATATATATATATAGAGAGAGAGAGAGAGAGAGAGAGAGAAGGAAATAGATTTGTCCGTTTGCTAGTTAAGAAATTTGTGCTCTATTTACATACATAGAAGATTTTAGAGTTTTGAAAAGTTTTGAGTAAAAATTGATAATTTGACTAAATATCAAAACTTTCGAAATTTTTATGTAAATAGAGCCTTATATGCTTGAAGAAAGCCCAAATTTCAAGTAGTAAGCCATATGATCTTGTTTAAGTGGTTTCTTGAAAATATAGAAGCAATAGCACAAAATGACATGAAATCTAGGCCCAAAAGAATTATTACAATGACAAGAAAAGGGCCACTCAATTTTGTCTTTTATATTGTGCATATTGTCATATTGTGGATTGGAAGAAGTAGAAAAAAGACATTGGAGAGGCCCACAAGATAAGGGTTGCTAGATTTTGGATCATTTGATACACGACATTGCAATAATGCAATGGGCCATGTAGGACATCCTAAGATATATATACACATATATACATACATTATAGTTATAGATGTTTCATCACTTTTTTCACAAAATCATAACTAGTTATTTCTTATTAGTCGCAATCACTTTTTCCCACTTTTGATTGGATCAAAATATTTAGGGTGTGTTTGTTTGAAGGATTTTGGAGGATTTCCAATGTTCATCCAATTTTTTCCCCCCAAAAACATCAAATCAAACACCTATTTTTCATTTTTTATATTATACTAAAAATCAATTTTACATTCAAAACATCACATCAAACCCTATTTATATCACATCATACAACTATTCAAATTCAAAATTTTTACTATTCAAATCCCAATCCAAAATCAACACACCCTTAGAGTCATCCTAGTTTGCAGTATATTATATTTGGTTGAAACAAATAGGGGCTACGGATTTCTATATTTAGGATCGTAAGAAATCACTTAATGGTGTGGAATGAATTTGCCATAGTGGGTCATAAATTTAAATTTTGATGCTTTTATAATTTAAAAATTTTAAAATATTTCAATACTTTTATTTAACGGAGTCAACTTATTCAATAAAATATTATATCTATTTTATTTTATTTTTTACAAAATATCATTTTAAATATTGAATTATTTACTATTTAAAAAAAATTTCATAACTTCCAAAACTTTTATTGTTTTGTGCAGGTGATTGTGCTAAAAACAACTGAAATCCCAATTCTTGGACCACTAAAACATGTGTGAATATGGCCCATGGTTTAAGGGACAAGCAATATGTGGATTCATTTAATAATTTGCTAAGTTACAAAATACTAAGGTTAAATAAATTAACTATAATCTAAATAATACTTTAATTAAAGCTAGATTAAAATACCAAATATTTGCTCACTTTGAGGTGTGTACCTTTCCAATAAATGCTGGCTTATCTGATTGATTTAATTTAAATAAATGAAGCCAGTCAGTAGCCAGCAATTTTGGTATTTTTTTGGGTAATGATTTAAAATGGGATCAGATTATGATTAATACAAATCAAGGATTTTGTACTTAATTAGATTGCAATTACCTTTTTTTTTTTTTTTTTTTTTTGTCCTATTCAATAATTACATTAATTAACTTGTCGCTTTTATGTAATTATTAATTTAGATTGGACTACAATTAATTTTTTACAATATTTTGATTTTATTACATCCTCGATCTTCACAAACTATTAATTTCGGAGGTTCGAAAAGCAGCGGACCTGGCAAAAAAGTGGGGCCCTGTCTGGCTGACGGCGGCCCTCCGTCAAACGGAAGCGGAAGCGCCGTCACGCAGTGACTGATTGCCGTGACGTCTCCGTTAAGTCAGGCACGTTCCCTACGTTAATGAATTTACAATAATACCCTTTAGTAATTACAATGTGAAAATTTGTGACAGGCTTTTTAGTAAACTGCGCATTTATTGTTGTAGGAATTGATTTGAATGCTAACCTGCGCACGTAGTAGTCTTCACGTCTTTATTACATACTTTTATTTAAATTTTTTTTTTTAGTTCTTTTAAATTTATAATCTATAATAATATTTGGATTATTTAAAATAAGACATTAACTTTAGTTTAAATTTCAAAATGGTTACTTTCTTAAAAGTGTTTGTCAAACTTTGCACCTTTCCAATTGAAATTATCTATACAAAATTTCGAGGACACAGACGTAATTAAGCAAAAAGGCAGGGGCATTCTTGGAAAAGAAAAACCCCGACGACGCCGCTGTCAGAATGCAGTAGATATAAGCGGGACAAAATTTAAAGAGATTTCTTCAGCCCCATTTGCAACTGCACAAATTTTCGTCTTCGTTCATCTCTCGATTGCGCTTTATACAAATTTGAGTGGGGCATTGGTTGAGTGTATTCCTTTTCGAAGATGACGATAGCTTAAAGGAGTAAAAGATTTCATCATAATTGCAATCTGTGGTTTCGTCGATGTCTTGCATCATTTTTGGATTTAGGGTTTGTTGGAGTTTGTTCGACTTGAGACCTCACGCCATGTGACGATGATGATGATGATGGTGATCTCTCTAATCTTTAATTTCCTTTTTCTTTTTTAAATTTTAATTTTGTGATTGTCGTCTTTGTTGTTACCCGTCGTTGTAGTTTAGCTGCTCTGATGTGAAATAATGAGCAAGAAATGGGATATTATTAACTTTGCCTCTGTGTTTTTGTAGATATGATAGAAATCATAGTTTTTCCAAAAAGCCAAAAAGAGAGTAATATATTTAACTTTGTGAGTTCTGAAGGGTACTGAGTTCCACGTTTCAAAGCTCTTCCAATTATTGGCTATTTTAGAGAGAGAGAGAGAGAGAGAGTTTTAGAGAGTGAAAGGATTGTGGGCTCATTTGGGATCTGGAAAACAGCTCATTTCACCTGAGTCCCTTTTCCATTTTCTCCCCCATTCAAAATCATTGCTACCTCCTTCACATTGACTTCCCTAATTTAATTTGATTTGATTTGATAGCTGCCTGTTTCATCTGCTTTCTTGTTCATGTGTACCTTTAATCCTTCGTTTCTTTTAATTTGTTGTTTCAATTTTGTACTTAGATCCATTGATGAGGTTCCTGCCTGGACAATCACATTAATTAATCTGTAGTTCTTGGGAAGGAAGAAGGTTTTGGTGATCTGTTTAATTTGGATTGATAATCATGAGCGAAGAAGCCATGAACAACAAATTAGTGACGCAGACTGAGAACAAGAATTGTCGAGTGGTCGAGAAGGTTGTTGTGGCTGTCAAAGCATCGAAGGAGATCTCAAGAACTGCTCTTGTTTGGGCCTTAACTCATGTTGTCCAGCCCGGACATTGCATTACCCTCCTCGTTGTCGTCCCTTCTCGTCCCTCTGGTATTATCATTAACTTTCTTACATGAATTATCGATTGTTTGCTGCAGAAGCATAATCTTTTGTTTCGATTTGAGCTTAGAATTGAGTTCGACAACAAACCATTCGAGCATTGCTGATTGTTTGAGATATTTTAGATATTTTTAGTTTTTGTTGGATTTGATTGGTTTAGATTATGATTTGGTTGCATTTGTTGTTTTGATTTGAGTCTATCGAGTCTATTTTATTATCGATAAACAATTCTGAAAATTCTGCAGCAATGTAACAAATGTGATGTGTGTGTGATGCTTAATTAGGGAGAAAATTTTGGGGGTTCCCGAGGTTCGCCGGAGACTGTGCTAGTGGCCTTAGGAGATCGCATTCGGGGACGAATATTGTCGAGCAAAAATCCGATATAACGGATTATTGCTCGCAGATGATTCTCCAGCTTCGCGACGTTCATGATCCTAATAAGGTGAGGTTTGCTCCGTAGTTAGTTAAGTTCGGAAATGTTAATGTACATCATGAAGAACCTGATCCAATGCTTTTCAGATCAATGTGAAGATTAAAATCGTGTCGGGGACTCCATCCGGTGCAGTTGCTGCAGAAGCGAAACGAAATCAGGCTGATTGGGTTGTGCTGGACAAGTAATTCGCGCCCGCGTCGATTTTCGTACGTATCCGGTTGTTGTCTGTTTTTGTCGACTGATCTACGAATGTTGTCCGCGCAGGCATCTTAAAAACGAGGAGAAATGTTGTATGGACGAGCTGCATTGCAACATCGTTGTTATAAAACGATCGCAGGCGAAGGTTCTTCGACTGAATTTAGTCGGATCGCCGGTCGAGCATAACGATTCGACGAGCAGTGATAGCGATCGACCGTCGAAGGATACGGAAAGCAAGAACGATTCCTCGGATTCGACTCGCGGTCCGTTCGTCACCCCATCGAGTAGCCCCGAGCCGTTCACTGCAACCGAACCCGCAACTTCGTCGGTCTCCAGCTCTGACCCGGGAACTTCGCCATTTTCCACCGACCAACCGATTGTTTCCGTCAAGAAAGAGGAACTAACCATGCCCGCCAAACAGGATCGAGATCTCGATCGATGCAGCTCGGATTCAGACAGCGACGACTTATCTTCCTCCTCGAGTTTAAGGTTTCAACCGTGGATGGCGACGATCGTCGCTTCCCGCTGCCACTCTTTGGACCGGATAAACGAACCCCGTCTGGCGCTGTCCCGAACCCAAGCAGGATACGGCTCGCCGAGCTACCGATCGAATTTGGATTTCAGCGGCAGTTTCCGGGAAGCGATGTCCCTCCCGAGAACCGCGACTTCCGGGCCACCTCCATTGTGTTCGATATGTCAACACAAGGCTCCGGTGTTCGGGAAGCCTCCGAGGTGGTTCTCGTACGACGAACTCGAGCTCGCTACCGGGGGGTTTTCGAGAGCCAATTTTTTAGCCGAGGGCGGGTTCGGTTCCGTCCACCGCGGAGTCCTTCCTGACGGGCAGACGATTGCGGTGAAGCAGCACAAGTTAGCGAGTTCTCAAGGAGATCAAGAATTTTGCTCGGAAGTTGAAGTGCTGAGCTGCGCTCAGCATCGAAATGTGGTTATGTTGATCGGTTTCTGCATCGAAGATGGGCGACGACTGTTGGTCTACGAGTACATCTGCAACGGATCTCTCGACGTTCATCTCTACGGTATATTCGATCTTAACGTAAACTTTTTCGATCAACGACACGCTCCTAAACCGTACTTTCGTCTCCAGGGAATCGGAAAAACACGTTGGAGTGGAGCGCGCGCCAAAAAGTCGCTGTCGGAGCAGCGCGCGGATTGCGGTATCTTCATGAAGAATGTCGAGTTGGATGCATCGTTCATCGAGACATGCGCCCGAACAACATCCTTATTACCCACGACTTCGAACCGCTGGTGCGGATAGCCTCGTATCTTTGTCAATCTTTACCTAGTAATTCTTATTTACACGTTGTTTTGATTTTTTTCCATCGTCGAAACTTTAGGTCGGAGACTTTGGCCTAGCTCGGTGGCAACCCGATGGCGAGACAGGTGTAGAAACACGAGTGATCGGGACATTCGGGTGCGTTTTCTACTAATGACATGTTCGTTCGTTCGATGTTGTGTTCGATAGTAACGATTTCGTTTTCGTTTAGGTATTTGGCTCCCGAGTACGCGCAGAGCGGGCAGATTACCGAAAAGGCAGACGTTTATTCGTTTGGGGTGGTGCTGGTCGAGCTCATATCGGGACGTAAGGCAGTCGATCTCAACCGGCCAAAAGGCCAGCAGTTTCTTACAGAATGGGTGAGGTTCGATTCGACGAATGTTCGAATGTGATCGATCGATCGATGCTAACGATGTGTTATTACAGGCGCGGCCGTTGCTCGAAGCTCGTGCGATTGACGAGCTGGTGGATCCGCGGCTCGGCGGCAACTATTCGGAGCACGAGATCGACTGTATGCTGCACGCTGCGTCTGTCTGCATACGTCGCGACCCTCAGGCGAGGCCGCGAATGTCTCAGGTGATGACGACGGCAGATTGCGCCAAATATTCGATTTTTTATTATTTTAAAAAATTTCTGTCGAAAAGAAAGCTTTGATATTGATTTAGTTCGATTGTAAATGGTAGGTACTTCGGATACTTGAAGGAGACATGGCGGATTTGAATCCTGGGATTGATGTTGGAAGTCGGAGCGGCAGAATTTGGTCCTCCGATCATCATCTCCGATACGAACCTGCCGGCGCCGGCGGCTATTCGGTTGTCCGGGAATCATCTTTGGGGAGAAATGTGGAAGATTTTAGGACAGCATCAAACAATGACAGTTTGTAGATTATTGCAATTTAATTAGTTGCTTGCTATTGCTACAGCTGCATATGTCAAATCTGCTTGGGTTTGTATATTTAGTAATGTTTTCTTCTAAATAGTAGAATTTTGTTTGTATATTTAGGGTGTGTTTGTTTGGGGGTTTGAATTTTGGATTGGGATTTGAATAGTAAAAATTTTGAATTTGAATAGTTGTATGATGTGATATAAATAGGGTTTGATGTGATGTTTTGAATGTAAAATTGATTTTTAGTATAATATAAAAAATGAAAAATAGGTGTTTGATTTGATGTTTTTAGAGGGAAAAAATTGGATGAACAGTGGAAATCCTCCAAAATCCTTCAAACAAACACACCCTTAGTGTATTTGTTTGGGTTTGGTTTGAAATTGATTTGAAATGACAAGTTGATTTAAATTTTATTGAAATAATATTTTGATGTAATATTTTTGGAAAGAAAATATTGGATCCATTTCGTCTGGGATTGCATACTTAGAAATGGGCCCACTCAAGTTGGGCCTATGTACAACCCTATTATGAATTGCCCAATGTAATATGGTCCTTTCTCAATAATTGGCCCATCATGTCATTATAGGCTAAATTAATTTTGGTGATGTAATCGATGGCTTTTTCGTATTTGGTTTGCAATATTAAAGGGTCCATTTAATTTGGGCTGTACATACTAAATGGGCTCATGGAGTTTGGTCTAACTCTTTAATGGGCCCATCGAATTAGGATTGAACTATTTAATGAGCCTTTATATATTGGGCTGCTTGCCCTTCCCATTTTATTGGGCCTATTCAATATCAGTGAGCCATGAAAGCCCAATACTATAGACAAAATCAAGACTTGTGTCTTGTAAACAATTTATTTTTGGGATAAATTAATAAAACTAATAAATTAATAAAATGGGCATGCAATTATGATTATGGGTCGACATAAAGGAGAGGGAAAATATTCTAATGCAAAAACAATAATAAGTAAATTCAATTAAAATAAAATATCGAATTCAATTAAGTATAAATCCATATATTTTGTATGCGTGGCAACCCTATCCATTTAACACTATCAAGAATTAATGCACACCTCATTGTATATATATATATATTTATATAGTATTATTATATTATATTATATACATTTCCCAATTTATTATCAAAAACATTTAAAAGGGACAGGTGGGGAATAAGATGATAAGATCAAATAACACACAGATGCATTTATCCATAAATTTAATTTAATTTAATTGAATAAAACTTATTAATACAACTAAGTGTCACTCACTGTTGACAGAGATATATAACGGCTGACAAATGACAAATGTTATTCTTTAATTGAATTAGCAGCAATCTTTATCAATTTTCCTTACATTTATGTTTAATTATTATTATTTTTTCTAAATTAAATTAAATTTCAAGTTTGTAAGTCATTCATTTTATAATTTATTTTTGTCTGTGCATTTAATTCAGCTTGGGTTTTTATCCATACAATGATGGTATATATATATATATATATTTGGGTCACATTTTTTTTTGAATTTTTATGTGCATGGTCCAATAATTTTTTATTTTTATTTTTTGGCAAACTTTTAGATTGCAATAATTAAAGTGGTCCAAAATAGGCTGAAAAGTGCAATTGGTTGGCCAGTTTTCAGTGGATAACATCTTATGAATTCAATAAATAAGCAAACAATAGTTTTGATTTTTTAGTTTTATTATTTCCAATAAATTAATATTGAGTATGTAACAAGGAATATATGACCAAAAATCCTATTTCCAGAACATGGGTTTGGGACCCTCCTCAACCAACACATTTCATAATTTCATGCAAAAAAAAAAAAAAAAATGATTTAAAGAAATAAAAATAAACAATTAGGGGGGTGAATAATAATAAAGCCTAAGTTCTTGTTATTGAAATCTTGAAAATGTTATCCATTGTAGTTGGAAATTAATAATGAGTTGGGCAGACTTGGTTTGTTGATTTGGGGACTTAATAATTAATTATTTCACTTTTATAGAAAATAAATATATAAATTGTTTGAAAATACAAAACATTCTGCATGGATTATAATAAGATAAAAGTCGAGACTCAAATATTATTCTCTAAAGCATCATACAGTAATTGGAAATATAATAAATAATTTTGTAAAATAATTGCTTCTCTAATAATAATAATAATAATACTCCCTCCCTCCGTCCACAAACTAATGTCCTATTTTTTTAGTTTGGACGTCTAATAATTATTGTCCTATTTCTTTTTTTTTTTTAAATACAAATTTTACATTTTTATCCTTTATTCAATTATTACTTATAATATTTATCATACAATTAAGAGCAAATTTGTCAATTCATAACAAAAAAAAAAAAACAATCATCTAAAAAATCGTACAAATATATAGAAATTGGACGGATGAACTATTAAAAAATGGCATACTTGGGCTTAAACATTAGGCCCATTTAAGTACTTAACCTTCTGCTTGCAATTGTGGATTAGTTATGGCCCATCAAATCCATGTAACCACAAATTTATTTATTTAAAATACTCATATATTGATAATATTTTTAAAATAAATCAAGATATTCACAAATGTATGATATAAATTCATAATTTCATAGTCACAAGTGCTATCTCTTAAACAATAATTTTGTTCATTATAAAATAATAATAATAATAATAATAATTTTGTTAGTGAAATATGTGGATGGATCGAATTTTCGACTAGTTTCTTACAGCAAAATTGATTGGTTTGTCATTTATTGCAATTTGGGCCCCAAATTTTATGATATTTTAATATTGAAAGAATGTGACATTTAAATGTCATCCTCTTTAAGTTGACGAAATAAGAAAAACAGATCAACACAAACTTCCCTTTCCTATTTGCTGACTCGGATTCTGAATAGACAACAAATGTTCTTTCCTCAGTGATAAATTTATTTTGACTTTATTTACAACATTTAAGGAATAAGTATATATCTAAATTTTAAGTTACCACTTATATCATAATATATGAATTTATATATATATATATTAATTTTCTATTCAATATAGTATTTCTTCTGTTTGGCTCTAAAGATCTTATTTACTTTTTGCGTAATTGTATTTAATATTAAAAATATTTTTATAATATAATTTTTTTTTGCACAAATGTCATTATAATAGTATTTAAGACACTAATAAAAAGTATTTTTGTCATTTTTTCTTGATTTGTATTACGTTTTCACATAATAATTAATATTTAAATATCAACGCCCAAAAAATAAATGAGACTAGCTCTTAGAGCCGGATGGAAATAGTATTATATAAAAAATCTATTAAAGAATATATTTATATCAAATCAAACTATTATTTATAATGCAAAAATTTAATTATTTCTAAAAATAATGCTTATTTAAAAAAAATACTCTCTTCGTTCACAAACTAATATCCTACTTTCTTCATTGGGACGTCCAACAACTATTGTCCTAATTTATTTTTTAAACACAAATTTTATGTTTTTAACCTTCATTCATTTATTACTTTTAATCCTGTCATACCATTAAGGACAAATTTGTCAATTTATAACAAAAAAATAATCACCTAAAAAAACCGTACAAATATACTTTAGGATAATAGAAATTTGACGGAGGGAGTATTGCTTTTTAACTTTTTTGTTTTTTTTTTTACTTGCTTAACTTGATGTCATAGCAATGTAACTTTTATATTGGCTTCAACAAGAATAATCATTATATATATATATTATATTCTGTGTGTGTGTGTGAAGCAATTAAGATGAACAAAGTATGGCCCATACATATATATATATATATACATATGTGTGTTTTTATTTGATAGAAAACAGCTTGATTCCATTACTTCATCCAGCTATATAATTATTCCATTATTATTATATATATATATATATACATATTATTGAATGAATGATTTTATTCAATAGCTGTGACATCTTAACAGAATATCATTAAAATTTTATTTAAATTAACTCATAGTCGAATCATTGGTGATTACACAGTACACATTTTAATTTACTGTAATGATAATATGTGCACCAAATTCTTATCATAATTGCTTTTAAATCAAGTTTTCTGTATTTGCTTGCTGCCAAAAATTACTGTAAACCCCCCATTACTTTAATTAATTAATTAATTGCCCAAAATGCATCATTTCTTCAATAATGCGAAATAGTGTTCAACCGCTTGAGCTACAGTTCATATTCATGTGGTTACTAATAAATTAAATAAAAATTATTATTTAGAATTAAATTTCAAAAATCAAATTCCAAAAATTAACAAAACAAATGATAATTAATTTGAATTCACACTCTACTTTGACTCAATTTATACTAAATTAATTGATATTTCATATTCAAATCTTCAATAATATATAATTATGTGACAACTTCAATTGTTGACTTTGATCTCATCATGCATTAACGTTGTCTGCATGAAATTTAATTAATAATAATAATTACCCACAGACAAATACATACACGTATCTGTATCTATGCATACGTAGAGTATATATATATATATAATATACGTACATGTATACGTACGTCAGTGAGTATTTGTTTGAAAATATATTTAATCTAAAAAATATATATATAAATTCGAATGCCAGAAGTGTCATAGCCCAGACACAATTTAATATTTATTACAATTGTAAATTACTGTTACACCCAATCTAATTTAAATTTAATAATGTAAGTATTATTATTATTATTATTAATTAAGACAGGAAAATTTAAAATTAAATTAAATATTGTAGGCACCCCTCACGGATCGGATCTATTGATGCATTAAGGTCAAATCTCCATTAATTTAATTAGGTAGTGCTAACTAGCACACCATAAAATGGGCCATAAACAATTATTTAATTTATTATTATTCGTACCATCGAACTCTATTCAGAATGAAGTTTTTAAATAAAATAAAATTAAATATTTTATATATAACTTTTAAAAAATTTATTTTAATGAATAATTTCAAAAGAAAATTTAAAACTATATATGTAAAAAAAGACCTTTGATTCTAATCAAAGAGGATGTTCCAAGATAAAGATCCAAAGCATGTCAAAATCAATGGTTCTATTCTTTTAATTTCACTTTTTTACTATTTAATTATATATATATATATATTCTTTAATAAAAATCAAAGTTCTATATTAAATATTATACTCAACAATTATTTTATCCAAAATAATAATAAAAAAAAATAACACCAGACCTTGTGAGTCACCATTTCAATCATTAGTTAATTTACTTATTTTAATTATTTATCTGAAACTTTATTACAAATAAAATATCTGTAAAATATAATAATTAAAAGATAAAAATTTATAGTATTTAATAGTATAATGTTACTAAAATTAAGAAATTAATGAAAAATAATCATTAGTTAAAATTAACTCAACTTTTTTTAAAAAAATTCGAAAGTAAATCCGGCTGGATCTAATCCAAAACAGAGTTACACTAGCTTACATGCTAATTTATTTTTAATTTTTTTTTTTTTTGTACAAATTCTAGATCTATTTTTTTTTTATGATTTATTTATATATATAATATTACTGTATTTATTTAATAAAATAATTACTTAATGAATGTAGAGTGAATGCATGCTATCATGGGGTTAGTTGGAGGGGGCGGTGGCTCTGTTTCTATTTATGCCAGGCCAAACACGGCTTTGTACTATTTCCTGAAAACAAAAAAAATAAAATAAAATAAAATAAAATAAAGGTGTCATCACAACTAGGGAAATGATAATGAAATATTAAAGATCTTTTTACGCAATATATTTTCATTCGTTTAATACTATTTATTTTTTTTAAAAATATCACATTAAGGGTGTGTTTGTTTGAGGGTTTGAATTTTGAGTTGAAATTTGAATAGTAAAAATTTTGAATTGTGCTAGTTGTATGATTTGAAATAAATAGGTTGATGTGATCTTTTGAATTTACAATTAATTTTTAAGTATAATATAAAAGAAATAAAAAATAGGTATTTGATTTGATTTTTTGGGGAAAATTTTTTGGATGAATAGTTAGATCTTCGTCAAAATCCTTCAAACTAACACACCATAAATATATTTTTTATCTCACAAAATATTAAATTAATTACTAATTTTTTATTTATTTAACTTTTTTTTTTCAAATTAAAAAACTCCTATCTAAACAAACCATAATTAATTCAAATTAAATTCAAATTTAAATCATTATAATTAATTACTTTTAAAATAATTTCACCAGAACACGATGAAATGCCGATCGTGACGTTTAAACTGAATTAGCGCACTTAAGAACGTAGAACGAGATACAATTTCCACCTAATAATAATTTTTACTAATTTGCTCTTTTTTCTTTTTTTTTTTAAAATTTTTTATAAATGTAGTATATAATTTTAATTAAAATTTTAAAAATTATAAATTATAAAATGTATAATAATATTTTTAAAATAAATAAATTATATAAGACAAACATAAATAAAAATAAAAACAAATGATGCAAAAAAAGAGTAAAAATTAAACGGCCAAATTAAAGTAGTACGATTAATATTTAATAAACCCTACATCAACATCTAATCCAAAATCAATTACTAAAATCACCCACCTGTCACAGAGCTCAATCTCACGGCTAATCAGAACCGTCCATCTACCGCACGTGAAGATAACGCAGGTTATCCAAGAAATAAGACAAACGCATTGGACCGACTATATCGGGATTGACCAAAGAGAATCTTTGTGTATGAATTTGCACAGAATGAGTGTTTTCTGGAAGCAACTTTTTAAGCAACAGCCAAACAATGCTTTATCACTCACAGTTCTCTCTGTTCTCTTTCTAACCACTTCTTGTTTGAATCCAAATACTGATACAAAGATGTTTAAATTAAATTCAAATTTTGAGGTGAAAAAGGGCAAAAAAGATGAAATTTTTGAAGAATGGTGGGGCAGAGCTTGTGTGGTCCAGAAGCCATTAAAGTCTCTTTAAAAGCAGCGGCAAGTTTGCCATTCTCAAAAATCCCCAATCCTCATTCACTGATGCTGCAGGAAAGGCCTCGATAGATAATACGCGTTTGGACATTTGTTCGTTCCTATTTAATTTGCTTTGCAGAGCTGCAATCGAGTTTTCGAAGATTGAAATGGGAAGTGCATTGCTGTTTGTGGTGTTTGTTCTGTTGATTTCTTGTGGAGAAGCTTCTGTTAGCTACGACCGTAAGGCTATTTCAGTGAATGGGAAGAAGAGGATTCTGATTTCAGGCTCCATTCACTATCCGAGAAGCACGCCCGAGGTATGTTCGACGAAATGCATCTTCTTCTAGATAATCCTCAGTTGTTCAATTATTAATTTTCTTGGTAATGTAGATGTGGCCAGATCTTATTCAGAAAGCAAAAGAAGGGGGTTTGGATGTGATTCAGACATATGTGTTCTGGAATGGGCATGAATCTGAGCCAGGAAAGGTTTGTATTGTACTGTATTACAATGTCTTAACCTAATTTTTGGGGATTCTTGAAGAAGCCTTAAATCCATAATGTTTTCGAATTCTTGTTTGTTGCAGTATTATTTTGAGGGAAGGTATGACTTGGTGAAGTTTGTGAAGCTCGTTCATCAAGCAGGGCTTTATGTTAGTCTGAGAATTGGTCCCTATGTCTGTGCTGAATGGAATTTTGGGTATGGCTGTTGAATAGAGGAAAAAAATTTCAGTTTTCTTGACAAAGTTGCAAAGTGTTGATTTTATGTTCATTCTTGGATTCAGGGGCTTTCCAGTATGGCTGAAGTATGTCCGGGGGATTGATTTTCGGACGAACAACGGTCCTTTTAAGGTCAGGCAATCGATTCGATGATGATGATCGAACTAGTGTCAGAATTTATCCTTTAATTGTTTAAATGATTTCTTTAACACCAGGCTGAGATGCAGAAGTTCACAACCAAGATTGTGAACATGATGAAATCCGAAAGACTATTCGAATCGCAAGGCGGCCCGATCATCTTATCGCAGGTAAGGGAAATGCGGGAAATGCTCACAACACTGTGAGTCAGCTCTTGTCGACATTGTTGGAGATATAATTGGATTGTTTTTGTGGGCCATCTGATAGGTTGAGAATGAATACGGACCGATGGAAAACGAGATCGGCGCGCCTGGCCGAGCATACACTCAATGGGCTGCCAAAATGGCTGTGGGGCTCAACACCGGCGTCCCGTGGATAATGTGCAAGCAAGATGATGCCCCTGATCCAGTTGTAAGCACTGCCACTTGCTCGATTTTGATGTTTAACGTTGTTCTGTGTTGTTAAGGTTTCGAATTTATTTACTGTAATTTGATCGAGCTAGGATAGTAGGTAAACTTGCATCCGTTTCTTCGTAAATTTGATTTCAACTCAATGATTTAATTTCGATTGTGTAGATCAACACTTGCAATGGATTCTATTGCGATTATTTCTCTCCGAACAAGGCTTACAAACCGAAGATGTGGACAGAAGCCTGGACTGGATGGTGAATTTAGAACACTTCTTGTGATTTTTCGAGCAAAATTTCGAGGTCGTGTGATGATTTCGTGAATCTTTTTACAGGTTTTCCGAATTCGGTGGCGCGACACCTTATCGACCGGCTGAGGATTTGGCATTCTCTGTTGCAAAGTTCATTCAGAAGGGAGGCTCCTTCATCAACTATTATATGGTACGTTAATCGTAAATCGACAATTGATAATACAGTATGATTAACAACTTATCGCTGATCATCGTTCGATGTTCTTTTCTGACAGTACCACGGAGGAACAAACTTTGGAAGGACAGCTGGTGGCCCGTTTATTACAACTAGCTACGACTACGATGCACCTCTCGACGAGTATGGTAAGCGCGCGGATGATATTACATTAGATTCCCGAAATGTGCTTTTTTGTTTATCCTCGTAGATATTTTGAGCTTGATTTATAGTATGCGAACTTTTCGAATCCATCCACGCGCTACTTGGCTTGATATGATTAAACGTAAAGTAGTGACATATATTCTCTTGTTCTTGTTTGCTTCGCCGCATCATTTGAGATTACGACTTCTCCAATTTGACCTCTATAACAGGAACTTCTTATCACTATGTTTCGACTAAAAAACAACTTATGTTATGTCCCTTCCCGACAAGACTTTTCGACGTAAAGTTCGTTTAAAACACACACATCGACAAGATCCTATTTTTTTTATTTTTTTTTCTTGCAGGACTATTGCGGGAGCCGAAATGGGGTCATCTAAAAGATTTGCACAGAGCTATAAAGCTCTGTGAGCCGGCTTTAGTATCGGCAGATCCGATCGTTACATCACTAGGACGCTCTCAGGAGGTGGCTCATCGTTCCTCCTTCGTTCGACGTACTTATTATTGTTCCAAATTTCAAATTTTTTTTCGTACAATGTAGGCGCATGTTTACAGATCAAGATCGGGAGGTTGCGCTGCTTTTCTTGCAAACTACGACCAACATTTATACGCAAGGATCTCGTTCGGGAATATGCATTACAATCTGCCTCCATGGTCTATCAGCATCCTTCCTGATTGCAAGAACACTGTTTACAACACAGCTCGGGTAAAAAAAGAAATCGTTTACTCGATTTTAAATATCTCAGTGAAGTTCATTTATACTCATCTGATTTGCACTGTTTGAAGATCGGTGCTCAAAGTTCGCAAATGAAGATGACACCGGCTACTAAAGGCTTCGCCTGGCAGTCCTACAATGAAGAGACGGCATCATCATACGGCGAGAACTCATTCACAGTGTCGGGATTACGGGAGCAGATAAATACCACGAGAGATAACACCGATTATCTGTGGTATTCTACGGAGTAAGTGTTTGTTTGGTAATCAGCAAAAAACTGAGCATCTAAATGAATCTATGCTGTATTTCTCCGTTTCTTGATGTTTATTGTCTCGTCTTCAGCGTAAGGATCGATCCTAGGGAAGGGTTTCTAAGAGGCGGCAAGTGGCCTGTTCTTACAGTCTTATCCGCTGGACATGCATTGCATGTATTCATCAACGGGCAGCTATCCGGTGAGCAAGAAAACTATCTGTCGATTTATACGATAGTATGATCTACGAATCCTCAATGTTATTACAATATAGTGAATGCATGGATTCGATTATCTCTTGCAGGAACTACCTACGGAAGTCTAAGTAGCCCCAAAATAACTTTCAATCGGGGCGTAAATCTAAGAGCTGGAATCAACAAGATATCTCTGTTGAGCATCGCTGTTGGTCTCCCGGTTCGTCCCACTTTCCCTTACATCGTATGCGCCGCGCCCGGTTCTTGCGCAATACACGATATTTACTGCTTTTTTGTCGCGAGCGCAGAACGTCGGTCCACATTTTGAAAGGTGGAATGCCGGAATCCTCGGACCAGTGAAGCTCGGCGGTCTCAACGAAGGGACGAGAGACTTGACGTGGCAAAAATGGACGTACAAGGTTGTTATTACAGCTTTCGAAACCAACTTCTCACCGGCATTGCTTTCTAAATTGCTGTTTCGTTTTCGACAGATTGGTCTAAAGGGAGAAGCTTTGAGTCTTCATTCACTCAGCGGAAGCTCTTCGGTTGAATGGCTCCAAGGTTCCCTCGTCGCTCAAAGGCAACCGTTAACTTGGTACAAGGTCGGTACTTTTCTCGATTGATTATCTTAATGTGTTCGAAGCTCCCGTATCTTGAGACTTGATTGTTTCGTTTTTATCAGACGACTTTCAATGCACCCGGCGGAAACGAGCCATTGGCGCTAGACATGGATACGATGAGTAAAGGTCAGGTGTGGATCAATGGCCAAAGTATCGGGCGTTATTGGAATCAGTACAAAGCATCGGGCAACTGCGGCGCCTGCAACTACGCGGGATGGTTCACCGAGAAGAAATGCTTAAGCAACTGTGGAAAGGCTTCTCAAAGATGGTACGATAAATAGTCGATTACTTATAACATACTTGTGACTTGAAAAGTCTACCCTATTCTACATAATTAAACATCTTTATCATTTTAGTCCTATAACTGAAATATGTCTCAAGTTAGTCCCGTAAGTGAAAATTTTCCGCAGTTTTAGTCCTCCGGTGAGCCATGCAAGCATCTCCGGTGCTGGAGGACTAAAACTGCAAAATTTTTTCACTGGGACTACTTTGCGACATATTCAAATTATAAGACTAAAATGATAAAATTGTCTAGCTACGGGACTAGTTTGCGACAGACTTCTTTTACAAGACAAATGATAAAAGGTCTAGTTACAAATTAGTTTACAATAGACTCCAGTTACAAAGACTAAAATGATAAAAAGATCCATTTACGGGACGGAAAACAGTTCATTAGAGAAAATATTGTTCTCAATGTTTTCTAAAACCCAAATCTCGTGTATTTTCTAAATTACGAGGGAGAATAGTGCAGATTTTTCACACTGTTGCCTCCTCGATCTTATATTTCCCAATTTCTTCGCTTTTATAGACAAAATGCGGCTAATTGAGCATGGAACCGTATTCGTTTTATTACAGGTACCATGTCCCTCGATCATGGCTGTACCCGACGGGGAATCTGTTGGTCGTGTTCGAGGAGTGGGGAGGGAATCCGGCGGGAATCTCGTTGGTGAAACGGGAAGTATCGAGCGTGTGCGCCGACATCTACGAGTGGCAGCCGACCTTGATGAATTGGCAAATGCAAGCTTCCGGGAAGGCGAACAAACCGTTGCCCCCGAAAGCGCACCTCTCGTGCGCGGCTGGTCAGAAGATCTCGTCGATAAAGTTTGCTAGCTTCGGGACGCCGCAGGGAACCTGCGGCGGGTATCGGGAGGGAAGCTGCCACGCGTTCCATTCATACGACGTTTTCCAACGGGTATGTTTACATTGAAACTCCCGGCATTGCGAGTTGTTGGCGTTGTCTGACTGTTTTGACTTGTTCTTGCAGTACTGTATCGGGCAGCAGTCGTGCACGGTGCCTGTTGCTGCTGCGATATTTGGCGGCGACCCGTGTCCGAAGATCATGAAGAAACTGTCTGTGGAGCTCGTCTGCAGCTAAACGGGTAAGAATTCGCCGGAAAACAATTATCCGGTTGAATTCCGGCGAGGGGCTTAGATATATACATATATATATATATTATATACACAATTGGTAATGGTATCCAATCCAATTGGTATTTGTTGTGGGCATTGTTGGGTGAAGTTGTACATAAATATATTATATATACAACACACCACATCTAGCAAAGCCCCCCATATATGGTAGTAATAATTATTGTAGTTATTGGAGATGATGTTGTCATATGTGGTTTAGAGAGAGAAAGGGGGTTTAAATTAATGGGGTATGAGAAAGCACATCGAGATGATAGGGATGAATCCAAGTGCTTTTCATTCCATTCCATGTCAATCTATTGTTGGTTAGAAAATTCAAGATTCTTTCTTGGATATGTATGTTATGTCTATGTAATGATATTTCTTTGTCAATAAAGCAATCATTTCATTGCTTTAGCCTTATAGATGAAGATATTTATGTCAATATTTTAGTACTTAGAGTTGCAATTTGGAGTTCTTTGCCTTAATCTTTTGGGCCAAATATTGTTTCTCTTAAAATGACCAACAATTAGAACAATTCTTTGTTTGCATGGGGAATAATAAAATTACATACAATTGATAGTGTACTAATTAGCATTATGCTGAAAATATTACAAACATATAATAGACAATACAGATTGTTCAGTGTGTTGGTATGTATTGTCTGTTATATTTTATATGTTATCTTTATTTTGTGTGTGTTGAACTATGCTAATAAATCTTGTGTTCTGAAATTTGTTTGTTGTACTCTAAAAGGGTTTAGGGTTCATATTCAACCTATTTTCAATCCCAAATTTGGTTACTCCCCAAACAAAACCTAAAACAGTCCAAAAATACAACCAAGACACATTGTTTGCAGAAACTTATGTCATAAATTAGGTTGCAGATACCTACTAAGATTACAACACTAATGCACACAACTATGATCATAAAATTAGGTAAAAATTGAATAAACATGTTGCATAAAGATGAATGCTCATTAATTAAAAACAAACAAAACAAAACAAAATATTGAGTATGTATGTATGCAAGCATTTTGAAGCCATAGAAAGATCACTAAAATAGTTCCAATTGTACAATCTCTGCCATCTATCAGAATCATTTCTAATTTTTACAGATTTAAAAGCTTAGAGAGAGAGAGAGAGAGAGAGGTACCTGATGATTGCAATTATCTGGAGAGAGAGACAGACAAGGAAAGAGGTGTCCCTTTTGATTGTAACTCCATTATACAAAATTCAGTCGATCTTAACGGACGAATAGATCTTTCGGACGAACCAGAAGCAAGCATAGAAGCCGATGGTCCCAGTCAGCACGAAGAAAGCATACGACGCAATCATCATGTAGCCAAAGTACAAAATCCCGGATACGAATTTCGTGATTTCCAGCTTGGTGAAGAAGTAGAAAATGGAGTACAGAAAAAGGTAGAGCGCAGAGGATCCAGCAGTCAGGTAGGCTCTCCACCACCAGTTATAGTCTTCGCTGCACAACTGGAAATAGCAGAGAACGATCGTTATCTCTGCACATGTGATTATCAAGATCACAAAGACGATGAAGAGGAAGCCGAAAATGTAATAGAACTGGTTCAGCCAGATTGATGTAAGGATGAAGAACAATTCGATGAAAACAGCACCAAATGGTAGAATGCCTCCAATGAGCACAGAAAATGTCGGTTGCATGTACCAAGCCTGTTCAGGTATCTGCCTCGGGATTTTATTGGTCTTCACAGGATCTTCAATGGCAGGCTTTTTGAAACCCAAATAACTACCAACGAATACCAAGGGCACCGATATTCCAAACCACAAGCACACAAGAGCAAACATTGTGCCAAAGGGTACAGCTCCGGATGATTTTTCTCCCCATATCAGAGCATTCAGCACAAAGAAGATGGTAAACAGGATACCTGGGAACATAAAGGCAGTTTTTAAGGTATTCCTCTTCCATTCCGTGCCCTTAAACATTTTGTACAGCCGAGCCGAAGAATATCCACCGAGCAATCCCATAAAAACCCATAGCAGAACCATGGCTGTCATAAGCCCCCCGCGGTTGGATGGTGAGAGGAACCCGAGTAATGCAAATATCATCGTAACCAGCGTCATTGCAAAGATCTGAACTCCAGTGCCCACATAAACACACAGCAAACCATAGTTTATGGGTGCCCTGAATACATCTCCATGAAGAAGTTTCCATCCTGTTTCTTCTTGAGCTTCATCTTGGGTTTCCAGTTGGTTATAGTTCGCAATATCTTTATACAAGGTCCGCATCATTATCATCGCAACCATCCCAGAAAGGAAGAGAACGATCATCAAAGAATTGATGATTGAAAACCAATGAATTTGATCATCATTCATGAGTAGATAGGTATCCCACCGTGATGCCCACTTAATATCACTTTCCTGAGATGAGATTGTACGGTTATTTTAGAAGGAAAAGCACAATCTGGTAAAGACTAACAAAATTTTAGCCATGAAAAAGGTACCTTGAAAGTAACATCATAACTGAATACAATGTCCTTCCCAGATTCCACTTCCTGTGGAACAGCTCCTCCTTGTACTAGATTTTTTGTGTTTTGGTTGCACGTTGTCACCTTAGGATTTTTCTCATCCCACTCCTTGTACTCGTGCTTAATGCTATTGGGTAAATATGATATTAGCCCGAAGTTAGAGAAAACAAATATTCAAATCTTCTATAAAAATAAAGCCCTCGAAGCATTCAATGTTTTAGGTTGAAAATGTTTGCGCATGACGAAATCTATGCTCACATCATCATAAAGAAATTTCTGAGGACAGTTGGTAAATGCAAAGGAAATTAGTTCACTTCCATAAAAACAGCAGACCTGATCGGAGAAACTTCAAAGCCAACAATTCGGGCAGAATTAGATTCGGTATCTTCATGATACATAACTCTGAAGCTTAAGTGGTTGTGAATAAAATATTTCTCCTCTTTGCTCTGGAAACAAAGCCCATAATTCAACAAAAGGAAAAGCACACAATTCTTCAAGAACACTGAAAAAATGTAACTAACCCCAGCGTAATTCCCCTTGAAACCAACACGAAAACCATGCTCATAAGTTTTTGACGGATTTCCATCTCGCCTTTGTCTAAGTACAGCTACTGGAAGATTATCCAGAATCCTGTTTGCAGGTTTAAATGTTAGCTACTACAGAAAACTGAGAACTACTTACTAAAGTTCACCAAAATGTTCGACATTGAGGCATTATTAGCATGACAAGAACATTAGATGAGGAAGATAAGAATGAAGAAAACATCCTGTAAATAACCCAACACGAATGAAGGTAAGTCGATCGTGTGCTTACATATTGACTCTGTATTCATCATCAATCTTTTCCTTAAAATCCTTGGCACTTTGAGCATCGAGAGTATGTTTGCAAGCCACTGTGCAGGATTTTTCTTCCCTCATGCGAAACTAGTATTACCCAAAAATATATATATACACACACACACACATATAGACACTGCTGTAAGAAGATGCATAACAAAGGGATGGGGTGGGAGAGGGGCTGACACCACACATACAAAGGAAATATAAAGGAAGCATGTCTAATTAGATTGTGTTTTTGTGGACACTCACAGTATAGACAGAATTCTCTATGCGGTCACCACGGAGGACTTCTCCCAAGTTTTCAGCAACATTCATGATTTTTTTGGGCTTACAGTATTTTAGAAAATAGTAATCATATGGAAGTTGTGTCTTGGTAGAAGACAGCTTGTTCACTTTCACTTGGAGTTCGTCACCCTGTTACGAAAGTAGACAACAATACATGTGAGTAGAACCACAAATCACTTCACAAGCCAAATAAAACTTCCAATTCATTTTAGGGTAACTAAGAAACATGCTGAGCAGCAAAAAGGCTAACAACAACCAGTTATATTGCACAGAATTAAATATACTACAATACACTGGTGCACATGAAAAACAAATATGATCATAATAAGATTTCTTTTCTCCTACTCCATCTCAAACATCTAGAACAACATAATTTTCAATTTCAATCAGCACTTCCTACATTATATAGTGAAGGAGATCATTCCATCATGCTTGTGTCCCAAAACCACCATTAGCAGTCAATATATATATAAGGATCACACTTTCGTATCATCATAGGCCAAAACCGTGCAGAAATTGTCACTCGCACATAACAAATGCATATAAAATTTAATTTTGCAAACAGAAATGTAAGCGCAGCAACACGCAGCAACTTTAGAACTCTAAGAAATATATACTAGTGCCACAGCAAGTGATAATTTCGCATCGATCATTCACATTACGATAATCAGTACAGCTAAATGAATTAGAAAACGAACACAAATGGATCAAAGACACGTTTCGCATATATTCATAACCCACGCCGGCATTAAACATGCATCCGCGCAACAATCACCGCCTAAATCATTGGAACAAGCCACAGATCTTCATCAATAATCACAAGATAACAAAAAAAATCGCATTGAAATCCCAACACAGAGCTCATCGTCCTCCAATTGGAACAAATATCACTAGATTAGCTCGTAATCAGCAAATACTGAGTTTGCAAAGCAGAAACCAAATGTACCCGCGAAAAATCGCGAGGCGCCACTCCTGGGAGATAGAACGAATAAGCGGATGAACATAAGAAAAGGAAGCAGACACCAACGGTAGCCGCCGGACCCATGATTCGATTCCCGATCCAAATTCAGCAGCTACAGAGTTGTGTGCGCTGAAAATGGGTTTTTTTTTTTTTTTTGCTTCGTCTACGGCAGAAGAAGATTCAAGAAGGAAACGCCATAAGTCGCAAGTTCCAGAAACGCGACTTCACGGAAGCATTCCTTCTCAATTACATACGGCGCGTTTGCTCACAAATAAACAATCGGTATTTATTTTTTGCTTCGTGTTTTGGTATTTTTTTTTTAAGAAAAGAAAATACGAGTATCATTTCGGTATTGTATTATTTTTAATAAAAATATATTAAAGTATTATATCATCTTGTTTTTTTATATATTTTTAAAAATATTAGTATTATATTAAAATTAAATATAAATAAAATAAAAAAAAGACTAAATAATTAGTATTGTGTGATAAAAGAGAATTGATATATTATAAGTTGTACGAGTATTTTTAATGTTAATAAAAAATACAATTATTAAAATAAATTGATAATTTATTATCAAGAAGAATCAAAATAAAATAATAAATAGATTGTTAAGAAAGATGAAGTATTAAATATGATATGCTATTATTTATAATCAGAGCAATCTCTGATTTTTTTGGATTTGAGTAAAAATAAATTATAGGTCCTATAAATATATTATTAAAATAATATAATTGATTGACATTGAATTAACTGTACGGCATGATGTAAGATAGAAAAATATAGACAACTATTCAATTTGAAAAAATGAGACGAAACAATGTTAGTTAAAAAAAATAAATATATATATATAATTACTAAAAAAATATAAATTACAAATTAAAATTTAATAATAATAATAATAATAATAATAATAATAATAATAATAATAATAATGATGAGTAATATTTTAAAATTTAAGTCATTTATTAATTAAGAGCTTGACCCGTAGTTCACCCTACTGCTGAAAGCCCCCTGTTTATAACATAGGATTTCATCTAAGCCTCGGACCATTTTCTTTCGATGGAGGCTATCATTGGACGGCGTGACTCACCGCTGGTGGCTCGCGGGCCGTATAATTTTAAACTGTAAATAGGACGGCTGGGCGGCTTGGTGGGCACCCACGCCATGCCGCCGTCACACCGACTCAGATAGCCGCCACGTCACCATTCTTTTTCCTTTTCCTTTTTTGGGTATTTCGATTGTAATAAGTAAATACTCAATAAAATTTTATTTTAATAAATAATAGTAAAAGAAAATCTAGATTATAATGGAAAATAGTAGTACTAATAAAATAGATTTATTGGAGTATTTATTTATTATAGTCACCACTGTAAAGCTCTTCAAGACTTCAATCCCCAAAATTCACCGAGCCTCCTGTAGTCTACACCACAATAAGATTTTTAATTAAAATCAGCAAAAACCCTAATAATTTCCCCCCTTTTGTTGTTATTTATTTGTTGCTTAATCGACTGAATCGACTTTTTTCCAGACACAGGGAATATCGCTGGATTGAGGTCACCTGCTCCGATTCCATCTTTCGGTTCCAATTTGGTATTTCTATCTCAATCTCCGGCGACCTACCGCCGTCGATCGGACTTTGGCTTCACCATGGGTGCGATGCGGAATCCGATCTGTTATTATCTGAACTAGTTATTCAGTTTTTTATTTGTTAATTACATGATTTGTTTTGCAGTTATTGTTAGGAGTTAGGTGTAGGCAACCAGTATTGGAACGTTACTTCATTCCTCTTGTTATGTAGTGCTTTAGTTGATTATCAGTTTCCTGATTCAATTTCGTCGATTTTCTTTTCTGTTTGGTGAAATGATTGGTTGAATTCGTATTCGATCGGCTCACTTGGATATGATTATGCTTCTGAAATGTCCTTCGTAATAGGCAAATCTTACATTAGATAAGTTTTTTTCTAAGTAATGATGACTAGGACTTCAAGTTTTGAAACCAACTTTTTGCTTGAATTGGATAGTTTTTTTTAACTTCCCTAGGGTTTTAGGGGAAATGTTCGAGACATTATTTGTAAATTTGTTTCGGGACTTTAAGCAGATGCCTGGAAAAAAGTTTTATTATGTTATTGTTAGGGCCTTTTTCTTGTTTGATATTGATCAGATATTTGGTCTTAGCATTGCATTTCCTTTTGTTTTTCCGCCATTTTTCACTCAATTGTGTCATTTCTTGCTGTTTATGCGAACTATGTTTATTCGTAAGGAATGGTTAACTTTGTTGTGTTTATTCTGAGGTAAATGGTTTAGTAGACGTTATCTCTGCTTCTAATACTAATTTTACTTCTATTTTATAATTTTGTCTAGATGTTAAAGATCATTGTTGTTCAACTCACCTCATAGATGGGGATGGTACATTTAATGTTGCCGGGATCGACAATTTTATTAAAGAAGTGAAACTTGCAGAGTGTGGGCTTTCGTATGCAGTTGTAGCAATCATGGGTCCCCAGAGTAGTGGTATGTAATCTTAATTGCAAACATAGTTTTTCACTTCCAGGTGTACTGGATATTGGTCAGCATGAGTGGGGCTTACTCTTTATATGACCGTTACATTTCCAGCAACTAAAACCCCTCGTTTTTCCATCATATGGGTTATGATATTCACCCTGTGCTAATTGGTGCTGCCAAATTCCTTCCACCAATATTTTTGTTTAAATCCAATTAATGGTTTTTTTGCAGGGAAGAGTACCTTGTTGAATCATTTGTTTGGTACTAATTTCAGAGAAATGGATGCTTATAAGGGGAGGTATGCCTCTCTTGGATCTGCTGTTATATTTGTCCCTTGTTTGACTGTAAAAAATGCTGAAAGTTTGAAGCTGCCAGGTCGCAAACCACAAAGGGTATATGGTTGGCACATTGTGTTGGTATTGAGCCTTGCACTCTTGTAATGGATTTGGAGGGAAGCGATGGAAGAGAAAGAGGAGAGGTGTCATATTCTTTCTATTACATTATTATGTTTGATTTGGCATTTCACGATTCATCATCTGCATGAGAGGCCTTCCTCAGAGATGTCTTCTAACTCAATTCTCGACCTAGCTCCCCCGGAATGTTTAATGTCAATCCTTTTTTTAAGACTCTACCTTCTTCTCTGTGAATGTTACTTTTTATTTTTATTTTGTTCGGTGATACTGAATGTTACTATCCTTATTTTCATTCTTCTGAAGGGTTGGCGGCATTTGGAACATATATGTTAGTCTTTCGATTGTGTGATTCTCTGGACTTATTATGAAAATATATAAGTGAATTCCACTGACTACTTTTAATGAAGTGAAATTTTTCGTTTTGTTTAAGTGATGCTAATTGTTTCTCATTTACAGGATGATACTGCATTTGAAAAGCAGAGTGCACTCTTTGCACTTGCAGTTTCTGACATAGTGCTTATAAACATGTATGGTTCTTGCAATGCCTGATCTCATATTTGTTGTTATTAAGTTGTTTATCTTGCTTAGTTTTGAGAAGCTCTCTTGGAAAAATGTTATGTTCAGGTGGTGCCATGATATTGGGCGTGAGCAAGCTGCAAATAAACCACTCTTGAAAACTGTGTTTCAGGTTATCTGTCTTTTGTAATAGTACACTCGTTTGCTCTTAGCAGAGTAAGTAGTTTCTGATTTTTGTTGCTTATGAACAGGTTATGATGAGATTATTCAGTCCTCGTAAGACCACTTTAATGTTTGTTATTCGTGATAAGACAAGGGTATGCGTTTTATGTTCCAGTTGATACTTTACAATAGTATTGTATTTGTCCTTTTGAAATTGCTATTCATATGCTGACACATGTCCGTTTATGGTTTCATGGCTGCAGACGCCTTTGGAAAACTTGGAGCCCATTTTGAGAGAAGATATTCAGAAGGTACTTTAGATGCACACATCTTCCTTTGCGTATAGCTGAGTGAAATTTCTGTTGGTTTCTAAGTGGTCCTCTGTTCTACTTTTTTTGTTTTTCTGCCTCCCATTCTGAAGATTTGGGATTCTGTTCCTAAGCCACAAGCTCACAAGGAAACTCCACTAAGTGAATTTTTCAATGTAAGGTGTTTCAAACCAATCAATTTTATCCTACCTTTGAATGTGCTCTGGAACTTAAACGGTGCTTTTCTTCTAAATAATGTGGTGGCAGGTTGAAGTTGTGGCTCTGTCTAGTTACGAAGAGAAGGAAGAACAATTTAAAGAGCAGGTTCTTGTTCTTGTTCTGAAATGTACAAAGTTGTGCTCATATACTTTTAAATGGCTGTCCCTTGAAGGAGTCTGTTTCATTATTTACCCATTTATGCATTTGTGTTTTTTTCTTTCTTTCTAATGGAGAATCATGGACACTCTGTATCACTATATTTGCTCTTAGATGCGTTTGTGATTTTTATTGCTTTGCATTTTTATTTTTATTTTTGTAGGTGGCAGGTCTAAGACAAAGGTTTTTCCATTCTATTGCACCTGGTGGGCTTGCAGGGGACAGACGTGGTGTGGTCCCTGCTTCTGGCTTTGCATTTAGTGCTCAACAAATATGGAAGGTCATTAAGGAAAACAAGGACCTTGATCTCCCTGCACACAAGGTTTTGAACTAAATATCTATTTCAAATCCATAAGTGAACTGTAAAAGATGTTCTTCACTAATGCATAATCTGGTTAAATGTGTAGGTTATGGTTGCAACTGTACGCTGTGAAGAGATAGCTAATGAGAAATTCTCCTCTTTTGTGGAAAATGAGGTACTTGTCTGATGGTATTGATCCCTATTTGGTTTCAGGAGAGTACTTCTGAGAGATTATTTTAACTGTTTGTATTGGATCATTCTATTGTATATATTCAGGAGTGGCGCCTGATAGAAGAGAAGGTTCAATCTGAGCCAGTGCCTAAGTTTGGAAGGAAGCTCACGTCAATTCTTGATATTTGCCTATCAGAGTAAGTGAGGTTTCTGTGGGTCATGATGATACCTTCATTGCATATAACTACATCAAGAATCAATCAACGCACCATTTTAAAGAACTACGCTAATTAACAGGGATTTGCTCCATAAAATAATAATGTACGAGGTGTTCAAATTTTGAATTATAAGTACTCTGATTTCTATCTTGGAGGATATATGAGTTTTAGTTTGATAGATTTTAGGCTATTCTTCTTCCATTGTTACTTTGGGGAAGTGAATTGAGTTTCTTAATCAGGCCATTATAAAAAAGGGAAAAGAACGAAAAAGAATGGGAGACTAATCCATCTGCTCTCATTTCTGTTTTTGTTATGGCTTTAAGTTTCACGTTTTATGTTTGGATATCTTGATGAATGCGCATGATGAATAATTATAATTTGTCAAGGGAAGATTGCAGTACATATCAGTGTGTGAATCATGCATCTTCTTATGTTGCAATTTAGTTAACCATTGTTGCACTAAATACCTGTTTTCTTACATGTGCACCTGTTGTTTTCTATTCTCTAATCTGAATAGGTATGATGCTGAAGCAACATTTTTTGATGAGGGTGTCCGATCTTCAAAACGAAAGCAGTTGGAAGAGAAACTCCTGCAAGTAATTACTTATTAATTCTATGCTAATGTTCTGAATGTCATGTTTTAGAACATTAATATTGTTAAAAGTCTTTTATTTTGAATGGCAATCATAATGTATTTTTAAAACGCCAATAGAATGTAGATTATAAGCTTTAATTGAGCACTTAATGAGCTGTATACTTGCATCTCAATATCACTAGTCAATGGTGTGAGGCCAAAGGTGTTGAACAGGAAATTCTGATTTTGAACTGTTAAGATTGCCTAACATGTACTGCAAGAAGCAAGAGCTGTTTTGTCCTATCATCTCTATGGTACTTAATAGTGTAATAAGCAAATTCTGAAGAAAACACTTATACATGAGAGGAGTTTTGCTCCCTCTGGATTTTGTTTAGTTTTTGTGTCTTTGAACTGTGGGCATTCTAACAATTGACGCTGTAGTTGCGTTTTTCTCTGTCATCCACGTGCAATTTAGAAATGCTATGAAGTTATCCTTATTCTCTTGTCACTAACATGAGTTAATGATGCCCATTTTTGGTGGGGATGGGTGGGATTAGGGGTAGGTCATACATATTGAATATAGTTTTAAATTCTTTTCTACTTCTTTATGCTTATTTCTCTCTTCTGTTGTTTTAGCTTGTCCTACCATCTTATCAACTCATGTTGGGACACATTCGCTCTGGAACCTTGGGTAGATTCAAGGAAGCATTTGATATTGCCTTGAATGAGGGTAAAGGGTTTTCTGCTGCAGCACGCAATTGCACGGAGTATTATATGTCAAAGTTTGATGAAGCATCTGCAGGTATACTTCATCACTCTCCTTCTCTATTATTATCTGGGCACTAGAACAAATATTTTGCATCAACATCAATATGTTCCTTAGAGTAACCATCTAAAAGAGCACTTCAAAGGGGAATGTGGTGCCTGTTGTCTTATCCTTGTATTTGGTTCTTCGAATGTAACTCATGGGCTTCAACCTTTAGTGGCCAGAGAAAACTTTTTATAATGAAATGTTGAATTCATGTTATTGTTGGTGGCTGATGCATAGGATAGAGCACAATGACCAATTATAGCAGCTGAGTTTGAAAGTTGACTAATTTTCAGATGTGCACATTGGTCAAGCAAGTTGGGATTCCTCTAAAGTAAGGGATAAGCTTAGGCGTGATATAGATGCACATATTGCTGCAGTCCGTGAAGCCAAGCTGGCTGAACTTACATCTGTGTATGAGGTATGAGAAATTATTTTGCTTATATTCCTCTTGGGGGGGGTCATTTCAAGCACAGGGCTTTCTTCGCTAATATTCTTTTCAGCTGTAAGAATGCAGAAGGGAAGATGATCTTCAATTAAGAAATTTATTGATCAAGTGATTAGTTTTCCCTAGGCAGGGGCCTGGACGGGTTCAGGACAGGTCCCGAGTCCAAAATTTTTCTGACCGGGATGTCTTGTGTCCTGCAAAACCCACACTGTTGCCATATCCCTAGCTTTCCTACACAAGCAAAAATAGTTAGCTATCTAAAGATTTATGTTTTATTTTTATATTGATGTCTTTTGTACTGATAAATGGCAGAAAAAATTGCATGAAGCCTTAGCCGGGCCTGTTGAAGCTTTATTGGATGGAGCCAGTGATGATACATGGCCATCAATAAGAAAACTTCTCCATCGCGAGACTGATGCAGCAGTTAGTGGGCTTTCTAGTGCACTATCTGGTTTTGAAATGGATGAGGTAGCAAGGGATAAAATGATTTCGAGGTTGGAGGATTACGCTAGAGGAGTAGTGGAAGCAAAAGCCAAAGAAGAGGCTGGAAGGGTTTTGATGCGTATGAAAGACAGGTGCTGATTTTTTTATTTTTATATATTTACTTTGATTATATCATGGCCCTGAAAAAAAAACCATATATGTGTCTATATGTTGATTTATAAATCTCTATTAACGCTTCTATTTATGGAAACTTACCGGTCTATTACTGGCAGGTTTTCTACATTATTCAGTCGTGATTCCGATTCCATGCCACGTGTCTGGACAGGAAAGGAAGATATTCGTGCAATTACCAAAACTGCACGCTCTTCGGTATGATACTCTTTTCTATTTGTTTTGATGGGATATTGAATCTCTTATGGAATATGAATTATTTCTTCCTTGTGTTTCTGTATTGTTTGTAGTCTTTAAAGCTACTGTCTGTGCTCGCTGCTGTTCGTCTGGATGACCATACTGCTGATTCTATAGAGAATACATTGTCCCTTGCTCTCATTGATCCAAAAAGTGGTGCTGCTGGCAGTAGAAGTGTCTCAGGGGATCCTCTTGCGTCGAGTAGTTGGGATGAGGTATATAGTTCATTCAGTAATTAATAACAATATTGCTTTTCATACAAATTATTTTGCACCAACGCTAGTCATTTATGTCAAGTTCTTGGGGTTGATCTGGAGCATAAAACTTGTCAACTTTTACATATCTCTTTGTACTGTGTATGTTGTACTCATTCTTAGTACGTGGTTGAAACCCTACCCCCCAGGTTCCGCCATCCAAAACCTTGTTATCTCCAGTCCAATGCAAGTCGTTGTGGAGGCAATTTAATATTGAGACAGAGTATGTTGTTAGTCAAGCCATTGCTGCTCAGGTACACACTTCTGTACATATAATAATGCATTGGGAAATATTGGTGCATTTTACAGTTCTTGTTGTATGGAATTATGGATCGATAATATTCTTTTCACAAGTGACATTCATGTGTGTGGAATTGACGATCTCTAGATGCTTTCGATAACTCTAAATCTTTTCCATTTTCAGGAGGCTAGCAAGAGAAATAACAACTGGATGCCACCTCCATGGGCAATTGTTGCATTGGTGGTTTTGGGTTTTAACGAGTTTATGACCCTTTTAAGGTATTTAATCATTTTTATTGTTGCTGCTTTAGTCTTGCGACACCACTATTTTCGTTTTCTAATTTTATTCTGTTTTCTGAGCGTCCCCCTTGTAAATTATTTGGCTTTGCTTGTCAACTTGCTGATGCTTCCTTCTTTTGACAGAAACCCTTTGTATTTGGGCGTCATATTTGTTGCTTTTCTGCTTATAAAAGCCCTTTGGGTGCAATTGGACGTCTCAGGCGAATTCCGAAATGGAGCTGTAAGTAATATATATATGTATTTACTCCTAGTTTGCAAGCTCTGAAAAAGTTGGAATTGATATATTTGAAAACTTTCCGGCACAGAAAGGCCTCCTAGTTCGTAGATTGATTAATTTTATTGCTCTCTGAATTTTAATCTCCTCTCTCTTTTTCTAATGGCATACAGCTTCCGGGAATTCTCTCCCTGTCCACGAAATTCCTCCCAACCGTCATGAACCTTCTAAGGAAACTAGCCGAAGAAGGACAAAAGCCGGGCAACCCTGATCCTCAACACAACCCGCCAGCCCCGGTAAAGACCTTACACAGCGGTACACATGACCATTCTAATCTCTCATCTAGCGCTTCCTCTGAAGTAATATCGTCAGAAAATGGAACCGAGTACTCGAGTCCCTCTACCAACAACAGAGTCCAGTGAGCTCTCATTAGCCACCCAACCCTCTTATTTGTCCAGGTATAACTCCTACACTTGTTGGGGTCAAATTGTACCAGAAAGGAAGGGATATATATCATTGAGAAGGATCTATATTTAAATGTCGACGACCAGGGTGTGTGTTGCCTTAGAAATTATTCATCTCTCTTCCTCTTCTTGCTTCTATATATATAGTTTTTGTGTTTAATGGTGTTTTATGATTGTGATTTCACATCTTGTTTCAGTTTTGTATCATTAGAGGTTGTGAATGTGAATGTGAATGTGAATGTGAATGATTCCAGTATTCTATGTATTTTTATTTTATGATACTGGGAATTTTATGACCCCATCCATCTATTTAAAGCAGAGAATTGTTATTTATTATTGTGGCTGGCAGACACAGATCCTCCTTATGCCTTATAAATCTGTGGTTTTTCTATGTTTCTTTCGTATCATTTTATTCTAATTTAATGATTTTATTTGATGTCCTTCAAACATATTTATACTTGCTTTTTAATGTATACTATGTAAACATGATTTAACACATTTTGTAATTTGTACACCGTTTATTGTTGAACAATATTTATTTATTTATGTATTTTAATAAAATTGAACAATATAAAATTTATAACAATTTTATCACACGACCTAAACTTATATAATGAGTACTAGAAGAGCTTTCTTGGTATGAAAATTCAGGGGTAGATTTTCTTAAACAAATGATAGTATAAAGAAGTTTTGATCAATAAATTGAAATTATCTGAAATGTAATATATATCTATTTTATTCGTTCATAAAAGTGATAAATTTGTGCGTTTCATCTATAAAACAAAAGACAATTTTTAAAACCATTTTCTATACTTTCAATAATCAATTTGCTACACATAATTTGCCTAGTGTGACTTGTCTGTCGGTATTAGGTTTGGTCGGGGGTTTACCAGTGCGCAAAAAGAAAAAAAAAATAAAAAATTCAATCTGTGCGTTTCTATTTCTTGCCTTGTCGGGTCTGCCACACATTATTCACCTAGTGTGACTTATCTTGTTGATCTAATTTGCAGATTATTAGGTTCGACCGAAGGTTTACCCGAGCACATCCGAGTGGTAGCTGCGGTTTCTGTATTTTCGGATGCGGCTGCAGTTCCCGCATTATACAAAAAAAAACCAATAAAATACTTCAGAAGATAAATTTAAACTACTGACGCTTCCGGATTTACTTGCTACATATTATCGGCTTAATAAAATGTATAATAACTGAAAATTTTAAAATAATTAATAAAATATTAGTATTATTTTTAAAATTTATGCAAAAGTACATTCATTTGGGACTAATGGAATATTATTTTTAAAATAACATACTTTCCGTCGTTTAACTACAACTATTAATTTATCCATTTTGGTTCGTTTCATAACAATATATCACTTTTGTTTAAACTCTCCAAAAATCATTTTTGTTTAAATAATTTACCAAGGTTCCAAATTTGACTAACCTCAATTTATATATCAATACAATCATTTTACGTTTAATGTATGATTTATTTATTTATTTTTAATTTAATGAGTAATATTAGTAATCAATCTATTTATGATTCTAACCATCTCCCCGCCTACTTACTATATACATAATGCCCTATTCAAATTAGGTCAAGATTTCATCATATCTAATTTAAATATGAAAAGGAAATCCAACGGCTACGATCAAAAGATTTTGTGATTACCATAATGTAAATATGTAATTAATCAGGCTGATATAAATGGTAATTAATTATTAATTAGTAAAAAAGGGATCCCTTACGTATCTTATATTATGTCTTCTTTCCAAAGCCTTTTGCATCTCTACAAATGACCGCGCAAACAGTCACCAAACCTACCGGCGGCGGAGCCGCCGGCGAATCCACCGCCGTACCTGCAGCGACGAAAACAGGCTTAAATCCAGTATTTCCGGTGAACAATCAGAACTACATCACGCAACGTCCAGCCTACCTCCGCCTACAGCCTCCGCCGATGAAGATCCGCCGGCGGAGATGCTGCTGCCGGTGCTGCCTCTGGACAGCTATCGTCATCTCCTTCCTCATCCTTCTCGCCGCCTTCGCCGGCGCCGTGTTTTATGTCCTCTACCGCCCGGAGCGCCTTAACGTAACCGTCAATTCTCTTCGCCTCGCCGATTTCAACCTCACTGAAACGAGCATAACCGCTGCCTTCAATTTCTCAGTCACCGCGCGCAATCCGAACAACAGAATCGCATTCAATTTTGACGGAATCTCGCTGTACTTGCGCTCCGCCGACGTCGACGTCGGGGACGGATCCTTCCCTGGCTTCATCCTCGGCGAGAACAACGTCACGACTATGAGATCCGTGATTTCCAGATCTAACTCGCCGATTCCCGAAGGAACTGACGTCTCGGCGCTTAAATCTAGCTTGAAGATCAAGCAACTGCCGCTGAAGATTGTAATGGAAACCAAAATGCAGGCACAAATCGGAAAACTCGCGACGAAAAAGCTCAAAATCAGATTCACCTGCGATGGACGCTCCGTTCCCCTCCCCGTCGCAAAGGCGCCGCCGCCATCGACGGTTTCCGGCGTCCGCTGCAAGGCTAAACCGATAATCAATATTCTCGATTGGACCTTATGATTAGAATAAAAGTAGCATTAATATTATTTCATTTGTTCCTTATTTTATTTTCTTCTTCCGTAATTTTGTTCATTGTTAAAGGTTTGTTTGATTTATATTTGAATTTAAAAATTTTGTTTGAATTTTACTTCAAATAAATTTTATAAGTAAAAAATAATATTGAAAATCCTATCATTCAAATATAAATGTATTTGTTTTGTAAAATAATTTGAATAAATATTTTTTAATATAAAAAATAAAAAAATAAAAATAATTAATGTATTATACTCTGTTTCATAACTATATATCTATGGACAGAGAAAGTATTAATATTTTTGAAAAAATAAATATAAATTGATTATTATTTAGCATTATCTACATCCAAATATAATGTAATATTTATTTTTTTAATATAAATTTACTTATTATTCAATCGTATTATTCAAATAAAAAATAAATATAATTATTTTCTTTGTATTGCCATAACTAAAAAATCACTCAGAATGAGAAATGCGCTTTTATAGTTGTATGTACATATCTATCTATACATATCTAAAAAAGCGCGTTTTTGTCGTCGTTTCCGTACCAAAGTCTGGCGGTTTCTTTGACCGAAGCATAGCTACGATGGAAATAGCAGGTGCGGACGGAACCAAAGTGGAAATCAATCGGGGAGAAACACTGGAGCTCGGAAGAGGGCACGGCTTCAATTCTTCTGACAAGACCATCTCTCGGCGCCAAGTTTCGTTCTTCATCCCCAAAATTGATGGAAATCGAGAGGTCCGCGCTCAGTTTGAAGTTCTGGGTAGAAACCCTATCTACGTGAGCAGGAACAATGGAGTCGAGATACTCCGGAGGTTCGAAAGAGGTGAAATGGAGAGTGGAAATATGTTTTGCGTTTCGGCGAAGGATCCAGTTTGGTATACGTTGAGAGGAATTAGGGATTGCGGCGCAAGTGTTCGACGAAATGACTTGGAGCGTGAAGTGCCTGTGAATTTGGACAGCGGAGAGGTTGAAGATTTCCAGCTAGAGGATGTTGATATCTCCGATATTGATCCTGTAAAAGGTTAGTTCATCTGCTTCTTGCCTTGGATTATAATTTATATTTAGCTCATCGTCTAATTTTCTGCCGAATCTGTTGATTGAGTTTGTTAATCTTAGGAAATGAATTAGCTTGCTTTAGCCGTATCTTGATTATCCTTTGTTTGGCATTTCGATCATGGAGTTTGGCTGAAAGTTAGATCAGTGTTCAATCAATGAACAGTTAATAACTTTTTCATTTCTAATTTTTTTTGCATATAATTAACCTCCACATGATTATTTGGATAATTTCTCAGATTTGATCCACGATCCAACTTTCGAATTCATTAATTCCGTTAATTAAGAAGGAGCTTTTTCATAGGGGTGAATTTGATCCTATCCAAATTGAAATTTAAAATTTGATTCGGATTGGTTGTTTGGATTTTTGGATCGGTTTGAATTGATATAATAAAAATCCGAAGTAATTCGAAATCCGAAGTACATCACATATCTTATTATTATTATTATTATTATTAATATTATTATATATTTAATATGTTAATAAAATATGTTAAAGAAATAAAATTCTCAAAAAAATTTAAATATATTATGCAATTTCGGATTTTTGGGTTTGGTCCGAATTTTATAATTTGGGCAATTTGGTACGGTTTGGGTTGGTTTTTTTCAAGAAAATTTGGACTTTTGGATTGTCCAGATTCGACAAAATCTTATTTGAAAAAAAGAATGCTTACCCCTACTTTTTTTCAATATGTATGCACCCTTCATGATTTTTGTAAACATAACTCGAGCTAAACTAACACCAGCTACAAAATGATGCCCTTTCTCAATCAGGTCTTTTTAGATTCTTAATTTCGAGAATAGTTTGAATTTGGCCTCCTTTATCATGGAGTCTATTGTTTGGCTGTGGATAATCGATTAGGGTGAGTTTATGAACGGTTGGATTATTTGTTGTTGCAGAATTTGGATTCTTTGTGATAGGGCATGAGTTGGATTTGTACCCCAAGATATTGATTCGCGATGTGAAGAAATGGGATTGGTTTCTTGACGAAGGAAGAGGCAATGAGGATGACGATGAGAATGGAGGAAAGAAAGGTAGAAAGAAGAGGAAGAAAGGAGCAGAGGTCGATGATGAGGATTGGACCAGCGAATGCGACGAAGACAGTGTGTTAGTTAATAAACCTAAGATCCCGCAAAAGCCAAAGTATGCAATGAGGTCCAAGGATCGTGGTAAAGCGAGTAAAGCCTCCGATAAAGGAAAGAAAATTGGGGATGTGGATGATGAAGTTGATGATGAGGATGAAGATGATGAAACGTTGGGGGGCTTCATTGTGGATGATGAAAACTTGGACGATGATAAAGAGATCGGTGAAGAAGAAGACGAAGAAGAAGAAGAGTTTGTCGATGAAGATGATGAGTGAAGGTAGACAGCAAATTTTGATGGCTGGATTTCGATAAGGTATGTGTATTTGTTTAAGTGACGTGTTGTTATTGTAAAGTTCTTTCCCTGGTTCTGAATGGATTTGATTTACATCGATAGCAGATAGTGTAATTTTATACTACAAATCAAATATCGATTGCTGACTAACACTTGGAACAGCCTAAGTTACTGCTGTGGTCATATTTATATGTTCTTTTTTGTACCCAAAGCAATTTCATGCATCATTGATGTATTTATTTGTGTTGAATTATTTTTGATAAAAAGATACTACTTCCTCCGTCACGTCACAGAAGAGTTGTCTTGTTTTTCTATTTTCGACAGTCCCAAAACAATTGTCATGTTTTCTTATTTAGTAATCGTGGTTTTCACTTAATAACAAAATTATTCATACTTTTCCAAACTACCCATAATTATTACTCTAACCTAGTCATACTTCTTCTGGGACGGAGAGAGTAATATTTAGTTTTATTTTCGTTTTATTAACAATAGTATATATTAAATATAATATTTTACTATTAAATACTAATATAAATATATACTGTAATATACATTTTGTCTGATTGTAAACTTGAATATTGAAATTTTAAATCTAAATAACTCTCTCTATTCAATAATAGCATAAAATATAAAGGAAGTGAAAGTATAATTTTGCTAATGAAGGGAGTAATTAAATTTAAAATGTAAACTTAATATTTTATATAATATAAAAATAAAAAGTAAATATTTAATTTAATATTTTTAAAAGTAAAGTTTGTTTGTTTTTTTTTTTTTTTTTTAATTTTATGAATAATAAAACTTGGTCTAAAATCTTATAGACAGCAGTGAAACACATTTGCTAATTTTTACCTAACTATCCGTGGTAGTACTTTCCATTACAGTTGTTTTCATATTTTACCAAGGAGCTGCGCTCCCGGGAGCCTCCCAAGAATCAGTACCACGTTTGTACGTCAAAATGCAGAGAAAATACCTGTACAAAATAAATTCAAGCTGTCAACAACTGACTGCGAATTAAATTCGAGAAGATACACATACAGTCATGATGAAATCATTTTCCACAATTTTTTTAAATATTTTTCTATAATGTCTTTGAAAAATTCAAGCTCATTCACTCAAAAATAACCGTATAAATAATAAAATAAAAATAAAAATAAAAATAAAATAAAAATATCTATAATATTAATTACTCGTTCATTTATGAAGCAGACGCAATACAAAACTAGAAAGAGTCTGAGGTTTTTAATTATTTATTTAATTAATTAATTACATACCCATAAACCATAAACCATAAATTGTTTTTTTTTTATTATATATTTATTTATTTTATAAATATCATTTAACACATCATCACATATATATATACGTATAATGTCATGGACGAGGGCCCCACATCGCCGGAGGCAGGCAAGAGTCCGCCGGGAAACTGCTGTTGCACGGCGGCGGGGGTGGCGGCGGCGGAGAGGCGGAGGCGGAGGCGGCGGTGGAGGCCCAGGACGCCGGACTAGATGAAGCCATAAGAGATTCAATGTAGTCCATTGGATTAGGAGTAGCTGACGTCGCAATAATATCAACGGCTGAGATTCCTCCGACGAAATCCGTCCCCAAAATCCCTTCACCAGAAACTGAGTTCTGCATCAGAAACCCCATCGCCGCCGCCGGAGGATGATCAATCACCGCCAAGTCTGGATTTTCCGGCGCCGGATTATTAACCAGAAGATGAAGATTATTATAATTGTTACTATTATCCGCCGTCAGCAGCGAATTAGGGTTTTCAAATCCGAGCACGAAATTATTATCCATCTGGTGGGGCTGGTACGAGTAATTGGGATTTAAACACGACGATTGATCAGCGGAGAATTGATGAAATTGGGGAAGAAGAGGATCGATTTGGGGATGATTATGGTTGGGGAAGATTCCGGCGTGGTGGGAGGTGGTAATCAGGTAAGGAAGATTGGTACAGCAGTTGTCAGAGGAGGATCCGCCATTGTTGGACCTTGAAGCTCCTGAGATGAATCCATTCTCTGCAGCGACGACGTAATTATTACTATTATTACTAACATCAACACCATTACTACTAATATTATTATTGGTTAGATTATGTTGTTGTTGATGATGATGATGATGAGCAGAAACAAGCTTCTTCTTCACACTCGAATTCCAGAAATTCTTCACTTCATTGTCAGTTCTTCCTGGCAGATGCTTCGCAATCTGAGCCCACCTGCAAAATCAAAATTAAAATTAAAATGATTTTATTATTGAATTGAAGAGCAAATTCAGATTATTAATTCCACTCCATATTTCCATTCAATTCCTGCATGCACATATATATATATATATATGTATGATATGATATGAATTAGGGTTTGTGGATCCCTAATTAAATTAAATTAAATTAAATTACCTGTTTCCTAAAACCCTGTGAAGGTCGATGATCAAAGTGGCTTCATAGTGAGAAAAGCTGCCTCTTTTCAAATCAGGCCTCAGATAATTGATCCATCTCAGTCTGCAGCTCTTTCCACATCTTTGAAGCCCTAATTCATTAATTAATTAAACAATCAGAAATCATCTCTCTTTCTCTCTCTTCTCATTAACCTCTCTCTCTCTCTCTCTCTCACTCTATATATATATATACCAGCGAGGCGGGGGACAGTGCTCCAGGAGCCATGGCCATAGGAGGAGATGTAATTGATGAGTTTCTCGTCTTCTTCAGGAGACCAAAGGCCTCTCTTCACTTTCTGTTTGTTGCAGCAGGTGTGATGCCCCATTGATCCCAATCTCTGATCCGATCTCAATCGATGATGATGAATTGATGATCCAGTTATTATATATATATATATATGATATGATACTTATGTAAGCTGCTGCAGCATTAATTGTAATCTGCAACCAAAATGTAGTGTAGTGTACACACACAAAGATATATATATATATATATATATGAGAAACAAACAAGGAAGAGGGAGATCTGCAGATGATATATATATATGATCAATAGCACACTAGACTAGGGTAAATTAAATATTATAGAGAGAGAGTGAGATATGATTGTGTGAATTAAATGAAGGAAGATGTGAATATGTAAGAGAAGAGAATAGCAAAGAAGAGGGCCCCATCACCCCTCTCTCTCTCTCTCTATATATATATATATATTTTATACACAAGGGTTTGTTGTGTCTGTGTCTGTCTGTCAGTCTCTCTCTCTCTCTCTCTGTATATATATATGTATATGTATGTATTACCTTGTGTGTGAACGCCATGGAAATTCATGGTAGATTACTCCCATCCATGCCAGCAACTTCTGAGTCGAGTCTGTTATTCAGGTTTTGTTTTATTTACTTATCCAATGGTATATATTTTTATATGACAATCTAAATCTAAAGAAATACGTATAAATTTAAATGAAAAAAAGAGCTTATTTTATTAAAAGATGTTAATAAATAGAGTAAAACTAATAAAGATAAATATTGACATAACAATATATTTTCTCCATCCAATTTGGTAATTTCCTATTAATTGTTTCTTTTCCTTTTATATTTCTAACAATAATACAATTTAAAAAATCACTACTCATAGCAACGAAAAAATAAGGACAAAATGATGAATATAAATAAATCATTAAAAATTATACCATCTAAGAAATTGTATCTAAACAAAAATTAACATTTATTTTGGGAAGCAGGTTGTATATATAGTTTTTTTTTTATTATTATTTTTTAAATGTTTGTATGCAAATTAAATTAAAATAGAATATTTTTCTTTCTAAAATATACTACATAATATAATACAAATACAACCAATAACTAATAATAAAGAATAATAATTCATACAATACATAATACTATTAATTTCATATGCTTTCAACTAAGACAATATGTGCTGGGATAAGTAAAAAATATATTCTCCATCCTTTATCTATTTGTTTTTTGTACGGAATTTTAAAAATATTAGTATTATATTATGATGTTGTATGAATAAAATATAAAAAGACTAAAATAACTTATTAGTATCGTGTGATATAAAAAAATGGATAAATTAGTAAGTAATAGAGAAAATATTATACTTATTTATGTTCTATGTGTTGATTAGGCTAATCAGTAGTGTAGATTAACCAGCGTTCTAACTCATTCATGATAAATATATATTTTTTAATAATAATAATAAAAAAAAAAAAGTAATAGGTGGAATCAAATGTTAAAATATACACTTTATTTACATGAAAAAAAAAATTAAAATAAATAAAAATAAATGGTACAAAAGTATATTTGAAAACTGATGTAAAACACAATTAAGCATAGCCTTTTATAAGTATGTACGAAGAATTAATGTCCACTGATAGACATGTAATTATTGTACTAAGATGGACAAACTCGTGCAAGTAATTAAGGGTCAATAATAATAATAATAATAATAAATAAATAAATCCTCCAAAAAAATATATATAAAAAAAGGATATAGTAGTTCCTATTCTCATTATGCAAAAATAATCATTTAAAATTTATTATTAATTCTTCATTTTGATTATAGAGGGTACAAAAATTTAGGATTTTATTTTATATTTTTAAATCATGAATTAGCTAGACAAATTTTCATTATTATCGTTAAGTGAATTAAATGTATGTTTTAATGGTCCATTTCATACATCAATTGAAATTTGATGCATGTGATATTCAACCACATTTGGATATTGTAACCTATTTCACTATATATATATATATATATATATTTTTTTTTTCTTATTTTTAGGTTGAAGGTTTTTTTTTTAATTATTATATATATATTTAATGGAATATTCTTGAATATATATATATGTATATATATATCATGCATGTATCTTACAAAATTATTCCTTATTATTTTTAAACTAGTTTAAAATCCCTTTTCTTCTACATAATTTAACTAGGGTTGTTATTTTGTGTTTTGTGTTTTGTTTTTAACATTTTTTATTTTAATTTTTTGAAGTGAAATAGTTCTTTATATAACATTCTATATGATAAATGAGTTGTGTGTGTGACATTTTTAAAAGAAAAATAAAAGACTGAAAAAAAAAAATCAATATTCAACACAAAGTATAATTTATTTATTTATTTTTTATATTATCGATATAATTTTTTATATCTCAAATAAATAAACACCTGAAACTAAAATACTAAATAAACACACTCAAATGCAATATTGGAAATATTATTTTATTTCAATATCGTATTGATATGAATGGATGACTATCTTATGTACCTTAAGTAAGACATAGGAAGATCATAATCATTGTTTTTCGACTAGTTTATTTTATTACTATTATTATTATTATTATTTTTCCATGTACAAGTAGCTAAAACAGCTAAAGAAAACATGTAATTGACGAGTTCGGTATATGTAATCGATAAATTCGGTTTACAATAAATTCTACGGTTTTTGGAAGGATTCGATGAAACAGGACAAGTGCTATGTCAATTTTGTCTTTGTTCAATTTTATCCTTCGGTTGGTTTGTTCAGCGACTTTCATCATCTTTTTTGTCCTAAATAAATGATGAAAAAAAAATCTGTTTTCATTCTATTTTTATAGGAAAAAGAGCTCGTAGTTTGTTCCACCTTGATATTATCGACCATCTTGAGCATTGGTGTTAAAAAAATTATAAGAAAAACAAATTAACAATTATAGGATAAAAACTATTCGAATTAAAATGAATATATTTTGAACGAATAAATATATATGCGGCATGAAAATAAAATAACCGGGGCTAAATAAATGGTTAATTAATTTATTCTTCGTGAGGTATTTTTGTGCGATTTAAAGTTAAAAATTGTGTTTACTTTGTGGAATATCTAAAGAAAGAAAATATGCAAAGTGAAGTAATAAGTGTTAGAAATAAACTATCCCACACATATATAAATCTATTTCAAAGATCAATAAACATATTATCTAAATTTCAATTATATATTTTCATTCAAGAGAAATTTTCAATTTTTATAATGTAAGTAGGGTATATTACCAATTTAATCATTCAATATTGATGATAATGTTAAATGTTGTAATTTGGTTTTGGTTTGAAATTAATTTCAAATGAAGTATTAATTTAATTTTTATTATTTAAATAGTATTTTGATATAATATTTTGTAAGACAAAATAGTTAATTTTATTAAAAGTTAAGAATAGTGTTGATTATGATTTAAAATCACACAATCAATAATTTCTAGCAAAATCTTTTAAAATTAAATGATTAACTTGGAATTGAGGTCCGTAATGAATTTCCGTTTATAGTTTAGTATTGATAACGATTAACATAAATCAACATCACAAAATAATGACAATATAAACCTAATGATGTTTAATGATTAATACCGCGGCATTATGCCTTTGAATCCATATCGTTGCATGTTCGACTATGAATTATCGATCCCTAAATAATTATTGTCAATAACTTTTTAATTATCACAAAAAAAAGGAAAAAAAAATATCTTAGTTTTCATTTTTATAAATATGTGAAACTATTATATCGATATTTAATTTAATTATTTCAATATGTTGTTCATCATATATATGAAAAAAATAATTTTATTTAATTTCAACAATATTGCACTCATTCAATATTTTCTTAAACTATTGATTTTGCAATTTTGCGTACGCTTTTCGTGTAATGTCTTTGTTGGATTAATATGTGTTTCATAGTTTTATTTAGACAAAGAATGTAATAATGAATTGTTTATACTAAATAAGTGAAAGTAAGGTCGTAATTTGTTTTTGTCAAAAGTTATGTTCGAGAAGATTAAGTAGTCTTAATAGACTTAGCTTTTGCTTTGTGTTCGTGCAATGTTGTGTCATTACATATTGAGTAATTTTTATCATTTCGAGAAATTGTTGTCATTATGAAAGGCTATTTGTCTTCCTTTGTTTTTTTCTCTATTTTTGGTCGGGAGAACAAGAATGAATCATTAATGTTTTCTTAACGATTTTCGTTATTATTCTTAATGTTTAGAGATCGATTAAAGCCATGATTTTATTTTATTTTATTTTTCCATTGTTGTATTTCAAAAGGGTTACCGATGCTATATATTTATAAATGGCGTCGAATATGTTTATGAGTTTCAAAGCCAAAAAAAAAAAAAAAAGGAATTAACTAGATGTACTAGAAATATATTTGGTCATAAAAAAAATATCATATCAAAAATACATTTTCTATTCAATACATTATATTCATATATTATTTATGTTTTCATTTAAAACATCACATTCAATATATTTTCTATCATTACAAAAAAATAATATATTTGTTCCGTCCCTAAAGTTCACATAGCTAACGTGATTTCATTCCTAATTCCGTTTCTAATGTTATTAGTAACAGAAAAAATAGATTTAGAGACAAAAATATTTTGTTACATAAATGATTTTTTTCTTGCAGTGTATTGTAAAAAAATACACATTTGTATTTTTTTATAATAATTTTTTATTCAATTTTTTTAAAAAAAAATTCTTTCAAATAAATCATATCAAATACCTCAATTTTCTATATAGAATATCATATCTAATTAATATGTAATAACCATTTTACCTATAAAAAAACATCAAATTTTTAGTCAAACCCTAAATACAAGAGATTTCATCAACCTCATACATACACACAACATATGTGTGTGTACACACATAGATATATATATATATATATAGAGAGAGAGAGAGAGAGAGAGAGAGAGAGAGAGAGAGATGAACCTATATATACTGAATCATATTCTAGAAAAGTTAAAATTACATGCACAACTTTGAAAGTTTTAACACTATTACTCATAGTAACTTTCTCCTCAGCAATTTGAATACAAATATATAATATAAAATATTTATTTTTTATTTAAATTATCACATTCTAAGCTATTTTGTAGACAAAAACTTTATTCAATATTTATTTATATCACATTAAATATTTTAATTTTTTACTATTTTACTAAATTTCAAAATCCTTATCTGAATGGAGCCTTGAAAAATAATATTGAAAGTAAAATCTGTATATATATATATATTGAATGAGATATAAAAAATAAAAAATAAATAAATAAATAAAAAAACAAATTGACTACGTGAGTGATTTAAAAAATTGACAGGTTGGTAAAATCTTGGTAAAGCAATTCCACTTTTGGGTTCATAACTAAACAGAAAACCAGATTCTCATATATCTTATGGTTCTTTTAACCCCACATTTAATTTAATTTAATTAAAAACTACTATTACTATTTTCTATATATATATATATATATATGCTTGTCACAAAAGCCTCGACTTCACTTTATAATTATTATTATCATTATTATTATTATTATTATTTCAAATTTAAAAATGAAGAACAATAATATATGAAGCAAGGAATAAAATCAATATAATAGTAAATAAAATAAAATAAAATAAAAAGAATTGAAGAATCTTGATGAATATAATGCACATGAAATAATTAATGAGGTGAGGCTCCATTTCTGCATTTGGTGAGCCACAATGGGACATAACCTCTGGTTCAGTTTTGTTTTTTCCCATTCCATTATTTATACCCTAAAAAGATACATATAAAATTAAAGCCCTTGGGGGAATTTTGTCTTTTAGACCATACACACACACACACACACATATATATATATATATACAATTAATTAATTTCATTTTATTTAAATATATATTTATAAATACTTATATATATATAACATATCTTGTGTGGATGGATGATACCTTGACGAGAAAAAAATAAATAAAAATGCTATCAAAGGGCACAATAATTTGTATATAAAAAATATAGATTAAAAATTATTATTGTAATATCATCTTATCTTTTAACATATTTAAAAAACTACCTCTAAATAACTTTTCTAAAAGCAATCATAAATCAAAGGGTTTTTTTTTTTTTTTTTTTTTGTTACATTCAATGAAATTACTTTTACACATAAAGGGTATATGTTTTGAAATGCATTTATGTATTTTATTTTATATAAATATTTTTTGTTAAAAAAAAAAAGTATAGTAGCAAGTGTATCGTACTGCATACAAAATTTGAATAAATCTATATCAAAATTCAATATACATGCATCCTATGGTGTTCAATATAATAACAAATTATTGAAGTTATATTATCTAATCATTATTATATTTTTGTAATTACGTAATGATAATAATAAATAAATTAAAAATGTAATTGCAGAAATTAAGAACAAGGCACAACGTACACACACCATTATAGTTAGTACTTTAGGACATTAATAAAAATGTACTTAACTCACTAATAAAGAAATGGGTCACTCATCAATTTATTTAATTATTCACAGACAAACTGTCCTAAAATCCTTCATCACTTGTCATTTTCACATTCTTACTCATTATTTATTATTTATTTATTTATTTGTTAAGTACCATTATCTTAAACTTAAACATGCAATAATCATGTCTCTTACCACAAAGGTCCATGGACTTCCAAACCTCTAGGCACTACACACCATTCAATTCACATTGGGATTGGGAACCCACGTTATCAAGGAACTGTTGGCCCAATTTGACCTGGACCAAAGGTCCCGGGACCAACTTGTCACTTCCTCCATTTGAACGCAAAACCAAATCAAAAATCAAACTTAATTTTACGGTTTTAAGAAAAATATATAAAAATAAAAAATTTAATTATTTGAGTAAAGAAAAAGTATAAAAAATTTGTATCTCTTTTACTAAGAAAAAACAAAAATAAATTGAATGAAAAAAAAAGAAATAAAAATAAATTTAAATAACAGAGAGATAATAACAAAATTTTAATATATACTCTCATATATATATATTTATTTTTTATAGGTATAAATTCATTTGTATTAAGTAGCAATGTTTGTAATATTATGTAAAATATATAAATCTTTTTAATTAAATAAAAAAGTATTTTCACTTAAAAAAAATTAATGATTTTAAATGAGATCGAGAAAAATAGCAAAATAAATACATATAATTCAAAAGGAAAAAGTTCAAAGTTTTGTGTAAAACTAAAACTTACCCAACTAAAGCAATTTATTGCTTACAACAAATTCTCACATTATAAATAATAATAAAATAAAATAAACATTAACAAAATGTAAATCAAAATTTATAACTTTCGACATCCTTAAGGAATTGACAGCCAAACTGTATTCAAAATTCCAAATAGCTTAAACCTCTGGCAACAAAATTCGATCTTTTTGTCAGTTAAGATTACTTACTTAGGACTAAGAATCAATCATCTGTGACAAAAGTTTTCATAAGTTTCAGACAGTAACAGTTTATGCTAAACCTCTAAGTTTTACAATCTCTTGTATCTATCAGAACAGTTCTCGCAGCGTCGAAAACTCCGGCGACAACGGGCAGTCGGAGTTGTCGCAAAGTCGAGTTTTCAAACAACTTTTGCTAATCAGAAATCTTCGCCGCAATGCCTCGGACATATCAGCTCGATAGATTCTGCCTCGGCGCTCCTCCTCGCCTTCCCTTTCGACAGCGGGCTCGGTTTTCTGTGATATCGCAATCCCTCGACGGAATGTCGCTGTAAGAATTGGCTGTGCGAAGACGCGCTGCTGCCCGTCTGCTGTTGTCTCTGCTTCGCCTTGATCGACTTCGTCGGATTCATGTAGTTCGGTTTCGCGCCTTTCGATTCAAAAGTGTCGAACGAAACTGGCGCTGTCGACGAATTCGAAGTCGTGCTTCTTTCACATGTCGATTCGACGGAACAATCGCTCGAAAACGATTCGTCGCATTTCACCGAATTTAGTACCGTTTTCGGCGTCGTCTCCCATGGCTTCGTCGCCATCCATCGCTCCAGCCAGTCGTCGTCGTTCTTCTCCACCCTCTTCGGCGTCGCCGTCTTCCTCAATTGCTGGAGAAATTCACTTGAATTTCAATAATTTTTCATCAAATATCATATAAAAAATACTATTTAAATCAGAATTATATTACTTGTCTCGACAGGGCATACGCGCCGGCTCTCTCCCGTTTCACGGCGCCTTCGAACTTCATCTGCATCTTCGTCTTAACTTCCTCGACTGTCCCGGGGCTATCGCACCATCCACTCTGTAATAACATCGACGAAACAATCGTGTAATGTTTCTTATCTTAGTTTTGATCGAATTTAAGAATCGTAAAATCCAAACCTCGGCAAGTTTTAATGGCTCGACTCCTTTTTGATTCTCCGGCTGCTCTCCGGCGGCTTGTTGAGTACACTGAGCCCTGATTCGAGCCTGGACTCGGACCATTGCCTGCATACACCTCAGTGTAACCGCCGCCTGCTTTCGGACATGGCGGCCGCGGATTATTGCCTGAAGTCGGACAAGCGCTTTCAACGCCCTCAATGCCCGTCTCGCCTTCGACAATTCACACAAAAAGGTATAAACAGAAACTCTTCATTACAGGGGAACGATCCAAAACCTCAATCACTGTCAATTTCTTACCATCAATGGCTTGATTGAGCTAATTTATAAGAAACTTAAACAGATAAAAGTTGCAGTCCAGATTTAACAATTCTGCAGAATTGGGGAAACGACGAAGTCGAGGAAGAAAGGGGAATTACCAGAAAAGATCGAAAAACGGCCTGGATTCGGACAGCAGCCCACTCTCGCCGGACCGCCATGAAATCCTTGGGGGTAGCTTTGGACAAAGCAGCCATGGCGGCTGCCATTTCAGAGTCGAGAGCATAAGAAGCCTCAGATGCGTCTGTCTCCGTCGCATAGCCTATACTTTTTTGCCCTTTAGCTGATCTAGTCATCCCCCCAGATGAACTCCGCCATAGCCTCCATTTTCGTCCCTTACTTCTCCCATTCTCCTGCACCAGAAACCCTAATTAGAAAATTTGGAGTAAGTTGAAGATACAAATTAGGGTTTATATGCTCGAGCAAAAATTCCAGCAAATCAAAACCGCCAAATTGAATTTCACCATCACAGTGGCACAGAATCGAAGTTTTTAGCTTACGGATTCGTCATCGGAGGGCTTCTTGAGGCCGATCAGCGATTTAATCCACTTCCCGGGAGGACCCATCAAATCGGAAAACAGAAAACCCAGTGAATAAACAAACAATCAATTAATTTATTGGCCTTCTAACCAAGAAATGCTCTCTGCAAAACGCTGAAACTCTGCTGCTAAAAGACACAGTCGAAGAAACGAATACAAAACAGAAATCTGCTTGGGGAAAAGAGCTAGGGTTCTCGAACTTCGCCTGAACTTTTAATCTGTAGGTGGAGCGTAGCTGGAGTTTTGAAATTTGAAATTTTGAAAACGAAAAGCTCAACGGATAGTTGATCTGCGTCAGACAGCAACGGATTTTTACGTTGAAAGCACACGACGTCGTTTTGGTGAACTCAAAAGAATAGTAATAATAAAATTTTGGGCCTTTACTGTTTTGGGTGAAAGGCCCATTGGGTCTTTCGCTTTCTCTACATTATCTTTTTTACGGAAACCTACAGTGAGAACTAAAATCGCGAAACGTGTATTGTTTTAGTCCGTGTAAGGATAAGAACGTGGTTGGGCGGTTAATTGAAAGTAGGCTGAATGCATTGGGCAGAAGATTCCGATGGCCGATCGAGAACGAATGGGGAGTGCAGTTTCTAATTCCGGTGCGATTTTTCTTTTTCTTTTCTTTTCTTTTTTTGTTTTTGGACATTTAATAGTTTATTCCTGTGTTTTGAAATTGTTTTCGTGACTTGCTTATGCTTCAAGTGAGTGGTTTTAGTTGTTCTTCCATTAATTGTTTGCGGGATGATGAAAATTATATATATGCTTGTCAAAGGTTTCTTGTTGTTTGGATAAAGTATTGGATTGCGTCTTTGATTTGTGAATTTCAATAATCTTTACAGAGAGAGGGCAAACTAATGGATTATTATGCTTTGTTTAGAAATGTTTTGGAATTGATGTATTGGATTGATTTGGAGATAGTACAATTTTGAGTGAAAATTTGGTGTTGGAGGTTATTGATGCAGTGAAATAGGGGATAAATCTTTTCTAATAGTATTAAAACAAAGTTGAAAACACAAAGTAAACTATGAAAATAAAATGAAGTTGTTGTTTTTGAGAAAATAAAAGTTGAGAACACAAGAAAACAATGAATAGCTAGCTGTCAACTACTGATTAACAGTAGATATCAAGTAGAAGAAATTGAATTAAATGGATTTGTTAATTTTGCGAAAGATCTTGTGAGAAAGTTGTGCTTTGGAATACTTGGAGAAATAAGCATGAAGTTTTCACTTAGGATGTTTGGAAACATTTGGTTTTTTGTTCGAAACTCTGATGGCTGTTGGGAATCCTAATGTTAAAGAGTTATTATCACTGGGCTTAGAGGTTTAGGGTTCGATTGTTGGTGTTCTATTGTATGAATAGCATATCATATAGATGTTATTTCCTCTCTTTCGTAAATCCATTTATTATCGATCATACATGGCAATGGTATTATTAAAAGTTTCGAATTTGGATGTTTGTGTACACGGGTTGTGAATCTCATATATGTTCTATCTTGTGTTCCCTTCATTCATTCATTTTCAATAGTATTAAATAAATTTTCCGGGATTTGGATAGAACGCCTAATAGTTTAGGAAACTATTCCATGGCTTAGTATTGAACATTTTGTTGTGGCCCTTGGGATTATCGAGCATTGAACTTAGGTGATATTTCCTTTCTTTCCCATATCCATTTATTATCAATGGTGTTGGATAATAAATCACGCCTAAGAGGTCCAATTTTCTTGACAGCGGAACTATGAAATCCTAGGAGATGTTATAATACAGATTTTAACACGTGGTTATCTCATGGATGTAATTTCTTGTGTTTTCTTTATATATTTACTTTCGATAGTAGTAGTAAATAAATGTACTGACTAATGATCCTATTATGTACATGGGCTTTGCTCGATTGTACTAATTCATCGTAATTACTCGGTCTATTCCCATAGGCAAAGATGGTGATCGAGCAAAGGAGAATCACCATGTTGTGAGTCACAGTCGTAAAACTTCCTCGCCTCGTCATTACAAGGAAACGCACGGTACAAGCAATGACATTGATGAGAAAACGCCGGTCAATGAAGTTAAAGGCCCGAGCATCCTTCAGCGCGCCAAGGAAGAGATCGAAGCTCTAGCCGAAACTATTGTGCACCCAAAGAAATAGTTTAAAGGATTATGACTTCATTTTTACCTGTTGTATGTAGTGTTTAAAACATAGTCGAAATATTATATTTTTTTTCTTTTGTATTTTCAACCATATTTTTGCACAATTCATTTTACTATTATTGCTTTTAGAACATTATTATCAAACAAACATATACTACTTCGCTACAAATATATCAAAATATTTTTATAAATAATATACCTCTACAATTTAACATATACTAATATTCAATATATTTGAAAACAAACATAAATTAGATGTGTAAATTTATATAGTAATTTGAGGTATTTATAATATGTAAGTATTTTTTTGTCTTTGTATATTAAATTGTAATGCTATTTCTATAAATAAGTATAAGTTTGAAAATTATTTAATGTATAGTATGATCAAACTTATTAATATATATAATTAAAATTAAATCAGAAAATATTAATAGTAAAATTTTGCATTTATTGGTTGCACGTGATACTAGGTTAGATGTATAAATTTAAATAGTAATTAGAATTATTTGTAATATGTAAATATATTTTGTCTTTGTATCTTAATGTTAAACTATTTCTATAAATAAGCATAAGTTCGAAAATATTTTTAGGGTGTGTTTGTTTGAAGGATTTTGGTGGATTTTCACTATTCATCCAATTTTTTCCCCCCAAAAATATCAAATCAATCACCTATTTTTCATTTTTTATATTATACTAAAAAATAATTTTACATTCAAAACATCACATCAAACCCTATTTATATCATATCATACAACTATTCAAATTCAAAATTTTTACTATTCAAATCCCAACTCAAAATCCAAACCCCCAAACAAACACAAATGAACAGTATGATCAAACTTATTAAAAATTAAATGAGAAAATATAAATAGTCAAAATTTGCATTTATTGGTTGCAGGTGATAGTAGGTTAGATGTGTAAATTTAAATAGTAATTTTACTTATTTATAATATATAAATATTTTTTGTTTTGTATCTTAATTTAATGCAATGCTATTTCTGTAAATACGTTTGAAAATATTTCTAATGTATAATATGATCAAACTTATTAGTAATATATATAGTGTATTTTTAAAAATTAAATGAGAAAATATAGAATTTGTTCACTTTTAGTGTTTTTCAATTCAATGATTCTCCAAAAATATTGTTAAGAAATATAAGATATATATATTAATCACTATATATATATTATTTATTCATAAAAATTTAATAATTTAATACAAAATATTATATTAATAATACAATATCTCATATCTAACACCAAAATACGCAACAAAAGGTGAACAATTAATACTTTTCAAGTAAATTAAAGGAGTATAAGATCCTCACTCCTCATAAAATTATGTCGATTTTTTTTTTCTTTTACCCCATTCAATTGTCACTTTATATAAAATAATAATAATAATAATAATAATAATAATAATAATAAATTTATAATAATTAAATCTTAACTAATTAAAATTAATCTATTTAGTATGTATTTGATTCTATGAGTGTGTAAAATATATTCTCCATTATATATTATGTGAACGTATTATATTGTATTTTTTATAATATTAATTTTGAAATGTATTGAAATATTTTTGTTGGGTGAACACATTAAAAAAATTTACTTGTAATTATTTTAATAATTTATTTTTAATTAGAGATAAATATATATATATATCGAATTGTCAAAATAACACGCATACTATCGAAAAAATATCAAAATTTCGGTATATTAAAAAGTTAAGTCTTATATTATATTGTACAAAACTTTTTTGATACAATATCATTTTATAGTCATTGACCAACCGTTTATGCATGATCTCAAACAAAATGATATACTCTTTCCGTGTCATTTAAGATGATGTCTTTTTTTTTTTTTTTATGACGTGGGAACCCGCAATCGCTACCCCGAAAGTGCGCACTGGATAAACCCCGGCCGAACCTAATACCCTGCAAACCAGACCCCACGGAAAAGACACACTAATATAAATTAATTATTTAATTATTGTGTAATAGAAGTATATTATACTATTGATTAAAAAAATTTAAAATAAATGTTTAAATATTTATAAAATTATATCTCATTAACATATATACAACAATATAATATCATTTTACATAAAAAATAAAATTTTATATGATACAAATAAATAAAAATTATATATATAAAAAAAGTCATCATTTATGAAATAGACGGAAAAAAAAATGTATGAAGCAAATATTCATATGTTCAATTGATAATTCTTTTTTTATTTATATACTAATCCTCACATTTTTAGGAATATTATTATTTTTTTTTTCTTTTCTTACAACACAATACATCTAAACTATTCAAATTAAAAATTACTAAACACGACTGTGTAGTTTTGGAAATATTTTGAAATCATAAATTTAAAAATTTGAGTATCTAATCTAATAATATTTTGTAAGAAAATAAATATTTATTAAGATGATTTAAATATATAATATATATTATATATCAATAATATCAAAAGCACTGAAGTCTTCAATTTCCAGAGCCTTAAGATATATATATTTTATACAGATGTGTGTATTCAATTGGTGCGGTTCAAATCGTACTAAACTTTAAATTTTGATTGATTTACAATTTATAAGAATTGAAATCAAATTGAACCAAAGCTTTTCAAAATCAAGTAAGCCGAACTAAATTAGTTCGGTTCGACAGTTTAAAACTAAAGAAATCCAACTTTTGTTTATTAATATAATTTACATATTGGGTCAAATACAAATACTCAAATTTATAATATTTATAAATACTTAATTTTTTAGTTAATTTTTAAAAGTTCGATCTTTTCGATTAATCGAAAATAAACATTAAAAATCTTAACCGAACTGAAATCAAAATTTATAAATTTACTTTTGGATTGAACCAATCAAATAATCGAATCGTCTCAACCAAAATTTTTTTTTTTTTCTTTATTTTTCAGTTTAGATCGAACAATGCTCACCATAATACTTCATCTCCTCAACTAATATATTATTTTTATTATTTTTGTTCATCATATTTAAAAGTATCTAGTTTCAATTTAGTAAAATTAATTATATCTAAATACTAAAAGACCTCCAAATTTACAAAAAAAAAAAAATCATTTTATTTTTATTTTAAAAAAATAAAAATTATATTAAATGGAACTGATGAAATATATGTTATATATGCATGTGTATATATATATATATATATATTTGGTGCCGAAGATTCTAACCTATAACAAAGGTAATATTCGAGTATATCTAAACAGATATTTAGGCTCCGTTACAAGGGTGTGATTGTTTTGTAAAATAATTTAAAGATATATATATATATATTTTTGTGAGATTTAAATATTTTTGTAAATAATATAAAAATAATGAATATGTATAATATATTAATTTTTTAAATATGTATATAAATACTTCATACATCCCTTGCAAAGGGTCACGTCTATTTTTTGCATGTAGATTTTTTAATATTAGTATTATATTGAATTATAGTTAAAAATGACAAAAATAATTCTATTAGTATTGTATAATATAAAAATAATAATATTTGTATAATATATTGTAAATTGAGATGAAATTTATTATGTTAGATATGTAGCACAATTATTAAATTTGAAAAGAGTAATTTTATCTCATGACTGACGATAATAAAAAATGACTATCTTTTTATCGGACGGAGGGAGTATTTGAAATAATATTTTTTGGAAAAGTTATTCTTTGTAAATAATATAAAAATATTTATATAAACACAATTTTATTTTATTGCTCCCTCCGTCGTCGTCGTTGTCGTCATCGTAATCTATTCTCACTTCCCTTTTTTGGTTATCATCTAAATTTATTCTCGTTTCTCTTTTTAGTAACAAAATACTATTTTTTTATTTTTTCTTTACAAAAAAAAAATCTACTTTGATAAAATTGCAAAAAATATCATATATGTTTGCAAAAGTTGTTATTTTGTCATTTGGCCGAGCATGACGTTCACACCACGCGCGGTCACGTGCAATTACAAGCAGTTACAAGCCGCTAAAGGATAAAAATAGCGACTTTTACAAAAATGTGGAATATATTTTGCCAATAAGATAAATACAAAGACAAAAGTGATAATATGGTATACACATATGGATATTTTTTTGCAATTTTTCCTTTTTACTTTTATTTATTTTTCTTAAAACTCATGCCCGGTCAAATAAGCACACAATTGGATGAGGTTGGGAGTATTATCTTTTGTAATGTATCCATGCAATAATCCCAAATAATTCTCCCAACACCTTTATAAATAGGTACATATCTATTATCTACCACCACAACAGCCTCATCAAAATCATAATTTTACTTCAACATGAACAATAATAATAATAATAATACTAACTTTGAAGCTCTCTTCTTCTCCTTCTTCTTATTCTTTTCTTCGATTTCCATTGTTTCATCGAAGAACCCTATCTGCCCTTTCGATTATGCTTTCCATTTCGGCGACGGCGTAACCGACGTCGGGAATTCGGTTCTTGTTCTTCCTCCCAAGAACAAGATTCCGCCTCAATTTTCACCTTATGGTGTCACGTATCCGGGAAAACCTAACGGCCGTTGGTCCGATGGCCTAATCGACTTCGACTTCTCTGGTTGGAATACTTTCATTATAAAACATTTACGATTTTTTATATTAAAAAAAATATTATTTACTTTCATAATATTTAAAACGTTTGGTTATGACATTTACTTTTATGTTAAAACAATCAACACTTATATTAACAAAATGTACGTTGCGACAATTGAGATAATATTTGTTATTTTTTGTAGCTCCTTATAATTTTATGTTTTTTCTCTTTCACCATACACAAAACTCTAAGTTACAAAATTTATATATCAGTCATTTGGTGGTAGTTACAGTACGGTGTTGATAGCACAATACGATATATTTAACAGCAAATACTGCAATTAATCTCATCACACAAAGTCTACTAATACAATCCATATAAAATAGAATTGACAATACATATTAATATTTTTATACAATATGTGTTATCTGTTTTATTTTTATATATTATTTATAATATTTTTATAATATTTATAATGTTGATAAGTCGCCAATTTATTTTAACACTCTAACCGAAGTGTAGTCGTTAAAATAATTGACACTTTTAGTAACAAAATGTATTTCGCGACAATTTAGATAATATTTGTTCAATTTTTGTAGCTCCTTATCTGGGCTTCCCACACCCGATACCATACTTGACGCTAAACCCGGACAACCACACGAGCGATGGCGAATCCGTGATTTTCTCCACCGCTAGAAGCACGGTGCTCGACCGCGCCTACTTGGCGTCGAAAGGAATCGAAATCCCAAGCTATGCTGTTTCATCTAGTGAACAAATGGAATGGTTCAATCAATACCTTTTAGCTCAATGCTCAAGAAAACAAGGTTCATTTATTTAGAGTCTTTTACTCGTGATTTTATATTTGTTATCCTCGACAACTTTCGTTTAAAATATTTTATTCAAAACTTATTTTTTTATAGAAAAGATATTACCTTCGTTAAGTTCTAAGGATCTCATTTAAAGGACATTTGTAAAAAAAATTATACAAATATAAGAATGTTTCTAATGTTAAGTACAATGATACAAAAAGTAAATGTGATCCTTAGAGGCGGACAGAAAGAGTATTATATTCAATATTTATTTATATGAGGACAAGTACATATTTTGGTTCTGACATTACCTTAAATGGCATATCACTTAAAAGTTTAAATTTAAAGATACATGCATAATTTATTTATATATTATAGAGTTAACAAAAAATGAGATGGTTTCTTTCGTGTAGATCCATCTCGTTGTAGCACTGATATCATTCGGAATTCTCTTTTTATGACCGGCGGCATCGAGGCCAACGACATTGGCTATGCGCTAATTCAGGGAAAATCTATCGACGAAGTATATGATCTCGTTGCGACACTAATAACGGAAGAAATCAACATGGCAAGGGTAATGATTAGTAAATAGGAATTTGATAGAAAAATATCGTATCATATGGTCTTTAATTAGCAACTACTCATGAGTACTTGTTTGTCATTATTAATTCGCTCGACCTAGGAGCTCATCCACATGGGTGCGACAAAAATGTTGGTAGTCGGGAGCTCCCCCATCGGGTGTTTTCCCTACATGCTCACCGCACGAGCCACCGAGGATCCAGCGGCTTATGATGGTCTAGGTTGTCTGAAAGATGTCAACGAGGTCATATCAGTGAAAAACAAACTTTTGAAGCAATTTGTCGAAGGTTTGAAAACGGAATTCCCACATGTCGGAGTAGATTTCTCTGAATTTGGCAACGGCGTGCTGTGGTATCTTAACAAAATAAGCCAAGGTTTGTATCTATCTATGTATTTGTATACAATTATACATCTAAAGCTAATTCCATAAGCTGCGGTTTTCTTTAGGTTTGGATTGAGAAAATTTTATTTGAATTTTATATTTATATAAAGAAAATTATAAAAAAAAATCTCATATATATATATATATATCCAATTATCACTTTTATCATATATTTATCTCGCTGGCATAATATATCATACATATTTGTAAAAGTCGTTATTCTTTTGTAAATATAAGATATATTTTGTCAGCGAGATAAATACAAGGGAAAAGTGATAATAGGGTATAGCTATGAGATATTTTTTGCAATTTTCTTTATTTGAACAATACTCCCTCCGTCATCCAAATATATGTTCATTCAACCAGACACATATTTTAATAAAAATGAGTAGTAATTGTTACTTTTTTCTTTTATAATAAAAAAGTGCAAAAATATAATGATTTTTTATTTTTTTAAAAAAAACTATAGTATTTTTTTATGACAACCCAAAAAAAAAGTAAACATATATTTGAATGACGGATGAAGTATTTTATAAGAGAATATATAAAGTTTAAATAGTAAAGTTCTAAAAAAAAAAATCTCCAAACGAACACACTCTATATAGAGTAGATTGATGCAATTCATCCATATATTGTTTGATTTATATATTTTTTGGACGTCGACAGGTCCTCATAAGAACACGATGCTGAAGTCGTGCTGCGGGATTGGAGGGAAGTATAACTATGATGCGAAAAGGTTTTGTGGGAGCAAAGGAGTCCCGGTTTGCTCGAATCCTAACGACTATGTGTTTTGGGATGGATTGCATATTGCTCACAATGCCGCCTACCGTATTGTCGAGCACATTCTCTCCACCGCCGTCCCCACAGTAATCAATTGCACACAACCTCCACCGCCTCCGGCCACGGCTACTATTTGATCCAAATAAAATATTCTGTTGTTTTCGATCTTGGGGATGATAATCATCGTGATCAATCTAAACTATTAGTTTGTCGTTTTTGTTTCAATTTGAGCCGTGAATAAACACTCTCTTGAACTTTAATAAAGTTTTTTATTATTTGAACTTCAACTTATATTAGAAAAATGTACTTTTTAGTATTATTTTTATTAAAAATCTACATCTCCAACCTCAATTTAAATCGAGAAGAAAAAAAAACACACACACACCCAAAGTTTTTGGTGTGTATTCTCCACTATGTTTCTAAAAAAAGAAATAAGACTATATTCATAGATATTTTTGAAATTTTCTACAATATTCATTAACAAGAATCACTTTTTTGAAAAACAAGAATCACTTTTTCGAAAAGTTATAGGGCAGAAGTATTTTTATGTTAGATAAGGGATGGCAAGGGTTGAATTGATAATAAAAAATAATATTTTGTATTGAATTGTTGATTTTTTATGAATGTATAATATGTATATATTATATATATTATGTTAATATGTATATATATTTTTTTTTAATAGGAATTATTCCACCTAAAAAAACTAGGGAACATATCCATAATATTATCAAAGATATATATATATATATATTCCCTTTTATAAAACATAACAACAAACATTTAAATTTGTAAAATTTTCAAACTTCAAAACTCTATTTTATTAATAATAATGACTGAAGATTAGCAATCGTGGTGAGTTATCTCATTTGTCAATTAATGTAGTAAAATAGAAAAATATATCTTCATAACTTTATATAAAAATTATAAATATTTTATTAATTGTGAAAGCTTTAACTGATAAAATATAGTGTCAAAGGAGAGTGTTATCCTAAAATTATTTTGGAATTAAAGTAATTAATATTTGAAATTTATTTTGGGCTTAGGAGTAAGCCATCGAGATGAATACGCAAGCCCAAACTAAGAAAAGTTTCTGGCCCAAGTTGAAGCCCGGCCCAAACCATATTTGGTTGGATAAATATGATATTAATTAAACATTATCATTTAAATTTAGATATATATATTTATTAGCATATAAAAAAATAAAATAAAATATTATGTTCATGCAATCGAACATAACACAGTAGATAAACTTTGGATAAAGAGTATATTAATTTAATTTAATTTTCAAAATGAAATTATTATTTATTATCGTGTACTAATATAATATTATATTAAAAAAAAATTAAATTTTAAATCCAAACAAAAAAACAAAACACTTTAAAATTTAAATTTGAATATTATAGTATTTTTATAAGTACGTAGCCATGTGAAGGGGATCTTGCCCCACAGCCTCAAACGAAATATTAATAGTCAAATGTTCACATTTATTTATTTTAAAAGCAAGAAGAAAATGTTCACATTTATTGATTGCACGTGACAAGAGGTTTGGTGTGAACCCTTTTTTTTTTTTTTTTTTTTTTTTTTTTGGAGTGGGAATCCTCATTCGTTATCCGAAAGTGTACACTGGGTAAACCTTCGATCGAAACTAATATCCTGCAAACTAGTCTCGACTAGTAAGAATTTTGGAAATTTAAAAAGGTAATAATAATAATTAGTATTCCTTCTGTCCAGCTAAAAAGTATATATATTTCTATTTTGGGACGTTCAATTACAAGTAAACATTCTATTAAATATTTTTTTTTCACAAATACTATTATTTTACATCACATCATTACTTTTACACCAAAAAGTAAAGGCAAAAATGACATTATACTACTTTTAACTACCCATTATAATTAAAATATTATTATTTTTTAAACACTGTCCCAAAAATAAATGTATACATTATAAGGTATTTGATTTGATATTTTTTTAAAAAAATATATATATATTTAATGTGATATTTTTAAAAAAATAAATAGTATCAATAAATGAAAGTTGTAATGATTTCTCAACATTAATAAAAAAGTGGAGTACTAATTTTTATATAATTATTTAGTGTGTTTGTTTACATTCAAAATCTCGAAGTTTTACTATTTAAATTTTGTGTTTTAAAAGAAAAAATTATTTTTTGTTACAAAATATTATATTATTAATATCAAACTGAAATGAAAAATAATAATAATAATTCAATTCCCATAAAAAAAAAAAAAGAAAAAAAAGAACACACCAAGTAGTATTTACTAAAATACATACCACAGTATTTTAAATAAAAACACATAAATGATTTGTTTTAATATGACGCAATCCTAATGACGTAATAAGTATGATGTGTTTCTTTCTAGTTTTTTACATATGAGTATATTATTATTTAGATTTTATATTAAATATATATATTTTATTTTTTTCTAAAATATTACATTAAATTTAAGAAAAAAAATAAAATCAAACTTATCAAATGTCAATCAAAGCAGAAAAAGAAACTTGTCCATTAAAAAGAAAATTAATATTTTACATTTGAAAGAGTGACAATGGCAAAATCAATACGTTCTGCTTTGAGTGAATGGAGAAAAATACTTTACGGGATATAAGCATATATCTTATTCGTTTCAAAACAATAATTTTATTATTATTTTCTTTTAGTTTTAAAAAAATAATTTTATTTTTATAAATAATTATGTTATTATAAAATTATATATATTATTTCATAATTATTACATAATTTTTATTATTTTTTGTATAAATACATTTACAGGACACTTTAGTCTTTTATCTATTTTTAATATAATAACTATTATTTTTTAAATCTCGTGTCCAACTCAAATAAAATTATTATCTTGAGAAGGATTTACTTCAATTAAAAAAGAAAATCGAATATTTTAGAGATTTAACTTTTTTGTTTTTATAAACAATAAAAATAAAAAATTAAAACAAGAATAACCAGAGTGATTGTCGTTGACCACGTGATATGTATAATATGTTTAAAAAATAAAAAATGAAGTTTTGTATGTTAGATCTTAGACACATAACTTATACTAGGATAAGTTAATATATTTTTTCAAAAAACAATAATATACTCCCCGTCCAATTTCTATTGTTCTAAGGTATATTTATACTATTTTTTAGGTGATTGTCTTTTTGTTATAAATTGACAAATTTGTCCTTAATTATATAGTAGAAAATAAAAGTAAAAATTAATAAAGGATAAAAGTGTAAAAACTTGTGTTTAAAAAAAAAAAGACAATAGTTATTAGACGTCCCAAATAAAAAAATAGGACATTAGTTTGTGAACGGAGATAGTATTATATATATTTATATTTCTTACGTAATTTTTTATATTTCATATAAAAAAATTTCCGTACAAATTAAAACACAAAACAAACAATAATTATAATGATTTGGGATACATATTCACTATGCTCGTCCAAGCAATTTCTGAACTGCTGTTCCCAAAAATAAGAATAAATAACATAAAATATTTTTTATAAAAGTCATTATTGTATTGGCCCCAAATCTCTCTAAAATCAAAAAATTAAAATACTGTTACAAAAAAAAAAAAACTAAAAAAAAAATCAATCAAATATTCAATTTAAAATAATACTTCCTCCGTCTCAATAAAATAGTCATGTTTATCATTTTTGTCCGTTTTAAAATAATAGTTTCATTTCCATAAATAATTATATCACTGTAAAACTACATTTACTTTTTCATTATTATTACACAATTGTCACTACTTTTTATACTAATACACTCACAAGGGCAAAAAAATATTTTACCCGTATTTTTCACCCACTACAAATATAATATTAATATTATTTAAATCTCGTGCCAAACACAACTAAAACTATAATTTTGAGACGGAGGAAATGTTTTTTTTATATTTTCAGCACAATTCCCTGTAACATACAGAAAAATCAATTTATTTATTAACGCCAACGCCATAATTGATATATTGATGTAGGTTACTAATTTCATATTTGTAGTCTATAATGATTTTTTTTATTTTTTATTCTGTGATACTCCCTCCGTCCAATTTCTATTGTCCTAAAGTATATTTGCATGGTTTTTTTAGGTGATTGTCTTTTTGTTATGAATTGATAAATTTGCCCTTAATTGTATGGTATAAATTAAAAGTAATAAATGAATGAAAGATAAAAATGTAAAATTTGTGTTTCAAAAAGAAAATAGGACAATAGTCGTTGAACATTCCAAAAAAAAAAAAAAGACATTAGTTCGTGGATGGAGGGAGTATTATTTTTACTAAATTAGATAATTAATAACCTAAATGTAAACAACTATCTCTATATATTCTCTCTAGAGTTTTCTTATTAATTTATATATATATATATATATTATTTTATGTTACAAGGTGTCATGATGAATGACTCTTTAAATATAAAGACAAGATAGATGCAAAGGAAGGACACTAATTATATATAATTAGTAATTTTTAATGAAACGTGGTGGCATCGTGCTAATTAAAAATAATTAGGTAGAAGGATAAGATAGATTAGTTAGAAAGACAATTTAGCATTAGTGTTCACTATTAAATATTGCAATTTATAATTTATATATATATATATATAAAATATTGTTATTTCTATAAAATATTACATCCAAACAACTTTTTAAACAAGAAATAAAAATAAATAAATAAAAATTACCAACTAAAAATTATTTGACATAATATTGATATTACAAATTCAACTTTCTTTCTTTTTTTGGTTAAATAAAATTTATATTGATCAATATATAATTTTTCAATCTGAATTGAATTTGAATTATTATTTTTTAAATAAATTTGATTTAAAATTTTGTAAATAATAATAATAATAATAATAATAATAATAATAATAGAAACCGCAACTCTAAATAGTAACATTAAAAAAAAAAAAAATCACAAGCACATCACAATTTTTGTATTAATTTAATATTCTAATTTCAGAATAAATTTAAGATTCCATTGTTATGATCATTTAAGCGCATTGAATAGTTGTCAATGGGTTTGATGACTAAATATTTTTTATATTATATATAAAAAGTTATACGGATAATAAAAAAAATTAAAATTTTATATTGAATTGTTAATTTTGTGTAAGTAGATAAAATTATATATTATATATTAAGTTAATATTTTTGTATATTGTATTTTTATATAAATATTTATAAAAAAATTGTTTAATTTAAAAATACTAAGTAAACAAAGCATATTTTTCCAAAAGCCTAATTGTTACACAGTATTTGGAATTTGTTTAAGTATATATATCTTTTAATTTTTATCAACAATAAATTTTTTTAAGAAAAAATATTATATCAAATATATATATATATATATATCTTTCCGTTTCACGTAACATCGCATTGATTATCAAAATTTTAGCTATTTCTAAAATTTCTTTCGAAATAGAACATAAGGGTGGAAATGAATTAGGACCAGCCAAATCCGAATTAACATAATCTGGCTATACTTTGAACTTCATTCGGCTTTAAGGGTCTTATTTATTTGATATTATAATACTAATTATTATATAAAAAAATAGTACAAATTAAGACAAAAAATACTTTTATTAATGTCTTATAATACTCCCTCCGTCCTATTTCTATTGTCCTAAAGTTTATTTGCACGGTTTTTTAGTTGATTATTTTTTTTGCTATGAATTGACAAATTTGTCCTTAATTATATGATAGAGATTAAAAGTAATAAACGAATGAAAGGTAAAAATGTAAAATTTGTGTTTAAAAAAGAAAATAGTACAATAATTGTTGGACGTCCCAAATAGAAAAGTAGGACATTAGTTTGTAGACGGAGGAAGTATTATTATAATGATATTTGTACAAAAAATTATACAAATAAAATATATTTTTAATATTAAGTACACACACAAAATGTAAATGAAACCCTTAGAACGGGACGAAGGAAAATATAATTATATTATATTTTTAGAAATTATTATTATTTTTTAAAATATAATTAATAGGAGTATATTGTTCATGTATTATTGAGAAGTTCAGGTTCGGATCCAAATCGAGTTCACATCGAGACACCAAACCCAATCTGAACACAATTAGAATATATAATATCCAACTCACATTCAATTCGATATTCAAATAATTAGATCTAACTTCAAATAAATAAATCGAGTCTGAAATTACAATATATTGTCATCCATAATAAATTAATAGTAGAACCTTAATATACATAATATATATATATATATTAATATTCCTTGCTCTACGTGACAAAACGAAATAAATAAATAAATACAAGTTGAATTTAATCAATTTATAATGTACCCATCCTTTATAAATTAGGTACATATCTATTATCTACCACCACAACAGCCTCATCAAAATCATAACTTTTCTTCAACATGAGCAATAAAAATACTAACTTTGAAGCTCTCTTCTTCTCCTTCTTCTTATTCTTTTCTTCGATTTCCATTGTTTCATCGAAGAACCCTGTCTGCCCTTTCGATTATGCTTTCCATTTCGGCGACGCCGTGACCGACGTCGGGAATTCAGTTCTTGTTCTGCCTCCCGAGATCCCGGTTCCGGCTCAATTTCCACCGTACGGTGTCACGGATCCGGGAAAGCCTAATGGCCGCTGGTCTGATGGCCTCGTCGACTTCGATTTTTCCGGTTCGAATACTTTTTTCGACATTTTTTATATATCTTGTGCTAATTTTACCGTCTATTAAAAATATGTTCATGGTAAAAAATAAATGAAATGTTTATTATTTCTATACATTTTTTTACCGATTGTTTTTTCACTATTGATAGGGATGGACTATACATATTTCTTGCACTTGTTTTATTTTAATTAAAGTATTTATAATACTAACTCTATTAAAGCTTAAATTTTATCTGTCACAAAAAAAATATTATTTTTCTTAATTTTTATATCCAAACTTATTATAATATGTTAGCAAAAAAATTTGTGCAGATCGCATCATTAGTCAACACAAAAATATATTATAAAAGAATAGATACTTTTAGGGTGTATAAAAATACTCATTCCATTCAGATTATTTATGCCACAATACAACACATAATTTTAAAAATAATAATATTTTAATATAAATATAAATAATAATATTTTAATATAAATGTACAGTAATAAACGGAAAAAGATGTATTATATATAAAAATTTTATTAAAGAGTTAATAAAAGAAACAGTGAGATAAATAAAGAAAATAAACTTTTTAATTATTATTTGTTAAAATAAGGATAATAAAATTCTAGATTGATAAAATTGTTTATTATAAATAAATTATGAATAAATTTAGCTTGACAATAGAAAAAAATAAAAATTGCCGAGGGTGCGTAACTCAAACGATGCTTAAAGTTAGGGGTTCGATCCTCGTCGAGTGTGCATGTAATATATTATCTGATACTAAATATACTTCATTTTTGTAGCTCCTTTTATGGGCTTCCCGAACCCGCTTCCATACTTGTCGTTGAGCCCGAACCACACGAGCGATGGCGAGGCCGTGATGTTCTCCACCGCCGGAGCCACAGAGCTTGACCGTTCCTTCCTCGCCGGGCTCGGAATCAAAGTCCCAGCCTGGTCCGCTTCTTCCGGCAAACAAATGAAATGGTTTAAGAAATACCTTCATACCCAATGCTCGAAGCACGAAGGTTCGATTAATTTAGTCAGTATCATTACATCGACGACGCCCATGTCTTTCTTACAGTACATATAATAGAAATATAAGTACGCGGTTTCTTTCGTGTAGATCCACTTGCTTGTCGCACGGCTATCATAAAAAATTCTCTTGCAATGCTCGGCGTCATCGAGGCCAACGACTTAGGCTATGCGCTAAGCCAGGGAAAATCGATCGAAGAAGCATTGAAGCTCGTTCCACTGATAGTAAAGAGTGAAGTTGCCATGGCGAGGGTAATCGCTACTTAAACTTCAGAACACTTTCAAAATATATCTAAATGCAACTTTAGTAAATAAAATTTGGTGAAAAATAAATAAGTTTATATGATCGTTACTCACGAGTACTTGTTTGTCATTATTGGCTCGACGTAGGAGATCATCGAGATGGGTGCGATAAGAATGGTGGTCGTGGGGAGCTCCCCGATCGGGTGCTTTCCTTACATGCTCACCGCGAGAGCCACTGACGATCCAACGGCGTACGATGATCTAGGTTGTCTGAAAGATGTCAACGACGTCATAACATTGAAAAACGACCTCTTGCAAGAAGAAATCGAGAAAATGAAAAAGGAATTCCCGCACGTCGACTTGAATTACTCGCAATTCAGCGCCGGCGTGCTTCAATATCTTCGCGAAATAAGCCAAGGTTCGTTTCTATCTATCTATCTATCGATGTAGTTTAATTAGATTGATGCAATCCATCCGTATATTGTTCGATTTTTTATACATTTCCCGGAAATCGACAGGCCCTCATAAGGATACGATGCTGAAATCGTGCTGCGGAATTGGAGGGAAGTATAATTACGACGCGAAAAGGTTTTGTGGGAGCGAAGGAGTCCCGGTTTGTTCGAATCCCAATGACTATGTGTTTTGGGACGGGTTACATGTCACCCACCACGCCGGGTACCGTATTGCGGAGATCCTACTCTCCGGCGACATCCCGACGTTCAATTGCACACTTCCTCCGCCGCCTCCGGCCACGGCTACCATTTGATCCATGTTTTTTTTTTTTTTTTTTTCTCGAATTGGGTGATGAAAATGATCGTGATCGTGATCGATCTAAGCTATTGGTTCGTCGTTTTTATTTCGATTTGAGCCACGAATAAACTCTAGAGCCTCTTTGTGTCTATTCTCCATGGTGTTTCTAATAAACATGTGTTTCGATTAGTCTTTTGCCCATTTTTTAAAAAAATATTATGTCAAGTTTATTTTTAATTAAAAATTTTAAATTTCAAACTCTCAAAATACTTTAAAATATGAACCTTATATTAAGGTTGTTATGGAGGGATTGAATGTACTCCAAACTCCAACTTAATCTTCACAATATAATATCAGTATTTCCGAAATCCTAATATATATATAATGTTGATTAATTTAAACACATCCATTTGAAAATACGGTGTGTGCATTTTTTTATTGAAATAATTGTGATATTAATATGATATTTTGAATCTAAAATTAATTTTTAATATAATTTTTTAAAAATATATATATATATATTTAATTTGATATTTTTTGTTTTTTTTTTTTTTTTAAAAAAAAATTGATTTGAACAATAGAAAGCGGGAAAAGTTGGCAAACGAACCCGTGACCTCCAAAACCTTAACCAATATAATATACTGTACAATAGAAACAAGTTGGGTCTGTCATTGTATAAAAAATTTATATATTAATGTTTGAGTGGTCCATAATTATATAAGCATCTTTATATATGTATATATATATATATAGCACAATAATTTTATTTTTTTTAAAAAAAATCATATAATTAAAATACTTATTTAGTCTTACAAGAGATTAATTAAATCGAATATTTAATGTTTTATTGTTACTAAAATATTTCAAAACTATAAAACATCTATCTAAACAATGTCTTTTCATTTGAATTCATAACCATAATAAATTTTACCAATAATTGAATTCAATTCATGTCCAAATTATGATAGTACTTAGGATGTTGAATAATATAATTCACAACTTTACTCACAAAACATCAATACATAGACATACATAACAAATAAATAGAAAATATATAATTTATATTAATGTAATAGAAATGCATAACATATTAATACGATTGATATACGATATATATATATATATATAACTTACAGTAATATACTAATGATATACATAACACATTATTTCGACAACCATATAATTGGTCTATTGAAACCAGGGGCGGATATATGTGGGGGCAAGAGGGTTCCCTCTCGCCCGCCTCACCCCCTTTTAATTTTTTATTTTTATTTTATAATATATAATATAAAAAAATTGCTAAAAATTGATAGAGTATTTATGTAAAAATTTAAGTTTTTAATTTAAATTTGAATAATAAAAAAAAATTATATCATAATAATTATTTGATGCTATAAAAATAGATATGACCAAAAAAGTAATAAATAATAATTAAAAATATATATATATAAATTTTCAAAAAATTCTCAACCAAATACGTAGGAGATGATATTTTTAAGAGCTATTTTTTTTAATAAATATTTTTACTATTTATCAATTTCATATAATACAAAATTCACATAGGAATATACAGTTGTCACTGTAGATTAATATTTTGCAAGATTTTCGAAATATGATAACTTAATTGATAAAATTATTGGATAACAAATAGATGATGATCGTTTCAAAATTTGAAAAATTAACCCCCCTCCCATCCCATCTGGTTCCGCCTCTGATTGAAACTTTTCAATAAAATAACGTAAAAAGAAAAATTATTTAGAATTTGGATGAAGTTTAAAAAAATGTTCTACTCCACCAGAAAGAAACTCTAATAATAATAATAATAATAATAATAATAATAATAATAATAACATAAATTACATAAAAATTAATTTAAAAACGACAAACAAACACTCCAACACTACCTAACACAATAATTTCAAATTTAAATCATAACAACATGCAAAACATGAGTTCCTATTTTTCTAAAAAGTAAATTAAAAAGCAATTACCTTTTAAAAAGATGAACACTAATAAAAAGAAGATTAAAAGAAAAAAAAAAAAGGCAAAAAAAGAATACAACATAACAAAAATATATAAAAATAAGCAAGTGATAAATCATCATTAAGATGAACAAGGTTGTAGATTTTTTACAAGATTTTACTATTTATTTATTTTACTCTCTTTGTCCCGGAGCAAGATTATCATTTACTTTTTGCAAGTAGGTTTTTAAATATTAATATTATAATGGATTATAGTGAAAAAGATGAAAAAATCTCTATTAGTATTGTATAATACAAAAGTAATGACATTTGTGTAATATAGTGTAAGTTGGAAGGATATTTATTATGTTTGGTAGGTAGTATAATTATTAAATTAGGAAATGATAACCTTGTTTTGGGACGGACAAAAATGGAAAATGACAATATTTCAATGGGACGGAGAAATAATTTTTTTTTAAAAAAAAAATTAAATCAAACAATTATAATAGTATAATTTTCATTTTATATATTACGTACTATAAGAAAATAACATTTTTGTAACGAAATACTTTCATTTTTCAATTATCTTTTTTCGTTACTAATGACGCTAGAGATGAATTTAGGGACGAAATTACGTTAACTACGTGAACTTTAGCAACAGAATTCCTTACAAATATATTTTTTTAAGTATACTTTTAAAATAACTTCACATTCAAAACATCTTATCGTTACCTATTTATATTACATCAAATAATTTATTTTTTTAATGTTTACAGGATATACTCTTGGGTCAAGCGCAACAACGTTCAAAACGATACCAGCAAAGTAAGTCACCCTAATCAGGTTTACCTGATTTAACCTAAGCAAGTTATGTGTGACAGACTCGACTAAAAAGACATTGACATAATTTGAGCTTGTCACTTTGTAGTGATTCGCTTCTACACCCCACCAATTCGACCACTCATTACGCAAAAAAATTCCGACTATTATTGCTCTATTGAAGATTATATGTCAAAATTTGGGATCCCACCACCTCTATAAGTTAGGTCATGATCTTAATTATCTACCACAATTTTATATCCAAATTTTCAACATGAGCATAAATAGTAACTTTGATTATCTCTTCGTCTTCTTACTCTTTTCTTTGATCACTTCTATGGTTTCATCGAAGAATCCTGTGTGCCCTTTTGATTATGCCTTCCATTTCGGCGACGGCGTTACCGATATCGGGAACTCGGTTCGTGTTCTTCCTCCCGGGTTCACGATTCCGCCTGATTTTTGGCCTTACGGTATCACGTTTCCTGGAGCCCCTAATGGTCGATGGTCCGATGGCCTCGTCGACTTCGACTTCTCCGGTTTGAATACTATAATATCTGTGTTTTAATGTAAATGTATACGATATTTTAAGTAAATTTTATTGCATAATGTACATTTGTGTTAGCGGAAAATATGCACACAAGTGTTTTATACAATGAAATTTACATATAACTTACTTTAATCTCAGTCAAGAATGATTATGCATACTGATATTAAAAAATAATAATATTTTAATATAAAAATAAAATGTATAACCAATAAAGTGAATATATTAATTATAAGATTTTTTTTTTTAAAAAAAAAGAATTTATAAAAAATACAGTAGATAGAAAAAAAAATTAATAACAAACTGATTATATTTGTTATAACATAAGTAATGAAATTATGAATAGATAATTTATTTACTAATAATGTATCATGTATAAATTTAGCAAACATAAAACAGAAATATTGTATAGAAAAAGTAAATTATAAAAATTTATGTTAAAAGCATATAAATTTTTAGGAACAAAATAGCTTTGTCTATTTTTTTTTTTTTCCCCTTTAACTATGCAAAACTCTCATTCAATTATTTTTTTTTTATAAAAAATATATTTATTATTTTTCTTATAAAATATCATATTTATCGTTGCTTAAACAGAATTTCGGTTAATTTTCGTAGCTCCTTTAATGGGCTTCCCGCACCCGGTTCCATACTTGTCGTTGAGACCGGACCACAAGAGCGATGGCGAAGCCGTGATCCTCTCCGACGCGGGAAGCCCGGTGCTCGACCGTTCCTTCTTCGCGAGGCATAGAATTAAAATCCCAGGCTATGCTGTTTCATTTGGTGAACAAATGAGATGGTTTAAGACATACCTTGATACTCAATGCTCCAGAAATGAAGGTTCAAATAATTTAGTTAGTATCATTACATCATACATGTCTATTATAACCCAATTGTAATTTGAAAAGTCTGCACTATTTTCCTCCATAATTTAAATTTTGCATAAACTCTTTTATGTTTTAAAAATATTGCACAAAAGGAAAATTTTATATAATATTTTCAAAATAAAAGGAAATTTTATACAATTTTTAGGAGATTTTGTAAAATGTTTTTTAAAATACAAGGAATCATAGTGTAATTTTTTAAACCTCTCAAGTAAGTTATATGTAATTTTGCCATTAGATCTTGGTTGTCGCAAGGCTATTGTTCGAAATTCACTTGTTATGCTCGGAGACATCGAGGCCAACGACTTTGGCTACGCACTAAGCCAGGGAAAATCTATCGAGGAAGTGTTGAAGTTCATTCCATCGGTTGTAAGGACCGTAATCAATATGGCAAGGGTAATAGCTCAACCGTATACAAACAATAATAAATAAAACGTTGCGTTTAGCTATGTTTTGAAATTATTTTTTTTTTCCAATTTTTAGTTAGTTTGAGAGTAATAATAAAAATTAAATGACATATAGGTAAATATTCTGAATAGAGAAATATATTTTTTATATAATCTTTTTATTGAAAGATAAATATTAGTGATTTTTTAAAAAGGAAACTGATAATGAACAGTGCAAAAATAAAGTTAAAAACATAAGCAACGAGCTCACATATGTTTTACTTGGTAAATAAAATTTCCTAAAATTTCATATGATCGTTAATTTCACAGCTATTCACGAGTACTTGTTTATCATTATTGGCTCGACGCAGGAGATCATCAAAATGGGTGCGATAAGAATGGTGGTTATCGGGAGCTCCCCCATCGGGTGCTATCCCTACATGCTCACCGCAAGAGCCACTGATGATCCAACGGCCTACGATGATCTAGGTTGTCTGAAAGACGTCAATGATGTCATAAGATTAAAAAACGACCTCATGCAACATCACGTCGAAAATATGATAAAGGAATTCCCAAATGTCGACTTAAGTTACTCTCAATTCAGCAACGGCGTGCTTCAACATCTTCGCGAAATAAGCCAAGGTAGGTTTATATATCGAAATCTTACATTTAATTTTCATCGATATTGCAATTCATACATCGTTTGATCTATCCGTTTCTCGGACATCGACAGGCCCTTACGGGAACACGACGCTGCGATCGTGCTGCGGGATTGGAGGGAAGTATAATTACGACGCAAAAAGGTTTTGTGGGCACGAAGGAGTCCCGGTTTGTTCGAATCCTAATGACTATGTGTTTTGGGATGGGTTACATGTCACCAACGCTGCCGGCTACCGTATTGCGGAAATTCTACTCTCTGGCGACATCCCCACGTTCAATTGCACAATGCCGCCGCCGCCGCCTTCGGAGATGGCTACCGTTTGATCGATATAACGCGTTGCTTTGTTCCCTCTGTTCTCGACAATGATGATCGATCAACCGAAGCTATTGATTCGTCGTTTTTAGTTTGCCTTAAGTCGTGAATAAATTCGAGATTTCGTCGCATGTTGTATGTTTGTTTTAGAATTTTGATTGAATTTTTATTTTAAATAATACTTTGATACAATATTTTACAGAGGTAAAATAATATTTCATCTATATATTTTGGTTTGAAGAAGTATGATTAATAAATAATTAAGATACAATACAACATAATTATAGATTAATATAGATATAAATAACTAAATTATTTTAAATTAAAAAATTAAAATTTAATTAAAATGACAAATACCAATATGAACATGATACTAAGGATGAAAGTATATTTTATTGAAAACAATCATCATTTAAAGTTTTTAAATAAATTGATTTTTTGTGTGGTACGAAAAACTGTGTTGCAAAAAAATAAAATTGTCTTAAATGATTGACTTTCTATGAGTGAATAATTTATATATTATATTAATGTATATATATATATATTCATAAAGAATTGTTTCATTTAAAATTACTAAATAAAGGAGGGAATGTAAATTAAATAATGATAATTTAAGTTTAAAATATAAAATAAACATCCAGTAAGGTTGTGTTTGGTACCGAGAAATGAAGTCAAATAGAAATGATATTATTTTTCTTGTTTGTTTGAGTAAGAGAAATGGAACTTGAGAAATAAATCATTTTTATTTCTCTTGTTTTCATTTCTCTCTCGGAGAAAAACAAAGAAAAATGATGTTGTAGTATATATTTTTAAAATTTTTTTGTACTATATAATTTTTATAATTTTTTAAAAATTATATTATTTCAATTTTACAAAAAAAAAATAATTTATTGTTAAGGTATTTAATTTTTACGATTTTTTTAAAAAATTATACTAAAATATAATTTTAAAAAATATTGTATATAATTTATAATTTTTTTAAAAAAATCACTAAAAATATTTTTCATGAATTCTCTTTCATATAGCTGCTTTTTTTTTATATATTTCATAAAATTGTATTAAATTTTCTTGTTTGATCATTCATAGCTATATTTTTTTAAATATTTCTCAACTCAATTTTCTATTTTACCAAAATAATTAATACGTTGTTTCACAACCCGTTCTAAGTTGTCTTGGACTCTTGTAACTCTGGAAATTTTGAGAATTTAATAATGTACTTATTAATTAATTACTATAATTCTTATCCATAACACGTGTCTTTGGTTGTATTTTACTGTTTGCAAATATCTACTATAATAATGTAAAGCATATTTGAAATAATTTAGGTTCATTTATACGGTCAGGCACGCACTCCAATGTGATAGAAGATAATTGGATATACTCCGTCCGCCGGTCCCACATAATTTGTCCCTATTTTTTATTTTCGTCGGTCCTACATAACTTGTCCTTTCTATTTTTAAAAATATAATTATACATTTTAATCGCATTTTAAATTTTAAATTTTATAATTTTTTTAATTTAATTAAACTATTTACTTATCTTAATCTTAATCTATAATCATTTTTATTAAATAATAATTATTTTTACTAATACACTTCTTAATTACTTACTAATTATATTTTACATAAATTCTCATGTCCACAGTAATACACCCATATTACATGGGACGGAAGGAGTATATTTTTAAGTTTATGTTTATATTTAAATTTTAATAATAATAATAATTAAACAACAAAATAGTATTAATTCATAAAATATTAGGCCCACTTTGAACACATAATTAAGATACAACATTAAATTCTGACTTCGATCTTATTTGCAAAACATGATTCTTCTGATCTGATTTGTCTTGTCCAACCTGTAAATATGTATATATTGTTGTTTTGATTATAAGTACTAATAAATATTTAAATGAAATACTAACTTTTAATAATATCTCAAATAAAAAATATATATTTGATTTATTGATTTTAGAAGGAAAAAAAAAAAAAAAAGAATTAGTAGAAAATTATGTTCATACCTTCAAGAAAATGTGTCTGCAGCTTCATAAATCGAAATATATTTGCTCTATAACAAAAATCTTTTTAATTAAATTATTTTTCTTGGTTGTAGAACATCATTAAAAAATAAATAAAAATTTGTATTATCAAAAGATTCTCTATACTGTTATTACCAATATAGGCAAATCAACTAGACTAATAAGAACCTGATTCATATCACGTGTAGCCCATGTGCCTGAATCATTGATAATATAAGTTCTAGTATACAATATTATCCGGGAGATTTTGTCGGAATCATTGATTAACATTTTCTGATTTTATTTTTTGTATATAAAAATTTGCACATATTCGATAACATATTTAATATAATACTCAATCTGTTTATTAATAAGTTTATATTTACCATATATTTAATATTAAAAATATTTTTATATTTATTATATTTATATTATAAGACACTAAAAGACATATTTTTTTTTCTTTAATTTGTACTATATTTTGATATAATAATTAGTATTTAAAAATCAATACACAAAAATAAATATCAATCTTGTAAATTGACGGAAGGAGTATATAATAGTATATATTTTGATAATATATTAGCTATTTGCAATGTAAAATTTATTTTTACATTTCTAGGAATCTTTTCTTTGCCATATCATATTAAGAATCCAACAAAATATTTTTCTTGTACAATTATTGTGATTTTATATACAAAAATACTTTTTTTATTACATAATATTACCTCCAAACTAATATTGAAACTAAATAAATAAATAAATAAATAATAAGAAACGAAATACGCTCAAAAAAATACAATTAATATATTGTATAAACTATTTTAGCCAAATGATGGGTTTGAAAAAATATTGATTTGGATTTAATATTAATATAATGTATTATCAGATATTTTGTAAGAGAAAAAAAAAAATATTCCCTCCGTCTCAAAACTATAGTCTTAATTGGGTTGGGTATGGGATTCAAAGAATATTGATATTATATCGGTAGTTGGTAAAAAGTATGAATAAAAGATTTTTTTGCCCTTGTGAGTGTATTAGTGTAAAAAGTAGTAGTAATTGTGTAATAAAAATGAAAAAAATAGGGGTAGTTTTATGGTGATATGGTTATTTATGGAAATAAGACTATTGTTTGGGACGAACAAAAATGGTAAACAAGACTATTGTATTGGGATGGAGGGAGTAGTATTTTTTTTTAAGTCTAAATAATAGAAATATGATATATGTGTTGGTTGAAACAAACCCTAATATTTTAAACATAAACTAATACTCCCTCCGTCCCTTAACAATTTATCTATTTTTTTATTTTGGTCTGTCTCGTAACGAAGTATTCTATCTAACATTACAAATACCTTTTCAATTTACAATATATTATATAAATGTCATTACTTTTATATCATACAATACTAATAGGGTTAATTTAGTCTTTTTACCTTTATTTCTACTTTATCTCAATGTAATATTAATATTTCTAAAACTCCTTGTAAAAAGCAAATAAATATATAGATATAGGCCGGAGGGAGTATATAAATATTATGTTGGTTGAACCATGTGTTAACTTTCTACCTAATATGGGTTGAAAGAACAATGTTAATTAACCTTAATCAATTTTTCTAACTCTTTCACATAGTGATTATATAATACTCTCTCCGTCTATTTTCTAATGTCCTATTTGATATTTACACGCGTTTTTAGTTAGTTAGGATTTTTTTTTATAAAATGACAAATTTGTCCTTAATCTTGTGTATAGAAAATGAAAGAGTAAATAAAATAAAGGTAAAAGAATAAATTTTGTGTATAAAAATAAAAAGATGACAATAATGATTGGACATTCCAAATAAAAAAGTAGGACGTTAGTTTGTGGACAGAGGGAGTAATATATATATATATATAATGAAGAAAATTATGAATATTTTAAAATAAAATAATAGCAAATAAATTAGAATGAATAAATCAATATTTAACTCTAACAAACCAATATGGCATACATGAATTAACTATATTAAATGAAAGTGGATAACATTTTAAAATAAATGTAGTGATAATTTATCCTTATCATGATCAAATTCACCTACATATATTAGAAATTACAAAGGTGTCTTCTTCCACTAAAAAATTTTCAAACACGTTTTATTATTAATATTATAAAAATATAATATGTATATTCAATTATTCGTATAAATATATATCTTTCTTTTGTTATTCAAATTTATTATTATTAGTACTATTATTTGTCATCCAAAAATATTTTTATTTTTTTAATAATAAAATATCATTTTTTACTTTTTATTTATTTTAAAAAATATTTTAATTTTTACTATTTCTATAAAAAAATTCGTGACCGATCAAATTGACATAATTTTACATGATAAAGAAAAAATATATTTTATTTATTAAAAAAATCATACAATGAATTCTCTAAAAAGTAATGTTTTTACTATAATACTCCCTCCCTCAGTCTAAGGGTCACATTTATTTTTTTTCGTCGTTGTATTTAACATTAATAATATCCTTATGTTTGTATACTTTTTTTAATAAATTTCCTTCTATTATCGTAATTTATACTATATTTTAATATAATAATTAATATTCAAATATCAATAAATAAAAAATAAATGAGACCCTTCAAAACCGGACGAAAGTAGTATATTTTTTTTAATATCTAATATAAAATATACTTTAAATTAAAAGTATAAAACAAAGGCGTCCAATTTGACGCCAAAATAAAACAAACTATGTGGGTTTACACTGCAATTTTAAATTTCTCACAAAATATTATATCAAAATACTGTTAAAAGTTTAAATCAATGCTCTCATTTCAAATCAATTTTAAACTACAACCAATCAAACCTTTGTTTAATTCATTATTTTGGTTTTGGATTGAAATTTTATTTTGAAAAATATGTGTAATCACATGTGTTAATATATTTGTTTAATTTTTAAATTTATATTAAAAAATTATTATATATTATTTTGTTTTGATCTAGGTTTGAAATTTTGATTAAAAATATATTTTAATGTAATATTTCATTTTACTTAAAAATATATATATATTTTTATTAATAATACAAACCGAATAGTTTGCTTTTGCCTTGTGATATATATGATGTTCAACCTCTTGAGTATACGTGATTTGCATTTTATAGATTTTTGTTTTTATAGTTATTAAGTAAAATAATAGTTGAATGCGGTATTTTATATTAAAAATAAATATTCCTTCTGTCCCAATATAATAGTCTTGTTTGCTATTTTTATCCGTCTCAAAATAATAGTCTTATTTTCATAAATGACTATATTATTGTAAAACTACCATTTATTATTATTATTATTATTACACAATTATCATTACTTTTTACACTAATATACAAGGACAAAAAAATCTATTAATCTATACTTTTTACCGATTAATATAATATCAACATTTCTCAAATATTGTGTCCAAAACTATATTTATGGGAAGGAGAGAGTATATTTTTATTGGTGTCTAATGAAACTCCAAATTGGTTTGTTTCTTTAATTCTAAATCTTTCAAATTTTATTATTTAAATTCTATGTATTAAAAAAAATTATTTTTTTATAAAATATCTTATCATACATTATTTTAATAATCAGTCTTGTCATCTCCTCTATAAATAACATCTCCCGTGATGTGCTACAAAAGCAAATCCGCCGTAGACATATATCCTTCATTACATCGATCTTGCTTCAACTACATTACAACGTTTTCAACATGTCTAATAATAGTTATTATTATAATTACAACTATATCCAATCTGTCTTCTTCTTGCTCTTCCCTTTGATCATTCTGGTTTCATCCAAAAATCCTGTCTGTCCTTTCGACTATGCTTTCCACTTCGGCGATGGAGTCACCGATCTCGGAAATTCAGTTCTCCTCCTTCCCCAGCCAATCACAATTCCTGCCGACCTTCCGCCCTACGGCATGACCTATCCGGGCAGCCCGAGCGGCCGCTGGTCCGATGGCCTTGTCGACTTCGACTTCTCTGGTTAGAACAATACTTTCAATTTTTACATGCCTCGATGCTATGACGATATTTTTTCTATATAATTTCTTACTGTCTCTGTCTCTTTTGAAAGTGGTCATTTCGAATTTTGCAGTAGATTAAGAATAATATTTTATTTATTAGTGAAAAAGTGTAAAAGATTTTGATATTTTTGTCCATTAACTTTTTGTACAGAGTAATTGTATGTGTATTTATGTACCTTACTTTTAGTAAAAGTTAAGTGCATTTTGATATTAGTGTATAATTATTTATTTTAAATTAAAAATAGATACTTTAAAATAGTACCGACAATATTTTAAATCGGGATGGAGGGAATAATAAAAGGTTTGTAATTTTTTTACTATGCAATCACATAGAAATATATTTAATTTGGACATAGGTCAATGACATTGTTTTTTTACTTTATTATTTTATGTTGAGAAATATTACATTCAACTATTATTTTTTTTTTTTTTATTTTTTTTGCAGCTCCTTTTATGGGATTTCCGCACCCGTCTCCTTACTTGTCGTTGAGCCCGAACCACACAAGCGACGGCGAGGCCATGATGTTCTCGGACGCAGGAAGCACGGTGCTCGACCGCGACTTCTTTAGATCCAAGGGGATTAAAATCCCAGCCTACGCGGTTTCATTTGGCGACGAATTCAGATGGTTTAAGGCATCCTTACTTCTCAATGCTCGACGGATGAAGGTTTATTTATATTTTTCAATCTCGTAAATAAATTCATTATCATTTTTAGTCTTTTAAATAAATATTGTTCTCTCTGTCTAGCTTTAAGGGTTACATTTAATTTTTGCGTACTGATATTTGAATATTAATTATTATATCAAAATGTACTACAAATTAAGGAAAATGACAAAATTATAATACTAATATAATGATATAAAAAATTATACAAATATAAAAATATTTTTAATGTTAAATACAGTACTGTAAAAAGTTAATATAATCCTTAAAGGCGGATTGAAAAATATTTGATATTAGCATATCAGCTATTTCGAACATGTTATTTTAGAGTTGGGATCCTCAACCTCCAATTCTTCCTGGTTCCCGCCCCGACACTCATAGCCTATACATACAATTTTTTTGTATGTATAGGCTATGAATGCACGGATAGGGCGACTAAAAAGGATTGGATGCTACACATAGCTATTGAAGGGTCGGGTTGTGTCGGTGGTTGGGGCTCTGTCATGTATTTTAAGTACTTCAATAATGTTGATACGTATGCCCATACATCGATATTTTTCAACACTAAAATATTAAAATTAGCTTAATTAAAATTAAATAGCGCGTTATATACATTAGGTTGCATTAAGGGTATCGTTAGGAACTCTCTTGTCATGCTCGGCGACATTGAGGCCAACGACCTCGGCTATGCACTAAGTCAAGGAAAATCTATCGAAGAAGCGGCGACTTACATTCCATCAATCCTAAAAACCGAAATCGAGATGGCAAAGGTAACAATAGCTACATATAACATTTTTCATAGGCTCGAGCACTTAAGATAATCTTTAGCAAATCATGATCACGTGTTGTTATTTCCTCGACGTAGGAGATCATTTCCATGGGCGCAATCCGTATGGTGCTTATCGGGAGCTCTCCCATCGGGTGCTTTCCCTACATGCTCACTTCAAGAGCCACCGACGATCCAAACGCTTACGACAATCTAGGATGTCTAAAAGATGTCAATGAGCTCATAAAACTTAAAAACTCCATCTTGCTGGAAAATGTTGAAAATTTGAAAAAGGAATTCCCAGAAGTCGACCTAAATTACTCCCCATTCGGCGACGGCGTGCTCCAACTTCTCCAAGAAACTAGCCAAGGTTCGCATATATTCACATCGATCTAAAACTAAACACTTTTTTTTTTTTTTTCTTTCGTACTCCAACCCAAATTGTTCAATTCTACGTAGGTCCTTATTCGGACAACTTACTAAAAACTTGTTGTGGGATCGGAGGAAAGTACAACTACGATGAAAAGAGGTTTTGTGGGGGTAAAGGGGTTCCGGTTTGCTCGACTCCTAAGGAATATGTGTTTTGGGATGGATTGCACGTGACGAACCACGCTGCTGCTCGTATTGTCGAGATTCTTCTCGGGGAGGGCGCTCCGACGTTCAATTGCACGGTGCCATGGGATTCATCGTCATCCTCGGCCTCAGTTGCTGTTGCTGCCATTTGATCTACAAACATATCCATGGAGCTTTTTAAGGGCAAATAAATAGGGTATCATATATATATATATATATATATAAGCATACTCTTCACAATGCTAGGTAGTTGTTCTTTGCATTGTGTTTCTGTGTATTTGACGATGATCGAGCCAAGTTATTGGATTGGTTAGTTTCGATCCCAGGTAGTTCTTTGTATGTGTCGAAGTTTTGGTATTATTTATGTAATTTGCGAGTAATGTTTGGTGTTGGGACGAGGCGAAAAGGTTACGTGATTACGAGTGAGTCGTGTATCTCACTTGTCGTCGCGTAGTTAACGGTAGGGATGTCAACGAGGCGGGTTCAGGACGGGTTTTGCAGGCCCCGGAACCCGCCCCACTAAATATTATGATCCAAGACCCGCTTCGCCCCTCTTCAATCCGGCCCCAGTACCAGTTCCGTTCCGGGTTCGGGGACAAGTCGACAAATCCGTTTTTTTTAAGAACAAAATATAATTTAATACTAAAAGAAATATACGTCAAAGTACAAATAAATTATAGTTATAAAAATAAGAACAATCAAATATTGACAATAATCCGTTGTGATGGCGGTCAGTAATAGTCTCGATTATAAAAAAAAAAAAAAAAAAAAAATTGTAGGAGAAACAAATGTGAAGATAAATTTGATTTAGAAATAAGGTTCTATTTTATATTAAAAAAACTTTTAAAAATAAATAAATAATACAATTTATATTGTATAAAAATATAAATAAATTATAATAATTATTAAACTATTCAGGTTCGGGTCCGAATCCGAATCCGGGGTGGGGCAGGTATATAGTAAAATTCGTAACCCGCCTCGAATCCGACCGAATCTAAAACTCAAAATCCACAACCTGTCCCGAACCAAATTATTTAGATCCGAACTCGCTCCATTAAAATTGGGTTCGGAGCGGGTCGGGACTAACCCGCCCCCGTTTGACATCCCTAGTTAACGGTAGATGTGGCAATTTCGGGCCGAGTCGGACAGGTCCAGTCCGATTTGAATTCAGACTTGGAACCAAGCCTAGGTACAACCTGATTTCAAACTGTGCCGGCCCGGACTTGTCTAATGTTTTATTTCTCTATATTTTCTTTCTGTCCAAATTAATTTGTCCACTTTAGTTGGGTCACAGAGTTTTAGATATTATATAATTAAAAAATGTATTAATAAAAATAATTATGATATAATAAAATTAATTGTAAATTATATTAAGATTAAGATGACTAAATAATTTAATAATTAAAATAAAATAATTATAAATTATGAATTTTAAAATGCGATTAAAATATATAATTATATAAAAAAAGGAAAGAAACAATTTATGTGGGACGGACTGATATGAAAATAGTGGACAAATTAAGTGGGACGAAAGGGGTATTAATTTAAATAGATACAATTGTGATAAAATTGATATTTTTATTGATAATTAAAATTTAAACATTAAATATGTAATTAATTTTATAATATATTGTTGTAACGGATTAGGATTAGTAGTTGAATAACAAACATAACGTAAATAAGACAAATTTGCATGGTTCACCAACAACCTGTTGGCTACATCTACGGGTAGAAACGAAGAACATATTTATTGAGGAAGAGCTATATTACATATTACAGATTTGATATTTTTAAGTATATTCAACAAAATTAGAAAAATAAGTTCAATCCAATATCAAATCCAAAGTCTAATACTACGTACTGTCGGGCCGGGGGCCACTCCGCGTCTCCGGACCCAAGCAAGGGGGACTTTGTTCCCCGTTGACCCCTGACTTGCTGCCCGAGCAACGAGATCTCTGCGAAAACTTAGCAAAACGATTAAATTATATTTAAAGTATATCATTATATTTTTTAAAATTATTTGAAATTATTTAACGAATCAGCTACCTTATTGATTTTGATACACTATGTAAGATGATTGATTATTGGTCTTATTCAATATCATTTTAATGCTTAAAATGATAAATTTTATAACTTAGATAACCAAAATTACACTTTTATGGGGAAAAATTGGATTTTTTTTAATACTTACACAATTCTTAATAATTTTTATAGTATATTTAAAAGTTTTAATAATTAATAATATTTTTTTAAAAAAATGTTTGGATTGTTTTATAGGAATTTTATTATTCATGAATTTTCCTTTATAAAAAATACTATTACTTTAAAAATTTATTTTTTATTTTATATTATACTAAAAAATATTTTACATTTAAAATATTCTTTTTAATATAGATTAGGTTCAAATGTTTGGATATTTTATTAAAATAATATTTGGTGTGATCTTGTAAAAACAAAATATAAAGCAAAATTACTAAAAATCAGTATAAAAATTGAAAAAGAACGAATTCAAAGAGTTTAAAGTTTGTTTATTCTGTAAAATATTTTGAATGAATAATTTTTTTATGTTAAATATATGTAATTGTATAGATAATATAAAAATAATAAATATATGTAATATACTCCATCTACAAAGTATACATATTTTTATTTTAGGACGTTCAATTATAAATTAATCATTTCATGAAATACTCCATTTTTTTTTTCATAAAAACTCTTACTTTACATAACATCATTACTTTTATACCAAAAAATAATTGCACAAATATTATTACACTATTTTTATCTACCCATTACAATGAAAATATTATTACTTCTTAAACTCCGTGCCAAAAATAAATGTATACTTATTTTTTGAACGGAGGAAAGAGTATTAATTTTTGGAGAAATATGTGTGTTTCTAAATATCAAAAACCAAACCATTAGATTCTGCGTTTAAGTTTTAAATAGTAAATTTTGAATTGAAATAATTGTTTAACTTGCTCCAACCCATAGCTTCTTTTCGGCTGTAATAATTTTTGCAATTTTTTTTTTTCTATATGATTATTACATTCAATAATTACTTTATTAAAAAAATATTAAAAATTAAAGTACAAACTGAAAAATAATTAAGTACCATATAATGTGAAGATATACTAAAAGGCAGATAAATAAGCCATCATTTTCTTATTGTCAATATTTTCAACAATACTATTTCCTTTATCTAAATTACTTAAAAATAAACTAATGAATTAAAATAAAAATAAGAATGATATTATATTTTATTCCTACACAGAGGCCGCCGGATTTTAATATTCATGACATGTAACCCTCTAAGCCCACCTTAATTGACTCATAATTAATTAAAGATAAACACACTATAAAATAAAATTAATAAAAGAAAAATAAACATTAAAATACTAATTTTTTTTTAAAAAAAAAAAATTTATGCTATACTGCAATTTTCACTTATAAATATTAAGTATCATGTATATATTTCATACATTCTAAATATTAAAATTACCAAAAAAAAAAAAAAAAGAAAATTATATTTCTTCCCGTTCACATTCATTATATCTAATTATTATTTAGTTAATATATTTATTTTAAAATTAATAAATATAGTAAAATATTTTTATAATTTATTACCCAACCGTGTTTGATTGTGATTTAAAATTGATTTGAATAAAAATATTTATTTAAATTTTTGTTTAATTATTATTTTGACAATATATTGTAAATATATATATACTTTTATTGAAAATTGTATATAACGAATAATATTAATTTCAGGTAGAACAAGTCTACTTATAAGTTTGTGTAAATTTTATTAAGAATATATATATATTTTTTTATAAAATATCCCAAAAAATACTATTTGAATTAAAGTTTAAATTAAAAATTCAAACTCAAATTAAAATTATTGCTTCCTTTCGCATCGGATTAAGTCTGAAGGTTAGAATTTTTTATTTAATTAATATTTAATATTATATTTTATAAGATTTTTCTTTAAAAAAAAAAAAAAGAAAAAAGAATTGCAATCCAAAGAGTAAAAAATGAATAAAAATGACTATGAGACCCCCTCTAGGTCACTTGTCAACACATTATTTGTCTAGTGTGATTTGTCTTATCGAACTTAATTTACATAGTAGTAGATTCGATCGGAAGTTTAACTAATGCGTACTTTCGAGTACCGATTGCGAATTCTCACGCTAAAGAAAAAAAAAAAAAAAAAAAGGTAGGACGTGGCCATGTGGTGAACATTGTTGCAATAAAAATTATCATATTTAATATGTTTAAATACCCTCTCAATTATTCATCATAGGTCAACTTTCTAGAAACATATATATATAATATAATCATTATTTAATTAAAATATTATATATACATATTAAATTATCTTCAATTTAGACATTTATATATTATTTTTAAGCTTTGTTTGTATATATATATATATATATTCAAATTTCGTGATTTTATTTATTAACAATAAATTAATATATATCATATAATTTTTTATATATAAAATATTATATTAAATACTTTTTTTGAATTATTTTAAAATTGTTAGCCAAAATCTTGTGGTTTTGATCCGGATTTGAACTCGAGAACGTGTGTATGTGAAGGCTAAAAAATTTGTTTTTTCTTTAAGAAAAAATTCAAATTTCTATTAAAAAAAAACAATATTGGAGTCGTTCTCTGTATTATTGAATATTTTTATATATTCTATTTTTTAAATATATATATATAATCAAATTATTATTTTTTATTATTCTCATTTTTTTTAAAAAAAAAATTCTAAAAGTTCCTAATTAAACGGACCTTTCGTGTTTCGACATTTGTCAATATTAATAGTCTCGTAGATTGAGATGAAATATTTACCTAAGAAAATGTGTCAACTTTAAAAATTTAAACATGTTCAGATAAGACAAATGCTAATCCAACTTTATATAAATTAATATATTATTCCTCATTCCCAATACAATAGTCTTATTTACTATTTTTGTCTATTTTAAAACAATAGTTTTATTTTTTCATTTTTATTAGATAATTGTCACTGTTTTTTACACTAATACATTCACAAGAGCAAAAAAGTATTTTTTTATCTGTACTTTTTACCAACTACCAATACACTACAAAAAAGTATATATATTTGTAACGGAATTTCGTCCCTAAAGTTCACGTAGCTAACGTAATTCCTTTCTTAATTCCGTCTCTAGTGTCATTAGTAACGAAAAAATAGATTTAAAGATAAAAAAGTTTTGTTACAAAAATAATTTTTTCTTATAGTGATATAATATTAATATTTTTTAAATCTCGTATCCAACCCAATTAAGACTAGAGTTTTGGGACGGAGAGAGTATTTTTTAAACTAGTTTTGTAAGGCTATTAGGTTTGGCCGAAGTTTACCGAGTTTGCATTTTCGAATAGCGATTGCGGATTCCCACGTCATCAAATGTATATATATATATATATATAATCAATGTATTTAAGAATATAATACTCCCAAGTTGTCTCAATAAATCGATTCAAATTCATCGAATCCACTAGTCATCTATCTATAAATGCATTGCCACCCAACTCCATATATATCTAATTTTTTTTTAAAGAAAACAATAATAATAATTTACAAATTAATTTCGCCATGTCGCGCCGGGCGTGGTCGATGCTCTTCGTCGCACTTCTTGCGCTTTCTTGCAGCAACAGCGACTGTATTGTCCGAATGGTGGCTGCCCAGTCTTGCGAAGAAGGTTGCGAGAACACTTTTCACGGATGTAAAAATTCATGTGGTCGCAACGAAAACTGCATCAACAATTGTCGAACAAAACGCGTGAGTTGTATGGTTGGCGGGTGCGGCAGTGGAGGCTTCACTTGATGAATATTTTCGTCGATCGCGTGGTGATATAATATATATATATATATGTATTCGATATTATTGGTCACAATGCTTACGGATGATAAATCTTGTCATTAATTAAGGTAGTTTGAAATTTGTGTTTTTTGTGGCTCTTTGTAATGTTTATTGCCGATGTTGTGTATGTCTTAATGTGTTAACGTTGTTTGATTTGCTTTCGACTGAGATTTGTTTTAGATAGAGACTTTGACGGTTTTGAAAATTGAATAATAATAAAAAATTAGTATTTTACTTGATATTTTGGTAGAAAAAAATATATTTGATTTTATATTTTTTAAAAATTAAATAGTATCAAAGCTTCTAAAGTTATTATGTAAAAAGAGACTATTTGTTTAATTGTGTTTTAGTACTTTTAGTTATTTTTTTAATATTGTATATTTGTATTTTAATATTTTAGAGGTAAGATAATTTAGTTTTAGATAGAAATTTTCAAAAAAGATTTTTAAAAATAAGTAAAATATATTACAGGTAAATAATTTTTTTCTTAAAGAAATTTAAGTAGTATATAATAAAGATTTCATCTAAATATACTAAATTAAAAATGTATATAAAATAAAAAAGAAAAAAATAAATAATAGACAAAAGTCTCAAAATCGATCATTCAATAATAACTCAGAGTAGTATTAATTTAATAAAATGTTTGGTCTTGAAAATATATATTTAACTTTTGTAAGAGAGTTTAAAAAATAATAATATTTTTAACTATAATAGATGGTTAAAAATAATTTAAAGATAATTTTGATTTTTTTTTTATAAAAATAATAATATACTGATAAATTAGAGATGTCTGTAAAAAAAAAATTAAAATAGCATTTTGTATTCATAATTGAATAATTCATAATAAAAATATGTATACTTATTATTATATTATATATACCATTAATAGGGTACGACGGCATGTGATGAACATTGTTTTAATAATTTATATCTTTTAAGTACCTCTCAATTATTCATCATATATATAATCATTATTTAATTGAAATATCATATATATATATATATATATATAAGTAGGGACGGAACTACACTAGAGTTTGATTCCAAGCCAATTTTTTTATAATTTTTTTAGTATTAAAAATATTAATTTTTATGCATTTATATACAATTTTTCTCAAACTATCTAAATTCATATATAATTCTGTCATTATTGTTTATTTAAATTTGTTAGCTAAATATTAAATAAATTATAATATTTTGCCCCCCGAATTTAGATGCTAGTTTCGTCACTGTATATAAGTTTAGACTGTTATCTTTAAGATTTGTTTGTTTCTATTTTCAAACTTTTGATTTTATTTATTAACAATAAATAAATATAGCTTTGTTCTTTCAATTTTACTTTTTTTCACACGATTTTTTCAAAAATAAATATTGATACACTACATTTATTATTATTTTTATATTTTAACCCAATTTTCTATATTTCACGATAAAGAAAAAAAATTAACAATTTTACAAAACAAATACATCTTATATCATTTTTTTTAATAAAATATTACATAAAATATTTAAAATTATTTTAAAATTTTTAGTCAAGACCTTATAGGTCTAATGTTTTGGCATCCCATACGAGGGTTTTGATCCGGATTTGATCTCGAGAATGTAAGGTTAAAAAAATTAATTAATTATATCTATATATATATATATATTATGTAATATAATTTATATAATCAATGATGTAAGAATTACTTCCAAATTGTCTCAATTACTTTATATAAATTAATTAAATATATATATATATTATGTAATATAATTTATACAATCAATGATGTAAGAATTACTCCCAAATTGTCTCAATTACTTTATATAAATTAATTAAATATATATATATATATTATGCAATATAATTTATATAATCAATGTATGTAAGAATATAATTAATACTACCAAATTGTCTCAATAAATTGATTCAAATCCATCAAGTAATTATCTTTCTATAAATGCACTACTACAAATCCAACTCCATACCTACCTTTATTCACCCATCTTTATATATATATATATATATATTGAAAATAAAAAAAAAGTTATAAATTAATTTCGCCATGTCGCGCCGGGAGTTGTCGATGCTCTTCGTAGCACTTCTTGCGCTTTCTTGCAGCAGCAACGACTATGTTGTTCGAACGGTGGCTGCCCAATCATGCGTAGACGGTTGCGAGAACACTTTCAAACAATGCAAAAGTTCTTGCGCTATTGGCAATGAAAATTGCATCAATATTTGTCGAAAATATCGCGTGAGTTGTATAGTTGGCGGGTGTGGCAGTACTGGAGGTTTCACTTGACGAATTTTCGTCGATTGATAAATCTTGTTATTATTTAAGGTAGTTTGAAATTTGTGATTTGTAGTTGTTTGTAATGTTTCTTGTAAATGTTTTGTGTATGTTTTAATGTGTTAATGTTGTTTGATTTTGCTTTCGAAAATTTTGAAATTTTAAAAATATTAAAAAATCTAATATATAATGTGATGTTTTTTAAAGAAAAAATTATACTTCATTCGTCCCATAAGAAATGATACTATTTTCTAATTTTATCTGTTCTAAAACAAGGGTACCATTTTCTAGTTTAATAATTGTATTAACTAACTAACATAATTAATACCCTTATAACTTCCAATATATTATACAAATTCCGTTACTTTTATACATCATAAAATTTAAGAAAGACATCATTTTCACTGTAAATCAATATAATACTAATATTCAAAAATCTACGTGAAAAAACAAATGTTACCGATCTTATAGAACGGATGTAATATTAAAAGTTTAAGTAAAATTTTAAAAATTAATTTTATTAATATATTAACAAATAATTTATATTTAAAATAAAAGTATGGTCTAATAGTTTAACTCTTAACTTACAAATATCATGCGTTTTCAGGCCCGGATTGGAATTGAGCTTTTCTTGTCCGGTCCGCAAATATGTTTGGGCCGGAATGGCCCAGCATGAAAAATTGGACCGGACCAATTTACCACCTATAATGTCTAACACAACTTAATCTGTTAAATTTTTTTTAAAGGTTTTAAATTAAAAATATTTAAATTTTAAAGCATACAATTACATTATACTCTCTCAGTCCAAACAATAAGTATACAATTACTTTTGGTGCGAAGTTTAAAAATAATAATATTTTAATTATAGTGAGTAGGTAAAATTAGTGTAACAAGTATTTTATAATTGTACGTCCCAAAATAGAAATATGTATACTTTGTAACTTGATCGAGAGTACAAAATATTTAATTTTTAAAGTAGGCAATTATTTTAGTTAAATGACAAAAATGTCATAAATTTTGTGTATTTTCATTAACTAATAAGATAGAGTTTTTTTTCTTTTTTTTTAATAATGATAAAGAGAGTAAAATATATTATTGAAAAGATAAATAATTAAATCAATATAAAATAGAAAGATATACACTTAGAGTGTGTTTGTTTGAAGTTTGGATTTTGGGTTATGATTTGAATAGTAAAAATTTTGAATTTGAATAGTTGTATGATGTAATATAAATAAAATTTGATATAATGTTTTGAATGTAAAATTAATTTTTAGTATAATATTAAAAATAAAAAATAAGTGTTTGATTTGATATTTTTGGAAAAATATTTTGTGATAACGGTAGAAATTCTACAAAATCCTTCAAACAACACACACTTAGGATGCGCGGGGTTTGGATTTTGAGTTGATATAAATAAGCTTGATGATGTTTTGAATGTAAAATTAATTTTCAAGTATAATATAAAAAATAAAAAATAGGTGATTGATTTGATGTTTTTGGGAGAAAAATATTGGATAAATAGTGTAAATCCAATCCAATCCCTCAAACAAACACACTTAGAAAAAATTAAATAAATAAATAAATAAAAGAAAAAAGAAAATGAAACTAAAAATAGTTTAAATAGGGAATGGATTTGAAAATTTTAGAAAGCAAAAATGGAGGGAGAGAGAGAGCGAAGCAGAAACAGTGGTGTCGTTGGCTCGTCGCTACTATTTTTGGCTTCTCTTTCACACGCACCCACTCTCACCCATTAACCTTCTCCCCATTCCTCCTTCCTTCCTTCCCTCCATTGTCATCCCCGCCCTCCAATTACGTTTCGGTTTCCTCAGATTTCGTGGTATTCGCTCTGTTCCGCGAGACGACGGAGTCAGAGTCATCATCGCTTCATCGACTCTGGTATGATGGATTTGCGTCTTTGTCAATGCTGCATTTTGTGCTGAATTGGACATGGAATTTGGGTTTGTGTTCGTTAGCTGCAATTGTGGACACCCGAGCTGCTTTGTGTGATTATATTTACGTATGGAGTTGTTTTTTCTGCAGGAGAAGGCGTTGAATTATGCATAGCGTTTGATTATCTGCCATGGATTCGGATCTTAGTTGTGGATAATTAAAATTTGAGTCAATATAATATTTGCCTTTTCATTGAGCCTTTCAATTCAGCTTTCGATGTGATGGCGTTTAGTGAATGATTTAATCGACCTAAGTGTGTTAAAAATGTGTGAAACAGCATGGGATCTTTTCATCAATCATTATAAACAAATATATGCATTTTCAATAGCTTAAAAATTTTGTTGCCAGGACTAAATTTTGTGAAGTTATACATAAGTTGAAATGTATGTAAATGTTTTTGTTAAAATTTGTTGTCAATTTGTTTTCAGGTGATTATCTTCATAGGTAGCTTGAATTGTTTATCATAGGCATCTTGTGAGTGCGATTTCGGCCGAGCAGAGAATTCGTGGTTATGGCTGAAAGCCCTTGGCTTGCAAGGTGGAGGAAAGTGTTGTGGTTTTCTGATTGTAATTCTGTGGTAGCAAAATAACTTTGGGGGGTTCAAGCCTGTGTTCAAATGGGTCGGGGGAGGTTAAGGGCGAGGATTCGCCGGAGCCATCTTTATACATTTGGTTGCACGAAGCGCCCTGCTACTGATGACGACAAGCCACATGACTTCCAAGGGCCTGGATTTTCGAGGATTGTATACTGCAACCAACCTGAAATGCATGATCAAGAGCCACTTAAGTATTGCTCAAACTATGTTTCCACGACTAAGTACAATATCATTACTTTCCTTCCCAAGGCCTTATTCGAACAATTCAGACGTGTCGCCAACATGTACTTTCTTCTAGCTGCAATATTGTCATTAACTCCTGTATCTCCATTTTCTGCTATGAGTATGATTGCACCATTGGCCTTTGTGGTAGGATTGAGTATGGCTAAGGAAGCTCTCGAAGATTGGCGAAGGTTTATTCAGGATATGAAGGTTAATTTGCGGAAAGCTAATGTGCATAAAAAGGATGGTGTGTTTGGTCACAGGCCATGGATGAAGCTAAAGGTTGGAGATGTATTGAGAGTAGAAAAGGATAGCTTCTTTCCGGCGGATTTACTTCTTTTATCTTCTAGTTATGAAGACGGGATTTGTTATGTTGAAACCATGAACTTGGATGGCGAGACTAATTTAAAGGTGAAACGAGCCATGGAAACTACTCTATCCCTCGATGACGATGAAACTTTTAAGGACTTTAGTGCAGTGGTAAGATGTGAGGATCCTAACCCCAACCTTTACACTTTTGTTGGTAATTTGGAATATGATCGTCTGGTTTATCCTATTGACCCGAGCCAAATTCTCCTTCGAGATTCAAAGCTTCGAAACACAACTTATATCTATGGAGTTGTGATATTCACCGGCCCTGATACCAAAGCTATGCAAAATTCAACAAAATCGCCATCTAAAAGGAGTCGAGTTGAGAAACAAATGGACAAGATAATCTATGTCCTTTTCATAGTTCTGCTACTGGTCTCATTGATCAGCTCCATTGGTTTCACTGTGACGACTAAATATTATTTGCCGAATTGGTGGTATTTACGGGTTCCTGATAACAAGGGTCTATATGATCCAGGGAAGCCACTGACTTCAGGGATTTATCATCTAATCACTGCTCTCATATTGTATGGATATTTAATACCGATATCCCTTTATGTGTCGATTGAAGTTGTTAAGGTCCTTCAAGCATTGTTCATCAACCAGGATCTTCATATGTACCATGAAGAGAGTGGAACTCCGGCTGATGCACGGACTTCAAACTTAAACGAGGAGCTGGGACAAGTCGACACTGTCCTGTCTGATAAAACCGGCACATTGACATGCAACCAAATGGACTTCCTTAAATGCACCATTGCCGGCACTCCATATGGTACACGTGCTAGCGATGTAGAACTTGCTGCCGCGAAAAAGATGGCTATGGATAGAGATGATCAGAGCCAAAATGGTTCTACTAATGGAGGAGAATCTAGTGAGAAGGACTTCACCGATTCGGAAATTGAATTGGAGACTGTTATTACCTCAAAAGATGAAGATGACAAGAAGGCTGCTGTAAAGGGATTTAGCTTTGAGGATAGTCGCCTAATGAATGGGCAGTGGTTCGACAAACCGAATGCAGATGACATGTTAATGTTTTTCCGAATATTATCCATTTGCCACACTGCAATTCCCGAGCTAAATGAAGAGACAGGTGTCTTTACCTATGAGGCAGAATCACCAGATGAGGGTGCATTTCTTGTTGCTGCGAGGGAATTCGGGTTTGAGTTCTACAAAAGAACACAATCGAGCATATTTGTTCGCGAAAGATATCCTGTCTTTCAAGAGCCGATTGAAAGGTGAGTCGGTAAACAAGTAAATTCTGATTTCTGCTGTGAAGATTGCTTCTTGAAATGCAATGCTTTCTGAATTTTCAGGGAATATAAAATCCTCAATTTGTTGGATTTTACGAGCAAACGGAAGAGAATGTCTGTTATTATCAAGGATGAGAATGGTCAGATCCTTCTCCTATGCAAAGGAGCTGATAGGTGTGCTGCATTGCCATTCCTTGTTTTCAAAGCTCGAGCATTGTATTTGTTTATGTGCTTGTTACTCGAAACTGTGTTTCTTTCTTCACAGCATCATATTCGAAAGACTATCAAAGAATGGGAGAGCATACGAGGAAGCAACCACCAAGCATTTGAATGACTATGGGGAGGCCGGATTGCGAACCTTAGTTCTTGCTTACAAGAAACTTGATGAGGAAAAGTATTCTGCGTGGAACGATGAGTTTGTCAAAGCGAAAACCTCAGTAGGCGGCGACAGGGATGCAATGCTCGAACGTGTTTCTGAAATGATGGAAAAAGATTTGATACTTGTTGGTGCAACTGCTGTGGAAGACAAATTACAGAATGGAGTAAGCCATTGCATCTACAAATGCTTCAAAGATATTAACGAGCACTTTATAAGTCCACCCCTACCTTTTCTTGGCCATTCATTGTGTTTTTTCGATTATGTTGTCCACAGGTACCTCAGTGCATAGACATCCTGGCGCAGGCCGGTTTGAAAATCTGGGTTCTGACCGGCGACAAGATGGAAACAGCCATAAATATAGGGTCGGTATTTCACCTACAGAATGTGGCTTAATTTAAGTTCATACTGAAGCTCTTTCGACGTGCAGATTTGCTTGTAGTTTGCTTCGACAGGGAATGAAGCAGATATGCATATCGATGAACACAGATGCAATAGTCCCGGATTCAAAACAGGTAATTTATCTGCGCTAAAAGTATGTGTATATCGATGATTAGAGAGGGAATAAACATGTGGAAGCTCTTGTTCTGTTCTTCCTTTTCCTAGTAGGCTATAAAAGAGAATATACTCATGCAAATTATAAATGGGACACAAATGGTGAAGCTAGAAAAGGATCCAGACATGGCGTTCGCGTTGATCATCGATGGGAAGACGCTAACTTACACACTAGAGGACGACATGAAGCATCAGTTTTTGAATTTAGCCATAGGCTGTGCTTCTGTCATTTGCTGCCGTGTCTCACCGAAGCAGAAAGCTCTGGTCAGACGTTGTCTGCTTTCTTCCCTAATCGAAAATATTACTGATGTCATTCCCTGTGTTCCTCATTCGAGGTTCTTGACAAACAGGTAACAAGATTAGTAAAAGAAGGAACCGGGAAAATCACATTAGCTATTGGCGATGGCGCAAACGATGTTGGTATGATTCAGGAGGCAGATATTGGCGTCGGCATCAGCGGATGTGAAGGAATGCAGGTTGGTTCAAGAACTATAATTTTCTTGCTTCGAATCCTCGTAGAAGTTAGCTTAGGTGAAGATCTTTAGCTTAAACTGGCTGACTTAAACATCAGCTCTTTGCAGGCTGTGATGGCGAGCGACTTTGCGATCGCGCAGTTTCAGTATCTCGAGAGGCTTTTGATCGTACACGGTCATTGGTGTTACAAGCGAATCGCTCAGATGGTACTCACCGGTCATCATCAAAATCGACATTTCTTAAAAAGACATTTTCGATGGATCGAAATCAATGTTTCACCGTTCTAACTCGACTCGACCTTTTCTCGCAATGCAGATATGCTATTCCTTCTACAAAAACATCGCATTCGGGCTCACGATCTTCTACTACGAAATCTACGCGGGCTTCTCGGGACAGACAGCATACGTCGATTGGTACATGATTCTATTCAACGTCGTCCTCACTTCGCTCCCCGTCATTTCGCTCGGAGTGTTCGAGCAGGACGTCGACTCCGAAGTCTGCTTACAGGTACACATTTCACTCGAAAACTAAACATCTATTACGTAAACATCGATAGTCACTCCACTCGACACAAAATGCAGTTCCCGGCGCTGTACCAGCAGGGACCGAAGAACCTATTCTTCGACTGGTTCAGAATCTTCGGGTGGATGGGCAACGGGCTCTACACGTCGATCATGATCTTCTTCCCGTGCATCGTGATCTTCTACGACCAGGCGTTCCGCGTTGACGGGCACACAGCCGACATGACGGCTGTAGGGACCGCGATGTTCACGTGCACGATCTGTGCCGTGAACTGCCAGATCGTCCTGTCGATGTGCCACTTCACGTGGTTCCAGCACTTGCTCGTCTGGGGCAGCGTCGTGCTGTGGTATGCCTTCCTCGTTGTCTACGGCGAGCTCCCGTACTCGCTGAACGACAACGCCCACGGGATCCTCCGGGAGGTCCTGGCCCCGGCGCCGGTCTTCTGGTCGACGGCGATCGTGGTGACGCTGGCGTGCATCCTACCGTACCTCGCACATATTTGCTTCACCCGAGTCTTCAACCCGCTCGACCACCAGATCATACAGGAGATCAAGTACTACCGGCAGCACATCGAGGATAAGCACATGTGGCGCCGGGAACGGATCAAGGCGCGCGAGCCGACCAAGATCGGGTTCACCGCCCGCGTCGACGCGAAAATCCGACAGATTAAAGGTAAACTAAATAAGAGACAGTCGATTTTGAGCATTGTACAACGACACCACCATTCGTAGGTAGTTTTTTTTTGTTCTACCTTTAGGCTAGCTGGCTTCCCCTGCCATTGTTGTCTCTTCATTGTTTTGATCATCTTCATTCCTCCCTCTGGTTTTTCATTCCTTAATCTGAATTCTCAGATTTGTGTATGTATGTTTGTATAGTCATTGTTGTGAAGAAGAAGAAAAAGTTTACTTTTATGTGTATCGAAATTTAAATTCCAGCATTAACATGTATAATAGTAATATTCTCTTCCTCTCAATATTTATTATTTTTGTCCGCTTCAAAAACAATACTTCTATTTTCATAAATAATCATATTAATATAAAATTATTATTGCTATTTTTTATACTGATACATTCCGAATAAAAAAAAAAGTTTTTTATCCATATTTTTTTACTTTCAATATAAAATCAATACAACTAAGACTATAATTATGGGATGTATTATTTTATTGAAAATTGCATAGATAAAGTCAATTTTTTATTTTATTATTTTAGTCTTTAAAATTTTTATTTTTTATTTTTACGTTATTTTTTTACTTTAAATGTGAATTCAAAATATATACTTGAATAGTCTCATTTTCTAATATATATATTTTGTAAATTTTTATGTTACTTTCTAATATTTTTATAAAGGTTAAATATATATTTATTAGTCTTAATAATAGTTTCAATTTTTTAAAATACTTATATTATTATAAAATTATTTTTATTTTATTATTATTATTATTATAGATATATTATTATTTTTTTTATGTTATTACACTTATAAAATAAAATAAAAAAATTATTAATTTTTTTGTCGACTTATTATTATTTTTTAAATATAGGTGTCTTATACAAATAGGACTATTTATGAGAAATAGAGGTTTACAGTAGCAAAAAAGTAAAATGAAAAGCTAATTGACTTATATATATATATATATATATTTATTTCAAATAAGAAAACAAAGTAACGGATATGTTTTCGTTACGATATGTTTGATACATTCCCCTAATTTATCTCATTCAAATAAATTCAAAAGTACTTATTTCCGCGAAACGACGTCGTCGAGAGAACTTTTAAACAGCGGTAAAATAATTCGAAGAGCAGGGACGGACACGTAAGCAAATGCAGGGCATAAAAATGGTGACGTGTAAAAGCGTACAAAAAGAATCTACGAGTTCCGATTGGATCGAAGAAGATGACTTCCCGATAGTTTCTTCGTATGAGCAAATGTTCAGTTGCTTGTTGCTATTCTTCGCACTCTGCTCAACTCTTGGAGCTTGATTTAATTTCGGGAGATACGGGCTTGGGGATTGGATTCGAGTACCGGAGTTCGATGGAGCCGCGCGTGGCGAACAAGTTTCGATTGGGTAGGAAAATTGGGAGCGGCTCGTTTGGAGAAATTTATTTAGGTATGGTTGGTTAGGGCATTTTTTCGAGTGTAAGATTGATTTCTAGTTTGAATTTTCGTTTGGAGCTTCAATTCAGGTCTATTTTTCTGTTTGGATGATTTTTTTTGTAGGCACGGATATACAGACGGGTGAGGAGGTTGCAATCAAGCTTGTGAGTATTTCAAAATTTGTTGGAGATGGAACTGTTATTGTTTACTTGCATTGTAGTTTCAGTGGATTGTGGTTCTCTGTAATTGGATTTCTTTGTTTACTTCCATTTTTGTTGATGTTGTAAAGTGCGCCATATGCTCATTTAGTTTCTGTAAAATTCGATTATGTTCAGGAGAATGGGAAGACGAAGCATCCCCAATTGTTTTACGAGTCTAAGCTGTACAAATTACTTCACGGAGGAAGTAAAAATTCTTTTGATTTTTTGCTTTCATGTTGCAAAATTATTTGAATTCTTCTATCTTAGGTTGAAATTTGTTAATTTTGATAGATGGAATTCCAAACGTTAGGTGGTTTGGGGCTGAAGGAGACTATAATGTTCTTGTAATGGATTTATTGGGGCCTAGTCTTGAAGATTTGTTCAATGTCTGCGGCCGGAAGTTGTCTCTGAAGACTGTTCTCATGCTTGCAGATCAGATGGTAAATGTTAAATGTTCTTCTTGGTTGTGTTTTATTGAGGTTTTGGACATTTTATGCTTCAAAATGACCGTCAGGATCTCAAATATTTTCTTTCAGATTAGTCGGATTGAGTTTATTCACTCTCGATCTTTTCTGCATCGAGATATTAAGCCTGACAACTTTCTCATGGGATTGGAGCGGCGCACGAATCAGGTTCTACCATTTTCATTGAATTTTCATGTTTATAACATGCAGAATCAAGAGCATGATAATTTCATCTGCAGGTTTATGCCATTGATTTTGGACTTGCCAAGAAATATAGGGACTCGAGAACTCATCAACATATAAGATATAGGTAAGCTCTCCTCTTTGTGTGGTTATCTATAGACCATTGGTGTTGAATGGTGTCTGGCAGTATTGTATACTTTAGGTCATTTCGTATACGATTAACAGATATTAATCCATATTATAATTATTCTGTGAAATGCAGAGAAAATAAGAATCTTACCGGAACAGCCAGATATGCAAGCATGAACACTCATCTTGGCATTGGTACATGCATAGGCTTTGCATATATTTTCCCATTTTTACTGTTGAGTTGCATTGCATCTATCTTCATGTGTGATTCTGCATTGTTCGATGAATAGAACAAAGTCGCAGGGATGATCTAGAGTCACTTGGATTTGTTCTGATGTACTTCTTAAGAGGAAGGTGTGTGTGTGCAAGGGCTTGGTTGTTCATTTAATAGCGTTTAATTCTTGTGATATTTCTGGTTAATTCTCCAAAATATGTAGTCTTCCATGGCAGGGACTCAAAGCTGGAAACAAAAAACAGAAGTACGAGAAAATCAGTGAGAAAAAAGTTTCGACCTCTATAGAAGTAATTTCAGAATTTGCCGTGCTTCTGGATTGCATTGTGTTTCTAGTTGTTTCGTTACTGATTCTAAAGTTCAATCTTTTATAGGCTTTATGTCGTGGCTATCCAACTGAGTTTGCTTCTTATTTCCACTATTGTCGTTCCCTTAGATTCGAGGACAAGCCAGATTATGCTTATTTGAAGAGACTTTTTCGCGATCTTTTTATTCATGAAGGTTTTTTTAAGTTCTACTTCAGGTTTACTTCAATTCCTGTTCATTTCACCGTCATCTTATTGTTGAGCCTACCTTGGCAGGTTTCCAATTCGACTACGTATTTGACTGGACACTTTTGAAACAGCAGCAACAGCAGCTCGCGAATCCTCCATCCCAAGCTTTGGTAAGTAACTTTACTATAAAAGCTTATCTTCCTTAGCCCCAAGATGCAACATCATGAACTTTGGGACAGGACACTGCTGGTTCGAGCGGCGCTGATGCTGGAAATGTATTGAATTCTGAAAATTTGTCCAGACAGAAGGGTCCAACAGCAAACGATACTGCCATATCCAAAGAAGTAAGATTTACCTACCCCTGTCCATATATCTCCAATCTCCAAACAAACTCATTATTCATGCTATTTTCTGCAGCTACCAACATCTCATGTTTTCGAGCAAATGGAATCACTAAGGGATCTAGAATACGATAATGAGCCTTCTACACACACAGAAGATGTTCTCCCCAAATATTCCATTGTTGCACGAAGAAGTTCACCAGCACGCCCTGCACCCACACCATTGAACAACCAATCATCTAAACCCTCCAACGGAAATAATCTTGAGATTCCAATCAAGGGTGTTGAGCGTCGGAACTTTCGAAAGGATGAGAAGGTGCATTGTAGCATGACTGGTAGCACTTACCATTTCTTGTTTGTTCCCTCTGTACATATCAGAATGCTTTCGATCTAGCACTAATAAGAAGATATCTGTTGCTATATCCAGCAAATACATCATCCACGGCCGCAGTTTGGCGTTGGTACGTTGATCAGATTGTTTAAGAAGTGCATAGTATTCAAGATTCCATCAATCCATTCAAGACAGCACAAGTGAGGTTCACTCTGCTCCACCCCCTTGGTAAATCTCGACTTAAGTTGACATCCCGCATACTTTTCTTTTGCGCAGTACATACTCGATTCTTTTGCTATGCCAATATAATGCTCGAAAATTGCATAAAGATAAATGGTTATTTGAAGTACATAAGCATAGGTTGCCCTCATCGCGCCTTTTAAATACAGATGTACATAATAGAGTATTCCCAAATTCTTCTTGCTGCCTGATTTAATTTCGAACGCTTCTTGCTAAAAAACTACTAACACGCTCGAGTAACCGGATCATAGCTGTTGAAATCTCGAAAAATAACCTCCTGCTGACCAATTAACATTTCTTGCTCTTAACCCTCTAAAGTTTGTGTTAATTCTTGATCACTTTGATGCCATTCTTGATTACTAACATGCTAGTTTAGTGCAGTTCATGTTTTAGAAGCTTTATTTACATTCAATACCTATTTTCTTGGTTCTGTTCTAGAAACAAAATTGAAAAATCAATGAACATCCCAAGCTTCTTAACATCAAAGGCATTAGGGCACAATCTTCCCCTAAATGCCAACAATCTTATTGAAAAATAGAACAGGCAAAACACCAAATTACAATAAATAAAAAAAGTAAAAACAAAAATCACCAGAATCCATGAACAACAACATCTTTAATCCATCTGAAGCTCTTTCTAAAAGAGTTCTTGAGTCTGCCCTCCACCCCATATGCCTTGTACCCTGCAACTCTCTTCTTCCTCTGCAACTCAGGGTCGATTGTGAAACCCTTAGATGACTTACTCCCTTTCTTCCCTTTCACCATTTCCTTGAAATTGTTGTTGTTATAACTGTTCTGATTCTGGGATGTTGATGGGTTGTAATCTGATGTGCTGTAGCTTCGAAGATCATACATACTTATGGGTTGTTGATTTCTTGCATAATCTTCTCTGCTCGATCTGGATCTTGAATAGTTATCCATCTTTTAAAGATTAGATTAGATTCGATTTTGATTTTGAAGTTTAGATTTTCGGACAAGAAAGATCCCTTTCTGAGATCAGTTCTTGGCCTTGGGGGGGGGGGGGAATTTCGGCCACTCTGTTCTTGCAGCTTCTCTTTTGTTTGTTTGTTTTTGTTTTAGGGCTGATGGGGGCCGGTTCTTGGGGGGTCCCGGACCCCCCCGGGAACAGACTCATCCACACCGTACATCGGGTGGATCTAATATTCTAACATAATTGAGTCCAACCAGAATTTCCGTAGAGTGGAATATCTTAAAAGCTCCCCCATGTGATGATGTTAATCATGTTGTCATAACTGTATTATTATTATTATTATTATTATTATTATTATTATTATTATTATTATTATTATTATTATTATTATTATTATTATTATTATTGTTATTATTATTATTATTACCTAAAACTCAACCTAATTACCTAAACATGAGGAAATTCTGAAACCATTATAGGTATGACTTATTCTTGACTTTTTTTGGTTACTAAGGATTTCTTGCTCTTATAATTAATTATTTATATAAATATACAATTTATTACTACATTTAATTACTATCTAAACACAAATCATAAACATAAAAACAAATACAAATGGAGTACATTGTTTAGTTTTTGTTATTGTGCTCTTTTTTATATTTTAAAATGAAATAAGTGTTGAATTAATTTTTTTTAAATGAATACAAAATATATATGTATATATATATAAAGGAAAAAACCCAGAATAAACAAATTTTGTATATACTGTTTTATTTATTTTCAAAAAATGGTAGCTATAAACCATTGCTTTAAAGTTTGAGAATAATAAAAATTAAAATAAAAATAATATATGATATAATATAAAAATAATTTTACAATATATTAAATAAAACTAAACATTTAATACAATAATTTTGGAAAAATATTTTTGATAAATTATGTGTAACCGAAAACTAAATAAAGTAATAGACCCAACAGTTTTATAATTTAGTATTTTTAAATGTGACAATAATCTATAAATATTATTAAAAAAATTATAATATACAAACATATTAATATAATAAATAATTTTATATTATTATATAATTTTTCATATTTAAAAAAAAAAACATATATATTAAAAAATACTCCTTCCGTTCCCAAACAAGGTGCAACATGCTTTTGGCACGGGTTTTTTAGGTGGGTAGTATTAAATAGAATAATTTAGAAATTAGGTGATGCGATGGAAAGAGAAATATATATTTTATTTTTTTTATTTGGATGATTTGAGAAGATAAAGTGTGAGGTAGAGATTAACTATAATTAATTATTTTCTATTTTGAAAATATGTTTGAGACATATATAAAATGAAATATTCCAGAATGTTTGAGACGGAGAAAAAAATAAACAAACTGTGTCACCATCTTATCAATTTGTCTAACTAGAATCATATAAAATGCATATATTTTTCGTGGGATAGTAAACTATGGGAACTCATGTTATAAAATTCAACCATATCTGTCTCTCTCTCCTCATCATTGACCAAATCTACCTTTTATTTCACTACATATAATTCTTTTCTTTTCTTTTCTTTTATGATTATATTGAATACATTACTGAACTAATTTTGTCTTAAGTCATCACATATAAAATACACAAGCAATATATAATATGTTAAATAAGCTGAATGTGTTGCTAAAATAATAATAGCATATGTTAATTAGGACTATGCATGATGATGATTCGGGACAGGACTTTCTTACGCACATGTAAAGTGAACTCCTAAGTGTTTTTAGTAATAAAAATTAAATAATATTTTATACTCCTTTCGCCTCACCTAGTGTATCCGTTGACACAAAAATTTAAGATAAATATAATTAATAAATAATTACAAATATATTAATAAAAATAATAAATTAAAATTAAGATAATTAATTAATTTAATTAAAATTTAAAATATATAAAAATTAAAAATAAAATTAAAATATATAATTATTTTTAAAAAATAAAATAAAATGAGATATGACGTGTGTGACACAATTTTCTATGAATATTACTAAAATATACAATATATAAATATATTAATACAAACATATATATTTTATATATTCACAAAAAATTAATAATTTAATACAAAATATTACCCCATTCACCTCAACTACTTATACCACTATAGCTCCGTTATAGAGATTGGACTTGTGTGACCGTGATGTCATAGGTTCAGACCCTAATAAACTTGTAAACGAATAAAATTATCCCAAATTTAGGAGACAACGAATGATATAATTATCCCAAATCAAAAGAATGTTTTTTTTATATTATTTATAAGATTTCACGAATTTAACATAAAAACCATCCAATACAAAGTAAACATTCACTAAATTGTTGACCTTTTGTAGCTTTTTATGTGCAGATAGAATATAAATAGTATATATATCATGTAAAAATACGTATATTATATATATATATATTTAATAATATTTATAAAAAATTGTATAAATAAATAAAAATAAAAATAAAAAATAAAAAATTGATTAACTATTGGCAATACAAAATTCCTACTATAGACAAAAAATCTGCAATATCTCGCATACAGGAAATCAAATCATTTCCACATACATACACCCTTCCAAATTAACCCTCTGTTTATATACATATTTCCATTTTTAAGTCTGAGCATATTATTTACTAAGAGCAATTTTTTCAGAAAACATCAAATAAAATAACCTATTTTCTCTCAACATCGACTTATTATTATTTTCAAAATTCTCTTAAACTTGAAAACTTCCAAAAAAAAGCCTAAATTTCATTCAAAACATCACATCCAACTTCTATTTACCATTCGAATTCAGCGTCACATAAACACCGGAATGAAAAAGACCATCAACAAGCCAACCATGGGAGTAACACCACAAGGTATGTATACTTTAGATACTTAAATTACATACACATATCATATCACTATACTTTTTCCGAAATGAAATCACTAAATTCATAACCACATTACCTTTCTCCGTATCCAAAATCCCTAATTCAAGTGACGGAAAAACTTCTATCATAACTCGTCCTCAATACTATAATCTATCTCAACACTCCGAAAGATTATGGCAACTTTTTACGCAATGAAATCACTAAATTCATAACTATAATAACTTTTCTCCGTATCCAACATCTCTAATCACATCCCTTTGTTGAAACCAACCTATAAAATTCAAGTGACATAAAAACTTCTATCATAACTCGTCCTCAAAACTATAATCTATCTAAACACCCCGAAAGACTATGGCAACTTTTTACGCAATGAAATCACTAAATTCATAACTATACTAACTTTTCGCCGTATCCAACATCCCTAACCACATCCAATTGCTCAAACCATTCTACTCAATTCAAGTGACGTAAAAACTTCTACCATAACTCGTCCTCAAAACTATAATTCATCTCAACAATCCGAAAGACTATGGCAACTATTAAATGTATGATGCTAGATTACCCCTCAACAAGAAACTATGAAATTTTAGCATATCATCAAACCTATAACCGGCTATGCAAAAAGACAACAGCCAACAATCGAACTATAACAAATGCAAGAGCAAATTCATATCTTCAAATATCGAAAACAACAACAACTATATCAATAGGATGATATCATATCATGAAATTAAAAACAATGCCCCACATCAATGTTCCTCATGGATTTATTCAAGAAATCATGCCCTGTTTTCAGATAACATGACAAATTACACCACCAAGACGATTGCGGGCGTGTCGAATTGTCGATATTATATACGAACAATAATGAATGATCCTTGCATTATCTGTAGGCTACTAACTCAATTCTCATCATCTAATCAGTTTATCAAAAAATTTGCAGTTCCAAAGACCACATGGATTGTTAATTCATCAATTAATAAGATCACCAAAGCAACAGAAAGAAGAAGAATGATTATGGAAATTCGGAGAAGAAAACTTCCCTAAATCGGCACATAGCGCTTCAAAGCTTGTTTCCCGGTGACGACGACCCCCACAACCACTCCGCCGATCGCGCCGGCCACGGCGGCGGACCTCGGCCCCGCCGCCGCCTTGTATAGAGCTCCGGTCCCCAACCCCGCCACCACGCTGTTAATAACGTCGTCCGCGTCCCGCACCGCCACCATACCGCTCTCCAGGGCGGCGTACATCAGTCCGATGACGCCGCAGCGGTTACCAATCTGCCGTCCGGCGTGCCCCGACCCGTTCAGGATCCGATTGATTTTCAGTTTCAGAGTATCGGACGGCTCGATCGACTTCACGCCGGTGGCTAAACCCTTGGCGGCGCCGCCCGTCGCTCCAGCGAGATATCCGATCCCCGTGTAGTAGGTCAGATTCTCTCCCCAGGATCGGCGCTGTGCGACGGCTTCCTCCTGGAACAGGTACTCCGGCGAGGTCGGCAAATTGTACATCGTCCGCGTAGGGATGTTCAAATCCTGATATGGATTGTACAGACGGCGATTCTGGCTGTTTTCCTCATCGGCGATTCCTTGACTTGGCGCACGCGGCTGATACGCCATGGCAAAATTTCAAGCTCTAGGGTTTCACACAACAGATTATTCGTTCTGAGAAAGGAAAGTTTCAACTGGGAAGAAATATACAAACCGGTCTGAGTCAAAAGTCGGCGAACTTAACTGGCCCGGTCCGGTCCGGTCCGGTCCTGTCCTGAACGCCTCAAAGTAGGGCAAATGATATATATAAAATATTTTACTGCTTCGTAATTAAGTATCTGTTTGCTTTTTATATGGTAATTTTAGAAATATTAGTATTATATTGGGATATAATAGGAATAAAGTAGAAATGAGTAAAATAACCTTATTAGTATTGTGTTATATAAAAGCAGGGTCGTCTCGGACTTTTTTTAGATCCTGAGTGAAAGTAAATTATAGGCCTTACAAATACTGTATTTTTAATAATATTACTGATTGGCGTTGGACAAGATATTGAACGTGATCGCTTAGACAATGTCAATTGAGAAAAGAAAGATGAAAGACAGTCTGTTTGAAAGTTCGGAAAACAAGAACTGAAAGAGGGTTAAAGATATAAGAAAAAAGATGAGGCAAGTTTGATCGAGTTGCTGGACACAATGCAATAAGGTGTAAGATAAAGAAGGGTAGACGATTAGAAAGAAATAAAAAATATATATATGATTAAAAATTAAAATTTAATTTTAATATTAAATATGATAATTATAAAGGAAGAAAATATAAATTAAAAGTTAGAATTTAATTTTAAAATTTAATAATAATAATAATAATAATATATAATATTTCAAATATAGGCTTCTGTTAATTAGTGGCCACCTGCTCCTGCTATGTAATGTTATTTTTGTAATATATTGTAAATTGTAAATGTATTTGTAATATTAAGTAAATAGTATAGTTAATGAAAAAAAAATGAATACTTTATTATTTGTTATGTAACAGACTAAAATAAAAAAATGAATAATTTGTTATAAGACGGATGAATTATATTTTCTTTATTCTCTAAATAAAATTTAGGGTTCAGTCACCTTATCTTCTATATTAATCCATCACCATTTGTCATGCATATTTAAATTTTTTATTTTATTAATTTTTTATTTTAAAAGTAGACATGACGGATATTGATTGATCGATATAGGAGAAAAATTATACGTTTTGAGGTTAGGATAACACTGAACCCGTGGGATATGCTAATTGGATTAAATAAATACTCATTTTTTATATTTATTTATCTATTTATTTTTTTACAAAATTGAAAATATCATTATATTTGTATAATTTACTTTACAAATATTATTATATTTGTATTATAACATACTAATAGATATAAAATAAAAATAAAAAAAAATAAAAAAAAAAAGACTGAACTAAATGCATAGTTTGTTAAGAGTGACAAAGTATAATTTAACTAACTAAAAGGATCCACCGCCGTAAAGTATAAGATATTTTTTCAAATATAAATGACGTCATATTCCGCCATGGACAGAAATTTGAAAATTCAGAAGCGATTTATTAAAGTGATCAATGGAGCCTTCCCTGTCGAGATCGGACGCGTGGTGTTGCCGATGTCGGCATCACGGAAAATGCATGACCGTACTTACAAATAAGCCATTCAAAGTTCCAACTCGATTCTATCTTTTACCTTTGATGATTCCTTTTTCCTTTTCGGTGCAGAAGCATTGATTGCGGTTGCGTGATTGAATCTACACGTGTCCGGGGAAGATTTGCACCGCCGCGAAGCCATGGGTAAAAAGCCACCAGACGATGCGTTCTATAAGGTACATCACTTCAAAATCCTCCGTCTCTGTAATTCGATTCATTGCATCAAATTTTGTTGGGAAGCTGTTCTGCTGAAGATTGAAATCGTGATACATTTTGCCGGAATTTGTTGGCGCAAATTCGTCGATTTTATTGACGAAGAAGAAACCCTAACTTTCTGATTCCGATTGCCTTAGATCCACGAAATCCACACTCCATGTGGCAAAAACTTAGGGTTTCCATGTGAATATTGCCATGGTTTGGTTTCCTTTCCTCAGATCTTTCTACGCTATGGATAAGCCTTTGATTTTGTCGTTTTCCTCCATTCTCCATAGTATATAAAGGATTGTTGCCATGGATGAGGTTTGAAGAATCAATCGATTCTGCAAATCTCACATTCGAAATCTTCGAATCTCTGTTTGAAACTCTTCGTTCGAAATCTTAGAATTTCCAATTGTGGTAGCATCCATCCAGCATTTCGAATCTAATGGATGCATTTACTTACCCTGTTTCTGAGCAATCTTCATTTGAGCAGAACTCAGCTGCAGATTAACTGGCTGAGTTTCGAATAGTTTTGTTACCTTATCATCTGTAGATGGATTCAGTTACACTTATTTTAAGCAATCCAGTGTATGAACTTTCCGGAATTTCGAAAACCAGAACATTCGAATTCGTGTCGGAAACATCGACATCTTTGCTGTTAGACTCATCTCTGATGCTGGATGGTAATGCCAGTTGTGTTTTGACAGTATCCGTCGAAAGGAACGAAGAAACTCCAAGTCGAACGGTAGCAGAACCGTCAAAGGAGAAGATTCCGACCACCGGCGGCGGCGCTAAGAGCGTATTCGAAGTAGACTGTGTGCCGCTATGGGGTTCGGTTTCCCTCTGCGGACACAGGCCGGAAATGGAAGACACAGTCACGGCGGAGCCTAATTTCATGAAAATCCCTGTCAAGATGTTTGCCGGCGGCGATTCCTCCGTTGATGGAATAAGCCCGGATTTAAACAATTTGTCATCTCATTTCTTCGGGGTGTTCGACGGCCATGGCGGATCCGAGGTTGCGAGCTTCTGCCGCGACCGGATCCACAAGGTTTTGATCGAGGAGTTGAACAATTGTAGAGATGATAAGGCGGCGACAAATGTCGGCGCAAGGCAGGTGCAGTGGGAGAAGGTCTTCACGAGCTGTTTCTCGAGAGTCGACGACGAGATCGGGGGAAAGGTCAGCCCGGATTTAAGTAGTTTCCACCCGATCGCCGCTGAGACAGTCGGGTCGACGGCTGTGGTCGCGGTTGTTTCGTCGTCGCACATTATTGTGGCCAATTGCGGGGATTCGAGGGCTGTTCTTTATCGAGGGAAAGAAGCGATCCCGTTGTCGGTTGATCATAAAGTAAGCTGAACCCTAAACCCTGAACCTCGTTGTTGTTTCATTGTTTTTGCATGATTTTGCTTTGTTTGTATGTTGTACGTTAGCCAAATCGCGAAGATGAATATGCTAGGATCGAGGCGTGCGGAGGCAAGGTCATTCCGTGGAACGGGCACCGTGTCTTTGGCGTTCTCGCAATGTCGAGGTCTATCGGTAGGCCTATTCTATTTGTCCGCATTTGATATGATATTTTAAATGAAAATATATTTAATATGATGTTTTGTACCGATTAAAAAGTTTATATTGAGGGAGAGATTAAGGTTCCGACTAGGTTAATCCTCAGTAATAGCAAATGGTAATGTTATTACCAGCACATGATTGCAACTATAAACCGTATGAGTTGTATAGGCTGATTTGATCGGGTTAGTATATGTCATATGAATAACCTGCATATGTTTATAATAAATATCTTATATTATAATATAAATATGTTCAAATATGTATAAATATATATTAGTGATCTTTATAACATATGTTAATCTGGTCAAATCATCACAACACTGACTTACCGGATCAACAATTAATCTATGTTCGATCATTATGTATTATATAAACTATTATCATGCAAAGTTCTATCAATATTAACATATAATTTTAACGTGTATTGTATATATTACTATCATCGTATACTCATTAGAACTACTCAAAACAATGTTGATTACCCCTCGTCAAACATATTAACCGCTATCATTTATAGTCTATAGTATGCAGAGTGCAAAAATAATAATAAAAAAGTCGTGATTGTTGTCAAGTCAGGCTATAGAACTTGAGTTCACACAAGTAGTCTAATTTAAAGCTGATTAGTGTTGGCTGTAAATCTTGTGCTGATCTGGCCATCGGATCAGCATATGCTATAGGGGTGAAGTGACCATCATATATTTATACATATCTCAGCATATTTTATATTATAAGATAGCATATGCTGAGTTATAATCTAATACATGATTGTATTATAAATATATGTTGATCATTCATATAGCGTATACTAATCCCATAAAATCAGCATTATGCTGACTTGACGGAATCAACATCTAATCTATGTCCATTTGTGTTATTTCATTTATCATACGTTTTATTCATCGCATGACACAACCTCGTATTTGTGCGCCTACGCCTACCATGTAGGCGATCGGTACATGAAGCCATCCATCATAGCCGAGCCGGAGGTAATGCTCGTGCCACGTGGCAAAGAAGACGAGTGCCTCGTCTTGGGCAGCGACGGATTGTGGGATGTCATGAGCAACGAGGAAGTGTGCCAAGCGGCAAGAAGGCGAATACTTGCATGGCACAAACGGAACGACGGGAAGCCTTTACCTAATCGAGGCCAAGGCGCCGACCCGGCAGCGCAAGCCGCCGCCGAGTATCTTTGTAGTCTTGCCCTTCGAAAGGGGAGCAAAGATAACATTTCTGTCATCGTAGTTGATTTGAAAATTCACCGAAAATTTAAGAATAAATCTCCTTGTAAATTTAGTTGTTAGTGTTCATAGTTTGTGTAACGTCGTCAATATTATTTCGACGAGCGAAAGCATGTATGTTTTTATATATCGGATCCTCTGTTCCATTAACACATCCTATCCTCACAGACACAATGTATATATACGTACTCGTGTGTATGTATTAGTGTATATATAATACAGAGTTTATTTTTAGGACTGAAAATCAATAGGTTTTTTTAATGACAGAATTTGTTGGTTTTTTTTTTTTGTTTAATTTTTTTTTATAAAAGAATACCACATTTTTTATTATTTTTTATCCTAAAAAATAAAATTTTTATCTTTATCTATTTTATTTAAAATTCGTACCCGATAAAGGAGTACATATCGTGTACATAATTAGATGAGAATAGTAGTTTTTTTTTATTTTTTTTATAGAATATTATATTTAAATTATTATTTTAAACACAAATATCAAACTTCGACGGCGGTTGTTATGGTAAAAGACAATCAATAAAAATAAAGGATATAATGGTAATTTCAAACATCAAAATTTTATATAGTTATATTAGTATATATATATATTTCATGGGGTTGATTTGAAAATAATCCTTTCTTGAAGTGGCATTTGTTTGAAAAGATAAACGTATATAAAACTCTCCTGGACGGGACTAGTAACAATGGCAAAAGCCTAAAAGTGATCGCGCTGACTTCAGACTTCCGCGTAAGAATTTCCTAAGACTTTCTGCGTCGATGAACTGCTTCATCATTGATCCGATGGTAATTGAAAGCATTATTTGTTTTTTTTCCTTTTGAATTCTTTCGTAGCAAAGAAGGAAGTTGAAGATATTTTGACTCATAATTTGCCGCTGGGATATTTATAAGGTATGAAGTTGGAATACCAGTCAATCAGTGTTTTTGTTCTTTTACAAAATGATAAATTATTGAGTTCTGTTTCGTTCCTTCTCTTGGATTATGCTCGACTGGAATTTCGCACATGCGTTGATGCTGTGGAGGCATTTACGATCTCTGTATGTTGAATAATCACGCTTGTTGATTTTGCGTTTAGGTATAAATCCTGAATTGTGCTATTATTCCTGAACGTTTTGATCGAATTGAAGTTTTTCTCCTGATCGTGAGGTTATTTATTGAGGTTTTGTGATTTATTGATATTCGATTCAACATACAAATAAAAATAAAAATTGTTGAGTCTGATATTTAAGCAGAGAGGATACTTGTTTGCTGTCAGAATTTGAGCTGTTTCTTGACTAAGGATCGTGTTTGAATTATGTAGATTAGGTTTTCTTTATGTAAATTAGGGGTTTGTTCTTAAACTGCATTTGTGCAACAGTGTAAGTAGAAGTTGCTTGAATTTAATTTCATATTATACATATTAGATGCTTAAATCAAATCCGGGTAAACTAGGTGTGCTTGTTCATGTTTTCTAGTGTTTTTAGATGTTTTGTAATGTTTTACTTCGAATTTGTTTTAGTAGAAACTAGAAAGTAGGGTTTGAACATGAGGTTTTAAATGGAAAATAAATGTTGAATGTGATGTTTTGAATCGAAATTCGATAGTGGATTGGATGTGATGTTTTAATCGAAAACCAATATGTTTTGAATTATAACTATATTCCTAAGCTTGTTGATTTCATATATATATACAGGACAATAGGAGGAAGTTTGAGGTTTCTCCCATACATACAGATTCATCTTACCAGGAAGAATGGCTCAGAGTACGTCGTGTTTCATAACAATTCCCCTTTGAACTATTGAGGATACGACAATTTTAAGATCATGATGGTTATATATCGTTAATTTGGGCTTCCGACATTCATTTTTGCATACACTGACCAAAACATAATACTGTGATTGTTAATCATTCTTCATTTGGTTACGGTTGCTCTGTTTATAATATACCGATAGCTTGTTCAAACATTGACTGAATTCATCTTCAATTTTCAGGAAATTTTAGTGAAGATAATGATGATGAGAATGAGAACGACGAATATGTGTTTTTGGGAGGTTTGGAGGATGGCCGGCCCGGAATTTTCGACAGGCCTCTTCCTTGTTTTGGCTGTGGATTAGGATGGTTCTGGTAAGTTTGAATTTTGATATGTTCTGCAGCACTTTTGTAATTATAACACTGCGTATCTTTTTTCTTACAGTTTCCTACTCGGGTTTCTGTTTCCTTTGATGTGGTACTTCGCCACCATTTTTTACTTCGGAAATTACTATCGCAAAGACCCCAGAGAACGAGCAGGGCTTGCTGCCAATGCCATAGCCGTAAGTCCTTCAATTTCTGCTGCCTTAAAAAATGCAGAGACATTCGTCGATTCAGTAACTTCGATCATATTAATTTAAGCTCAAGGAATGCTACAAAGTATGAAATTTAATCCTCATATCGCCTTGTTTGTCCGAATTAGTAAAATTTAAACAGCAAAGTTGCTCAGTAGTTGACATAAGAGTCGAAGTTCCCTTGTCCCTCTTGTAACCTCATTTTATTTTTCATTTCAGGCTTTGGTTTGTTCGGCGGTGGTGTTGATTGTCGTTGCAGTCATCATTTTCTAGAGTCCGACGCCAGAGCTCTGCTGGTTCGACCACAGGTGTGTGCAGATGAAGTGTTACATATCACACAGGTAATGAAAAATTTCCCGATTCCTATTTACATGAAGATGCAAAGATGTGTATATGAATTGATAAAATTTGCAAGATTGGAGGGTCTGTTTTGAAAAACGTAGTTGCGAAAACCATCGGTCTTCTGAAGGTTATACCAAAAATTGAAAAGCGATCCGACATGAGAAATTCGGAGATGGTTAGTTAGCTAACTAGGACGAATAATCCATAAAACATCTCTAAAAGACTCAAGAAAAATTTGTCCCCCAAGTGGTGTGGAGAGTGAACTTGGTCACAAGTTCAAACTCCGATACCTTCAGATCCACCTGTCACACATAGTTTGCCTAGTGTGATACACTTTCGGATAACAATTGCGGATTTTTACATAATACAAAAAAAAAAAAAAAAAAAAAAAAAGATTCAAGAAAAATTCACATTCTTAAGCTTTCACTAGAAGGACAAATAGCTCGAACAAGAACTTACTAATACTCATCTAAATGTGAAACAAGATTTGTTGAATGTTAAATGAAGGATACGCTTAATTAATTATATTAAACATAAGAAGGATAAACGTAATTAAATATATTTTTAATGTACGAGAGTACCCAACATTGCACATATCTTGTATTACAAAACACAAATATCAGTAAAAATATCACATCAAAACACAACAATATCTAACATTCGATATTTATGGGGAATATATATCCATAATTATTTTTAGTAAATCAAGCTCATGGACAACAGCTATTTCCAGAATTCAATTGACATTCTACTTTCACGACTTCAATTTTTTTAAAAAACAATTCACATCAAATATCTACTTTCTTTTATAAAATATAACATCAAATTCATATAGTTCTTACTATACCAATATAAGTGGATGGGGTGGGGTGGGGTGGGGTGGGTTGAGCACAGATGTATTTACAAACTAACATTCAAATCAGTATTGTATCACAACACATGCTCCACATCACAAAGAGTCGAACCAACAATGGACAGAACACAGAACGACCAAAAACAATTAGGAAGAAAAAAAAAAAAAAAACAAAAAAAAGGAAAAAAAAGACCAAGTAACACATTAGTCAATAACTCCAAAGAGGACATCAAACGAGGATACATAGTACACGACACCAACACATACATTTCACGATACGATACGACACATTTGCACTCCGACCAAGATATAAACCTAAAAAGAGAACCAACCTTCCAATAAGAAAGAGAGAACAGCCGCCGGAGATGCCTGCGCGCGATAATTCTGTGGGTGTTTTCGCCCTAAAAAATCGTTGCCCAGCTGAAATTTGATGTTGTCAGAATCTTTTATTCCCCACAAACAAAAGCAACCGTTATCACGCCTAAAACTTTACCCTTCCGGATCACACAGTTAGAATTCCCTGCCGTTGTATGGCATTTCCTGCACCACCATTGTGTCGCACCATGATGTTAAAGATATAGATAGATATCAAGAAAAAAAAAAAAAAAAAAAAAAAAAAAAGACTCTAGATTTATTCACTTATGTTTTCATCCCCAATTTCACACTATTATTAATCGACACTAATATATTCAATCAATCAATATAATACTATATTCATTAAAACTCTTGTCATATTTCTTCATATTCAAACTATCACTTGCATCTAATATCTACTTTTCATTCGAAAAAAAAAATTTAAAATCCAAAACATAAGTAAACTGTGAAGAGGCAGAACTTACAGTTGGGTATGGCATGTATAGGACAGGTCGAGGCTGCCCGTACACCATCTGCTGTCCGTACTGCATGAAAATCCCGTTAGGCTTCCACGCTACTACACTCATTAGCCGAATATTATTTAATTTTATACCAAGAGACAAACCTGAGTTGTATTTGGATGATAATACGGCTGCGGCATTTGTCCACCCTGTGGATTGAACATCATCGGCGGCTGACCAGCAAAAGAAGGTCCCATCTGCAGATCCAGAATTTGATCATCAAAATTCAAAAATTCGTTCAGCATAAATGCGTAGAACAATAATTTCAAGAAAGCACGGGGTCGAGGATTTCAACTCACCCCAATACCAATGGGCAGGCCGTGCATCTGCGATGGAGATGTAACATTGGTTGGGTAGTAGTAGGAGCTTTCAGGAACGGGGGAGGACGGCCTCAGAGTGGTCTGGGACGGGACAAAACTCTTTGCATTCGGGTTTAATTTGAACTCCTGCAGAACAATCATATCAAGTGGAGAAAGAAAAGGATTAGCTCGGCATGTAATGGAGATGCTGTACAGTACAACAGGTAAAAGAAACTAGATGGTTCAAAGTTACGGGAGGATAAGGGGTTACAAAAGCCATGGCAAAAGATTTCACTTTTGATTATCGTAACCTTAGCATGGGGATTCAGTGTTGACTTTTCTGACGACAGGGAGCCGACAGATGAATTTGACGACAATCCGCGGCCAGCAGAAGTTGAAGCAGCACCTCCACGGTCAGAAGTAGATGAAGCAGAACTACTGGGACGAGCAACAGAACTTGGCGCTCCTTGAGTTTTGGGGGGTGCTGCCGCCTCTGCTGGCTCATTAGTGGTGCTCACTGTTTCCTGGTTTTTTGTGGTTGCAAGTGATAACGGTTCGAATGCTGCAGCAGATGGAGACATAGAGATGTTACCAGAAATTTTGTTTTGATTTTCATAATTAACAAGTTCAAAGTAAATCCAACCTACACAATGAAGAACAGAGGGGGAAAAAACAGTTTTCACAAAAGCGGCGACAAAAAAGGCATCATATTGAACAAACGGCAGAAACTTTAATAAATTCATTCACTTGGATTTGACTCCAACTTACTGAAATACTCCTCTACATAGCCCAGCTGAGCAAAAGCAATAGTTTAACAGGTCAAGAAATTAGTTTCATTCTAATGCTTACACATAATCGAGCTAAAATTGTGCTGCCACACAATAAGAAATAGTAGCTCTAGACAAGATTTATTTATTTAATTTGGAATGTGAGCAAAGCCTAATTAGAATTGCTCGGAATAACATATTTATAGGAACGTGAATAGCAAGACCGGAAGTTAGCATATCACTTTTCGTAAATGGTCATCAAACCACACTGATCAATCCCTCCCCACCCTCACATGAACCTATGGATATGTATGGTACTGAATTATGTGACAATAATAATAATAATATTTTAGATATTTTTTATTCTCAGATTTATCATAAAAAAACCATCAGATGTTCTATTATATAACATAGTGATCAATGTAAAGTGAATAAAATGTCTTCTTAATTTATAGCATATGAACGATTTGAATTTCCAATCTCATACGGTCGTACCTTTTCCTTTCCGCAGTCCTTTCAATACTCTCATATACAGCAAGAATACCCTAAGGGCCCTTTTGGTTGGATGGATTGGAATTTAAGGTTGGATTTTAATTACTTTGAATATGACATGTGTCATAATTAAAATCAATAGTTTGGTTGTAGGATGTATTTAAAATGACACTGTATTAAAGAATGGAATGGATTTGAAATCAACGGCTAACTTTGAAGACTTGAAATTTACCACATGCCAAATAAAACTAATGAATTTGGTAGTCACTTGAAATGACACTGTATTAAAGAATTAGTTCAAACATTCAATGGAATGGATTTGAAATCCACAGCTAACTTTTAAGATTTGAGATTCATCACATTGACAAATGGAACTAATGAATTGGTAGAATCATATGAAATACCTCTAACTCAAATCCCTCCAACCAAACTGGACTATCTTATAAAACTACTTAAGAACCATGGAAATTGAACCCATACTCATCGAACAGCCTAACTTTAGAAGTAGAAAAGAACACTAGCACAACATCCAAAAAAATCATTTTGGTAAAACAGGCAATTAATATCAGTAAGGATTCAAGTCTAAACAACACCCAGAAGACTTACACCCCACTCAACTCACCTTCTGCTTTAGATGATCGATTCTGATCAAGTACCTGTACAAGAAAAGAAATGGATAAGAAACGACCATATTAATAGCGAATCACAACCAAACTCAAGGGCAGCAGTAACCAAGCACTAACCGGTTGCTGTTTATTATCCTCTTTAGGGCGACTAATTTTGGCATGTCCTGCAAATTGGTTTTCCTGAACCCTGAATGAAAATATTCCGAGAACCACTCAGTGGAATATCTCAGATAATGATGGACATAAATGCAAGCACCATTGCCTCCACATTGTCATAACAAGCATATTTGTCAACTTGTTGATTAAGCCCTGTCTTGACAAAAGTAGACAACAATAATAATACCTGCTTGCCCCAATCACAGAGGGCGGTTTAGGGAAATGCTCAGTTAACAGCTGCCGTGCATGATCCTCAGAACCAATGGTAACATCCCTGCTCACAGCAGTCAGAGAAGATTGAACTTCACCCTAGAAATAGATAAAGCGAGTGTTAATGAGAAACATAGTGTGCTTGTTTGGGTGTTGATCTTGTTATATGTAATCCACTGTAAATATATTTTTTTTTCCATAAAAAGTTCACATCAAACACTTATTTTCATCAAAAACACAACATTAATAATCTGTTTTACATTTCAAACATTACATCTAAAAAACCAACTAATATATCATACAATCAAATTAAATACCTACATGCAACTTCGATCTGCCTCCCTTTTACATGCACGTCTATATACACAAGTAACTCATCAAAAAAGTATAATTCTAGGACTAAAACCTTCCCATCAAAGAACAACAAGAAACAGCAAGGAGATCATATTCTCTCTCATAATTTGGTTACAAGCTGCAAACAACGTCTCTGAGAGTTATACAACAAAACTCAAAAAGAACAAATAATATAAATAGAATTGGATCTTTTTACTAATATCTATTCCCTTATTTTTACAATAATTTAAATGACATAACTAAGAAAGTTTTCATTGTGGATTTAAGACACCTGAACAGATTCCAAAGTAATCTATTAGTGTCTCTATTTCAAAGTTCAAACCAATAGAAAAGAAGGGAAGTGGGTGATGATAAACAAATGGAAGAAAAACATTTGAAAATTTCATCTTCAAGAAAGGGTCAAAGAAATGCCCCTAAGTATCTCAAGCATTGGATATTGGCCATTTGTTTCGAACTAAATCAATCTACAATTCCACAAGCCTAGATAGGGGTGTAAATCTGTTAGTTTTAAAAATCGTTTTCCTAATTAACTATGCCATGTGAACTGTCCCCTCCTATAAAATTCAAGCATAAGTGACTTCTAATGAGGAGAAATTAGCCCTAGTAAAAAAAGTTTTAACAGTCAAAAGAACTAGAGATGGCAAACAATAGTTATTGACAACTTGAGGCATTATCAAAGAATAGCTATTTTTTACAGAAGAAGAATTACCCTTGATGAAGATCTTGATGACGATTTTATACCATCACCAGCACTACCAGTATTCGCATCCATCAAAGGTTTAGCAACTATAGAATCAGAGACATCTCCAAATGTTTCATCATTTCGTGAATCCAATAATATATCCTCGACCTCATCATATCCACTGTCATCAGCTCCACGGTAGACTGATGAATACAGTGTTTCTTCATCAAGTTCAAGATTTCCAACAAGCTGAATTCCTCTCTCCTACAATAATAATAATAATATAAATACAAAAGTGAGACTTAGAGAAAAATAAATAAATAATTAAAATAAAATGAACAAACTCAAATCCATCTAACCTCTGCTAGATGAAGATCAAGGGTATCCTCACCCTCAATCTCTCTAGCAATCCGGGCAGCTTCCCTTTCCAGTTCTCTCGTTTGTGGACCTCTCTCAAGTTTTGTGGTGTAAAGTTCCTCATCGAAGGTGCTGGTCACTCCAAATAGAGTTGCATTTGCTTCAAACTGATCCCATTGTCTATCCAAAAGTACAAACGCAGCATTAGTCAAATGGAAACAAGAAGATGGATATCACTTCAAGGAACTTGTCCATGTCTAGTAAATATTATTCAACAATTGAATTAAGTAACAATAATTTATCCATAATACCAAAGGGAATGGTGTGGTTTTCTCAGAAACAGCAATTGAATGCAATACACTAAATCTGTATTGAAAGCTTTTTCAGTTATTTTAGACTTTAGAGTGATATTCCAACAGTACAATTATGCATGTCATAAAAAATTAGAGAGGAGATGCAACTCCCAAACCTATTCCAGGGCCCATCAAAGATATTCTCCAGCTCAGGGAAGCTAGGATCATTTTCATCAGGGACCCAACGCTCCAGCTCTCTGCCCACCTCCACATAGCGGGACTGGGATATAGAAGAATCTGTCATAAGTTCCAGCTGCTTTTCATGTTGAAGCTCATTTGTTAGAACATCCCTTGTTATAGGCACTCCCTATACCCAATTCAACAAAAAGACAGTTACTCTCTTAGGAAAAACCCTCCAATGACATACTAATCAATTAATCAATACATAAAAAGTGCTTCTTACAATCAATCAACAAATGAATTGCAACAAAAATATAACACATAGCAGAGTTTTCAATTTGTTGATTTAAAAACCCAACACAGCTGATTAAAACAAAGTTGCTAATTTAATGGAAGGAGATCATTTGAACCTTTGCGATCACTTGCACAAGATCCTTAGCTTGTATGATAAAAGTATGAGCAGAAGGCTTGCTAGGAGAATCCCATATACTATTCTGTCCTCCAGAACCATCTTTATTTAAATGAGCCATTTTCAGAACAATTTCTACACCAATAAAGACCATTATCAGTTAAAAATTGCATTCAAACTCCATACTCATGATTCAGATGATGCCCCCACAGAAGGTTTTAAACGTACCAAAATCGTCAGCATTTGCTGAATGAAAAATTCCAGTATATATTGATCCATCCAACACCTGGACATCCACTTGATGCCCAATGAGACATGTGGTTAAATATATTAGTCGATCACGAGGCGCCTCAAATGCCCCTCCTTTACCTAAAGTATCATCAGTTAGAACAGAGGAGAACATTGGATTCATAAGCAGTACAGAATCATAGGTCCATACCAAATACAGCTCTCTTGGAATTTGTTTTATCTGCCTGAAACTTACTGTCAGATCTAACCACAGCATCTTTTTCAACTTTGCGACGGCCATAACCATTAGAAGAAGATCTAGGCTGCACAAGTTGCTGCATATTCATCTCGGAAAGATGAGCTCAACAGAATACGCAGGAGCTGGTTCAGATAGTGCCAGGAAAGCAACAAACTGCATAAAGGGGAAACCATTAACCAGGCACAATAATACTCACTTACGATCTTCCAACCATATATTTCACAAAATTATAGCCCTAGCTACTACAGCCACAACCTCAGGTGTCCAAAGAACAATTACTACCCATTACTTTCCATCTTCCATGTTAACTTGTGGAAAACAATATTTAGTAATGGCACATGTTTTGATAATCCGGGGAAAATGAAATCCACAGACAACAATTAACAACAATCAGCTTAACCAGAGATAGGGGAGCTTGGAAACATGTCCACAAACTCAAGCAACTACAGTCCATCAATGGAATAATGGAACTCATGGAACCATACTAGTGAAAATAAGAATTACATAATCTCTAAAGGTTCATCTAATTAAGAAGAAATTTGCATGAAAGTTCCTTGTATAGCTTGAAAGAAACTCAGAAATATACACATTTTGAATAGTTCATGATTGGGCACAGCTACTCAGATTTGAATTTTAGATAATGGGGAGACTCCTACATCTACTTGCTTTTATCTGTAGATTGTCTCAAGATACATGTCACTCATTTTTTTGCAAGTATAGCAGCAATTATGAAATGAAGGAGTTGGAATTAGCAAGATCCTTCATAAGGAGAATTGTAGAGATTGTCAAGCAAGTGAGCATTGTTTAAGGACAGTACAGTGTTGCATTACAGTGCTTGAATGCCCTCCGGGGCAGTTTGAGTGCCTTGAAGGGGCATTTGCAACAACATGAAGAACTAGGGGGTTTCAAGGTGGTATGATCCTTGAGATAGTTTTAAATGTGGAAACTGGAGAGTGTTGAGTTTGGTGGATTAAAATTCACTTTGTAAATTTACACAAATGCATGAGCATCAGGAAGATTAAATATTATGCTTTGATTCTAAAGGGGCAAGGCAAATTATTTCAGCCTACACTGTATTGGAGACCTAGCGTTAACAATTATCAACCAACAACCCGATGCGCATACACTTCTTCACTCCTCAATGCATAACACATAATATAAATAGAAGAAATGTAGACAGCAGAATAACCTGAAGCATATCTATTCAATTCAAATAACATTTCAATAACATCAAAGAACAATATTGTGGAAATGAGTGCTAACAAAACACCTCGCAACCTAATATGTTACAAGTCAGATCATACGCCAGCCTAATTCTTCTTGACACTACAAGTCTACAACCTCTAGATTTGTATCAAAGGGCTGCAATCTTTCCCAATATTTTCAAATTACTAGAGCTCATACAACCATATCATTAACCTGATGCATATACTCAAAATCCATAGATATCAAATATTGTCAATATAACGGACCACTGGACACCACTGCTTGCAACAAACAACCAACGCAAACATATTTATGTGCTCTGAAATCTGAATGCATACAGGTAAATAAAGCACTGAAGGACACATTCTTAGAGATGACACATTAAAGCAACACCACTATTCAGACAAAAATCTCTCCCCCCTATGTGAAGAATAATAAGCCGCAATCTATAAAATCCTATAGACATTCTAAATCCTATATGCAAAAACCTTTTATTTAATTAGTTGCAGAATCCTCTGTAGAAAGCATCATCCGCATTCAAAAATAATGAATATCTAATGAACTTAAGGAAGAGCCACAACAACTGGAAAGCACATAAATACACAAAGCACTCTCCATATTTGATTTACCCTTACAAAAATGTACCAAACGATAAATGCAGCCTCCCTAAGGATAATAACTTAGCTACTTCAGCATAGTCACAAAAAGTCCCAAGAAGCAATCAAGAACTACCAAATCAAAGAAGTATATCCATAAACCGATAAGCAACCACAGTTCCCAAGGAAATCTCAATCCAAAAACCAGAAAAATAATCAAGCAACTGAGAACGAAAGCAGAATACTTGAGTGCAGAGCGCACGCATCCAAAAATACAGACGAATCATTCAACGCAACATAAACAAATTCACATTTCATTCATTTCGGAAATCATTATAAATCGAGCAGCATAAAAAATAAAAAAAATAAAAAATAAATACAAGCAACAAACGATTGAAACTCTTCAACAAGCGAAACCCTAGAACCAAAAAATAATAATAATAAATCCATTCCCAAAACACGATGATCGATGAAATGAAGAAATAAACGAAACCTAGAGAGCGCATGCAAGATTGAGGAGAGATGCTTACAGAGGAAATGAGGAGCGCGAAAGGGGCGGCGATCGGGGAGGAGAGGGAGGGAGGGCAGATCAGGGAAGAAAACGATGTCGTTCTGGGCAGGGAAGGGGGTGACCGTGTCGCAAAATACGGGCCCGAATCAGAAAAACGGAAACGAGTTCGGTCTACCAAAGAGAATAAAAATGCTGTTCCATACGGGTTGGATAACCCGACCCGGTTTAGATCTCCCCACTTTGGCTCTTTGTATCACTTATTTTATTTTTTTGTTTGATTATGTAAAGATTGAAATTTTTTAATTTAAATAATTGTTTAATATAATACTAATATATATATATATTAATTTAGTATTTTAAATATAAAATTAATTTTTAATATAATATACAAATAAAAAATATTTAATATTTTTAAAATTAAATAAAATATATATAATAAATCATCCGTAAAAAATAAATATTATTTAGGAAAAAAAAACAATTTTGGTCTCACTATAATCAAAATTTATCAATTTTGGTCTCAATATAAAAAGTTCATCGATTTTGGTTCCAATATAACCAAAATTTATCATTTTTTGTCTCAATATAAAAAAAACTCATCAATTTTAGTCCCATTATAAACAATTTTAATCAATTTTGGTCCCACCGTTAAAAAACTAACGGAAATTACCACGTCACCTTCGTCATGTCCACGTCAGCAATTTCCGTTAGTTTTTTAACGGTGGGACCAAAATTGATTAAAATTGTTTATAATGAGACCAAAATTGATTGAAATTATTTATATTGAGACTAAAATTAATGAGTTTTTTATATTGAGACAAAAAATGATAAATTTTAGTTATATTGAAACCAAAATTGATGAGTTTTTTTTATATTATGACCAAAAGTGATAAATTTTTATTATTTTGGGACCAAAATTGATTTTTTTTTCTTTATTATTTATCTTAATAAATTACCGCAAAACAAAAATTCTCCATATAAAAAATATTGGGTGTGTATATTTAAAATAGTATAAACATTAAAATATTAATAAAAGAATATAGTATAACATTAATATTATTAAATTAATATATTTATTGTTCGTAAATATTTTAAAGGACGAAATATGCTATTACTATAATATTCACAATGTCGTCACATTATTCATTGTATATTTTTATTTTTAATTAGTTCCAACTTCATTGTACACTAAGAAACTAATTTAACAAAAGACAACAACAAAGAGTTTATTTCTTTTTTACTATTTTTTATATTTATATATATATATCTCATCATATCATATATTATTTTAATGTCAAACTCAAACAAAAAAATTTTAAACTAAACAAGAAACATAATGAATTTAGCAAAATACAATAATAAATAATAAACACAAATCTAGTTAAATTGTCCAAATTAACATACAACCCTCACCCAGGGCTCATTTGTGTAAGAGGCCCATGTCCCTAAGAATTATGATTATATATACAATATTATATTTGTAATTATTTATACAATAAAATTTTGTCTTTGAAGAAAACAAAATTGTGCAATAATATTTTTTAGTTGTTTTTATATAAATTGTTTTGATATTAGTATTTAATAGTAGTTGTACTTACAACAACTTTTTAATAAATAATTATAATAATAAGATCTCGATTAATTTTTATGCACATTGTCGAAAAAGAACTATAAACCATTATTCATGTTATGTCAATTGCAGATTTTGGAAGTCAGAGTCTTTTAATTGCTCTACTTGTATAACTAAAAATATATCATTTTTGTTTGTTGGGCCTAATTTGCAGAGTATTAGATTTGATCGGGAGTTTACCCAGTATGCACTTTTGGATAGCGACTGCGGGTTCCCAAGTAATAAAAATAAAAAATAAAAACAAAAACATATCATTTAGAAAAAATAAAAAATAAAAGTTTGCAAAGAGTTGAGGGCCTCGTGGCTATTTTGTAAGTATTCTTTTATTATATATTTCTTTATATAACGTGGAAAATTGCAGTCCGCCAGACCTAGTAACCCCAATAAGATAAGTCATTATTTGTAGACTTCCGTTTGTAGATAAATAAATAAATAATACGTATTATAACATCTCAAGTTGTTTCTTCGCATTTCTTCGAGTACATTCAACCTGAAGTGTACCCGGATATCTCTAGGTATGTTTCTTTAGCAAAGTTTTCCCAAATTTTACTATTTGCACTATGTGTTTTTTTTTAAAAAAAATGTATTTTTTATCTCACAAAACATCCCATCAAACATTATTTTCGTATAAAATCCAAACCAAATTTTTTCCAACTCATCAAAAGAAACACACCTTCTAATTTTGAGATTTTTAGTTAAGATTTTATGGCGTCAAGAGAGCTGTTCTAATTTTGAAACCTACTTCCGACTGCATTGAAAATCCCATCATTTTTCGGTTCCTATAAGAATTATGTGCGAACTATATGTAACAAACAAAATTTGAAGGGGTCGCAGTTTGAATAAATAACCTCACAGTCACTGTCCACCCTTATATTATCAGATCATCTCGTAACTTACGAGACTATTTTATAAATATTTTTGAATGAACTAAGCTTTGTTTGCTTAGGTAAAAGCAGTCTGTGCGAATTGAATATGAATGGAAGAATAAATAGACATAGCCACAGCCATGGTGTTTTAAGAATTCCTTTTGTTTTGGCAGAGAAAAAAAGGTAAAGAAGTTGTGTCTTTTTATTGCAGTACTAGTGCTATTTTGGATCCAACTTTCTTTTAAATTTGTGTACTATTTCATTTGGGTTCTTGGGATTGCCAAAAGCAAAAACCCTCATGTCATGTTTATGTTTTCTTTTTCTTGATTTTCTTTTCTTGATTCCCACGTCCTTTCCCTTTTAACTAAATCCATATTATAAAAATAAAAAATTATTTAAAAATAATAAGAAAAATTGAATATTTGAAAAATAATAGTAAAATATAGAATTATGGTTTGAATAAAATTACTGTAGCAACTGCATCTAGAATTAAAACTGTATAAATAGAACTGATGAGTTGGAGATGATCTTATATAGCTGAGGTTGTTGCCTTTGGGTAATTCTTACCCCTCTTTTGCTTGTTTGTTTTGCGCATGGATTATTATTTTTTTTAAAATAAAAAAGAAAAAAGAAAAGAAAAGGGTTTTATAGTGTATGCCATGTTCCATTAGGAGATGAGCTTCAATTGGTATTTAATATTGAGTTTGGTCTTCACATTTGAGGTAGATATGATGATCAAGTTCAGAAAGTGTTTCATTTTACACAAAAGTAGTGTTAGATTTACGAGCTGGATTCACATGGAAGGTTTCCTTCTACACTCATTGATAAATTGAGGGTGTGTTTGTTTGGGGTTTTGGATTATGAGTTAGAGATTTGAATAGTAAAAATTTTGAATTTGAATAGTTGTATGATGTGATATAAATACGTGTTGATGTGATGTTTTAAATGTAAAATTGATTTTTAGTATAATATAAAAAATGAAAATTAGGTGTTTGATTTGATGTTTTGGAGGAGAAAAAATTGAATGAATAGTGTAAATCCAATCCGATCCCCCAAACAAACGCACCCTGAGTTTATATTTTACACTATTTTCCATATTACATACAAGCCTTTTTGAGCACTGATAAATACTACTCATTCTGTCCCATGTAATATAGGCGCGTTAATATAGATACGAGAATTTAGATAAAGTATAATTAATAAATAATTTAAAAGTTTATTAGTAAAAATAATTGTAAATTAAGATTAAGATAATTAAATAATTTAATTAAAATTTTAAAAAATATAAAATTTAAAATGAGATTAAAATGTATAATTATATTTTTTAAAAAATGATAAATTATATGAAATGAACAAATATAGAAAATATAGATAAATAATGGGGAGAATATGAGAATTTTAACATAGAGTAATAAAAAATAAAAAATGGTTGTAAACTTATTCATCTTTCATTGTTTTATGTCATGTATCCTTTTGTGGCATGCTATTATTATTATTATTATTATTATTATTTGATTGATTCATACTCGTGCACACTGACACTGCACACTGCGTACACTGTCTTCTCTCTTTGTTTTCTGTGTCCATTTTGACATAGACATGACATGACACCCACACTTTAGATATAGCATTCAATTATTTTATTTTTTTTTAGTTTTAATATTAGTATAAAATTAATATATAATATTTTTTGAATTTAAAATATTCTTTTATTATTTTCATCTATTTTACTTCAAAATATTTAAAAAAAACATAATCATATATTAATGTCAAAATATCATTAATTTTTATTTAAATTACAAATATACTATTACACGTATATTTACTTTATACATGAAATGACAAAAATGTTAAAAATACTTATACACTTCAATTAACTAATAAAATATTATTATTTTTTAATTTATTACAAAATTCTAGACGACCCTTTTAAATTGAGACAAAAAAATACAAACTAAGCGAAAATAACAAAAATAACTTTATTAGTATTGTACTCCCTCCGTCTCAGATACCGTATCTGCTACATTGTAGACACGTTATTTTATAGACACGGTATTTTAGGAGGGGTGTAATTAATAGATAATTAAGAATGTATTAGTGAAAATAATTATCTTATAATATAAATAATTATAAATTAAGATTAAGATAATTAATTAGTTTAATTAAAATTTTAAAAAAATTAAAAATTTAAAATAAGATTAAAGTGTGTAATCATTTTCCAAAAAAGGAAAGTGACATAGTACGTGGGACAAACAGAAACGGCAACGTGGACATGGTATCTGAGACGGAGGGAGTACAATATAAAAGTAACAATATTTGAATAATATTTTATTGTAAAAAATAATACTCCTTCCGTCCTAGATAAGATGGCGCATTATTGTAGATATGAGAATTTAGGTAAAGTAAGTAATTAAGAAATGTACAAGTAAAAATAATTATTATTTAGTAAAAATAATTGTAAATTAAGATTAAGATAACTAAATAATTTAATTAAGATTAAAAAATATTTAAATTTTAAATTTTAAAATATAATTAAAGTGTATAATCAATTTTCCTAAAAAAAATAAAAGATAAATTATATGGGATTGACGAAAATAAAAAATAAGAATAAATTATGTGGGACAAAATTTTATGAAATATACATACGTAAATACGTCACAGCTGACATATTTTAGTTGATGCATCATCTACGTGCATAATTTTGGAGCTTCCCATTGTAGCATTTAGTGGGCTTACTCATGTTGGATATATATATATATATATATATATATATATGAAAAAAAATTTATATGAGCTATAAAAATTTTATGTCATTTGAACAGAAATCTAAAAAATAAATATTTTCTTAGAAAAATGATAAAAGTAAAAAAATATATATTAAAAATATTTTTTAAAAATTTAATTAAAAATTAAAATAAATGAAAAATAAGTTAACAAAAATAGTGGTATTTGTTGTAAATGAATATTGAATAAAGATTAATTCAAAGAATAAGTTCGAGGGACAAAAAACTACAATTAACACAATATTTATTGCATTGTAACACAATGTATATTGTGTTATGTAAATATATATTGTTTATGTTTATTACATGTATTACAATATTAATTTGAACAAATTAGCAAAAATTTGAAGTACATTTTTTATATCATCTCAATTTTTATAACACTAACAAGACAATAATGTTCCCTTAAAAAACAATGTATATGTATTTTTGTACCAACTAGCTTCAAATATCAATTTTTTATTATTTTAAAAATTTTAAAATAATATTTCACTCGTCCCGACTAATTTGTCCACTTTTAGCTAAAAATAATTATAAATTAAGATTAAAATGACTAAATATTTTAATTAAAATAAAAAAAAAATATATAAATAATTGAATTTTAAAATGTGATTAAAATGTATAATTAATTTTTTAGAAAAAAAAAAACAAATTATACTCCCTCAATCCGTCTCTAAAATAATTGATTTTTAAAATATTCACATTTATATTTTGCTTCTTGACATTAAAAATATTATTATATTTGTATAATTTTTTGATACAAATATCATTTTATTAATATTATAAAAGACTAATAAAAGTATTTTTTTTTTAACCAATTGTACGTGTGTATGTATATCAATCTATATATATAAATATATATATATATATATACACGATTAGTAGTAGTGGTGTGAAGGCTGCTTTTATTGTTTTCACCAGCAGTGCAGAGCAGAGTCTGTTTTCTCCATCTCTATCCTTCACATATATCATCATTATCAAAAATGTCTCCATTTCTCTTCTCTCCTCCTTTGGGTTGCTGCTGCTGCTGCTTCCTTCCAACACCTTCGCTTTCACTCAACTCATCATCGACATCACCATCACCATGTTTGCCGCCATTACAACAGCTTTTCCTTTAATTAATTGCGCTTTTTGCAGATTCCTCAATTGCCTTGCACCTACCTACCTGCTGATTTGAAGAAGATTTTAAAAAACTAACAATGGTGGATAGAATCAGGAGGTACAGTTATCCGCGAGATAATACCGGTAGTGGAGAAACTGAAATCTCCTACTACTGTTCCAACCAGCAGTCCTTCTCCTCCACTTTGCTTGATGCGATTTACCGCGAAATTGATCGAGGAAATGATATTCCGGAGGAGGATGTCGCCGCTGTTTATCGGAAGAAGAATACCGTCGCGGATGAAAAAATCGTCGCGCCTGCGGCGGATGTGAAGAAATTGAGGAATGGTGGAGCGAAATCGAGGTCCTGTTCTGTGGATTCCAGTGGCGGTGGATTCTTCTCCGCCTCCGGCGAAGGTGAAGCGTTTCCTAGCCGCAGGACGAAGACGGTTCGCACCGGAGGAACGGAGTTTGAAGTTCACGTCGATCGTGAAATTAATCGTCGATCTGAGGAGAAGGCGAAGCACGAAGGAGGATTTCTGAAGACGAAATCGCGAGCGCTGAAACTTTACGGAGAATTGAAGAAAGTAAAGCAGCCGATCTCTCCCGGCGGCAAGCTCGCCGGCCTTTGGAACTCTCTTCTCTCGAAGAAACCGAAACTCGCCGCCGGCGACGATTCACCTTCTCTAAAGTCGGCGACGACCAACACGTCGTCGTCCACGTGCTCCTCAGCCTCCTCATTCTCCCGATCCTGCCTGAGCAAAACGCCGTCGTCCAGAGGCAAATCCTCTGGCGGCGAGAAAAGGTCCGTCCGGTTCTTTCCGGTGAGCGTAATCGTCAACGAGGACTGCCAGCCGTGCGGACACAAACCATTACATCAGGAAAGCAACATCAAGTCCGCCATTGATGAAGAGCTGATGCTCCACATCATGAGTTACCAGAAGAAAATCGAAAACAACAGGCGAATCGAATCTCCGTTCCATGGAACAACAAAACCTCAAGGATTCGTTCATCCAGACGTCGACGACTACGACGATGAATTCGACGGATCTAGCGAATCGAGCTCAGATTTGTTCGAGCTTGATAACCTCTCCTCCATCGGAATGAATCAAAGGTACGTCGAACAACTACCTGTGTACGAAACCACTGATCTCCGTACCAATCGTGCCATTGCAGATACTTTTATTTTCTAATTTTTTTTTTTTTTTAAAAAAAAAACTCTAGCTAATGTTTGTATGCGGCATGTGTATTTATTTTAATAATAATTAATTATTGTTTGTTTTGCCTTTTTTTTTTCTAACTTCTATTAATAAATTAAAACCAGTAGAAATAGTAATTAAATATTCTCGCTCCTTTTTTAAAAAAAAATTAAAATAATTAACTGTAAATTATTTTAATATAATAAAATAGGAGAATAAAAAAAATTGCATTGAATAATTGAACTATATTATTAATTTATGGAGAGTAAAAATATAAATAACTAATGTATGTGGAATAGTAAAAGAATAAAGGTAAAGATTCTTGAAGATTGATAGTAATGATGATAATTAAGGTGAAATCAAAGCAAAAACCACCCCCACAAAATTGATAGTTTTGGATTTTTGAAAATTCTGATAGCAGTGAAAAAGATAGCATATGATGTAATATTTTATAGATAATTTTTTAAAAAATAGTGCAAAAATTCTAAAAGTATTGTTTAAATAAAGCCAAATTTTAATATTAGTAAAAGGCTAAATATATAAGTATGATAATTTATGAGAAAAAAAAAATTAATTCATTTTTCTACATTATTATTAATAAATATTTATTAATTAATTTTTATAATTTATATATACATAAATATGCCGTTTAAACTGTTGAAAATATTATACTTTAAATCACCATTCAAATTAAAAGCAAAAAAAAAAAAAAAGATTTTGGGACATGAAATCTATGGGTGAGATTTGGATTTGTGTACGTTGGTTGGAGTGACAGAGCAATAAAGTCAAAAGTAGGAACACACATGTTGTAATGTCTTTCTCTCTCTCTCTCTCCTACCTTAATTAAGATGGTGAAAGTGAACTTACGAGACTATGAGTTCAAACCCTGATATTTTTAAGTTCATCTCAGATACGTGATTCATTTAGTGTGATTTATTTTGTTAAGCTTAATTTATAAAGTATTAGATTCAATCGAAAATTTATTCAGAGCGCACTCGTCGGGTAGCGGCTGCAGATTCGAACATTATAAAATATATATATTGACATTGCTAACATTCAATAATTTAAGATCATGCTATTTGAATTTTATTTTATTTTATTTTTTTAAAGAAATTAAATTTATTACATATTTATATCAATTCATTACAATAAATGTTTATATTAAGTTGTCTCATAAAATGTCACATTCAATTAAAGATGTGTATTCGGATTTATGATTTCAAATTTCAATCGATATGAAATCATGAATATCCAAAATTTTGTAAAAAATTGATCCGAACAAAATCCAAATTTCAAAAATTAAAATCTGAATTATAAACTTTTAACTAAATAGAAAAATTCAAAATTGCAAATATCCAAAATATTGAGCACATAAACCATCTCCAATCGTCCATTCTTCTATTTTCTTTAAATGTTATTCTAAATTTTAACTTTAAATTTTAAACATATTTCAATCTATTTTATTTTTTTCCTCTAAAAAAATTATATATATTCTTTATTATTAAATTGAATTTAATTAAATCTAAACAATTTTTTCTAAAAAAAGAACATTTTATTAAAAATCACCTAAATATAAAATCAAACTATTTATAATTTTAATTTTTTCTTTTAGCTTCTACTTAATTTTTTAGCCAATTCAAGCAGACAGTTAGGGTGTGTTCGTTTGTAAGATTTGTGCAAAATCAAAAATCTTACTATTCATCCAATTTTTTTCCCCAAAAATATCAAATCAAACACCTACTTTTCATTTTTTATATTATACTAAAAATCAATTTTACATTCAAAACATCACATCAACACCTATTTATATCGCATCGTACAACTATTCAAATTCAAATTTTTTACTATTTAAATCCCAACTCAAAATCCAAACAATGAAATTAACTAAATAATTATTTATATATTTATTACTCCATCCGTTCTGATACAATAATCTTGTTTATTATTTTTGTTCGTCTCAAAATAATAGTCTCATTTCCATAAATAATCATATCACCGTAAAATTATATCTATTTTTTTATTATTTTTACACAATTGTCACTACTTTTTACACTAATATACTCACAAGGACAAAAAAGTCATTAATCCTGACTTTTTATCAACTATCAATATAATATCAATATTCATTAAATCTCGTACCCAATACAATAAGACTATGCTTTTGAGACTAACGGAGTAGTCATTAATTACATTGCATTGCTTTCTTCACTAGAATCATCACAACACATCATGCACTTAATAAAAATATAAATTATGTAATTTTTCCTCATTTGAATAATTCATTATTTATTTTTTTACCCTTAATTTCTAATAATGTCTTCTAGAATTTCCATTTTGCTTTAATCATTTTAACCACAAAAAATAATGATAACTCCCTCTATATATATATATATAGCAATATTTGGCGAGAAGAAAAAATATAAACTGATAGAATATAATTTCAATAATTACAATAAATATTGTAGATTGTTATTATATATTCCTACTAAATAATTTATATTTATATTTATATTTTTTAATTTTAATTGAAAATATCATCTTTATTATTATATTAGTATGTCATATCAAAAATATTTCTTTTTTATTATAATAAAAGTAATCAAACACTAATATTAAAATATTTATAATTTTTACATAAATTACAAATATTAATTACATATACAATTAATTAATACGTGAGGTACAAATAACAAAAATATCAAAATCATCTTACACACATTCACTAATCAATAAAATACTATTATTTTTTAATTTAACATAAAAATATAAAAAAAAAAGTACTGTTGGAATGAGACAGATGAAGTATTAGTATAAATATCGTGTAATTTTTATTGACAGTGAAATACTTAAATAATATCATTAAATAGTACTCCCTCCCTACCACTTTGGATGTTTGGGTCACTGTAGACACAATAATTTAGAATAAGTATAATTAGTAGACAATGAAAAATATATTAGTGAAAATAATTATCTTACATTATAGATTAAGATTAACATAACTAATTAGTTTAATTAAAATTAAAAATTTAAGATGAGATTAAAGTGTATAATAATTATTATTTTTAAAGAAAAATAACATGAGATGTGAGACGAACAGAAACGGCAATATGAACATACTAGGTGAGACAGAAAGATAAACATAAAATAAGTAATGAAAGGAAAGCTGAGGGGATAAATATTGATTAAGATGATGATAAGTAATATAAATCGATTTCTTCTTCATCATCATCATTATTATTATTATTATTATTATTATTATTGGTTATAAATTAAAGATGTGGTTATATGTATGATCAAATTACACATGAATTTATAAAAAAATTACTTGCTCCGTCCCAAATATCGTGTCTGCTACACTGTAGACACGATATTTTAAGAGGGGTGTAATTAGTAGATAATAAGAATGTATTAGTGAAAATAATTATCCTATAATATAAATAATTATAAATTAAGATTAAGATAACTAATTTATTTAATTAAAATTAAAAAATAAAATAAAATAAAAAAATTTAAAATGAGATTAAAGTATGTAATCATTTTTCAAAAAAGAAAAATGACATTGTACGTGGGACGGACAGAAACGACAACGTAGACATGGTATCTGGGACGAAGGGAGTAATTAATTGTGTTTTAGAGACAGGGAGACACAAACAGCAGTGTTGTTTAGCATTTGTATGTACAAAAAATCTTCTTATTGCTGATTTGCTTAATCTTCTCTTTTGTCCTTATATTATCTCTCTACTTTATATTTTGCTGACTTTAGTTCCAACCCTCACCACCAATTTTATTTTATTTATTATTATATCCTCTCATCTCATTTTTTTTTTTTTCTCTATCAAATATTATCATTAAAACTCAAAAGAATAGAATATTTGTTTATGTAAGCAATTTTGTAATGATTTTTAATATGAATTATGATGTTGGGTATTATATTTCTAAAATTATATATATATTGATGTCGCCTATATCAAATTATATTTACTTAATAATTGAGAATGTATCAATTGATTATTTATTTATTTTCATACCCATTCCCTACCATTAAAAAATGTTATCCAGAATTAGTTCAAAATAAATGCTGTCTGTATAAATTCAAAAAATAATAGACAAGTAAAATCAAGTTCTAGTTGTGAATTGATTTCTAGTATATAATTTTCCCTCAATAATTATATAAATAATATAATATTATGAATAATTATAGTTTAATCTCCCTCAATATTGTCGATGGCCCACTTTACACGTGTGTGGATCATTCTTGAGCCCAATGGGCCCCACTACCTTTATTATTTGGCCCAATAACAAGACTATGTGGCATTACCATATCACATCACATCCACTTGAAAATTAATTCATTTATTATTTCATTATCATTTTAAATTATTATTAGCTTATAAAATTGTTGATTGATATTATTTAATTTATAATAATAGATAAATAAGGTGTGGAGGTGAAATATAATGATTAAAATACTCCACCAGTTCAATATATATTTTTAATTAATTTTCTCCTCACATTCTCATTGAAAATATTTAGGGCGTGTGTTTCGCAATTAGCTGGTTAGCTGATTCAATTAGTTGGTTTGATTAGCTGATTCGATTAGTTATTTATATTAAAATATTTGATAAAATAACTATTTGATATTAACTGTTTATACATAAGATGACAATCGATAATATTTCTATTTTATTGTTGTTTCTAATATATTCAATTATGTTCTTTTGAGTTTAGAATGTTTAAAATTTTTTGTTATTAGTTATTGAAAATTGTAAAAGTGTTATAAAAATATTTATTTTTATTACAGTTATATTTAAAAAAGAATATATTTTTATTAAAATATATAAATAGTTTTTCTATGTAATGTATAAAATAATAAATTTTTCGTGTATATATTTATTATGTTAGTTATCGATTAGTTCATTATATTTATAATTTTCAATAAATTTAATTTTTAATTTATTTTTAGTATAAAATTTATATAATATAATTTTAATATAAAAATAAATTATTAATATTTATATTTTTTATATTTTATGTAAATTTTAATAAATTTATATATTTTACAATTAAAATAATTTTTATATAAAAATTAATTATTTTAAATTTATAAAAGTAAAACTATAATATAATAAAATATTCTAATATAATTAATAAATAATCAAAATATATTTATTTGTGTAAAATGCATAATAAATTTTTAAGAGTATATAAGAAATAAATTTTATTTTATTTTATTTTTTCAGAAAAAGCTATTTCAAAACGCTGGTTAAGTTAGCTTTTTAAGACTAGCTTTGGGTCAAAAAGCTAATTTACCAAATACTTCAAATAGTTTTGACTAGTCAAACAGTTAAAAGTTGTTCAATAAGCTAAAAACTCTTTTAAAAAAAAAAAAAGTACTTAGTCAAACACCTGAGTAAATTGATTATATTGCCATATGATTAATTTAATACCATATTTATTTTCCTTAATTAAGTATAGAATAATATATACTTTTAATACAAATATAAATATTTCATGGGATAAATTAATCTCACCTTCATAGGAGAAATTGATTATCCTTGCTTAATCCTAAACTCTTTAGTCATCTAAAATAAACATTATCCTAAATCCTTATCAATCAAAATAAACATATCCTTACTTTATATAGGACTGAAATAAAATAAAATAAAACAACACAAATAAACCATTGAAAAATGTTTGTCACTTGCCACAAAATCTCAAGCATGCTAAGAAAACAAGCATCACATAATTCCTTCAAAAATGGAAATAAACACAAACTCTACAGTACAGAGCTTACTTACTAAAAAATGGTTGCCACTTGAGAGATAAGAGATTACTTACTTATAAAAGGATTGTTATAGTTATCCTTCTTGCCGCATCATCATCATCGTATCGACCAGAATAATTAGATGTAGTCGATAAATAAGCAGGGAGAGTAGTTCTTAGTGTGCATCATTCCAGCTCTATGTCTTCAAAGGAGCCTTCTTTTCTCGATCAGAAATCCGAGCAGGCGCATTTGTGTGAGATTTGAACCGCCCTCTTCCTCCATCTTCTTTCTCCTGTAGAAATATTGTCGAATATGATAAATCCCATTTGTGTGGAAGCACATTGTGTAAATAAAAGTGGTGGATGTGCTATACCAAATTTCACCTAAATACAGTACTCCCTCTGTCGTCCATTTGCATGCTCATATGATCGGAAACGGGTTTTAAAAAAATATGTAGAAATAGAAACATTTACTTTTTAGGGTAAACAAAATAGAAAAAATGGTATTTTTTTACTTAAAAGAAAGAAATCGGAATAAATTTAGATGACAGAGGGAGGTTAATATAAAGCCATAGGTCTGTCAAAATTCTACAACCAAACAGGATTTAAGATTTCGGAACTCAGTCTTCCATGTTTAAGATTCTACTGAGTTATGTGACATAAGGATCATGTGCTGATGTGCATATCATGAAAAACATTCTGGATTGGACACTGGTTTCTCTAAAAAAGAAAAGAAAAGAAAGAAACTTCAGTAGAGACATTTCATTTACCTTTTTCTTGACAATTTGCACTACATCCTCATCCTGAAGGCCATGACCAAGGCCACAATGCTGGGGGTAGTGCCGAGCACTTATGCCCCACACCAGAACATACTTCACATCTTTTAGAAGGCTCCGGTGGATGTGGTTACAAAAATCTTCGACAGTGCAGCCGCCTCGACCCTAAATTCATTATCCAATGGAAATAGAAAATGCTTTGTATTGTAATGAGGAAATTAGAGTGAACTGTTAACTGGTGTACTGTATTGAATAAATGTGTCAGGAGACATACAGCAGAGAGGACCACCGGTTCTGAGAAGTCGGGTTGCTGGCCCTGAGGCTTTGTATAAATTCTGACAAGACCCATTTCCTCCCACATTCTGGAAAGCAATCTGTCCAGATTAAGCTGTCCGAATAACATTGGCACACAAGATTAAATGAATGCAACAGCTGCTTGAAGCCATGGACACCTTCTATCTGTCTTCTAATCAAAACTACTCAATATTAGAGATGGCAATTAGTTTAGTACAACATACCCTTAAGTTGCAGCTAATGACAATTGAATTAGGCTGTCGTGCTAATCTGTCCACATCATCAATACCAATAACATCTATCTTGTTGTACACATATACACATTTAATGTACTTCCGATTGCCCTCAATAACATCAATAAGATCGTCCACAGTTGCATCTTCGCGAAACAAAACCTGAAGAATTTTAAAAAAACATCAAAAGCATTCCCGGCCCTAGGTGGGTGCTCAGTCTGCATGATTCACCTTAAGAGGATGCCATTGCATGGATATTTAAATAGCACATATAGTTATAATTTATATAATTGTAATTCAAGAACTACAAATAGAATAGTGCAACAAGGAGACCATGGAGAGAACCCCATAATATTTAGTGAAGGAATAAGGAATTATTTTTCATAAAAATGGTACTTCAAACTTAGAAAAAGCTTGGTTATCATCTCTATGTCATGCATATGTCTCATTCAAGAATTGGGTGTGCTAACACAAAGTTCCATAGCCTTTTCATAAGTGCCTACTTTTACAGAGTGCAAGTCATCCTGATTAGTTTAGTTTAATACAGATAATCTTTTCTCATAACATCATTAGCTTTACAGAGCAGGATATAAAGGTATATAAATTCGAAGGGTAGTTAAGAAAATAGTAAATACCATATATACATGTTTTACATTTTGAGAGGTTCAATGCAGGCAGCTTTCAGTGAAAAAACTATGAATATACAGTAAGGGTGTGTTTGTTTGGAGGATTGGATTTTAAATACACTATTCATTTCATTTTTCCCCTCCAAAAACATCAAATCAAACACCTATTTTTCATTTTTTATATTATACTAAAAATCAATTTTACATTCAAAACATCACATCAACACCTATTTATATTACATCATACAACTATTCAAATTTAACATTTTTACTATTCAAATCCCAACTTAAAATCCAAACCCCCAAACAAACACACCCTAAATGCAAGCTGTTGGGGCTGTATTCTTTTTTCTCCACATCTAGGAAGCAAATCGATTTTGGCAGACTAATAAATCAAATACTCAAATAAGGTCAAGTGTGGAAAATCCAGAAGATGAGAGAGACTTTAGCTTCACAACAATGCAAAGATTTGTCAGCATCTGTTAGAATTTAGTTATCATGTTGGGGGGGGGGGGGGGGGGTTTACCTCTGCATTGTGAATTTTGTACTCGTGCAATATTTGATAGCAGAGCTTCTCATCCACATGTGTCAATGGTAGTGTACTATTGAAAGATATTCCCCCAGTTTTTTTCTTTTTGAAGTATATCTGTCATCAGGAAGAATCACGAGTCAATAATGTCAAAAGGTAAAGGGTCAAGGTTCAAAGAGCCAAAATAAAAAAGGAAAAAGAAAAAAAGAAGATTAAATTCATATAACAAATCTAGTCTTGTCTTTATATATCTCAGTTTAATCTAATATCCTCAGACAAAACTCTTTCTCATTAAGACACTAGAAATATTTTTCCATGGAGCTTCTCTGCTTATCCTCTTTCCATTGATTAACAGGAGAAATGGCCAAAATCTATAATACTAACAAGTACCTTAAGTTCCAAAGTGTCTTTTAAATTGCAAAATTTTAGACCAGAGATGAAGCACATCAAATGCAATGGAGAAGCTGTTGCAGCTATTTCACAAAGAGCCTAAGACTTCAGGAACTACTTTAAAACCGACACACTTTCTAAAGGATAGCTATGCTCTACATTTTAAAATTCTTCAGGCAGAAATTGAAGCCATAAAACAGACATATCATGTCTATATATAAAGATCAGACACATTACCAACCAAAATGTTGATGTTGCAATTCAGGGTAATCCTTGCCAGTGATACTTCTTTTGGCAAATGATAGTATTATGAAATCAAGGCAACAGATTTAGTTCAACATCAAAATTGTAAGATAACTTCATTACAAGAAAAATATAAACACAGACACCGATATACACAAAAAAAAAAAAAAAAAAAAAACTATCAGGCAATATGTACAAGCCTCTACTCAAGTTTAATTACTCTCAGAGAATATAACATAAGATGAATACATTACTTGAGGTGGATATTTGTTTAATCGCAAGCCAACAGCTTCCAATTCCTTTGTTAAGATTTGCCGGTGTCCTTCGCTCTAGAAATTTTCATGGGTCAGCATCAAATTCAGATGGAATAATCTGTAAGATTTAGGAAGTGTGGGGTGGGGGTGCAGTAACACAAAGTAACCAAATGGATGCACAATTATCTCAATAACTAGACATACTTTGGAAGCATCCAGAACCATTAGTACAAGATCTGATGATTTGGCAACTGCAATAACCTGAATCAAAACAAATATGTTTCTGTCAGGATTTATCTCAAATTCATGTCAACTCAGTTCCACTAGGCAACAGTGCAGTAATAATATCATGTTACTCAACTAGAAAATGGTCACCTGTCTACCACGTCCCTTTCCTTCAGATGCACCTTCAATAATCCCAGGAAGATCAAGAAGCTGTATTTTAGTGTCGTTGTAGTGAATAATACCAGGGATACATGTAAGCGTGGTGAATTCATACGATGCCGCTTCTGAGTGTGTTCCAGTCAACATAGTCAAAAGTGTTGATTTTCCAACACTGGAAGCAAAAGCAGAGTCACAGACACATTCAGAATTAGGAATACCACATAATCGTGCATACACATAAACATAATTGAATAACACAACCACATAAACTAACCCGGATTAACATAAAAGCTAGAAAAACAACCCCCGTGTAGTTCACCAAATAATCAGTCTATATCCACTACTGCGTAAACTGAGCTATTTCACTAGTTTTAGTGCTTAAAAGTTTCCCCTTTTATGTTCAATTCTATACATTTAAAACGTATGACCAAACCAACCTGGGAAAACCTATCAGTGCAACACGTCCATGGCCATATTTTGTGACTTCAAAACCATCTCCAGCTCCGCTAGAACCCTGAGCAATGGCAAAAGCTAAATCATCACAATAGGGATCAAAACTGAATATAAAATGATTTCCATGGAAGCGGCAACAAGGCACATAACTATTATTAAGAAACCTAACGAATTCATACCTTTGGGGGCTCCAGCAGCTGCGTACGCAGCTTTGCTATCTTAGCCTTGAGCTGTCCCAAATGATATTCTGCACCGTTACATTAAAACATTAACATCATTATAATGCATCTTACTGGATCATAGTGTCTAAGGATGGCCATCAAACATAAAACCAGGTAGATAAGAGCAAGCAATACCACAAAGTAATCCCAAGTATTCAAAGTTATTTACCATAGTAAAATTATATCAGCTAAATGAAACCAAGCATGAATAAATGAACAAGACGCCACTTCAATCACTCATGTTCTCATTCAATTTGGGCATAAGAATTAAATTACCAAATATCAACGCCGAACTCATCAATAATCACACCCTCACTTCCATAATTTCTTTTTTTTTTTTTTAAAGAAAATAAAAAATGTCACCTGTGGCTTTGTTCTTCTGGGTGCGCGCCATCTCGGCTTCAATCTCTTTAATCTTTTCTATAATCCCCATTTTCACTTAAAAGTAATCACCTGAAACAATTGTAAATCAACATAAAAAAGAAGAATCAACACACGAATTATTCTTCGAAAAACAAAACATATAGCCAATTACTAGCTCCACACATTAAGATGGAAAAATAAAAATAAAAATTCAAGAAATATTCGTAGTGGATGTAAGTTGAAGCAAAATTGCTCCAAGCTACACTAACATCTTTGCATAAACACAAAATTAGTGTAGAAACACAGAATCGAAAATCACCGATTAAGCAAGTGCGGGTTCAGATTCTTCTACCGAGACAATTGATGAGTGCGATACAGAGGCAGCGGAAGCTGCAGATGATGAAAATAATTTCAATTCGAAGCAGAGTAGGAGTCAAAAATAAGACGCAAGGAATTTGATGGGCCTCACATGGGCCTCCAAAATTAGAAGTAAAACTGGGCTGGCTCTATTTTGTATAAACGAAAATACTTACAGCAGTTGTGGTATAATTTAGTAATTTTAACAGTTCTTTGACTTTTTTTTTTCTATTTTTTTTGTTAAAAATAATTTTATTAGATTATATATGTAATAGTAAAAGGAAAAAAAAATTAAAAAAAAAGAAAAGAAAACGACATATTATCAGCATTGTAGAAGATAATCGTTATTAATTTGGTCCTTTAAATAAAATTTGTACAATGAATGTCATATACAAAAACTTAAAAATGCGTTTATCCTAAAAATTAGTATAAATGAATAGAAGTAGGGATTTTGTCGTACAAAATTGAGTATAAATAAAGATATTTAGGGCATTTTGAATTGGCTTAAAAAAATAAGTTTGAATTATTTTATTAAAATAAAAAACTGTTGGAATGTAATAGAATTAAAAATGCTTGATTAAAATTACTCAAAATGATATATTTTTATTTATAAAAATTCTATATACTTCCTCAGTCCCATTGGAAGGTGGCTTTTGCTACCCATTTTTGAATATTAATATTATATTTGATTGTAGTAAAAAAAAAAAGACAAAAATACCCCTATAATATGGTGTAATGTAAAAGTAGCGACATTTGTGTAGTATATTGTAAGTTGAAAGGGTATTTATTATGTAAGTAGGTAGTACAGTTACTAAATTAGAAAATAGTAACCTTGTATTGGGACGGACGAAAATGAAAAATAGTAACCTTTTAATGGGACGGAGGAAATACAATTTTAAATTTTTCTAAATTATATTTAAATATTTAAATAAAAATATAGAAAATATATTTCAAAAATTTAATTATTTATATTTTAAAATTTTAATTTTAAAAAATTATATGAAAAATAAAATTACAATATAATAGAAGTATTAAATTATTTGTATTTTTCAATTTATTTTAAAATTTTATAACTTATATTTAATAATTTTAGTATAATTAAAAAAATTATATACTTCTATTTAAATTTAGTATCTCAATTATAATTTTAAATTTTAATTCAAATATAATATATAAATTAATATTAATAATATAATTATAATATATAGATTAATTATTTTTTATAATATAATATAGTATTGTATTTATTATTATTATTATTATTATGAATAAATTAATAATTTTAGCTAAAAAAATATTTCACTTATTTCAGAAACTATTCTCAATATAATTTTAAAAAAACTTCAAAAGTTGCAACTACTCTCAATATATTTCTATAAAAAACCTCAAAAGTTGTTTTGGCTTTTTCACATAAGCCAATGCAAATCGATACAAAATTTTTTTTAGAAACAAAACAAAATATATAGTTATTAATTAGAAAGTCAAGTGTATATATGCTAATTGATATTTTTGTCAATTAACAATACTTAAATACTACAAACGCATCTTCAAGACCCCAAATTCAGCGTAATTTTAATGGAACGTCAAGCTTCCTTTTTTTTTTTTTCTTTTTTTTCTAAATTTTTAAAATTTTAAATTTAAATTTTATTTTTCTAAATTTTTTAAAAAATTATTTTAAATTATATAAAAAAAAAATTCATTTAAAATAATAAAAAAATTTTAATATTTGAAGAATAATAGTAAAAAATAAAGTTATAATTGAAGTAAAATTACTGTAGCATATTTAGAGTTAAACTACATAAATGAAATTGATTGATGGATTGGAGATGGGTAAAAGCAATGAAATTGGAACTAGCACAATCTTATAATACATTATACATACATACATCAACAATTCAGCAGCCAAAAGGGCAATAGATTTTTACACAAACATCACAGATTTGGTACACTGCTTTTATTGGGACTTAAGGCAAACAAAAACATATATTGATATATATATATATATATGTACCTAATTTTACTACAAAAACCCTGACCTTGGTGCTTCTTGTTTCGCAGTTCCCGCGGGGTTGGGATAAGCGTCTGGTTTGGTCGGACTGGAGCTCGATGGAATCTTAGCTTCGATGTTGGCTAGTTCTCTCACACGCGTTAGGATTGGAGCGGGGATGAGGACTGAAGCTTGTTTCCGAGATCCATGTACCTGTTTGTCCGGCTAGGAGATCAGGTTTAGTTAGCAAATGCATCGATATTTTCTAATGTAAACAAAATACAATGCTCCAGAAGAAATAATTTTGGAACTCTTATATGAACAAAATTTAAATTATACCATCAGCGTATACAACATTGAAGTTAAACATATTGATCCAATTGCCTCTACAATGTTAAAAGACTCGACAAGTTTATGGTTATACGGACAAGGTTCTGCATAATGTTTAAGGTTGAAACAGAATTTTAAATCGACGAGTAGGGCATAGTGAAAAAATGGAAAATCGACAGCATAAAATGAACATGTGTATTACCACATTTCCGGTAGCCAATTCAGAAAGGCTAGCTCGCAGAAGATTCCTCCACTTGTCCTGCACGGCAATGCATCTATTTAATCTAACAGCATAGCTTGAGGCTTGGCGTAACATTTGCAATCTTGATTAAAAATTATAACTTCAACCTTTAGGTCAACGGAGGTTCGGTAAGAATACGAGGCAAATGCAAGTCGTTTGATTACCGACCATCTACCAGCGCCATATTTAGCAACCCCTTCAACCAGTTTAACGACTTCAGATAGAGTCCATGGCCGGTGATGTTTCCTCCTCGTCCCACTATTGCTACCTAGTATGGCAGCAGGTTCATCATCTGCATCAGTCTTGCATGATTCCACGTTCTTCACCTCCTCAAGCTCAATTTTTTCGGTTTCTACATAGAGGTTGCATGTCTCGGGAGAAGCACCAACCTAGGGACATAAAAAGGCTCCGCGAAAATATTATAAGCAAATGCCAAGAAAGAAATATAAAATAGCTAATGACATATATGAGTACTAAGAGAAGTAAAAACATGTAAATCTACAATGTACAATTTGTAGCCACAGCCAATTCAATCGAATTCGAGTCTTGAACATAGGATTATTTATCTGTTAAAATCTTCATATAAGTTTCAGCTCAGATAAGTGTGACAGCTTTCATCAGATATCCGACACCAGAAATTACTGAAATTAGCTGGGTAAAAACCAACTTACGAGCTCATTAATCCGGCTTGAAGACGAGCAATTCTTGACTACTTCATTCTCAATTACTTTTTCAAGCACTTCGCACGATGTAACATCATTCTCTTCCATTTTGGTTGAGATGCCAATGCCACTTGGATGAAGTTTCTGAACATTAAAACTGATAGCAGGTAAATGACAATTTCTAACACCTTAGCTAGTCTTGATCCCCATTCTTATATGAAGTTCTACCCTTACCAAAGTCAATTCATAGTTTTCAACTAAATACAAGAAACATAACACTGCATTTACTTTAATTATCGCAAAAGAAAGGTTAATTAGAAAATAAAAGGTTAACTAATAACACATGGAAAGCTCATTCAAACAGATCCACCCCACAGGAATTGGGGTATTTCTTATCTGGAATAGCTAATTCACAAGGTCGAGCATTTATAATAGAAAAGAACAACTAATAGACTTGCAGGTTATGCAATGAACTACAGATTGCTCGGACAGATATTGTGAAGACGACAGAAAAATATTTCTAGATTATCAATGCTTCACTCACATAAATATAATTCTGGTTTCATGGTCAATAGAAACAAGTCAGTATTATTTCACATTACCATAAGCGCCATAAAGTTCTCCCTGGGGCGGCTCCTTCGGGTTCGGGAAACATATGGAACCTGAATTCCAGTCCCTCCGATAGAATCTTTTCTGATAAGACACTTCCCATCTAGTGTGAAATTGTGAAGAGGTTTTGCGCAAGCTGCTGCAGGTGACCGGTCACATAAAGGTTGTTTAATAGAGGATAGGGGTTTGGCACCAGAATCCTTGGTTTCTCCTTCAGAAAGTTCTTCAATGTATCTTTTTGTGGGCTTCCGAATCCTTTTTGTTGGTCGGTGCTCCATGCTAGCATCTTGACTTCCATGAATGTCTTGATGACTTGAACTTTGTGAGTTTGTCTCATCAGCAACTAAGGGAATTTCAACTGGGGTATCATCCAAACTTGTAGGACTTTGATGGCTTTCAATCGCAGATGGAGATACACAATCGATCGAAACAGAGCAGTCAGCACTTTTGCAAGTTTGCTCTTTCCCTTTCCTGACTACTTTATTATCTATAATAACAAAACTAGTAGTTGAGAAATCACAGGAATTTGTTAACCCCATAATAATCCTCCTCTTGAGCCATTGTTTGTCCTTCACAGAAGTTTCCCTCCCAAATGTTGCTCTGAAAGTCTCCTGAAGATCCCTCACTGACAGGCACTCCAGATGTATTTCTCCATTCAGCAAAGAAAAATCAGGTTTCAACCCAGGACCAACAGTAGAACTTGATGGTTGACTCTCATCCAATCTACCTGGAAGCTTGACGCATCCCTCTGGGCTCCCAGATTGGCTAACACTTTTATCGCTTGAATTTGGAGTCAATGAAGAAATTATCCTCTGCACAAACAGTGCACATCATCACTAGGTCCTTTCAGTTTAAGAAGACAATGATTTTTCAGTAAGCTATCTAGAAAGAGTAAAGAAGCATTGATTTGAAGTATGCATCTAATTACTTCATATAATATAGGATAAAAATATTGATATATTTTTATTTGGAAAGTAGAAAGGCCTAAAATCCCATCATAAGATTGTACTGAGACAACACTGACCAGGACCAGATTGAAATTATTGATAAAATATATATATAATAAAAACCATTATTTATAAAATTTGTATGAATGTATCCCACTAAGATCATTAAAATGCACCAGCAATATGATTATATACATACATATAGTTAGGGCAACAAATGTAAAGATTAAAAGAACATCTTATGAAAGAATCAAATTGAATACCTCATCTTGGTCAACTGTAGGTACAGGTGGTACATTTGGCTTTGCTGCATCTACTGGGGCCTCAAGCTGTTCTTTACCTGGTACATTAACTTGATTAGCAACCTATAAATATAACCTAACCAAAGTAAAAAAATGATAATATGATCAAGCAGATTGTGAAAACCCAACCTCTACCAATTGAATTTCATTGGAAGAGCATAATATAGCCAGTCATAAAGTGGATGCCAAACTTCAATTGCTTACAATTAGTTGAACAATTTGTTCAGTGAAGCTTCACAGCACTCACTCACTCACTGGGACTGACATAAGGCTGAAGTGGGACCAGGGAGCTGGTTGTAAAGAAGTCCTAATAGATGAGGTAAAGTGCAGTTCCTTGTCTACATAGTACATAGTAGCAATCACCTAGTGAACCATCATAGCCATCCCCTTATATCCCAACAACCAGAATTGCCTTAGTCTGCTTGCACCAACTAGAGGCCTAGAGTGAAGAGTAAAACCTATCTGAATTTGCCATTCCTTTCAAAAGACTGATTAGAAATCTCCCAGTTATTCCAGATAGAGAAAACAGATATGTTACCATTTTATAGCATGTTTGAAATCAACTAATCAGAAATTCAAGCTACGATTTCGATTCGTTAGCCCAACTCTTCCATATCCTAGAAGGAACCAGTAATATCTAAAGAAAGTATGTATATTACCTATTATTTTCTTCTCCTACATTGTCCTATGGCAGAATACATGTTTTGTGGATTTTAAAACAGCTCACAACTGAAATGGCTGGAAGAGAATAATTAGAAAAGAAAACTTTGTTTAAAACAAGTGAGAACAGTTAAAAAGAAGACAAAGTCAAGCTTCTCATAAAAGAAATCTTCAAATTCTCAGCAGAATTAAAAACAGAGCACGTGTACAGTTCAAAAATATGCATAATTACTATTTACAATTATCACAAGGCAAAGAGTGAGAATAGCTGAAAAGCATTTATAATCTTTGAGATAAACCTTCTGATCCTTTGACCTGATCTTTACGTGAATCACAAGGTGCACACCCATAATCTGTACTGGTCTGCAAAGTTTGCCCAGTGTCTAGTGTTCTAAATTTACTTTTGCAATCGTCAAGTAGGTCTTCGACTGCCATAACCTCATCATCAGTTGCAGGCACTAATATCCCATTGCCATCAACCTAGAAATTTAGATGATATAACAATTTAATTAACTCATGAACTACATCTCCCTCAAAATTACACCTGAAAGAGAATCACAGCATTAGAGGCGACAGATTCACATTATAGAGGTAAGCTAAATTGTGACTGTCTTGAGGTAGACTTTTAGGAATGACTCAACATGGTCAACCACAAGAATGAAACTGCCTACGTAATAGATTTCCAGTAAAATTTATCTCCTAGAAGACAAAGTTTCAATTACTTATTGGCAGACATCAACCAATCGAGGTAACACAGAGATCCGATTATTCACTGCATGATCATGCAAAGAGGCATTGCATTGAAAGATTACATATATATTAACAATCTTATGGACAGGCGGTGAGCAGGCAACTGATTAGAAATCTAGTAGAAAAAATTCATTAGAATCTAAAGCAGCCACACTACAAAGCCTTAAGTAAATGACTCAACCAGCTTAAATTGTAATCATCCGCCCCCTAAAATGAAGTGCCCTAGACAGGCAGATAATATCAGCTAGAAAAAAGCTGTACCCGAACAAGCTGATAAACAACTGGATCCGCAGCTTCTCCTGAGGCGATATAATCTTCAACTTCAGCTTCCTGATTCCCCACAACGTCAACAGCAGTTTCCATTGAATGTGCGGTATAAGCCACTCCCAGACGAGACTGCCAAATCAAAACAAACGACAATTCTCCAACAACATCAGTTTCTAAAATTCAGATTTCAATCGAAAGGAACATGCATGAGGTGCTACAGGATCCTAACCCTAAGCATAACAAACTACGGTTCTTCGACATTTAACAAAATAATATTGCTCCAGTCACCAACAGTTAAAGAAAGGGCCATGTAAGGGCATCAATTGAAAATATCAAACAAAAAAACACCCAAAATCACGCTGTGAAACAACTCACAGAAGATTTTCATCCGAGCTTGCAATAAATTGGAAAAGTTATATTCCAACGAAAGCGCAGAGCTATGTAGGCGGGTCTAGAATGAAAATCTAAAGGTGGAGTTTCATTCAAACAGATTCCTGGACGGATTTCCCTTTTTGGATGCAAAATTTCTGTTTCAGCGCCGGCTCTTCTCCGCTTCACTCTCTCTCGTTGCACCCAACCAAACGAATGATGCTGCGGAACTGAGGGGCGCGAATTAAATGTATTTCAGCGTAGTCGTGGAGTCCGGATATGTTATGCGCGAATTGACAGAAACACCCTTTAAAGAAATGACTGTTCATCACTTGTGTTTAGTTGTGATGCGTTGTTTTGGATTTTGATTTTGATTTTGATTTTGAATAGTTAAATTTTAAATTGAAATAAATGTTTGATATGATATAAATATCTATTGATATGATATTTTTAGTGTATGTTTGTTTGGGGGATTGGATTAGATTTTCACTATTTATCTTATTTTTTTCCCTTAAAAAAATATTAAATTAAATATCTATTTTTCATTTTTTATATTATATTAAAAATTAATTTTACATTCAAAATATCGTATCAACACTTATTTATATCACATCATACAATTATTTAAATTTAAAATTTTTACTATTTAAATCCTAATTCAAAATCCAAACTCCAAACAAACACATCCTAAATGTAAAATTAATTTTAGTATAATAAAATAAATATAAATTAGATGTTTAATTTGATTTTTTGAAATAAAAAAAAATTGGAATATTAAAATATGAGTAAAATCTTACGTGTAAACAATTACCATAGGATATTTTTTAATTATTTTTTATATTCCCTCCGTTATATTATTTTTCCATTTTGTCCATAAAAAAACATATTATGTTCCTCCTTCATCCCATTTTCTTTAAGGGTGTGTTTATTTGGGAGTTTGGATTTTGAGTTAAAATTTGAATAGTAAAAATTTTGAATTTAAATAGTTGTATAATGTTATATAAACAGGTGTTGATGTGGTATTTTGAATGTAAAATTGATTTTTAGAATAATATAAAAAATAAAAAATAGGTGTTTGATTTGATATTCTTGGGGGAAAAAAATGGGACGAACAGTGGAAATTAAATCTAATCTCCCAAACAAATACACCCTTAGTGTCTCACAAAAGATGATCATTTTCTATTTTTAATAAGTCTATCAATTTTAAATATATTTAACAAATATAAATCAATTTAATAAAACTTCCAATATCTTATACACAGGACTCTCTCAGAATCCTTTATTTTTTATCTCTCTCTTCTATTAACAAATATTTTTATCTACATTTAAAACTCCCCATTTTTTATAAAACTAATTTATGGTAATGATAAATAAATATATATATTTTTAATTAATTTGTATTATATAAAATTTTATTATTTACGAAATGATATCTATATTGTATATATTTTTATTGAGATATAATTCTAAAAATATTTAAATACCAACGACACTACATATATAAAAAATAATAAAATATTATCTTAACTTATTATTAATAACTTAATAACATACACTACCTAAAATACCGTATCCGTAACAAAAGACTCCATCTTTCGCAAGACGGAGGAAGTATTTTCTAATCGTACTACTTACCTAACATAATTAATACCTTTACAATTTCCAATATTATTATACTATAAACTTATACTCCATCAATCCCATAAAAGATATCTCATTAGAAGTGGACACGGAAATTAAAAAATAATAATATTTAATTGAAAGTGGGTATGAATTATAAAGTAAAATACTAAAATATCCTTGCTTTTTAATGATTTTAAAAAATAAGTTGGAGTAATAATTATGGGTAATTTGAAAAATTATGAATAATTTTGTTAAATAAGGAAACAAGACAATTGTTTTGAGACGAACGAAAAAAAAAGACAACTCTATTAGGACGGAGGAAGTACAATACTAATATTAAAAAATCTACACAAAATATTCTCTTTTTGCCGGAGGGATGTAGTGTAATTAATAATATTGATAGTTATAAAATAATTTTAATATATGTGATTAAAAATTAAAATATATATTTAAATATTTTAAAAATTATATTGTAATAAAAAATATGTAATATAAATATTATTTTCTAGAGAATCAAAATTTTTATAATATAAGTAAATAAAAAAAATACTTTTGTTTATTTATAATAATATAAATTAATTTTATAAAAGATATAAAATTTTAAATGTAGATAAACATATTTATTTTTTTATGAGATATAGATAAAAAAATATCTTTTGAGTGAATCATAATGTATGATTTTATATATTATATAGTTGATTAGATTAGATTTATATTTGTTAGGCTTCGACATAATTGATACCTTTTATTAAGAACAGAATATTTAAGAAAATTATGTTTAATTATTTAATAATAATCATAAATTATGATATGATTTTATTGTTTCGTGTATAATTAATAATGTTAATAGTTTTAAAATAAATCTAATATATATGATTAAAAATTTTAAAATATGTATTTAAATATTTTAAAAATTATATTGCAATAAAAGATATATACAATATGAATATAAGAATAAATTTTTTTATAATACAAGTAAATAAAATAATTTATTTATTTATAATTAACATAATTAATTTTATAAAAGATATTAAATTTTAAATGTAGATATAGAAATAAATAGGTTTTGAATGGATGTGTTATACGTTATATACTCTCTCCGTCCCAAAAAGTATAGTCTTATTGTGTTGATATTGGATTTGAAGAATATTGACATTGGTAGTTGGTAAAAAATAAGATAAATAATTTTTTTGTCTTTGTGAGTATATTAGTGTAAAAAATAGTGACAATTGTGTAATAATAATAAAAAAATAACGATAGTTTTATGGTAATATGATTATTTATGGAAACAAGACCATTGTTTTAAGACAGACAAAAATTATAAATAAGACTATTATATTGGAATAGATGAAATAGTTAATTAAATTTATTTATACTTGTTAATTATATTTTAGTTTATAAATTTTATACAAAATAGAAAAAGACAAATGATATCAATTGTGAAGGGACGTACGGACTATTATATTTATATTGTAGAATCCCTTAAAATGCGTTTTTCTCCTTCTTGTATTAAAAGCGCTGGAATGGCTGTACTGAAATCGCTATTTGGATGAGATTTAAAAGCGTAGATAAGCATTCACTGGGGGCAAAACAATCCGAAAAGTTGCATCAATGGCGGGTTCAGCTTCAGCTTCAGCACTGTCCTTCCTCTGGCGCGCTTCCGTCGACTGCAGGCGGATTTCCATGAAAAGCGGGGTTTCGTCGACTTCCGAGAAGCGATTTTCATTTGCGTGCTTCTCATCCAAGAAGAAGAAGATCGGTTTCATGGACCAAATTCTCGATTACATTGAAGGTAGTGATCCTTTTATACTTTCTGTTTTTCACTCATTTTAATTTTCGGAACTGGACGCTTTTTTCTTAGCTGGATTTGTTAGACTTTTTTGCTGGTGCACTGAAGTAGGATTCATCATCTAAATGTGCTGTTTGTCATGGAAGTGTATTTTGTGTAGTGGTTTTAAAATTGTGTTGTCTTCGTTTTATATTGAATAATATGTCGTTGAACACGTTGTTTATCTTTTTTCACCATATATATTGATTACTTTGTTGTTTCAGTTACTGAATCAGTTCTGTACTAGTTTGCTTTAGGATTATTTGATTCATTGTTATTATGCTTGTGTCTGTGTAGGAGGTCCGAAGCTGAGGAAATGGTATGGAGCACCTGATCTTATGCAGGAAGATGAAAATGAATTGGATCAAGATGAGGTTTCAGGTCATATTATATCCAGTATTGTTTAGTTGATTTCCAGCTTTGTTAATCAATTTTAATTATCAATTGAATCTTGAATATCAATAATGTTTTGCTGTACTTATCTGGAAATTAAAGAGGAAGAAGTCAGAGATGCAGTGTTAGTAACTGATGGAGACAGTGAGATTGGTCAGGTGATGATTCTCATTATTCAACCTTCTCGTCTAGATTGGATCCTATATGCTAAAACCTTCGATTCATTAAACAAAGATTTTTACAAGGTTGTGATCAAGAACAATAAACAAATCTCACATTGTACATTGTTATGTATTATGTATCTTCATCTTCATATCCACAGATGATCATTCTTGCACTCATAGTTAAAAAAGTTCGAATAAAAGCACTGGTGAAGGATAAGCGGGTTACCATGGAAGCCTTCGGCACTTACGTTGAGGTTGTTGCATTGCAAAAACCATTCGATAGCCTAATTCTTGCTTCTTGTACTTCTGTTCCTAAAATTCTTTAGTGCTGTTCTGTTTATAGTCATTGGTGGGAGATGCAAAGGATAGAGCATTCTTTAAGAAGGCTTTACAAGGAGTTCGCGTCGTTATTTGTCCAACTGTAAGTGTGAGACTCTGAATATGTTTTCTTACACCTAAAAATTGGCAACTGGTAAGTAGAAAAAGAAGCATAGTGCCAACTAGAAATTCCTCTACACTAGAATCATGTATTTCTTGATCATTCATTTTGATGGAAATACATATGATGTGCGTTATTTTCAGGAAGGATTTTTGTGCAATATCGACAACTGGAAAGGTATTCGGCATGTAATCTTATTATCTCAGGTACCCTCAATTTCTGGTAAACATTTGGCTCACAGCTATAGCAACACAGAAATAGTGTAAGATGGTGAAGTTTGTAGTTGTCTGTTTATAGGGATTATACGGGTATTCAAGCAGTCATAAACAAGAACTCAAGAAACGTAGCAGAGCAAGATGAAAATGCAGTGAAGTCATCTGGGATTCCCTACACCATCATCAGAACTGGGGTCCTAAAGAACACCCCAGGAGGCGAGCAAGGTTTCAATTTCAAAGAGGTAGTTAACCTCGAAATAACCCAAATATCTTACAACCTTTGATGGGTTCAATGCACAAATTTGCGAGATCAAGATTTCAATCTTATCTTCAATGCTGATGCTAACAAATTCATGGCAGGGTAGTGCAGCAAAGGGCAGCCTTAGCAAAGGGGATGCTGCCTTAATCTGTGTAGAAGCTCTTGACAATGTCCCACAAAAAGGGCTGACATTTGAGGTTTGAAAAACACTTCCTATGACCTCTTTTCAGGTTCTCGACTCATAATTTCCTTGATAATAATGCAACAGGTTGTCAATGGAGATGAAAAAGTTTCTGATTGGAAAAAATCCTTCACTACATTGATGGATGAGGCAGCACAGTAGAACCTCCACAAATACGAATTCGACGATAAGGTACCCTACTAATCTGTCATTAGCCTTGTAGTCTTTAAATATTACTCATCTGGTTTAACATTATTCATATCTGCTTTTATTTAAGATTCTTATCTCAATGATTCTGTCTCTAGAATGCTAACAAATTAATATTCCCCACTAATCAACTAAGACAAAATACTAGTCAAAAAATGATAATGCACTGCCCTAGAATCTATTCTCTATTCTCTTTGTGCCTGTTAACATCACTAGTTGTTATTAATCATTCAAGATTTCAACAGCTTAAAACCCTCAAACAGCTGAATTCCAAATTCCAATCAAGAAAGCTGAATTAAAACTAGAAAGAAATGTGTATCTATTGTTCTTCCCTGATACAAGAATACTTAACAAGAAATCGAAATCCAAATTCATATCAATCAGAACAACTCCTAACATGATTGATCAACTGCTTGACCTCATCCTCTTTTGCCCACCTCTTTCATCAGATTTCGATTCTCCCTCATCGGAAATCTCCATTGATTTGGCACAAGAATTTGAGAGATCTGCATAGATATCAACCACTCTTCTAATGTTGTTATTTAGCTCTCTAATCAATCCCACATTTCGACTCAAATTATCCGGGATTTTCGAAGTCTGATTCTGGCTTATCTCATTGATCAACAGCCTGTTCTGGTCCAAAATACCCTGAACCTGTACAAAGTTTTTCTCAAATGCCTGAAGAACTTTTCCCTCAATTCTTGCATCATTGCCCATCCCAGAATATATGTTGTCTTCCATCTCCTTCTGCTTTAATCATGAAACCACATTACAACCTCTGCACAAAACAATTCATTATTGTTTCCTTTAAGCCATGTAACCTGAATCAACATAATTCCGAATAATTGAATTCACAAAATCCTAGAAGCATTAATCATTCATATCTTTCCTCAACCAAACTATGGAACAACTTTTTCACCAAATGCAATATTTGCAAGTTTCAACACCATATTCAAATTCAACAGTATAAAATACATACATATATATATACATATTACACAGTACTATCATAATTATTTCAAAATCATGATAGGGCTTTGCCTTTTTCTGAAGAGTATAGATCTGAAACTATTCAACAGAACAGAACAGCATAAAAATAAACAATAACTAAAAAAAAAACTTCATTAACAACTGTGCAGGGCTAAAGGCTACCCTTTACTCCCAACACTCCATTAAATTCCTCTGTAGAATAGGCAGAGAAATAGTATCATACCCGTATGAGTACCACACGCACACACCCCAATTACCATAATAAATATTTGCAACAAATTGCCAAAGAACTTTAACAAGAACAAAACAGCCCCCAGATTCGAAATCAAACACATGCATTTAGTAAAACAACAAGAAACCCACAAAAGAAAAGAAAAAACCCATTTGTTTTAAAAAAATTTACCTTAGAATTCAGGACCATATCTCCTTTCCCCTCTCCTTTTTCTTGCTAGTTTCAAGAATGTGTTGTCAAAAACATATAGATAGCCAATTAGGGAGTGAGTGATCGATTGAACGCAGAGAGAGAGAGAGAGAGAGAGAGAGAGAGAGAGGTTCTGAAATCTTAAAATCAGAGATAAAAAATAAATAAATAAAGGGTAGGAGATTTATTTCTTATCTTGGGGTTTGGTTCGAATCGAGTTTGACTGACAATCCGAAAAATGAAATCGAGGAAGAATAGGGAAATTCTCTCTCTATATTTCTCTGGCGGTTTTATGGAATGGAATATCTTTTCTCTCTCTAGAATTTGTAGGTGACTTGACAGATAGATAGATACTTGTGTGGTGTGCGTGTGTGTGTCTCTCTCCTCTCTCTCTCTCTCACTCTCTCTCTTTCTGCCTCTCTCTATCCTCGTTTACTCCACCTGCGGGATTCGGGCTTCATTCATTTCTTGCCTTTTTCCTATAGGATGATGAATGAAAAGGAAATCTCCTGTGTGGAAAATTAGCTGTGTCTTTAGCCTTTTATCAAGTCATAAGCCTAAAGCCTATCTACCCTCTTTTAGTACAATTTATTCCGCAAAATTCTGCTCTGGAATCATTATTGAGGAGTAATTTGACGTGTACCTTATAATAATTTCTTTCTTTCCGTGTAAAATAATATGTATATATGATTAAATATATATATATATTTTTTTATCTTTTTTAAGCAATTTAACTTTCTTCAGTGAGGTATATTGGGATTATCACAAACATATTTTAGATTTTAAATAAAATTTTTAACATGAGATAAGGACGTATCTGATTTAATCTTTTAAATAACAATAAAGTTTAAAAATAATATTTAAATCCTTAAAATACTGATTTGTTTGTTTAGTAAAATTATCTGAAGAAATATTTTTTTTAATATAAAAATAATAAGTTTGTATAATATACTTTTTTTTTATTCAAATTTTTTTTATTTTTTTTTTTCATTTTTATTAAAAAATTTCATTTTAATTTTTTTTATTATAAAAAATTATTCTATTTTAAATCACTCTTTTTTTTTTAAAAAAAAAAGTTCTGCTGATCAAATAAGCATAATTTTATACAACTAAGGATTATTATTATTTTTTTAAAAAATATATATATGTTATTAAAAAATTGTGATTTTTATTAAAAGACCACACCTGTAATTTTGAAGAAAATATGTTAATATAGACACATTGCATCCCTGGGTGCAGTTTGTACAGGATTGTCTAATCATGTCACCTCATTATAAATGTCCTGAAGCGAGAACATTTTCCATTCAAATCGTTATTTTTTACTCTAGTAAAAAATTTGTGCCCATTTTAAAAAATGGCATAAAATCATGATTTTTTTACTCATTTTTTAAAATTAAATTTGTATTTGTATTTATATTTTACTTTGTATTCTCTCCGTCCGACTCTAAGGTCTCATTCATTCTAATTAATATTAAAAATATTCTTATATTTGTATAATATTTTTTACAAATATCTTTCTATTAGTATTATAAAACATTAATGAAAATATTTTGTAATTTTTTCTTAATTTGTAATACATTTTTATATAATAATTAATAATAATAAATTAACATGAAAAAAAATAAACGAAATTCTTAAAGCCGGACAAGTATACTATGTAATTTAAAAATATTATTGTATTTTTTTTAGTAAAATATTATACTTTTTTCGTTCCGCAAGAAGGTTGTTATTGACTTTTTGCGTATTGATTTTTTAATATTAATTATGATATCAAAATGTAGTACAAATTAAGAAAAGAAAAGGAAACAAAAATATATTTCTTAGTCTCTTATAATACATATACAATGATATTTGTCGAGTAAATTATTCAAATACAAGAATATTTTTAATATTAACTACAATGACGCAAAAACCAAATGACAATCTTCTTGCGAGATGGAGGGAGTACTATTTTTGTAACTTTTTAACATAAAAAATACTTTCATCTTGAATGAAAATATTCATTTGAATTTTTTTAATAGATAAAAAAATAATACTCCCTCCGTCCCATATACCGTGTCTGCTACACTGTAGATACGGTATTTTAGGAGAGGTGTAATTAGTAGATATTAAGAATGTATTAGTAAAAATAATTATTTTATAATATAAATAATTATATATTAAGATTAAGATAACTAATTAGTTTAATTAAAATTAAAAAAATAAATTAAAAAGTTTAAAATGAGATTAAAGTGTGTAATCATTTTTCAAAAAAAGAAACTGACATGAAATGTAAGACAGATAGAAAGGGCACCGTGGACATGGTATGTGGGACAAAGGGAGTAGTATTTTATTAGTGAATAGAAGTATGTAAAATAATCTTGATATTTTTGTTATTTGTACTTTATATATATATAATGAGCAACAACTACAATGCTAAATTTTGAAAAGCACATCATGTGCTTTATGGCGGCACATAATATTATTATAGACAATACATGATATATGTTAATATAATACACATACAATATATGAACTAACAACGCATGTTATAGTCTCATAAATGATACACAACAGTTGATTTTAGCACATAATATACACATATAATTATGAACAAACAACACGTATTTTTATTCTATACAATATATGTTGTATATAATAAGAATATGTATTGTTTATATATATATATATATATTATGAGTGCTGATTTGTTGAATTTTCTAAATCAATACCTTAAGCATTCCCATGTATATGGTTTTATATTAGTTGATTTTAGCTATAATATACTCTTATACAATACACGTTATAATTATAAATAAATAACATGTCTTTATTTCATACCACATGTATGGTATAAAATAAAAATATATATCATGCCTATACTATATCATCCGGAAAAATCAACATTATACTAATTTTCCAATTCAATACGATTACCCTCCCTCACAAGATATTATATTTTAAATAAAACTATTACTATTTATAAAATATTTTTAAAAAATAAAAAATATTTTAATAATACTTTTGCCGGTGTTACTAACTAATAACAAAAATATAAAATAATCCAAGATGGTAAAAAAAAAAATGATTATGTTATTTTATTTTAAAAATATTATATTCAAGCAACTATTTAAAATATATTATATTAGAATAAATACACAAAAAAATCAATATAATAAATAATAATCTAGAAACCTAGGTGTTTAATTTTATTTATTTTTTTATATTTTGAAGTTTTCTGAATTTTAAATTTGAACCTTAATTATAACATAGATAATGAATTATATTTAGAATAAAATACTTTTATGATATTTAATGATATTATGTCTTTTATATTTTTAATTTATTGTACAATATTTAAAACAGAATAGATACGCTTCTCTAAAAATAATTAATAATAACAAATAATTGTAGTATTATAGGAGTATAAAATTTGCTCCGTTCGTTCTTAATGTTTATGTTTGTTTGTTTGGACACAATAATTAAAATATAATACTTCATTCCTCAGCTAAAAATAATTATAATTTATTTGTAATTACAAAGAAAGTAATATAAAAGTAGAGCATGTAAAAAATAAAATGAAAAAAAAAACGAGTTAAAAAAAATAATAATGTAAGTAAAAGAAATAAAACCATAACAATTTGATTATTATTTGTTAAAATTAAAATAAATAAATTATATATAGGGTGTGTTTGTTTGGGAATTGGATTTTAAATACATTATTCATTTAATTTTTTTTTTCCAAAAAATATCAAATCAAACATCTATTTTTTATTTTTTATATTATACTAAAAATCAATTTATATTCGAAGTATTAAATCAACACCTATTTATATCACATCGTACAACTATTCAAATTCAAAATTTTTACTATTCAAATCATAACTCAAAATCCAAAACCCCGACAAACACACCTATAATGTTATCCGAAAATAAATAAACTAACACAATTAAGACTGCAACTATATATATCTGCATCATATATTACTCCTGAGTGGCTGAATTAAATCTATCTCCATGGTTCATCAATATTGCAGAGGATCTGGAGAGTTTCATTGTAATTAGATTGTCTGATGAAAAAAAAAAAAAAACATCATTCCATTAAAAAGATATATAAAAAGTAATAATAAGGTGAAATCAAATATGTGCTTTCTATTGGTCCTCTTTGTTCATTACTCGTTCAGTTCCACATAATTTGTTTATATTTTTTATTTTCGTTTGTTTCACATAATTTGTGCTTTTATTTTTTAAAAATATAATTATATATTTTAATCGTATTTTAAATTTTATAATTTTTTAATCTTAATTAAAGTATTTAATTTATAATTATTTTTACTAATTATTTTTAATTATTTACTAATTATACTTTATACGTTCAGAATTACCTGCCGATGAATTATTATTTACTAACCCCCCAGCCTTTAAAGCTGCGTTGGGCTAAGGCAATATATATATATATATATATGAGCCTCAAATGGCCCAAGCAATGAATTGACAGAAGTATAAGCATAACTAGGTAGATCCACAATATGACAAAATAAATGGTGATTTGTGACCGCAATGTCACGGTCCAAAGCCCCTCAACTTTTTTGGTCTTGCTTGTCATACTATTATTTCTGTCCACTGTAAATATTTATATTTTTTATGTGTAAAAATTAGAAAAATATAACAAAATTTATGCTTACCAAATGGATTAAAAAGTACTCTTTCAGTCTCTTTTAATACAATTATGTATATACAGTGTATATATATATATATATATGTATTTATACACATATACATATAATACTCCCTCCGTCCCACAACAAAGTATCTATTTTTTTATTTTAGTCCGTTCCATAATAAAGTATCAATTTTTTTTTCGAGTAACTGTACTATCTACCTAACTTTACAAATATTTTTACAACTTACAATATATTACACAAATACCATTACCTTTTATATCACACGTACTAATAAAGTTATTTTAGTCATTTCTATTTTATTTCTACTATATCTCAATATAATACTAATATTTTTAAAATTACGTACAAAAAATATGGATATTTACTAGGAGGAAGAGAGTATATATATTATATTTTATGTGAGGAGTCTGAAAGTGGGGGCTGATGATGACATTCAAATTAATTTACCTTCAACCAAAATCTATCTTCTTGTTCTTTCTTCTTCACCCAGTACTGTTCTTTCTTCACCACCTATTTTATTATTTAATTAAATTATGAATTTTAGGGAATACAAAATCTTGGAATTTCTAGGTGCTCCACACCGGTTGATCTGCTCATCAGTCATCACTGTCTTTTTATATATATATATACATATGTGTGTATTTCTTATGTTATAATATTATTGTGCATCTATAAAGGGCAGGGAATCTTAGATCCACGAGGAAACCAATTATATGCCTGATTAACCTGTGAACTATTCTATTATTATATATATTGGAACAGTAATTATTATATTAAAATATAATATAAATTAAAAAAAAATTACTAAAATATTTTTATTACTATTTTATAATATTAATAAAAGAATATTTATAAAAAAAATTGTACAAATATAATAATATTTTTAATATTAAATATAATGACACAAATAAATATATCTGTTATATATGTAATAATTTTCCAGTGCGACAAAAATGGGTACTCTTCGTTTAGATTTGTTTAGGCTCACATTTAATTTTTAGGAATAGGAAAGAAAGTTGAAACATTAAACTAGCTAAAACTAAATGTTGCAAAATATAAAATATGCCAAGTACTATTCGGTTTAATGTTTTCATGAACTGTTTGGGATGTAGTTAGCTAAAAAAAGTTAATTGTCTTTAATTTTGATTATTTGTGCAGTTAATTATGGTAAGATTGGCAAGAAATATATCGAAATTGACGCGTGGAAATTTTAAGAATATCATAAATTTGTGGATAATTAATTTACAGCTGGAGTGTTCCTGTATTCATTAAATTTACCCATAACGAGCAAAACCTCTTGTCATAATTCCTTTAACCGTTAAGCTCTCTCTCTCTCTGAACCTCCATAGCATTTGCTGCCATTTGTGATTAATTCCACAGTTCTTATCAGTAAATCAGTTAGCAGTTTTATAGGATTAGTGTTACACTACTTGTCGGATTGGATTCTTCAATTTGAAGAGGTGTTTTTTTCGAAGAAAGCCAAATCTTTGAGATGGGTTTTCTCTGAATTTCGAGAAGAGATTTGAGGAGCCTGGTTTCGATGAATCAATAGTTTTCAATCAAAGATGCAATTAATGTGGGAAAAAAAAAGCTATGTTTGATTGAAGTTAGCTGGAGGTTATTTTACTGATTTTAATTACTTCTATGGATTCTTCGATTCTCACTTTGGTTGCTGCTCTTTGCTTTGGTTTCTTTGCTCTCATTGTTGAGTCTCAAGGAAACCTAAACCTAAACCTAAACCTAACCCCTCCTGCCCCTCCTCCTCCTCCTCCTCCTCCTCCGCCGCCGCCGCCGCCGCAGCCTCCTTCCACACCCCCTCCCCCTCCTCCACCGCATTCTCCTCCCCCACCGCCACCGCCGCACCACCGGCCAAGGAGAGCCCCACCGTTGTCTCTGGACCACGGCGGCGGCCATATTAAACACAGATCTCCATCAACGCCGGCGGGGCTCAACGCCGGGAAGAAAGTCGGTTTGATGTTCATCGGAGTTGGGGTGATCTTGCAGGTCTGTGTGGCGGCATTTCTGTTGATCCAGAGAAGGCAAATTTTCAGAGCCGAAAGTGGCTACTAGTGTAGCTCATCAGCAAGAATCACCCACACTTATTAATTGCGAATTGATTTATATTCAGATTTACCATATTGTTTAATTTCTTCCTCCTTTGGAGCTAGAACAGTAAAAATTGGTGGGATTGGGATTCTTTAATTTGTTGTGAGAGCTGATCGATGGACCGAGAAGGAGCAGAGGAGCTTTTGGTATCTGCATCTGGTTCGCAGCTCCTGTAAATTGGTAATGATCTTTTTGATTTGATTTTATTTTAAGATTGAAGTTTGAAAAGGGTTGATCTTTATGCGATATTTCTATGTAATCTTGATTTATAGTTTGTTGTAGATGTGGATATATTGGTTTTAAAGCTGACATATCATTGATTTTCTATGGATTGAAGTTTGCAAAGGTTTGATCTTTATGCGGCATCTATGTAATCTTGATATAATTAAGCTCTATTTACATGCAAGTTTTGGGAAAATTTTAAAAACAATAAAAAAAGTTGGGTATTTGATATTATATTTTGTGACAGAAAAAAAATTAAATTAATGTAATGTGTCTTTTTTTTTTTTGGAAAAAAATTACTGATAAATAATGTTAAAGTTCCAAATGTTGGAACTGAGCTAACTAAATACTAATATGATGGTATTATTTTTGGACTTTCTCCAAAATGCTGGAATTTATGTTGGATTTATAAGATGTAGATTTTTTCCGCATCTTCCAATATTTACTTTGGATTGCACCCAACACCAGCATCAATTATGTGGAAATTGGTTTTACATAAACATAATATTATTATAATTCAAAGTCTTTGATGATTTTATGATCGAATTTGGAATGTAGATTAGGAGTGATGTTTGAAGTGGACTTATGGTTGTCTGAATTAGGACATAGAGATCTTTTGAAGCTTATCAATCAATCAAAGTATGTGTAGTTTTATCTATCTGATTTTGACAATGAATGCCATCAACGTTTTTTTATATATGTAATTGTTGGTTAAAGAATCTGCACAGACAAACATTTCAAATTGTTACTCAGTCATGTGATAGAAATTTATAGAAACAAATTATGTTTGTGCATTTAGGAGTTGAGTCTTGGATTTTGGACCTGAATTAAAATGATTGTTTGATGTGATATTAGTATCATATAATAGAGATTTGATTTGATTTGATGTCTCTGGATAGAAATGCACAAGCAAACGCACTTTGGGATGTATTTCTTTAATGTTTGGATTTGAATTTGCAGTTTGAGATTAATTGAAATAATATTTGATAGTGATATAATTAGACGTTTGATTTGATGGTTTTCGGAAAATAGAAAAACATTCAGTTTACTTTTTTACACTCTATATATCATGTGTAGGTGACATAAAGGAATCGTTCGTTTTCAAAACTTCAAGGGCGTGCGCTTGAATTCAAGTAGTTGAGCAGACAAAAACACAGGTAATACAAATACATCTCAATTTTTGCTCGACAATCGCAAGTTCATTCTCTCTAGTTGCATCACATATTTCTTTAGTATCCCCGGCTTTATACTTTTTTATTTGCTATACTACCCCGTCAAAACTCAATATCATTTTCACGCACGGTGATTTTATAAAAATACTTTTGTAAATAGTCATGTAACACCGGCAACATTACATCACTAATAGTTTCCATTTCCATCTTTGCGCACGGAATTTGCTCGCTTAGCTTATTTATATACCTAATCCTAAATTGAGATATATATTTTGCATTTGTCATCTTATGATTCTCGTCTTTTATTTTCTTGTAGAGAGTAGTTTGAAGCTGAGGTTGGTGAAGTTCCAATCAGCTAAAAAGCGGTGATCGATCGATCCAGGTGCATCTATTGTAGTCTTAACTTGTGTAATAGTGTATGTATAGAGACACATAATTTGTATGTAATAAATTGATTTTATTTTGTTCATCTGCTGATCCCTATGGCATGTGGCCTTTAGGAACTCTGCACCTTTTATTTAGAAGTTTTTCCCAGTTTATATAACATTGCTGTTCATTTCTATCTTGTTGAATGAATTTGTTACTAGGTGAGATCATTGATCAATGACAGCAAGAGTCAAGGGTAGGTACGTACTTTCACTTGTAATATATTGAATGATTAATTTTGATTTATTAGTTTTTTAGATTATAAATCTTTTTGGCTTTGGGCATAAATGAGCTGCACAAAAATATTTCAGTATTTTACAAGTGGTTTATTTAATTAATATTTGTTTATGATATAATATATAAGATTAGAAAATTTAAAAATGTATGTTTTATTATTTTAATAATTATATGTAAATATATATATATATACAATACGAATATTGTTTTATAAAACATAAAATTTTATATAATATAAATAAATAAAAAATATAAATATTTAGTTATTATTAATGTAAAATAACTGAGGAATTTTGAATATGTATAAATATATTTTTTATTGAATAGAAAATTAAAAATAAAAGATATTGAATGAACTTTGAGTGAATTTCATATGATTTAATATTTTAATATATATATATTTTAAGAATACAGTGTCAAGTGAAATTGAAACTTAGTTAAATAGTGTGAAATTTAGGTCACCTCAATGAATATGTTTCGAGCCTATACGCTTTATTTAATTATTTTTAATATAAATAGTTACTTCTATTTTTACATTTTATTTACTTTTAAATTTAAAACTATTTCATTAATAATCTATTTTTTATATTATACTCACATGATTATAATTTTGTGATTAAACTCACCTTAGAATTGGATAATATCATATTTAAACTCAATATAAATAAAGTTTATCAGAAATCTAAGACCAAATATCAATAAATTTTATCGGCCTTAAAATACGATCTAAATAACTCTATTATCGGATATCAAATTGGATAAAGTTGTGAATTAAGGCCTAATATCAACAAATTTTATCGGCCTTAAAATACGAGATCTATTGTTTTACTACAATAACCTTATTTTCGGATATCAAATTGGATAAAGTTGTGAATGAAGACTCAATATAAATAAATTTTGTCGGCCTAAAGATACGATCCAATAAAATTATTTTCGTCGAATACCGTAGTGAATTGAGTAACATTAAGGTCTAATACAAATAAAGTTAACTGTCTCAAAATGCAAATCAATAAAAAAAAAAAAAAAAAGTTCACTTAAAAAATCACTAAGAAATGACTTAATACCCAAATAATGGTTTCGATTTAATTATAAAATTACTAATATATTCTTAATTATTTATTAATTATACTTCTTCTAAATTCTCGTGTCTACAGCAAATAGACACAATAGTTGACACGTAGGGAGTATAATAATAATAAATACTCCCTCCGTCCAACTAGAAAATATACATATTTTTATTTTGGGAAGTCCAATTACAAAGTAAACATTTAATTAAATTGCTCACTTTTTTTTCCACAAATACCCTTACTTTACATCACATCATTATTTTTACAACAAAAAGCAAGGGCAAAAATGTTATTTTACTATTTTTAACTACCATCTATAATTAAAATACTATTATTTCTTAAACACCGCGCCAAAAGTAAATGTTTACTTTGTATGTGGACGGAGGGAGTATAATATTAGATTCTAAATATAATACATTATATTATGAATTTATTTATTATAATAAGTAAATACTAAACAAATATATTTGTATTTAATTTTAATTTTAATAATAATTGAATGTAAATTTTATATTTAGAAGTTAATTATTGTTACGGTGAGGTTTTACAGTATAAAATTGAAAAATAAAATATTGAAGAAAACGAAATTATATGATTAATAATAAAAATAAATTAGTATATAAAAATGTATACAATAAATTTATTTTTACTTATTTGTATTTGAATCTGAATATAAAATTAAGTTTAAAAAAAGTACTAACATAATATTATGGTGTTAATATAATTTTTTTTAATAAGCTATGTTTTTTAAAGAATCTATGTAAAATTATATTTTAATAAAATTTTATAGAAAGTATAATTATTACATAAAGAATTTTGGAAATAATTTAATATTTATATAAATATATACATACAATCATACATAATAATAGTATTATTATTTGATAGGGATAATTAATAGTTTTAAATTCATCTAAATCTTAAATTTTACATATTTCTTTATTATATCGTTTGTTAAAACTTTAAATTTGATTACTTGCATAATTATACTTATATATATAATTAATATATATGAGAAGGGTTACGATAGAAAATCAGCATACGTAAAATAAGAAAACAGTGTATGCAATAAAGACCGGTGTGCTGTATTATAGTATGTTATGTGTTAAAATTAATTGTTGTCTGTATTACGTGAGAATATATGATGTGATGTTAATTCATGTTATGTATTTTATTATATTAATGCATGTTGTGTGCTGCCTTTAGTTATATCGTATGTTGTCTATTAGCACGCGGTGTGTTGTTCAGCACTGTAGCCGCCGCCAATATATAAATATATCATTTATGAATGATATATCATGTTTGTTTCTGCTCAAATATGTTTTGAATTTATATCATTTTTAAATGAAAATTATAATTATTATATATATTTAATATATATTTTATTGAAAAAAAAAAGTCCCAAAAACATACCCCTTAATTTTTTTCTTTATAATTTAAATTAGTCAAACATCAGTCATTTACTTATACGTATATAATATATATTTATATATTTTTTATTAAAAAATAATTTATATTAAATGCGCTTCTTCAGCCTATAAATATCCGGCCATGATAGTGGTGTGGGCATCCACTGTCATCCCTCCTACGACTGGTTTTATATTTAGTTCTCTGTTCATTATCTTCATTCTTTCCGTATTTTCTCCGGCATTACGATGAACAATATACATATTTTACTTGTCGATCACAACTCCGAGCATCTCACCCATTCAATTGTGATGCTCGAGTCGTGTCGATATAGAGGTAATCAATGCAAATATCGAAATTACATACAATTTTTGGTGATAAACGACTTATGTGTTTTGCTCCGACGGTGTTCGCTCCGATGATTTTTAATCTTATTGTTTTTATGTTGGAATCTTTATGTTTTGAGTTGATTCATCGTGTAGATCTCGTGCGCGTGCAGTAGAGGTGGATATAGTGATTAATTTCTAAATTTTTTGCGGCACACTTTCATTCGGACACTTAATTTTCCGATCCGGAGGAAATAAGATATAAATTTTAAAAATTTACAAATTTGGGGTTTTATTTTTGTCGAATCGGTTGAATTTGGAAT